AAGTACGGTTACGTTGTTCTTCCGCTAAGGTTCTGTCGGGAACCCCTACGGATCTTGTTTGTTTCCGGTAAAGGATACGGCTCGGTTTAAACCGGTTCCGGGTACGGTGAAATCCGGCCAGAATACACCGGAAAACAAGCCTTTTCTTACCGTTTCCTCCGGGTTCCGGAGGCCGGAATCATCGACCTGGGATTCGGACAAATAAATTAGGCATGTATAATAAACAAAATGTAGTTTAGAACTTACGAAGAAGACTTTCTAATTATTTTAATAACGTTTCCTGTTTTGAGAACACGGTGACCACCTCAACCACACCTGTGCCGATATAAGCACTCCGCCTATCCTAATCAATGTACATAATGACTTTCTCCTCATTGTCATGTGTATTCTATCTTCCTCTTTGTCGTGTTCCTTTTCGTTCTCTCCGGTTGAGAAACGCGCCGCGCTCCGGAGAAAGAAAGTGTATCTATAAAAGGAGAAGGATGATTGAAATGAAACGTCTCTTATCGTTACAACACCCACCCCCCCCCCTCTCTCTCTCTCTCTCTTGCGTTCAGCTATCTCAATCATAGCTACTAGTGATCTATATGATGATATGATTAAATCAAGCTTCTCTTGATCGAAAACACTTTATTTTTTTTAAACGTAACAAGCAGTGTAGAAGATTATTTTTAAAAGGCCCACTTTCTCAAGCAAAAACAACACTGTACAAAAATTTTCCTTTCAGTCATCAACAGATCCATAATCAATATTGTCATCGATTTCTTCTGCATACACATGATTTTTTCCTAAGCGTCCTTGTTGTTGTTGGCGTCGATCAATGTGATAATCATCATTAGGTAGTTTGTCTTGACTTTCATTATTATTACCATTATCATCATCATCATCCTCATTATTATATCTCATACTCTCTGTTGATTGATCTGGTGGAGCCATTTTACGTCCAGTTGCAGCGTAAGTAGCCGCAAGTAAACTTGGATTGACATAATGAGAAAAATACCGTTCAGGAATATGTTCTTGTAATTCATCGAGTAACATTGATGCCTATTTTGAAAAAAGTAAAAAGAAGTCTAATATAAATCTTCTAATTTGATTTTACTTGTTTATATTTTTCTTGCCGTGCAAAATGATCAATTAGCATCCCATAAATATCACCTGGATGAACACCAACAAATATTTTTTGATCTGTCAGCAAACTAGCCAATTCACGAGCACCTGTCTCTGGATCATTAAAGTATCGACTAAAAAAAAAGAACATAATTAAATTTTTATTTTTTATTTTTGCAAAACTGCAATAAAGATCGAATAAATAAGCGATTAAGTGAATATACTTACTCTCTGGCATCAATATATCGTTTAATATTTCGACATTTAAGTTCAAGTTCTTGCAGTGTTTCATCTTTTGTAAATGTATTTTCTCCATTATCTCTCAATGTTTTATATGCTTCCATTAATGCCTCTAGATAAATAAATAGTAATACTAGAAATAAAAAGAATAGTTTTATCTTACCTAATGCTTTGTTATAATCACGATATTCTTCGATTTCAATCTAAAATGAAAACAAGCTTTTGATATATTGCTGTATTTTGGTAAACACATCGAATCATACTTGTGCACACATATCATAAAATTGAGCAAGTTTTTCATATGCTCTAGCTTTCTTATAAAAATTCATAATATTTTGTAATGCATCTGGATATTTTTTCCAATCCAATGTTTTCAAATGATCAGCAGCAAGTATATAAACTTCACGACTACGTGCTCCATTGGCAAACCTAGTAATACGTTCAACATCACCAGAATGTATCAATGCACGAATTGACTGAAGAATAAATACGAAGATATTATTTGAATTTACTTTTAAAAAATGTTACGAAAAGTAACAGTATACTTTAATCTTATTGCCAGCATCGAGATATTTCTGTGCTGCACCAGCATATGCTCCTTGACTAACGGCTAGATCGCCTAATTTTTCACAAATAGCTTGATATCTGGGCATATCTTCTTCATTTGTCGCTGAAATAAAAATAATTCAAACCATTAAATCAATAAAATTTTAGGGAGTCAAATAATTTACGTTTAGCAGGACTCAATCGTTCAAGTAATTCTTCAGTCAATGGAATTTCATTACGAATAGCTAAATCTGCTGCTTCATCAACCTATTCATTGAAATTATTCTCGAAATGTAAAAGGAAATTTTCAAAATAAAAAGAAAAACGAACTCGATCGATGGCAGCAAGTAAATCAACAGCTTTGTCAAATTGTTTTAATTGCATAAAATAATCAGCCATTCGAGTAACTTGAGTGGGATCAGCATTTTTACCAACACTAGTTTAATAAAGATAAACCAATTCTAATGGACATAATTCTTCTTCCAAAATAACAAACCTATCAGCAATTTGTGCCAATGCTGAGTATCGTTCATGTCTAAATGCTAAATCAATTGCTTTCGAAGTTAATCCAGCCTAAATTATAGAATTCATTTTTATAATACAGATTTTTGCTTTGGCAAGTTATACTTTATGATAGAGTAAAATAGCACGATCTTCTTGCTGAGGTAAAGTTTGAAAGTATCGTGCTGCTTCGAGCATATCATCGGGTGTACCTTGTACAGCAATATTAGCGAGATATTCATCCAAATGACGATCCTATAAAAATAGAAATAATTAATAGTTACGAATTCCATTGTCTGAATTTCTTCAATAAAATATTTAGTCTATTTCAAGTGGTTTCAAAATAGATAAATAAAAAATATCATACTCGACAAAGTCGCATAGCATTGCTAATAGCTGATGCTTGTTGAAAATAAGAAATTGCTTGTTTATAATCGCCTTTTTTTTCAAAATATCGTGCCATATGATAACAAGCTGCTTTGTTTCCTGTGTCTGAACATAACTCGATGGCCTAGAGTGATAGTTATCTTTCAAAACTTATCTAATCGATTTAGAAAAAAAAGAAGTATAATACCTTAGCAGGTTGATCTTGTTCACAAAGCAATCGACATAATGATAAATTATCGTCGGCTTTTCGATAGCAACCAAGTGCATCCTCAATTTTTCCTCGACTTTCAAAATAACGACCCCACCAACGAAATAATTTTCTTTTAAAAATATTTGTCCAATAGAAATTAATTAAAAGTTGAAAGAATAAAACTTACGGATCATTCTGTTTTGCTGTATATGTTTTATATCCTGCAATATCTTTTCGTTCAAGAAACATTCGCCGTACTTCAGTTGTTTGTGTTCCTGATTTTTCATAACTATTAAAAGAAAATAGAAAAATAACACAAAAATATTCTTATATTTACAGTTCAATAGCTTTTTCTAATTGATTATTTTGTTCAAGATATTTAGCATAATTGTAATATGTATTACGTAAATGTATTCGATCATAATGTGTTGCTATATCAACAGCTTTTTCCCATTCATTTATTGACTGATACAATTGATTAAGTAGATCATATTGTTTTGATTGAAGTAAAATCTTCTCTGCTTCTTCCTTGTTTTTAAACAATTACTTCTATTTATTCAATTTAAATGTCTATAAAAACATACTTTCATATTTAAATGTATCGCTAATATAGCTATTTTTATATCAGGATTATCTTGATCAACAGCACGCAAAGCTCGTGCACCACGAAACAGACCCATTTTTCCAAGACAAATTTTTGCTACATCAGCTCGTCGATTTAATACACACATACGAGCTAGATTTTCCCAAACACTTTCTCTAAATAAATGAATAGATTTAGAAAGGAAAATAAAAATCTTTCTTTACTTTTTAATAATTTTTATTGCTTTAAATGCAGCATCAAGATCTCCTAATGTTAAATTATAACTAAAATTCATAATTGCTTCAATGATATTTTTTTCAATGCCATTAACTCCAACAAAATCTGCCATTGTCTTTCCAGTGAGATAATCTGAATAGACAACATTTTCTAAAATAAACAGGCAACGAGAAAAGTTTTGAACAAGAATTTTCAATTTAGTATTTTCTGTTACCACCGAGTTCTGCATCAGAAAGAACACCATTTGAACCTAGATCATGATGAGTTGTTTTAAGAATAAGACCACTACTATCTAATGTTTCAAGTTTAGGAAGTTGAATACGAATACGAGAGCTTTTTATTTGCGAAGTTTCATCGGTTGAATCTAACGCATCAGATTTTGATGTCTGTAATGTTGATTGAGATTTGATGATGTGTCGATCTACATCCGAATGTTTATCCTATAGAATAAAATGATTATCTTTGATTCATTCAAAAGCATATATAAAATAATTAAATTACTCGTGTAACAAAGAAAAAAAATGGAATTTTAATAGCAATCAATTGACGATAAGAAATGTTCCGTGGAAAAATATCTTTTGGATATATTTGATTGTCTGATGTGCAGAACATACTAACGATTAATGATGGAGCCTAGAACAATTAAAAAAATTCATCACAAGTTATTGTAAGTTTTTTTTTGGAACACTCAGCTTTATGCATTATCAGGAATATTTTTTAAATGTTTTTTTTATCAAATCAATTTTTCTAATAGAATATTAGATTAAAATATAAATTCCTCAACATGAACTATCTCTTCTATTATACTTTAAACGTAGATGACCAAAATTAGTCTTCTTATTAGATGTTTTCTCCTAAATCAATAATCATTAAATACTTAGATAATTCATGAAACATAGATTACCATATCCTCTTGACTTGCTGTAACTGAATCTCGTACTGCAGCTGTATGACTAGCTGCAATACTTGAATCACCATCTCCAGCACCTCTACTCGTTAACAGTATATCGTAAGTTCTATCGTCACCGTTGAATGATGCAGCTAAATCAAGTTTTTGTTGATGCAAATAAATTTCTAATGCCATCAATCGAGCATCTTCAGGATCCCATTGAATATTTGATGGATATCGACGATATTGTGGCGCATTTTTTGCATTATTATCTTTTTGTCGAATACGACCATATTCAGTACCTGTTAATTTTTCTGAACTAAAATCAAAGCATGCCACATAGTCTTTTTCTACATCCCATGTGTAGAGTCGACTACTTGGATTAAGATTTGTCTAAAAAATAAAGAAAATATGTGTTAATAAGATTGATGTGTTTCTGTTTATATAAAACGGTATTACTTGTGAGGTTAAAACTGTTACTTTTGTTCCTGTACAATTAATTGCTACTTCACGTATAGAATCAACTGACGGTGTGTGCGTATTTATATTTAATATTTTACCAATCGCTCGTAATTCACTAATAAACAAGAAAAAATAATCATTATTATCATATCTACGGCCTCCTCCTGAAAATATTAACTTCAAGACACGCTCGGCAAGTAAAATTGACTTATCGTCAAGGCAAAACAAAAACAAAAAAGTAGAATTCAATAGTGTACACGTACCGTCTAGATATATCAAAAACTTTAACATAACCTTTGGTTGAACTAACAACCAGAAATGATCCATTTGAATTAATTGTATTAACTTCACCTTCATTTTGAGCAAATGTAATTGTTTGTCGAGATGTTCCCTTTTCATGGAAAAAGAAATTTTTTTTTTCTTTCTAATACAAAATATGGTTTGTTTTACTTGAAAAGACATAACATTAACGCGACCATTTTCCTGAACGAATAAAAGTTGATCGTAAATCACGACATTTGTTGGCGAACAAGAAAAATAGCCTTCAAATAAAAGTAAATCATCATTATTTCCGAAGTCAATAGGATAATTCTTCATAAAAAAAACAACAACAAACCTTTTTCATTCCGAACTACTTTTTCCTCATCTGATTTGGATGCATCACAAATAAGTTCATAGACACGAATTTGTTTTTTATTCCAAATAGCAACATGATTCTACGATAAGGAAAAAAAGAATTTCATAGAAAAAGAATCGAATTGAATCGAATACTAACTTTAGAAACACATAAATTTTTAAATGGCATATCCAGTTCTTCTTCTTTAACAATACTGTAGCGGAAAAATGCAACATGGATAACAGTTGGACTAAGTTGAACAACTGCAAGCTAAATATAAATCGAATTATGTATGCAATCAAGATAAACTCAATTTCATAATTTACCTGGTCTCGATAAGCTGCTGACATATTTTCATCAGTAAGTAGGAATAATTGTGAAATTAAATTAGCAGCAAGACAATTTCGTTGTGGACAATACTAAAATAAATTCATGGAACTTCAAAGAATAAATGTCAATCGGTTACTTTTAAACTTCGAATAGGTATGCCAGAAGCAATTTGTTTCGCTCGTTGAGGAATCCAATGTTTTTCTACATCAGTTGTACGCCGATGTGGGTTATAAATCCAGAATGCAATATTTCCTCGATTAGTACCAGCAGCAATAATTCCTTATAAAACAAAACCAATGTATTTCAAAATGAAAACTCACTATGAGACATACCTTTCATTGCACTGTAGGATACAGAAATTAAAACTTCATTATTAGCATAGCCCATTTCTGAACTTAGTTTCAATAAAAGATTGTCCGATGAAACGAGATCAACCATTCGTATAGTTGATTCACCTGTCACATAAGCAAACAAATCGGCACCAATCAAAGCAAAATCTGAATCGATTGGTCGACCAGATAGTTTACCCTTTAAAATAATTACAAAAAACAAAATGCTACTATTCTTTATTTTATTGAATGCATCTATCTTACAGAGTTCGTAGAAGTTAAAGGGTCTGATTGTGTTTGTAATTGTTGAAGGTTATATTGTGTCATCATATTTGATTTTGTGACTACAATAAGAACATCATGATCATACGAATGTAAGAGCCGTGATATTCCATCATCCACCGAACAAATTTTTCGTAATTTGTCTGTAACAACATAAACATTTCCTTTATCTGTACCAACAAAAAACATAGCTGGTTCATGCACTTGTTGTCGATTTGTTTTCGTCGCAAGCATATCTAATGCGGTTTGATCACCTTCGACTGCTGCTCGAGCTAATTCACGATAATCTCTTGAAAGTAAAAATATTGAACAACATTAATAGCCGAATTGTTGACTCTAGTAAACTTACTGATCAGATCGACCTGATGGTGATGATCTACTTAGTACATATGTAACAGATTCACCTGGTACTGAAATTTGTACAATAACACTTTGCTGAGACACTTGAGCTAGAGAATCAGCTTTCCAAACGATTATTAAACCATCCTAGAATGTAATTAATAAAATATCAATATCATACAGAAAAATTCTTCGTCAAGGTGATTAATCAGGTGTTCGAGATCAGTATTACTTTTTGTATTGATTATGAAGGTTAGTATTATTTTTATTTTTCAGTAAAGATTTAAATTTATGAAAAAACGAATTCTTTGAATTACTTGATCAGCTGATAATAATCGTGTTCCATCTGGATTCAATATTAAGGATGTAATACAGTTTTTATGAACAATAACACTTTCCAACCGACGATTTGATCCATTCCATATCATCAATTCACCGTCTTAAAGAAAATGAAGAATTTGCGTTTGTTTGTGTGAAAAATAGTCAATGTTCATCATACTTGAAAAACCAATGGCCAATGTTTTTTTAATTGGATGCCATGCCATACAGAAAGCATTACCCAAATGTTGTACATGAGCTCCTTCATCATGTTCACCCTTATTTTAAGAAAACATTACCATCAATGAATCTGAATCATTATTAAATATGATTTGAACAACTTACATCTTCTCCATAGAAGAATATATTCGTACCAGCACTGATCGAAGCTACAGCAAGAATATTTAATGATGGGTGCCATTCCATCAACTGAAAATGAGGGGATTCCGAAAAATTTCCTAATTCAAGCTTATGCTCAAAATATTGTGTAGCCATTTTATTTTCTCTTTTCTTGACTTAAACTGAAAATTGATATGACTAAAACCGATGATACCATAGATGAATTCATTTCTTTGACAACCATATGAAATGATTCTATTTTTATTTTTATTTATTCTTTTACAAATAAAAAAGCTGACAATACTTAGAATTCAAAATTCAGAAAGAAAATCATTTTAAAAATTATTTAAAAACATTTTTAATTGAGCATATTTCAAAATTGCTAATCTAGCGACATCTAATGGAATCTTCTAGATGTTTCACAAAGCTATTTTTATTCTCAGTTTAATTTTTTTATTAAGGCATCAAATGGCAACTGAAATTGATCTTAAAGGCGAAGATATTTCACCGGCAAAAGATGGAGGTCTGTTCATTAAAATTATAAATCAATTACAAACCATTTCTGTTTTCTTTCTTTATTAAAGGTATTTTAAAAGAAATTATCAAAGAAGGCTACAGTAATGAAAAGCCAATAACCAACGATAAAGTATTTGTACATTATGTTGGCACATTACTCGATGGAACCAAATTTGATAGCAGTCGAGATCGAAATCAAAAATTTGAATTCGAGCTTGGTAAAGGTAGTGTTATTAAAGCATGGGATATTGGCGTAGCAACGATGAAACGTGGTGAAATATGTCGTCTAATATGTAAATCTGAATATGCATATGGTGAAAATGGTTCAGGAGATAAAATAGGGCCAAATGCAACATTAATTTTTGAAATTGAACTGTTTGATTTTATGGGTAAGATTTGACATAGCATAGAATGAACATTTTATAGCTGTCTATTCATAATTATAGGTGAAGATATCAGTGAAGGAAAAGATCAAAGTGTTATACGACGAATATTTACTAAAGGAGAAGGATGGGCTAAACCGAGTGATGGTAGCATTGTAGATATTTCTCTTAAAGGTACTCATGAAAATCGAATATTCGACGAACGGAGACTGAAATTTACTGTTGGAGAGGGTTTATTAAAAGATATTCCAGAAGGGTTTGTAGTTTTTAAATTATTTTTATTTTACTCATTCAATAACTTCTTTATTTATTTTCAAGTATTGAATATGGAGTGACACGTATGACCAAAGGTGAAAATAGTCAGTTGAAATTAAAATCAAAAGCAATTGATGGTCTCGAAAAATTTAATATTCCAAAAACTGCTCATGTAGAATATATTGTCACTTTGCACGATTTTGAAAAAGTCTGTTGAAAAAAAAATCACCTTGCAGCAAACAAAAAACAACTCTGTTTTTCTTTTATAGGGAGTCGATAAATGGTCAATCGGTGATGCAGAGAAAATTCAAGAATCTGAAAAATTAAAAAAACGTGCTGCTGAATTAATCAAAGTAAGATTTCAACTAACTTTTGAATCAATATTTCGTCGAACAATATCGTTCGATTCAAATGAATTCTTCACTTAGTTTTATTTTCTATCATAGGATGGTCATTATCGTATTGCTTATAAGAAATATAAAACTATTATAGAATATCTTAAAACAGATAATCATGATGATGAAAAAGATAAAAATAAAGTACGTGAATTAAAATTAGCAACACATTCGAATATGGCTTTATGTTGTTTGAAATTGGGTGAATATGCGCAATCTATTCGTGCATGTGATAGTGCACTTGAATTAGATTCAAAAAATGAAAAATGCTTCTTTCGTCGAGGACAAAGCTATTTGGCTATGTTAGATTATAAGGAAGCTATAAAAGATTTTCAAGAAGTTCTTAAATTAAATCCATCAAATACTGCAGCAACTCAACATATTCAAACTTGTCGAGAACAAATAAAAGCTTATCAACATCAAGAAAAACAATTATATGCCAAAATATTTTCTAAAATGACTACCAATAATGAAAAAGTACATTTTTTCAAGTTTGAAAATTATTTTAACTTATTTCTTTATAGGCTAATGACCAAGCAACGAACGGTGATGCGAAACAAAATAAGGATGAAACTGCAACTTCGAATTAATTGGTTTAATTTTCAAGATGTTATCAAGATTTACGAAAAACAAAAACCCATTAACTAGTCATTCAGCAGTTTTATCTTAGTTAAAAATCGTGATATGTATCGTTAGAATTTTTTCAATTTGATTATCTATTAACATGAATAAAACAAAATATTGTACACATTGAAGATTACTGAGCACAGTTCTTTTTTCTTAATTTTCTTTTTCGAAACTCATATGAGGAATCTTAATGTTGTAGCACTAAAACGTTTTCCAATGAACTACAATCAATTATGTGATATTATACCATTTATATACACATATTTTGTTTTTGGATGATTAAGAATAGATTAATCATAAAATGCATTCCCAAGAGCATAGTCTAATGCTTATGAATCTAATCAGTTAGCAAATGATGAAAAAATCATTTTTCAAATATTTCTTCCGTTTTTGAATTCGCATAATCTATTTCAAGAATTATTTCTTGATTACCTAAAATTTGTAATGTATCCAATGTAGATGAGTGAATAAAATGATTGATTATTCGTAATAAGATCAGCACATGAAACCAACAAAATGCATAGTATGGCAAAAACATATTCTTCAACAATATTTCCGATTAAAATCTCGATCATTCTCCTAACGATATAATATACTTGTGTGTAATTCCATTAATGATAATTAAGAAAAAGTGCCATGTTGTGCTTGTTACAATAACAATCAATAATTTAATACTGTTCAAGATATTCTTAAAGAAAACTCGTTTATATTTTTTGTACATATGTACAGATTTAGAGCAATTACGTTTGTTGCAAAACAAGTTCTTTTATAAACATCTTTAAAGAATCTATTGATAAGTAGCCTCATGAATTCGATAAACCACCCACTATGCTGCTAGTATCTTGTGTTGTTCATTTTGATATAAACATCTTATAGAGCGTATCAACCTTCAAATATCATCAGACAAACGACGGCATACACAGCATGTCTGCTTGTTACTTCTATATTCATTCATGTGTTTTGTTTTCTTTCAAGAAACAAACGTGTGAACAATGCTGCTCTATTGCTCAGTATATAGCTTAGTGTATGTACGCATGCGTACGCCACACGAGTGAGAAGTGGACATGTTTGTCTAGTGGGAATAGATGTTGTTGATGGTGATGATCCTATCAGTGAACAATTAACCAGCATCATTGATGATTGACTTGAATCTTTCGATTGTCCGAAGTATACAATCAAATAAATAATAAAGATGAACAATATCTTTTGAACCTATGTCTGATATTCTTATTCATACTTGAAATGAAAAGAAAAAGAAAAGAGAGTCAATTTATCATCGATCATCATCACCATCATCATTCAATTTCACTTGTTTCTAGATAATTGCCAGTTGAATTGAACACTTGACAAAGACATCGGAACCCATGAGAAAAGAAATATTCTTCTTTACTTTGTCTTTCAGGTAGCCGATAGATAAGCAAAACGAATAACATCTGTTGATTTTTTTTCTTTTTTTTTCCTTTAAATACACGGACACACAAACACTCAGAGACAATCCACCACTGTTCCACTGACATACAATGACGCAACAAGCAAAAGAAGAAGAAAAAAAAATGTATCAATATTTACATGCCACCCAATGCTACACTATGTTCGCGAGCTTTAAGACGCAATGCAGCAATTGAGGTGCTTCGATGATCAGGATTGAGATTATAGCCAGTATACGGACATGGATTGAAGTTATTTGTTGAATGAGATGTTTGCTGTTGTTGTTGCTGTGGCGGTGGTGGTGGAAATCCATAAGGCATGCCCATAAAATTTGGTATTGCACTTGACATCATCATGGACGGAGATGATGAAAGAGTATGACATGGTGATCCTGTTTGTTGTTGAGATTGTTGTTGTTGTTGTTGATGATGATGATGATCTCGAAGAGGAACATGACCTAACGATGCTGTTGATGATGAACACCAACCATTTGTTGCTGCCAACTAAAAGAATTATTCGAAATAAAAGATAGTACAAATTTTGAGAATATTTTTCTTTTTAGTGTCAAAAAGACAATAGTAAATATATAATACCGATGGATATTGACTACTTGCTGCTGAAATCAATGAAATATCATAAGGATTTGTTGGCGGTACCGTTAATGAACGTATTTGAGGTGCATTTGTATATCGTTCACGTTTACGCCATTTAGCACGTCGATTTTGAAACCAAACCTATGCGAATAATTGTAAAACCTATCATTATTTTCTGTTTTAATTTATTAACATGAGATAATTAATTTTGATTCTGTTTAATATAAAGAAAGAATTGTTTTTTTGTTTTGTATACTCTATTACAATATTTGAACTGATTATATGTAAGAAACGATGAGGTAACAACAACGAACAATTCTATAATCATTCATAAGTTTTAGATTACAAAATAAATCTATAAATAACGATCAAGTGTTACTAGAATTTCTTTGAAGTAAACAAAAAATGTATTGAGTATAGAATTCTTCTAATTTATCTATTGTTCTTTGATTGGTCCTTTATCAGTATCTATCAACAGACTCATTATCCGATCTACGAACACATATTGTTATTGCAGATTGGATCTAATAATTTTTTTTTCTGCTTAATAAATGTATCTTTAGCTGTAGTCTTAATAGACCTTTGACATTCACATTCAGTTTTATTTTTTGAGATACCACCGACTGAGAATATTGAAAAAAATAGAGGAAAAGATTTCTTTTGTTTTTGTCCTTTTCTGATTGGTTATGATGCGTAGAGAGAAGAAAGAAAAGCTTGTATGAATAACAGATGTGTTTGTTAAAGACATTGTTTCATATGGACATACCTGTACTCGTGCTTCCGTCAAATCACATCGAAGAGCAAGTTGTTCTCGTACATAAACATCTGGATAATGAGTCTTTTGAAAGACACGTTCCATTTCTTCAAGTTGAAATGATGTAAACGTTGTACGATTTCTTCGTTTTTTACGTTTTGAATCATTTCCATTCGAATCATTTGTTGTATCACCTTCATCTGATGATGAACCACTGTTTGCATTATTATGTTGAACACATAATTTTTTACTTGAATCCATACATGGTGATTCTATTGGAGTAAAAAGCAAAAGAGATAGTTGTCTTTTCTTTTCTTTTCTTTTTTTTTTTGACTAGTCTTATCTTTGAAAGTTCTTGATTTCGAACGTAATATATTTCCCGGAGGAATGAACGGAAATGAAATCAGTGGCAATGATCACGTTCGATCTGTCTGCTTATCTCTGATTTTCTTGCAATAGGCGTGGAGGCACGCACATACGCTTAATATACCTGCTGAGCAATAACAACTCAATCATCTTAGAAGAAGCCACATCAAGTTGCAAAAAAAGAAAAGAAGGAATCAATCCTCTCTGATATGTATGTATACATCGTAAAACGTTCGCAATGTGATATATAGTTAATGATATAAGTCATATTCAATGATGATGATAAGCAATTTAAGTTTTCTTTGTTTTTATTAATAAAAAAAACACAAGATTTTACCTGAATGAGGATGATGTATCATATTAAATTGATGGCTGTGAATTGGGACTAATTGTCAATTGAAGGCAAGGTGTTAATTCAATATATTTGAACCCTTTTTCCTCTAACCGAATTTTCGACCGACTATATAATCTGTATGCGCACGGCTCTAATTTTATTAATCAGTTATCTGCAGAACCGAATGTAAGCCACCGTCGTAGTTGAGAGAGAAAGAGAGAGAGGAAAAGAGAGGCTATACCATTCGAATAAAGGAGTAGAATGTACTGTGTCGTTGTCGGCAAAGAAGAAGATTAATGGCAATACTCTTATTCTCGTTTTTTCTTCTTCTCCCCCGTTCTCCCTGTCTTCTCCCTCTTTCTCGCTTGTCGATTTTCTTTCGCCTTCGGCTGGTTGCCAGATAGATACATGGTCGAAGTGCGTAAATTTGCCGATTGGTCCATATGTATAAGAAAGATACTCTATCCATATATGTTCTATTCGTTTGATCCAGTATGTGAACAGAAGTCTTCTAAATTTTTTTTCCGTTTTTTTTTGTTTTTCATATTTATGTGAGAAAATGAAGTGAGTATAAACAACAGATGACAAATATAAAATAAAATGAAAAAAAGAAAAGAAATACGTTATCTGTCGGTATGCATCTTGATAATCTATGATTACAACAGAGAAAAAAAAAGAAACAACGAATATATCTTTCTTAGTTACTTTCCGTAGATTTTGCACGAGCAAAGGGCAATTAGGGTGATTGTCGTTGATAACTTGTGCGCACGCATGTATGTCAACGGCTCGTTTATTATACAAAGAGAAGAAGCCTTCTTTCCTATCTCGTCCTTCTATAAAGGCAGGCATCTAGATGATTTGTCTTCGTCGATCAACACAAGTAGTTAAATAAACTAAAACCTAGTCGATCGAAATCTCCACCCATTTTTCTTTCATTGATTGGCTAATAGAAAAAGAATGGTTTATTATCTTTTCTTTGCTGTTTGGATAAAACGAAGTTTGAAAAAAAATGAATTGTTATGTTTTGAAACAATTCCCAAATGCATGTAGAAAGAAAGAAAAAACGTTCCTTTGACGCGGCAAAGATCAGTTAGTTAGAAAAAATAACAAACTCTGCTTCATCCTCTTCTTTTTTTATTTCTCAAAATAACAAGCAAACAAAAACTTGATGCTGCATAAAATTAAGAAATGCCAAGATGATATCTCTTATCTATATCGTTCGTCATTTGCATAGTTTGTTCAACGATGAACATATTCCTCTTATTGCTGTTGTTGTTGTTGTTGTTCTTGTCTGTTGAATATAAATCTGCTAGATGAATTGTTACAATTATCTAGTTTTCTCTTCTGTTCTCTCGTGTTCGATAAAAGTAAGAATAAAAAAGGTTTTGGAACTATACTAATGTATTTTCATCAATAATTCGAAAACAAATAAGAATGTCTTGATTGATATCATCCGTTAGAATATATATATAAGAAATATGCTGAGCTTTCAATTTTCCTGTTTGACCCATAAAACAAACAAATGAGATGATTAGTTCCTATAAGAAAGTATCCATTACATATAACAAGCAAATAGAAAGAAAGAAAAGGTTTTTGAAAGAAATAACATATATGTATACAAATCGGTGATTATTAAATTACTACTGGAAAAGAACAAGAAAGTCTTCGTTTTTTTTGTATATACAAAGTTGTTAGGAAAATAAACTTGTCCGATGGAAAAGAGCATGTCTATGTCGATTAGCACTTTAGCAAAGTTCACATATTGTCTATCAGAAAAGATTACTTTCATTTTCTTTTGACAAACATATGGAAAGATGAGTTTGGTAAAAAATATTCATATCATGTATATTTTCCAAGTTGCCAAAGTAAAGAAAACAGAAATGATCAAATATCAACTGTTCTATAGATTGTCATGTGTATGCTTTACTTGAAGAAAAATGTAGCCTAGTAAATTGAATTATCTTCAATAAATGTAACTATTTGTAAAGCGCACTATCTTGTTCGTGATAAATTCTAGATTTGTCAAGCATGAATACGAAAAATTCAAGGATTTTATAGTAGTTAAATATCGTACGATGCTTACTATCTTAGAAACGAACTAATTTTATTTATTATTAGAAAAAGGGAATACCGAAATCTATAAAATAAAAAAAAAGAATACATTTTTCGATAAATTATATTTCATTAAAAATGATCTGAAATGATTAATTAGTAAAATTTAATAAAAATAGATTAGAATTGCCAATATAAAATGAAAAATTCCTATTAAATTAAAATATTGTATACAGTACATATACTTACAGAAATGAATTAATTACTAAAATCCTTTTCAAAGTTGTTAATGTCAAGATTTTTGGTCGACTATGTCGCATTTAAGATTACTAGGATCAAATTCAATTAATCATATTTTGATATCATTGCCATGAATCTTCTACGACAACAAAATGTCTATATATCATCAACTGATCAATCGCATTCTACTAACAACCTACGACTATCAAGATAATGTAACATTGCAACAAGTTACCACGAGTAAAAAAACGGAAAAACATGGTATCATCCGTATGCAATAGTTTTAAAACTATTCAACGACAATACGGCTTCATTTCACTGCTGTTATCGATAAGAAAAAAAGAGAAATAGAAATATTCCTTTTGATGTATTATTACTGTTAATATTTATATAAATTGATATCATTCTAGATTTTCAAAAACAAACGATATATTATAAAAGAAAAAAAAGAGATAATCATCGTTTTTCGTCAATTTTTTGCTTTGCTTATATCGACCGTGTCACATCTCAATTCTATTGTTAACATAGTGATGATATACTAATCGACGTATCAAATTACTTTTAAGAACAATTAATGAGTAATCGAAATTTTATAAACTCTAGTTTCTTTATTGAAATCGATAATAATATTTCTATAAAGTTTCTGCCGGTGTTTTTCTTATCACTACATATTAACTTAAAAGATCACATGAATATGTCGGAATGACTTTTTAGTTATCGTTCTATATTCAAATGTTAAATCAACAAGAATTAAAGATAATCATCAACAAGTATTGATTCATATTCAATTGGATAATTATTTCCTAGAAACTAATCTTGTTACAAATCGTCTATAGCTACTCCATTCAATTGATTTATTGGTTATTCTAAACCGAAAATAAGTTATTGCTTTTGTAAAAAATTAATTTGATATTATTATATCTATTGATTATGAGATTTTTCTTAAAATGGATCCAATAATAGTATGATTGTTTTTCTATTGCGTATTTTTCCTTTCTTTGAAAGTTCGTTCTTGAATGTTTTTTTTTAAGTACATAAATTTGACAAAATACAATTATTGAATTAATCATGAATGTAGCAATAAACACAAATCCATTTCATAGTAAATTTTAAAAATAATCTTGTTCAAATATTTTCCGTTTTATTGAAAATCCTGATTGTTTAACATTTTCATTTATTTAATCAAATGAAATTCTTTCTCGTTTTTCCCAATAGAGAGTAAATCGTGTCATACCAAAAATAAAAAAACATGTGCTTAAATCAACTGGATTCGATTATAGTTAATAGAGCAAAACAATCATATGTTCAAAATGAATGAATAAGTTCAAAAATCTTTCATTCTGTATCATATCTATATCTTTCAAGTTTAAAATAACTATCCAGGGTACAAGTAGATCATTGGCTACATATCAATATTGTTTTTCTTCCTTCTCGTTCTCGTAAAATATACACACAGATACACATATATTTGGTTCGAGGTATTATATTCTATGATTTTTTTTTTCGTTATTTCGTCTCGAATATTCGTCTACTAAAGCGAGAAATGGAAAATCTTCATCCATGTATTCATTCTTCAAAGTAAAACATAAGATACAACAACTTATCACATGACTAAAAGTGAAGAACAGTAGAAATAGTTGTCTTTGTTTTATGTTGATGCCTGGTGTAAATATATAATTTCACTTTGTATTTTTAGAAAGAAAAGAGAGTGTGTGTGTGTGTGTGTGCTCGTAATCGCAATATCCTTTATCTTTGATATTATATTCGTACATTTAATCACAATCTAAAACAATTTGAATCAAATAAAATAAAAACAATATAAATGGAACCAATTCTCGGCCGAGGTTATTCAATAAATGAAGAATCTGATTTAATCGATCAATATTCACCATTATCAAGTACTATTGATGAAGATTTAGAACAAGATGATGACTTGTTCTATACTGAAGAAGATAGTTCATCAGCTGCACGAACTAGTAATGGAACGTTGTCTACGTCATCCATTGATGAGATTAGTGGTATGGGTTTGGGTTAGTAAAGAAAACTGTTTATAAAAATTTTTAAAAAACTTCCTTTTTTTTCTATCAATAAAAGGTATATTTAAACCACCACCATTTAAAATGATGCCCGTTGAAGCAACACCACCACCAACACCACTCATTCCACGTCGTTTACTTGATTCGATAAATAATACAACAAATGCCTTTCAAAACATGACAATTAATACTAATTTACCATTAACACCACCAAGAAGTGCAGATGGTACTAATACAAATTGGTCATTAGGCAATTCAACGAATGAAATTCGAAACACTAATTTATTATTTCCACGTGTTAATGATACTCTATCGAAGACAGCGACAACTGCTAACTTATTAACACCGACAAGTATTGATCGGTATCTTAGTAGTCATCGTCGTTTATCGGATTCAACATTTCCATCATCAACATGTCAGTGATTTGACTAGCTAGAATATTTGATCATTTCAATTTTGTTTGCTTTTCTTTTATAGCACTTGATCTTTCACTTGCGATTCCATCTCTTAACACTACAACACATAGGCATCAATCAGTTTCATCGCAGCATAATGATTTAAACAATGGTACGTATGAAATAGTAATTGTACCTCGAAATAATTAATAACTAGAAATTATTTTTATTATATTTTCACAGAAACAAATCATTTGTATACATATATGGATCATGTTGGTGACGGATTATCGAACAATATGGGAACATCTTGTGCATCAGCAACAACTTCGTGGTCAACATTAATTAGTTCAAATGGTACAACAAACGATGAATCAATTTCATTTTCATCCTTATCTCGGCCACGTATTAATAGTAATTCATATGTACCTTCAACACCACAACTTAATTTTAAACCTCTTCAACAGCCTTCACCTCTTCAACCACCACCACCACCACCACCTCATTTAACAAGTTCACCATTTTCACAACGTATGAATGCAACAAGTTCACTGTTTCAACCTAATTCAACTCCAACACAAGCGAATGGTCCATTTAGTCATTCATCACCATTTCATCCACAATCATCTATAACACATCAAACTCAACAATTATTACCATTACCTCAACAAGCACAACGTCCATTGTGGCAACAACCACCACCGCCTCCACTACCATCAGTACAACAACAACATCGCCCTTTACTTCCAATTGGTATGCCACCGATGGCTCACCCTCAACAATTACAACAACAACAACAACAGCAGCAGCAGCAGCATCAACAGCAGCAGCAGCAGCAACAACAACAACAACAACAACAACAACAACAACAAAATCAACCAATGATGAATCAATTTCAATCGAATGATGCTTGGCTTTTAGCAGAAATGACAGCTATGTTACGTCAAAATCAACAACAACAAATGGCCGCATTCAATGCAAATATAACATTAAGTACAGCGGCACAACAAATTCTTGCAGCTAATTCAAATAATAATAATAATCGACCATTACGTTCAGAAAAAATTGATATTGAAATAATTAAGCATCTTATTCGTGAAGCACGATGGAAACGACGATGTGGAATGAAAAAAGAAGTAAATTAGAAGAAAAAAAAATAAAATTATAGATAAGAAAAATGAAAATAATTCAATTCTTTCTTAGGTTTGTGTATTCTGTCGTAATAATGGCGAAAATGAACTGATCTATACAAGTCATTCTTTAAAAGATTCAGCTGGTAATGTAACATGCCCGATTTTACGTGCTTATCAATGTCCAATCTGTGGTGCAACGGGTGCTCAAGGTAATTTTATTCATTCTTTTTTTTGTAAAAAATAATTTATTATCTTAAATTTATTTTTCAAATAGCTCATACTATTAAATATTGTCAAGCAGCTGGTGATGACAATAGACATGTAGCAACTCCGTACGAAAAAATGATTCGTACACAATGTATGCAAACATTTGGGCTTGAGGATAATATAACAGCAGCAATGCCTGCAATTTTCGGACCCATTGGTAGTCATTCATCAGCTAATAGTCCTGCTTCGCTTTGGCCTGCTTTAGCTGGCGGTTGGCCTGGTAGTAATTTATAAGCAGGTAGATTTTTACCTAATAATACATTTACAATTGCTATTACTTCTTGTCATATTTTGTAGTTGTCAGATAGTTTCGGATTTTTTGCAAGCAGATGTTTTTGTTTTAATAATGCTTTGCAGCAAATAGTGCCGAATGATAAAAACAAATATGTTTTTTCTCTCTAAACCAGTGAATTTCTTTTCTTTTTTGTGATTTATCTATCTTTATGTTTTTCTTTCGGATGTCGTTATCGCATCATAAGTATTATGAATCTTGTTTTTCTTTCTTTTCATTATCTTTTTTTCTTTGTATTGTTAGCGATCAAACAAAAAATGATATAAGTGATAGTGATTGTCTTCTTTTTTCTTTTTTTCAACTTCAGATATTACAGAGAATCTGTCTCAGTTCATCTTCTTTTTTTTCTTTTCTTCAGCGTTTGTTTTAGTAGTTTGACTGATCAATATATAGTGATGTTTCTTTTTTCTATCAGTTTCTTTTGCGTGCGCACGAATCCATCCATCAGTCGTGTTTAACAAGTTTATAGTAGTAACTGTATTTCGTCTGTTTGTTTGTGTATTGTCATTATTGTGAGCTCAGAAGATGTAATCTGCTCCTCTCTTTGTTTCATTTTCTCGCTTAGATACAGACAAACGCAGTTTTTTAAGTATTCAAAAAATAAAATCCAGTAGAGAAAAATGTTCACTTTATTTGATTATAATGTTTAGACAATCTTCATTTCAAATAAAAACCGATAAAAAAAAACATCATGTGCTTGATTTTTATTAATTTGATAAATACTATATGCATGAAAACATATTCATATGAACAAATATTACTTATTTTGACAGGTATTTTTATCGATTAAAAATAAAGTTTTGAACTAAGACCTTTGTTAAGTATTTCTATTATTTATGATATTAAACCAAGTAGGGCGAAGCGAGACTATCGCACTTCAAAATAATTTTAAGTACAAAGGAATACGAGAAGAGTATGCTAAGTACGAGAGTGCAGAAGTCTCGTTCTCCCTCTCCTTGTATTGAGTTTATTTGGTGAACGAATGTGCAGAACAATCCAAAATTTCAAAATCTAGTGAAATTATAGTTCATTTGTGATCATCTTATCAAAAGTATATTAGCATGGATATTTTCATTCAACCATTTATTTTTTGAAAATTACATATGTACATCACACTCGTCTTAAGTCTGTATTTTGTAAGAGCATTACGTTGAAATTATAAAGATATTCGATTCTGATTAACAATGTCTATCGAAGAACAGATGTAAGTTTTCAATATGAAGAATCTTCTTCATCGACAACTTTGATTGATTCATTTGAAAATTCAGTACACAATTTACTTGATAGAAGTCAGTTCTGATATTAGGGAAATCGTAATATGACTTCAGCATCTTAGAGTGTGCTAATTACTAGGATCCTGTTTATGTGCCAGCAACATTGGTGATAATAAAGTAAACATATGTCATTGCCCGAAACACTAGAAATAAAACATAAACTGTTTGTTGTATCGTAGAATGGCATGGAAAATTTCTGATTGCATATCTTCACTGCGTATGTGTATGTATGTACTCAGTATATTCGTTCAGTGACCATGAAAATGAGTAGTACTTGGAAGAGTTAGCTGCATTTATTCAGATCTTTATAAGTATGGGTTATATATTTTTCCACAAGCTTATTGTTTATTATAGATGTTAAAAGTTCAAATTTTAAAGTTATACTTGAATTGAATAATATTTTATACAACGCATTTTGATGTCACATTGATATTACTTCATAAAACGTTTTCCCCATTGGTTTGATCTTTTATTATTTACTTTCGATGTAAATTTCACTTTCTACAGCATTTAACTTAAATGAAGAAAAAAAAATGCATAGAAGTAAAATTTGAAGATTATTCACAATGCAAAAAACGATTTAATTAATTAAAATAATAAAACTAAATAATTTGTTTCTTTTTCATACATAGAAAAGTTTAGTATTTCTTTATCTGTACGAATTTGTTATTTTGGCTCAAATCCACACACATAAAAGGCGCACAAAATCACTGAGCGAAAATGTTTGTTTAGTTAAACATGCATCAATTTTGATTTTTGTTCGTCTTCAAACGAATAAATTGGGTTTCTCCTTGGCCAATTAATTCCATTACAAAATGGTCTATGACTTGATGGTAAACAGTTTTTATAGAAAATTTCATACCAACGATTTACACCCAAAAACATCTTCCAATTTAATCCTAAACCTAAATCGTATGGATTAATAAATTTTTGTTTAAGTTTTTTTAAACGTTTTCTTTCTGATGCATTGGTATGAAAATCAATGGTCGTTTCAGCACGTGATATTAACCAAATATGCCATAATGTAAAACCAACTAACACTATACATGCTGTTAGAGCAACAATAAATAAAAACAAAAATGTGTAAGACACGGATGGACTGGTTACGTCAGGTAAAATATCAATTTCATTTATACGTCGACCTGTTACTAAATCCAGATAGGAAAATGCTTTTCGACCAAATAAATAATGTTGAAATTCACTAAAGCCAAATGAGGCAGCATAAAATGAACCAATTGTTAAAAAGAAACAAAACTGGAAAAAATAACGATGATTTAAATGTCCGACACAATTATTGATCCATGGACAATGGTGATCGAGATTTAATATACATCGTGAACATACTGAACAATGATGAGCACGAGCTGGTTTTGGAAAAATACATTTTCGACAAACATTTTGAGTATAATCGTTGGAGTTAATTATTGTATCAGATGCGTCTAGTGGAGTTTTTGGCGAGAATTGAGTATGAACAAAGTCTATAAAAAAAGAAAATATATATATATTTCTATGTATGATAATGAATAATTAGTAATAGATTTCTATGGGATTTTCTTTTTTAGAATTTTATATAAAATAATATTTGAGATTAATGTTGATAAGATTTCCTCGTTTCAATTTCTTACAATATTGCACAATAACGATTTATAGAATATTTAGAGTATAATATTTTTTATTATATCCAAATTTTGTTTTGGAGAAAATTAAAGAAGTATGAGTAGAAATTTGTACAATTCGATACAAAATTTTGAAACGAATTAAATTTTTTTATGGCTGAATGAGAAAAATAATCATAGACGTTGGGAGATTAAGAGAATGTCGAGCATTCTTGGAGATAAATATTATCGTTGATAGTTATTTTCAAAATGTCGATCAACAATAAAACGAGTGCTGCATAAATACGAGTTCATACAAGCTTCATTAGATCATTTTTCAAAAAGGACCTCTAGTAAACTTGTACGTGTAGTTTGTGTAGGTAGGGTGTTAAATTAAACAGTTTTTTAATAAAAATTCAAAAAACATTTTAGAAAAAACATGAACACTTTATCTTATATCCAATGAATGAGAAATAAACTGATATAGTAGATGTTGATTTATAGTTAAAAAATATAAATGAAAAAATGTCTTACTATCATTTGTCAAAGCCAATATTGTTACTTCCTTCGATTTATTATTATTATTATTGGCATTATTATTTTTATCAATAATAGCTTGATGTGCTTTCATTGAATCTCTACCTTCTCTATCAAATTCATATGGTTTTGAATAGCCGAAATTCGGTGATGAACCTGGATCCACGCGTACACATTGTAAATAGTTAAACATAATATTTATTAAAAGCCAATGTGAAACGATAAAATGAGTGATGACAGTCAAATAACTATGTTGTGTTTGAATATCGTTAATTAAATGAACGAATATCGATGTATAAAATATATAAACAGTAGTTGAAATAATAATAATAAAAAAGCATATAAATAATCTTCCGATGTATTTTGTTAGACGATCAGTTAAAAAAAATAATGGCTGCAATAATGTATCAATGCGTAAATCAACTGAATCATCATTATTCAAATAAAATACTTGATAAATTAAATATAATCGATGACAAAAACGAATTTCATTTAATTTTACGCATGGAAGAAAACTTCGAAATGAACAACGACATACACGCATTTGACAAATTCTTTCTAGAATGATAGAAAAAAAAGCGTACATCCATAGTATGTAGGTTTTATTAATTTTTTTGTTGATGTTTTGGTTTATTTGTATCCAAAAAGATTTTTTCTTAGCAAATCAGTCTTAACAAAAAAAAAAACATGATGAAACAATGACAAAAACGAAATAAATAAGTCATATCCATCGAAGAGACTGATTGTAAATATGACATGAGCAAGTGAATTTCTACAATTCTTTTTTAAGATGTCAAATTTGTTTCACGTAATTGCTCTTCAACATCGTCAAGATCATCTCCAAATAGATCTTCATCAATTTGTACTCCCTCAGTTTCATCATTTTCATCTTCATCCTCATCATTGTTGACTGTTGATGTTGTATCATTATAAGTTGTAGCTGATGCACAGGCACTAGCGGTATCACTACCACTGGCATGATCAAGATTATTTGCTTGCTTCACAAGAGCAGCTTGATGTAAAAAGTAAAGATTTTAGATGATTTTTGTCAAGATGAAAAAGTTTAAAAGCTTTTCACTAACCTTGAGCAGCAGCAGCTTGTCGTCGCTCTTGTTTCTCTCGTTCTAGTTTACGAAAATTGTCAAATCGGTCGTCGGTTGCTATCGTGCCAGTATTATCAACTTCACGTGCTTCATTTGCTAATAGATCGATATCATTTAAATCACGTATAACTGGTTTTCGAATAGCAGATGCCTGAAAAGAACATAATCAAATAGCATATTTGTTTTTAATAAATAAAACATTCATACTGTGGCTTGACCATCGATTTCATTATTTTCTTCTTCGTCGTCTTCATCTTCGTTTTCATCATCAGATCGTTGATTATAATCAATATCATTGTCGGCATCTTCATCATCATTAGCAATTAATTCTGGATTGAATGTAAACATTTCTCGGCCAGATAAACCAACTAAACGACCATGTTTAACAAAATCATTTCGTTTTTTCTCTTCATCTTTAACAAGTTGCAGTTTTTTTTCTTCTATTTTTCTTTTTTTCCATGCAAGAAATGATTCAAGAGTAACTTTCGTTACACACCCACCCAACGCAGCACGTTCACTTTCAATTAAATCTTCGAGTGAAATAGTCTCTTTCTGTTCATCAAGTAGTTTTCGATCACGTTTTAACATAAAACCTATAGACAAATGATAGATTATAATTTAATAGTAGGTTATAAAATACGATTCTAACCAGGTGGTAAAGCATGTTTATATTGGCAGGCAACACCGTTTTCTATTGATAAAAGAGAAATATTTCGTATGATATTGAACGGGTGTAGAAAAAATGAACTTACGGCAAGCCCAAAACCAACCATATGTGTTATTTTCGACAGCTTCAAGAAAGAATTTGCATACCTACAATATAATTTTATTGCATTTTTCTACACGATTTTCATTCAGAAAGTTGCGACACGCATAATAGAAACATTGCTAAAGACATCTTTCATCTGCATTTTAATAGGCCTGACACTTTTTGAAACATGCATTCATTAGTTAGAATAACACATTAGTTTATAATACTTCTTCGTTTCTCTCTAACGAACGAAGCCTCCGACGGATTCATTGCTTTTGAGTCGAGGTTATTATACATCATGCAGACGGCAGGCCTTTATCAATGATGAATATTATGAAAGCAAAAGGGCTCGAAACAATAGCTTATCTCTACGAGAATATTGCATTTAGACAGTTAAGTGAGAACGGTTTATGGGCTAGCAACTAGTTAACACACATGAAAACTTTTATAATAAACTATTCTTGTTAAATACTGTATCTATATCTATGCAGTCTTATACTTCTAGAATTAGTGTGCCTAGTGTCTCTGAGAGAGTTGGCACGTAAATTCTAACATACGATATTTCCCCAACAGGAATCTATGTAACCGAAGTCGTCATGCTATTTATCTCGTGTTACGATCGATATGATATGCACATTCTCGAAGCAATTGTAACGAGCTAGTTGGGTAATGTCTCTCGTAAGTTTACTTGCTAACCACTTATTGATTAAATACTGAATGAAAGCAAGAAACTCTTTTTAGAAACTCGAAATAAACAGAGCAATTAGTTGCTGTTTATTTTTTGAAAAAGAAGTTTATGCTCGAATCATAATATCATTACATATAAAAATAATCCTAGTTCCAAAAGAATAATACTATTGAAGCTACTACGTAAATAGAAATTCGTTAACATTCATTTTTTTGGAACAGTTAAAGGTATTTCATTTTGTCTCAGTTCGAAATAATATTGTTTTCGTATAGCTTACAATTTGTGTTGCATTTTTCTTTCTATTATCTTCACCATGTCGTTTTTCAACAACATCGGCTAATTGTGCGTCATCCCAGTTAGCCATAGTTTCTAAAAATATAATTGAATTAAAAATATACCAAAATATGTCTCTGGAGGATTTTTCTGAATTATTTTAACAAACCATTTTCTTTGTTTCCACTACCATTGATGTCATCATATAAACTACGTTTTTCTGCTTTACGTTCAACAGCAAGATCGTGTGAAAATTTACATTTAGCGCCTTTCGTACATGAACCTTGCTTAAAATACATACATAAAACTGACTTTGGATCAGTTCCTAAACAATAATAAATATGAATATGTGAATCAAATTAAAATATTCACTTACCAGCAGCTAATACTTGTTGGCCTATAACCGGTTTAAATAGAGTTAGTAATTCTAAATCAGCTTTTTTCTTTTCTTCTTTTCGCTTTTCTTTTTCTTCTTGCAATTTAGCAATCTAAACGAATCAGTATTGAAATAAAAATCTGCCGTTTCTTAGAATAACGAACTTCTCGAGCTGATTTTCCAGCATTTTGTACTTGGTTTTGTACTTGAGCAATGAATTTCTGATTTTTTGTGCCTTTTTTATTTTTTAAACCAAATGTTTTATCCTGAAATTTACAAGTGAAACTTTTTCATATTTATTATGTTGACGCATTGTTTTGTTGTTACTTCAATGATTTTTGCTTTTGCTTTTTCGACTGTTTTTTTGCTTGCTTGTTGTTTAGGAGGCATTGTTTATCTCGAATTGAAAAATCTATAACGAAATAAATAGTATAGAAGATAACTATGATGAGTTCTCTACACTGCCGATTTACTATAATCATTGATTTCGAAATAAATGACATATGCCTATTGGTTATGGTTTTTAGCCAATCAGTTTTTATAAACAGAACTCTACCTAACAGCATCATATAATTGATCACAATGAAGAGAAAAAAATAAACAATCTGTTACATTTCAGTGTATATGTTGTTTTGGAGACTCTCGAGGTTTGTTTTCACTTTTACTCATGTCATTCTTAAGGTAAAATGAAACTGTATTTTTTTCACATACCTAATGAAACAATAGACGATTGTAGCAGTATTTCTAACTTTAAGAGACTGTATAAAGAGACAACGAAAGCCCTGAAGGAATGCAAAAGTTGGAATTCGAACTATGGTTTGCACTTGAGTCAAAAAACGATAGTATTTCAATGATATTCAGTAATGTAGAAATAGTACGTTGTCGGTTAGGTACAACAGAAGTGAAAAAAAAACAATACTCGTTCTCTTGTTGATATGTCCTAATTCTAGACGAAAAAATTTGAATGATTTTCGTGTTTCATTCTAAGTAAATTTATTATTTCTAATATAGTTTGTTCTACAGAATAGATTTCTTCGTTGTTTTTGAGTAAATTAAATTAAGTATTTCAATCGAATCAACTCGACAGTTTTGGAATGATAACATGAACAGTAGCAGCAAGCTCTCTTTTTCAATTTCCAATATGCAAAAAATAATAAAACTCGAATCAGAGAAATATTTCGTATGTCTAATCATATTAAGATATTTATATCTTTTTCATGATCGATAGGTTATGATTTTAGCAGGGTTTCTCGAAGATGAACATGTTTGCGATAAGAAAATTCGAATAGTAATTATTTTCTTTCTGGTTTTTCATTTATCATCTCGTTTGATAAACCATTTTAGATAAGACAAAGTCATTTTTTAAAGTATTTATTGAATACTATGTGTGACTGAAAGTTTTTCCGAGAATATATTATGAACTATCGATTTCGAACAATGCGAGTATGCAAACGTTATAAAGCTTTATTAGATTTTGAGAAAAACAAAGTAATTTCTATCGATTCCAGTGAAAATGAGAGTCAAGAAAAATTGTTTACCTATTCAAAATATTTCGATTTTCTTTTACAACTCTTGAGTTACCGGTAAATGATCTTCTATTCCCTAGATATTCAATTTAGATTGATTCGATTTAGAAGTAATGTTCTTTTTTCTTTTCTACTAATGATAATGCGTTTCATATTTCCATAAATAGTCAATCAATCGATTGACGTCACACAAGCATGCAGATGATCATCTATTCAATGTCGACAACTATTTTTGATTTCTTATACAAACATGAACACTAGTAAATAAGATAAAGACATTCTGATTTTTTTTCTTTGTTCTCTTAATTGTAAGAATAACGAATGGAAATGAAAGGTATTCCAAAATATTTCCTGATATTCTCAATTGCTTGTTAGGATTAATTAGATCGAAGAAAAAAAAAGGTCTGTCTCTCTTCTAGACTTATTTTCTTTGCATTATCAATCATGGGAAAAGGAACTTTTGATGAAATTGGTTCGTCACGTGTTACGTTAAAATGGTTTTCTTTGATGGTATTAAGTTCGCAAGTTGTTGGTGTTATTGCCATTATTCTTCTAGCCGTTCTTTTTGGTCAATATCGTGGTGGTTTTTCATGGACAGTTAGTTTTATTTTAAATATTCTATTTCTATTGTCATTTCATTTCATTTCATTGTAGTCGGATGTTGAAAAAGAATTTAATTATCATCCATTATTCATGACATTGGGAATGATTTTCTTCTACGGTGATGGTAAGTTTTTTGTTAGACATTTTTTCTTTGTGTATCTATTTAAATACAATAATAAAAATTTTCTTTTTAAAGCTATTTTGGCTTATCGAGTTTTTCGTGATGTTAAAAAACTTCGTGTTAAAATACTTCATGGTTCTTTATTAGCACTTTCACTTATTTTTGCGTCTATTGGTCTCAAAGCTGTTTTCGATAATCACAATTTATCTACGCCACCAAAACCAAATCTTTATTCACTTCATTCATGGGTTGGTCTCACTGCTGTGGTTTTATTCGGTGCGCAATGGGTTTGTGGTTTTGTCAGTTTTCTATTTCCAAAACTAAGCGAAGAGATTCGTAAAGCTTATATGCCAAGGTAAATATAGACATGATTGAATTTTGAATAAAAAAAAAACAATTTGCTTTTGTTTTTTCAGCCATAAGTTTTGGGGTAAGGCAATATTTACTCTTGCTGTTGGAGCTGTTCTCATGGGTATTACAGAATATAGTATTTTGTAAGTTATTGAAATAGATTATCTTGCTCTGGGTTTTTTTTCACTATTTTTTTTTATTTTAATTTTAGTAAAAATATCTATAATACTGCTGAAATCAAATATCAACGAAATTTAATTAACTTCTTCGGCGGTTTTGTCATTATTTTTGCTGGTATTATTCTTTATCTCGTTGGTAATCCTGGTTACCAACGACCACCCGATAATGAGATTGAACATGTACCTTTAGCAGATTAATATAATCAATAAAAGTTTTATTTAATCAGTATTATCATACGACAAGAACAGATCTGTGACAAACAAGAATAACCTATATCTATATCAATTAATATATACATATATAGTATATTATATATCAACATTATTTATGATTGTTGTACCGTAACGTTCTTTCAATGAATTTCACTATTGTTTTTTTCTTGTCCTTAAAAATATAAATGTTGTATTTTCGAAATGCTGATAGAGGATGATATTAGTTTGTTATATAGAAGGGGAAAAGAGCTGTGAATATATAAATGAATTTCAATTTGGTAAAGCGTTTTATTGTTGTTTTGTCATTCAATATTTAATCTCTGGTCTTTTTTTAATGTTGTCTCCATCTATTCGAATTATAACAATAAATAACATTTGATGTTGTGCATGTTCATCACTAAATCAAACGTATCATTGGCAAATAATCTTCGATGAAGAAGCTTTTTAGGGCTTTCTCTTATAATTTTTTACTTGATAAAATATGACAATCGGTTGTGATATTTTTAGACGAAATCAAATATTTGTTTTGAAGCATGAGGAAAAAACACCATGTTCCTGTTCCGTTGTGTTTTAACCCGAGTTCGTCTTTTATTTTGTCTTAGCATCATGCTGATCTCAATTTACTTAGTTACATTAATAAAATTATCATCCTAGAAATATCTTTGGTGTTGAATAAATTAGTTGCGCAGATATTTCCATAGTATACAAAGAGTTTTCTTTCTTTTTTATTGCGTATTCTCCTTGGTAATGTTGTTTCTTTTTGTCCTAACGGTCATAAAATTAAATCATTTATTTTTCAAAATATGATAAATTAATCGTATTATATTTATGACAGATATGAATAAAAATGTTTTTCAAAATAACTTTCTCATGAACACCATTCTCTCAAAATGTTGTTTATTTGCAATAAATTCGTATCAATAAAACATCATGAATAATAGTCACGGTAATGATTACGACATACATGTTTTTGTTTTCATAACCGTGACTAGGAAAAGATCACGTACAATATTACAATTATGCACTCGTACGTTCTTTTCGCGTGTTTCAATAATTTATTCATGATTTTTTTTTCAATCTAAAATAACTGTATTGAATTGAAATAATTTTCTTGTCTTCACATCAGCCACTCTTCAGATAACTAAGATTCGACAACAAGTAAGTATTTACTCTTTGTGAAATGAATAGAAACTTCTAAAACTCAAGAAAATGAATATAAATCGAAATTCGAAATTCTATATGGATTTCTATTCTTTAATGAACGATGATTGGTTTATTTTCTACTTTAGTTTATTAAGTATATTGTGTTTTTTTATATAACACATCTTTGTTTTCTTTCTATTCGGTGCAACGCATCATTATCGCTGCTAACAATAGAATCGATAGATCTGGTCTTCGTCCGCAATGCACATACATATGTAGTTTACGAAAGGCAGTCAAAGCAATCAGAAAGACCTCATATGACCCAACGACTTAGTTTTTAGTATCGAGACAAAGAGTTTCTCTTCTAAATGTGCGAAGTCGTTTTTCATTTCTGAATTATTTGTAAAATGAAATTCTCAGCTTTGAATAACAACATGGAGAAAACAAGTCATTTTGCGTTACTACTTCTAAAGATTAGTATTTATTCTAGACAATCATACATGTATATGTCAATTCATTAATCCAGTATTAAAGCATAATTAAGCTGTTAAAATATTCAGATTCTAAACAAAATATCAAGACGAATCTCTTAAAATAAATCGAAATTATATATGAATCATTTATCATATAATCGAAAATAAATTCATTGAATCCACGATTTCTAGAATTAATTCGTAGTAAAGATACGTTTACTACTCAAAATATGGTTTAAAAATGCAATGCTGAGTCATTATTAAATTGAATAAAATAAAATATTGAAACAATCTTCATGCCTACGAATTTTAACATTGCAAGTTTCGTTTTTATTGTTCTGTGAGATATTAATGTATATTGAAGCACGATAAAAATATTTGAATAATGTTTAGAAATTCTTTACTTATGAAGCGATGCTATAATGAATATTAACTTCTTAGAAAAATAATATTGACTAACCAGAAAACCATATCAGCTAAATATCAAATGTTTGTCAAAATTAGTTGATCCTATTCTACTTTATTATAATACGAATTTGAAGCAATAAATATGAAAAAATATCATTCAGAGAGTCTCTTCTTTTGAACATATCTCTTGATTGGGTCTTGTAATATATGTGGGATAATTCAAAATAGTTTTCACAAGAAAACATACCAGGCAAATACCATATGAGTAGTAGTACTAGATAAAGACCTAGTTATGGTTTATAACTTCTGACATATGTAAAATTAAGTATTGTTGAATTTATCATTCATAGTATATCTGAAAAATTTCAACAATGTAAATTTATCATTTTACATGTATATATAATGACAGATTGCTATGACCTTACTCCTGAGATATTTCTTCTTACATTTATTTGGTTATTAACAAAATTCTGATTAGAATACAACTATCCTGATGTAACTGCGTTCAAAGGAAACCATAATTTGATTCCCAAAACTGTATATTCAATAAATCGAATAGAGAAAATACTTTTAAATCTTCTTTTTCGTAGATTCTAATAAGTGATAATACCAATCTTCTCTCATTCATGTTATTTTTCTTGCAATAAGAAGTACCGACAAATTTTAACATACTCTTTCCACTAATCTAAAAATCAATTTCATATCATTATCAAATATTTAAATCAATACATATCAACTTGTAATAAGACATGATCATTGTAAAAATTTTAAGATGTATAGTTCTTTCTCTCTCTCTCTATTGCTAGATCAAACATTCCCCTCTGGGAAGCATTAAATATTATTCGAAAATCGAAGAAACATCAACGTCGTGTCGGTACTCTTCTTCTTTTTTTAGCTTTTCTCCACACGTTGATCAATTGATTGCCGGAACTAATGAGCATCGCTTTTTTTTCTCTGCATTTTTAATTCTCTAACCATCACGAACGGTGTATCAGCTTTTAAAAGCTAAAAAGAATATGCCGAATCGATCAACGATCAATGTTTCATTAGTATTCAAAAACAGAAAAAGAATTAAGAATAATCATTAATCCATGACAACTATTTTCAAACAATTATCAATGATTTTTAGTTAATCGAAAAAAGAATCAGTTGTATATTTTCTTTTTTATTTACATAAGATACGTATTTTGTTACCAAATTTTGAGTTATCGTAATTCTATATAACCAACAAGCGACGTGCCTTCTTATCACGTAAATCTCAATTCTCATAGGCGATTTTCTTTTAGCAAGGACACCATTCACATATATGTTTATTTAACATTTCAGTATAAGATTTTTCTGTTGCTCTCTCTCGTTCTATGTATTTATATCTACCACCCACAGTTATTGAGAGCAAAATCATAGCCTAATTTGCTTTGTTCTTATAGTCATCGGTATCGATCGTATATATGCATATCATTCTCAGTGGAATATAACTCCAACATATCAATTAACGAAGTCCAACATACTAGATGTTTTCTCACCGAGGGAGTTGCACCGAACACACAGAGATAAAAGTAAAAGAAATGAAGAAACAACAAGAAATAAAAAGACGTACAGGGAGAGAATTAATTACTTATTGTCATTTTCACCATTTATATTCGTGCTCCATCTGGAACTCTCATATTCAAAAACAGAATAAATAAATTAGGAAAAAAAAGAACTTTCCTTTTCGAACGATTGTCGATATTCATTTATTTCTTTTCTTATATATACATATATATATGTACATAGATATGCATTATTGACATGAATATAATTGATTTTTGTTCTTGTCTTTCGTCGGAATGATCATCGTTTGTGTTGTATTCTTCTTCTCTCTAGTCTGATTGTGCCATTATCTCTTTTGACAATCGATAAATGTCTTTCCTACTATAATCGTTTTTACAGACAATAATGACTAATAGTAATTTCTTCGACAAACACACACCTGTTTTTATCTTACTCTGACATCATGATCGATCAGTTTTTCTTTTCGATAGATGCCATCAAACAAATACCAGTTTGATTTACTAACTTAATAGATTACATTTTTGAAATATTTTATAAACAATTTATGATCCATTCCTAACAAGTTCTTCTCATTAAAATTTCTTAATTCAGTTCTTATTTTTCAAGTATTTCATTTGCTTGTTTTTTAGAGAGAACTATTCTTTCATAGATTTGTTGCTTATTTTGACTTGATGATTCGGTCTCGGTCGTTGCAGTATCATCATTACGCGTTTATTTTTCCTTTTTTCTGTTATCAGTTTGCTTGTACATCATCAGCAATGCCGAACGAGAGAGAGAGAGAGAGAGCAAAAGAGCGAGAACGACGAAGAAGACAAGCAACGATACTTAATTGCTATTCGATCCTCTCATCAAACCGACTCTCAATCGACCAACCAAATAAAAGGAACCTATACAAAAGAGGAAGATAAAGCAGCAAGAGAAAAAAAAAAGAAGATGCATCGTTACGAAATCCAGCAATAGACTTTTGTTCTGTGTTTGATACATATTGTTAGGTTGAATATATTCTTATCATCGGTATTTCGGGCTCTTGAATTCATTTCACAATGATGACAGATTTTCGCAGTTGTCAACAACAGTACTGTGATGGCCCATCGGTTTCACCGGCACCTGTTTCTGTTACATCTTATGGTTCTTATTTTCATCCGAACAGTGCGCATAGTCCAGCAACTCAATTATATTCATCTGTCGATGGGCAATATGCTGCTGTTGCACAATTTGCACCATCATATGCATCGCAATTTTATCATCCTCATCCTCATCAACATCAACAACAACAACAGCAGCAGCAACAGCAGCATCCATATTCAACAAATATTCGTGCATATACAAGCTATGATATTGATTCATCGTCAACAAATCCAACTTCGAACGCATCATCATCATCATTTTTACCACATTATTCAACTGCTCAACCAACGAATTCATCTTATCTTCACATTCGAGTACCATTACTTTCTCCACCGTTACCTTCGTCTGAACTTAGTTCAGACAAATCTCTTATTAATAATACAAATAATTTTTATCCACCATCACAATTACAAACAACAGCACTTTCAAATGTCTCGCCATCGAGTTCAATTATGTCATCTTCAGAAGCTGGATCACAATCTCCATCAAGTCATTCATGTGATGAACAATCGAATTTAACATTAACACCACACAAAAATGATTTACATACAGGTACAACAAGTGATCCAAATAATACATCGATATCTGTTAATGGTTCATGTGATGGTACTCGTCGTTGTCTTCTATGGGCATGTAAAGCGTGTAAACGTAAAACAGTTACAGTTGATAGGCGAAAAGCTGCTACAATGCGTGAACGAAGACGTTTACGTAAAGTAAATGAAGCATTTGAAACTTTAAAACGACGTACATGTCCAAATCCAAGTCAACGTTTACCAAAAGTGGAAATTTTACGTAATGCTATTGAATATATTGAAAATTTAGAAGATTTACTTCGTTCTGCTGGTGTGACTTCAAGACCATTGAGACATGATTTAGATCAAAAATCAATAACAACAATAGCAGCAAATACAAATGTGAATACAACTGAGGTGAGATTTTTCATATGATCAATATAATATCAAATTATTTTATTAGAAAAAAAAAGGAAATATTTCATAAAAAGATCAAGTTATACCATTATCTACAAGTTCTTTCTATTAATTACATTAGTCAAGAAAAGATAGGTCAATATCTTTATAGTTGTAAATCGAGCTCCTCATTAGCTTTTATTTTCTTTCGCATCGATTCTTACTCGACTATATCTATCAAAATGTTTCTTGTTAAAAGAAAGAAAAGAAAATAGAGAACAATGATGATATATTCTTAATATCAAGTTTTTTCTTATTCGTTTGATGCTCTGCGTTGTCTTTATTCTGATGTGTTTGATCATGGCACTCTTGTTTCTTATCAACAATAATTGAATGTTTACATTTGAGAAGAAAATGATCGTGTCATTCTGCACATTTTCGTCTTATTGTCTTTATTAGACACGAAGAAAGTTACCAGACATTGATCTTTGTATATATTTATATATATATATATTTAGTTAATAAAATCAAGATCTTCTACGACAAACTACAGTGAAAAATATAATAATACTACAATAGGAGCAACATCAACAACAGCAACAACTGATTATACTAATAATTCATCAACATCGTCTGCGTATGGAACAATTGATAGTAAGTCAATAGAATTATTTTATTGTTAAAATAAAGTTTTTCTTTTCTCTCTCTCTCTCTCTCCCCTTTGTTATGAATAATAATCGATTCTGCATGTGTAAAATATCGATCATTTAAACGATTAATGTCGAATGAGTATTTAAAAAATGAAAAGAAATCAAACGGATCGTAAGATTTCTTTTCCCCTTCATAATATGTTTCGCTTGGTCAAATGTGCTAAATAGCGTGTTGATGATGATGATGCAAATGTATATTTTTGATGTTTTAAGAACACATGTTGTGTGAATGAAAGACAGTATGTTTGATATGTATCTTTCTCATCGAAGTAAGGCGGAGGTGCTGTCATCATCATCATCATCATCATCATCATCATACTTGCTCATCTATGTAGACGGTTGTTGTTATTGTTGTTTTCTAGTCAGTCAATCATTAGATATAGATATACATATACTATTTTCAGATTATGCTGAAGTGGTATTACCACATCATACAACATCAACTGTATCAAGTCTTGATTGTTTATCAATGATTGTAGAAAGTATTGATCCAAATAAACTTGTTAGTTTATCATCAACTACAAATGGAACGTGTAACAATGCTATTTTAAATCGATGTTGTTGAAATATATGAAATATTTTCTGTACAGTTTAGTCTTGTTTTCTTTCTTTTTTTCTTCTTCTTTTAGTAATCATCAATTCTAAGAGCTAATCATTATAAAGACAACAATAAAATAAGATTGTCAAGAAAAAAACAACTCTTTTTCCTCATATTATCATTATTTCAATGTTTGAATTGATGATAAAAAATAAGTTTGTCATTGTTGTTGTATTACTGTTTTTTTTTGTATTAAAAAATCGCATTTTTGTTAAAAATCTGTCCATAACATTTACTAATTGACTTATAAAGAAAGAAATTTATTATGTATATGAATTGGCAAATGAATCAATGTCAAATATAGAATGAGGATCTATAATTTTTTTCTTTTGTATTCGTTGAATAGATCGATAAAATACATCGAAATTCCATTATAAAATCTAAGAATCACAAAAAATCAATTATAAATGGTCTCCATCAACAAGCAGATACGCGTTTCAAAAGAAATAAGTAAAACGGTGATAAACATTTGTGATTTTTTCGAGCTGAGTTGAATCAAGTGAATTTAATTTATTATCGTATTTTTGAAGTTTGTACGATATGTTGCTTTCCCTTACAGATAATGTAAACAAAAATTCTATTCTTAAACATTATTGTTGACGTCGTTAAACGATTTTTACCTAGTGACATGTAAGAATGATAAATGCCAAACAATAGATAGATAAGTTTCAGTTGTCATATCAGAGTATCACGAAAAGGAATCAAAACAAAATTTATGAATGCTATTCTAGTGATGCACGCTTAGGGAAATTATTGTAAAACTTATAGTTAAAATATTTCGATATTTCTAGAAGTAAATACTGTTTTTTACAAGAAAATAAATATTTAAAAAACTTTCACTTTATATGTTTTGGTCACAGAGCAGAAATTTCACCTGTTTAACTGACCATTTCTGAGAATTTTGTTCTATCTATATCCATCGTTAATAAAGTTTGTTTTGATTTCTTCTAGTTATTATGTGTGATGACAACCGAAATTTATCCATCTGCCATTTGACATCTATTTCTCTAATATGACATTAGGTCAAATCATTTAAACAATGTCAACAACATTACTAAGCTACATATTTTGTTTGTTTATATTATTCTTAAAAGAAGAAATATTTTAAATAAAGTTCTACTATCAAGCATAAAATCAGGGCAGTTGATTGAACTGAAGCGGACATATCGAAATTTTTATCGCCGTATTATTTATGGGCAACCACTATGTATGTATGAGATTGTATCGAGCGACACAGACCCAAAACAGATTGTTCGCACAAATATGATTGAGTAGTATGTTTTACATCTACATATTCATTCAGCAATTTTGCTTGTATTTAGAATCTTTTATTTCAAATGAATATTCATATTTCATTATATGCAAACGAATAAAATAAAATTCTTTTGCTTATTTTTAAGTCATTCAAACCCCACATATATATATATATATATATATATATATATATGTGTGTGTGTGTGTGTGTGTTATTGGTTATAGAATAAAACAGATCTATTTCCTCAAGTTTAGGTTAAATCAAGCAAATAAAATTTATATTTCAAGGAGTTCTTTTAAAAAAATAAAGCCTTGTAGAAGTCATTAGAAAAGAACAACTTTTTGATTTAATTATCTATTGTTAATACAAATAGTTTCTTACATATCTTCTCTTGTATAGGCAATCAGACAGATAGACAACAAGTAAATCTATATACTTAGTGAATTAGTCGTTTTTTGAGGCATACAGTTAAATGTATATGTATACAATGGACACTTGCGTGCTCATTACCCGAAGGAAAGAGAAAGTAAATGACTATCGATAGGCGGTACATCCCTATTGAGCGAATGTCTTGTATATGTAATTGCGTCTTCGCTTTTTACTATTTATTTAGTTCACAAACATAGAAAGATTGCCGACTTCAAGTTCAATAATCGCATGCACTCAAGCATCATATCTTATTCTCGTTTTAGCATAATACAAGTGAGTGAACTAGTTTGATAACAGAAAGAAGAAAAAGAAAAAGAAGGGAATTCAAGCCTTCAGGTGACAAGATTTCTTTTTTTTGTTCAACAGAAAAAACCTACGATACAATAAACTAGATAATTGGTATCGACACGAACGTACATACATACATTTATATTTATATATATATATATATACATATACAGACACGTAACCAGAGAAAAAGAAATCATTCAATATTTCTAAGAATAAAAATCAATGTCATCAAACAACGATTGTCGTCATTTGGAACTTGTTCAACTATACTAATAGAATGTTAAGTGTTATATCACGGTATCAATACATGCACATATACATACATATCGAAATATATAATCACATTTCAACAATTTTATAAATGTAATATGTTGCGATTAAGCTATGTCTTGATTCTTTTGTTTATGGTTACATTAACAAGACCTGATGATGAAATTTCATCTATAACAACAAATTTATCTGAACGGAATCGTACGTATATGTATGTATTTAAATTAATTTGAAATTTTCTTTATCATATTAATTTTAATTCTTTTAAGGTTATTCGTTTCAGAAGATGCTCCTATTGGTCATACACAAGTCATTGATACATTTGATTCATTATTTTGTTCAAAATATTCAATAAAATCAAATATTTATCATCGTCATGATATACCCTTTGAAATTTTATTATCAACAAATGAAAGTTGTACATTAAATTTACATGTTATACGTTTACTCGATCGTGAACAAACACCTATGTATACAATACGACGACAATTAATAGATGAAAATGATTCAGAAGATAACGAGATAATAACTATTCAATTATCTGTTGTTATTCTTGATGTTAATGATCATGTACCACAATTTGAAAGTGAACATTTTCATTTTGTTGTACCCGAAAATGTTGAGCCAGGCTCATTGGTGGGTCGCGTACAAGCTCATGATCCAGATATATTTCTTAATGGAAAAATTTCTTACACTTTGTTTGGTCATGATCTTATTCAGTCAGGTAATCGTACTATGTTTAAAATTGACAAAGACACAGGAGAATTATTCTTATTGGATTATTCACTTGATTATGAAACAAAAAAAGACTATACACTTATGGTTGAAGCTAAAGATCAGGGTGACGTTGAAACTACTCTATGGCCATCGGTACCATCATATGCAGATATAATTATAACTGTTGAAGACGTTAATGATCAAAAACCACAGATTATTTTTACAATGCCAAACGAAGATAAACAAGATGACAGTGTCCAATTTATGAATATATCAAGTCTATTCTTACATCAAGGTTAGTACAATAGAATACGCAAAGAATGTAAATTTCATCAAATTCTTTTCGATCTTAATGATTGATAAACAATACGAATACGTTACAATGGTAATTTCAATGGAAACTATATATATATATTTTCTTCTAATCACGATGTAAAAAATTCATAAAATATCTTCCATTGTTTAGTTTGAGATAATAAAAAGTATCTTGATTTTGTCAAAATGTAACAAGCATAGTAATCATAAGGACGCTAAATTATGTAGAAATTAAGTGGCTAGCAGCTTTTCAATGATCTTCTGTAACAGGAAATAGAGATATTTAAAAAAGCTGAAGCAAAAGATGAAATATACGTTTAAAAAATGAATCAGAAATTACAGTAATCACTGTGAAAGTAATATTTAAATGATTATATTGCGCTGAACAATTCTAAATGTTTTTATTCAAGTCAAAAGAAAAACACTAACTAACAAAAGATAAACATGTCTAGACCAGCTTATTTTTTTTTTTATAATTATTATGATAAAAACGTTTCTATGAATCTGAGGATGCGTACTAATTTTGAAAATACATTGTTTTGCTTTACATTCGTTTTAGAACAAAGTCGTCTATTCAATTCATTGCTTTCTAACATCAATCTTGTTGAAAACGATGCTCAATTGATTCATTTAATTAAAGAAGAGCCTTTGGCAACCGATGCACTACTTGGTTTACTTCATTTACGTGATAATGATCAAACAGCAAATGGTATTTTATCGCTTGATTTACGAACATATATTCGATGTTCACCAGAAGGTGTTCAGACAGGTAAGAAAAAGAAAACAAGAAAAAGAAAATAATTTTAAAAATAAACAACGCTCTTTTTCTATCAAAGATAATTTAACACTATGTCGAACAACAGATTTTTTCCGGTTATCTGTATTTCGACCGAATGTTTACGGTATATTTGCTGCTAGCACACTTGATCGTGATGCATATGAGAATTATATATTACATTTAATAGCCAACGACAATGGCGAACAGCCAATGCGAATTGAAAAAAAACGTCTATCATCACGTCATAGTTCATCGTTAAATATCGAAGATTTCCTTAAACGTCGTATCGATTTAAACGCTCATACAATTCAACCATCGTTTACATCCCTCCAATCGGAATTATTTATTTTCTTGACACTTCTTGATATTAATGACAATCATCCAACATTTGATCAAACTTATTTTCTTTTAAAAATTGATGAAAATCGACCGAAAAACACAATACTTACTCGTTTACATGCATACGATATTGATAAAGGTAAAAATGGAACTGTGCGTTATGAGCTTGTTGTTAAAGAACGTCAAGAATTTTCAATTGATGCACGTTCGGGAATATTACGTACGCAACGTATGCTAGATCGTGAACAATGCGAATTTTATCGTATTGGTATACGTGCATATGATCTTGGATATCCAAATAGAAAATTTTCGTCGATGGTCATTGTTGATCTACAAATAAATAATCTTAATGATCATGTGCCATATTTTCTACATGATCTTTATCATTTTGATACTCAAGAAAATTCACCGATCGGAACTGTTGTTGGAAGATTAACAATTGGTGATAGAGATGAACAAGAACCAGTTGAAAAATTTATTAATTTATCAACACTTGAAGATATTGATATTGAATTATATAATGCGAATTTATCGAATAAAGCGTCAAGGTAAAAGAAAAACGATAAATAGGCAGTGCATAAGAAAAACCCTTTTTTTATAAACTCTTCTGGTAGAATTTTGATATCAAATCGAAAAAATGATCTAAAATCTGTGTTTTTTTTTGTAGAGCTCTTAAAACACTTGTTTCATCTCAGGAAGTCATATAATACAAGAGTTAGTTATGGAATAATTGATAATATTGTTGATCTACAGAAGAAAAAAATACTGAAAGATCTCAAACAATTTTGTAGAGGATATATTCAAATTAGAATATGTTACATATATACTTGTAATTTTGAATCTCTTCAAAAGTTAATCAAAGATCAAGTTTCTCTACTTCAAAATTTCTTCAGACTTATCGAAGAACTACGTCAACATTCAGAACTTAATAGGTTCTCTTTTTTTTAAATTAAACTTTGTTACTACCTGTGTAAAAAAATATCGAAAAAAATCAGCTTTAGAGAGATCAAAATCGATTCTTGAAATCAAGTTTTTTACATGGGTAGTAAATAAATAAATTCTATTATAATTAATTCAGGGGTTATTTTTCGGAGATATTGAATTATTTAATAGCTCTTATTTCATCAAAAACGATGAAAAAGTACTCTTGAAAATCAAGATAATAATCACTGGCACAGAATGTATTAGATTCGAATAATTTAGACAGCCAAGTGTGCTACACTTTAAATAAAATAACTTGACAATTTCATGCAATTCAAATATACTTGATTTAACATCAATTTTTACGAAGTGAAATGAAGTACTCTAGAATTTATGGAATTCAGAATCCATTTTTAATATCAAAAAAATTGTATTTAAGTTGTTTTACATTCATTTAATCGGTTTATAAAGGTCACGGAAGAAATCGATCATATGATATCCCCCTTTGATAATTGTCGAAAGGAACAGCAAAAAATTTATTTCGATATATTTTGCTTTCCTACACGTCTATATTCTTATCTTATTATTATTTGAATGAAAATTTAAATCGAATCTTTTGTTTCTAATTTTAGTTCAATAAATTATATTTCGGTTGACTTTTTATTTGTTGATTCGTATCGAAATGAGTCTTTATCAAATTTGTTTTCCGTTGATTCTCAAGGTTTTATACGTACACTAATTGTACTTGATCGTGAATTACAGGCAAATTATACCTTATCCATGTTAATGTATGATCCAATATTAAAATCTTATTCGATTCCAGCATATATTATTATTCAAGTTCTTGACGATAACGATAATTTACCATATGAACCATTTTTATCAAATCCATTTGATTTATCAATCGAACAAATAAATAATGAAGAAACAGTTATTTATGAATTTAAACCAATTGATCTTGATGATGGACTCAATGGTATGGTTTCCATTGAATGTCTCAATTGTACATCAAGTTATTTTTTTCATGTCACAAAAAATAATTTAACAAACTCATCACTATTAACAACAAAATTCAATTTTACAGTACCCGATGGATCGTATATGCTTGCATTTCTATTACGTGATCATGGCTCACCAATAGCACGTGAACGTTTTTATACATTAAAATTTAACTTAACTCATCGTTCAATAGATGAAGAAGAAACTGAAGAAAGTTTTTTTCTTACAACTTCTTCAATTCCATTTATGACGAGACAAAAAAATTTCTTTTCGAAAATATTTTTACACAAATTTCAATGGCATTTTCTCATATTATTAATTATAAGTTGGCTAATACTTGTTGCTACTGCTCTATGGACATGTTACCGATACGATCAAATATCAAAAACACAGCAAAAAGAATATAAAAAGAAACAACAACAATTTGAAATTCAAGTAAGAAAACATGAAGTTATCAATCCGCCAATAACAGTTTTACCAAAAGCATCATCTATACCAAACAATCCTCAAAAACCACATGACAAAGAAGCATTAACACATGATGATGATGAAATCGAAGATACAAGTTATGATGCTGATCATATTATAACCGATGCTAATTTTGTTTTAACTTCTGGTTGTGCAACAAATGAATCAAATGCTCGATATGTAAGTCCCATTCTTTTTGCCAAATGAATATATAGATTTTTATTAGTCGAGACATCAATCAAGTGTCAAAGAGCGGAAGTCTAACCAAAAAAAAAGACTGTCGGTTTACTGCCTTGCCATGTCCATTTGAATGGAAAGCAATAAAAAAACGACTGTCTTTCAGCATATATATATATATTAGAGAGATATAGATCTATTATTGCATCAGCAAAAAGCAGAACGAAGTATTTTATGAAGGGCAACGATGAAGTCAGTCGAGCTTTAGCAGATCGCATGATTAATTGATGGTTTGCTTGATTTGCACGTTAATGTTCTGATGAGGATAATAATGATAGACCAAGCTGATGTTCTCAAAGCGAGAAACTACAGTCTGGTCTTCGGGTATTTATTTGAGAACAAAAAAAAAGAAGAAGCAGAAAAAAATGGAAGAGAGTAAAAATGAGGGTCGAACAAAAAAGGCGGAAATTCATTGACATCTTTCCTTTTTTTTTTCTCTTGCTTCTTTTTCTTCTTGGCAAAAAAAAAGATAGTTGATGCTTGTTTGATTGTCTTGTTGAGTGAATAATGGCATTGATAATGGCTGTGTTCTCTTTTCCTATGCAACTTTACGCAGATATTATGAAGTATAATTAAATGTTTTATATATAACAAACGGCGAGCTCATATTCTTAGTTATAATTATATGAGAAAAATTAAGTGAAGAAAATATAAAGGTAACATTAGAGTGTTAGTTTTTAAACTATAGTATTCAGAACGAAAAGGAAGTAGAAAAGAAAAATGAGTAGAGAGCAGAGATTCTTCCTGTCGTATTTGTCTAGATATGAAAACATTTTCTCTTAGTTATTTTTCCTTTTATTTGTTTCAGTTTGGAAACAACGTTCATTTCGGTTACTTGCCAACAAATAACAGCCTATCAGCCAACTTAAATTCCATCGCTATTAGAAATCATCATCATCATATACACACAGCACTGCGTTCGACAAGTTTTTCACGACTACATAACTCTTGTTCTCGTTGTCAATTGTCATCAATGATGAATTCAAGAGAAACAATGTTGACTGATGCTGGTATTTATTTTCTTATTTTTCTTAGACTTTATTTATTTTTTTCCCGAAAAGAACTTAACTATTCCATCTACAATTTCATTGGTGAAATAAATGGCAGCATATTGGATTCATTTTTTATTTTTTTATTTGTTTGACACCATGTGCGTGTTATATTTCTCAGGAGATTTACTAGACAACGGCAAACTAACAGGCGAGAAGGAATCAAGAATCAGTATTATTCATGAATGAATTGAAAGATGATTTAGCACATTTCCAGCCGCATCGTTCTATTTTCCTTGTGTTGTGTATAAACATACGTTGTCAGATTGAATAGACTCTCTTAAAACAATTTTTTTTCTCTTCTTTCGTTTCTAGCAACAAACACTTCTTATCATGAAGAGAATGATAGTGATGAAATTTGGAAACAAATGAATAACAATAATCGAATGTTATGCGAAAATGCTAGTACAATTTTACATAATGATTATCAGTTTGAACCAATTGATCATGATTTTCCATCCATTGATATTAGTACAATGGCATCCTCAGCTATATCAACACCACATCAACCAACTAATGGAAATTCAATAAAACGTCCAGCACCAATCACTAATTATAATTCAAATCCAGCCATTGCACGTCCAAAAAAATATCAGCAACAACAACAACAACAACATTATGTATTAACAACAAAACGAAATTCTACTATAAATGCATCAGATATTGCTTCAACAGCTCGATCTTATACACTACCGAGATCAGTAACAACTGATCAAATTGCAAATAATAACAATTCAACAAATCATAATAATAGACTTTATTATTATCCTAGTGTACAAGATGTTCTTGATGCATTAAATCGTCGTTCATTTGATAAAGAATCATTTGTTTAATTGTATATTTCATAATAATAATAATAATAGATAAATAACTTCGTGAAAAAGAAAACAAAAGAAAGTTATTACTGCTCTTTTCTTTGTTAATACATAAAACAAGAAGATCTTATTTTATATTAATTTCAATCAAACTTAATTTTTTTCAAAATTTCAAATACAAAAAGAAAATAATATTTGATGCAGATTGTTGATTAACTGAATTCATAATTAAATCATTTAAATATGAATAGAATTGCTTTACTGTTTCGAATAGATTTTCTTGATTTTTGCATACATCCTCGAATATTCTCCATAGACCTTTTTCATCCCTGAATTTCTACAGCTTCTAAAAATTGACGAAAAACAAATTGCAAACTAGAATATATCCTTGGAGAGAAATAGATATAGAATCATCTTTTTCTTCTTTAATCTTTACAATGATCTTATACAGACAGAATGAAAATGAGTATGACATCCATCGTTAGTAAAAAAAATAGATATAATATTTTATTTTGTTTTCGTGGAGAACGTTTATATTTGAGATATACGAACCGTTTTGTACTTTGACCTAACATTTTCCATTGTTGGTCTTACTAATACGAACAACTCTGTCGATTGTTATATAACCAAAGAATTATTTACTTTGATTCGTTTTTTAATAGTTATTTTTCTTTTCCTTTCGCGGTTCTCGTCGTAATAAAAATCGGTAGAATAACACATTTTCTCGAAAACATCTTGACTTATTGAAGAAAAGTACACTTTATCGCACCATACGTTGTCTCATTCGGTGAATGTATGGTGCACCTTTGATTTCTATTTAAATATTATCTATTTGTTAGGTTAGCTGATCTTGTGTGTTTGTAAATAAAACAAAATTAAAAAGATCGGATATAGACCTATACTATTGCATTGACATATGACTCGGCATTTTTTTAGTACTATCTTTGTTTTCAATGATAAAATAATGCATTCAATGATTAAGAGTGCATCATTCAATTTTTTCGTTTGTCGACTGGCGAATGAAAAAGAAAAAGGCAAGTGCAAGTCTTTCCATCATATGCATTTATATACAAATAAAATGCATTGAAAGTATCATCACTAGCATTATTATTCTGCTTCTGTTGCATCGAGTTACTTGTGTAGGTTCTACCGAACGTCAAAGTATTAGTTTTACTTTTCTATTTGTCTATCCTACAATCAAATATATTATACAGTGAACTAAAAAATTATTTATTCCTATTACAGATAAATTTTTTGCTGAGGAAAAAAATGGCATCAGCAACATTGTCGACTAGTGATGATTATGACGGCGATTATGACTTCGATGATGATTTCGATGCAGATGAAGAAAATTTGAATGATAGGTATTAATCGTTAAAATGAGGATTAATAAGACAAATAAAATATAACTTAATTGAATAAAATTTTATGATTATTTTGAATTTTAGTTCACAAACAACTTTTAATGATACAGTGGATTATTCTCATCGAAATATTTCAACACTTGATATAAATGATTTATTTAATTCTGTTAGAAAGCCAAATCGTATAACAAATTTACAATTAAATTCCAATATGCTACTGACTGTTCCATCACAGATAGAACATTTTCGGTCAATAATAACACTAGAATTATCGAATAATCAATTGATTCAATTACCATTTGAAATATCTTTATTGAAAAATTTAAAAAATTTATATTTAAAGAATAATGCACTCGACGATTTTTCGTTACCAAAAGAACTTGAACAATTAAAACAATTAGAAGTTATTAATCTAGGTGGAAACCGTCTAAAGCAATTTCCTTATCAATTATTTCAAATATCAAGTTTAAAAGAAATCTATTTGGGCTCAAATCAAATTACATTTTTACCTGATTTATTCCAAACGTTAAACAAGTTAGAAAATCAATAAAAAAATCAATGAAAATTTTTCTTTCAAAATTTTTGTAGAGTTGAAATTCTTTATTTGGGTGGCAATCAAATTGGTAATGTTCCAGATTCAATCGGTTTTATGCGTTCATTAGTTGTGTTGAATTTAAGTGGAAATCGTTTACGAACATTACCACGTTCAATTTCTTGTAAGAGAAAAACTTCATCGATCATTTCCTGGCTAACTTTTGCCTGAATATCATTTTTAGATTTAAATCGTTTAAAATCACTTTCATTGCATAACAATCAGTTTAGTGCTCTACCGCCAGATATAATACGTCTCGATTTACAAGAATTAAGTCTTCGAAATAATCCACTAGTTGTGCGTTTCGTTCGAGATTTAACATATGATGTACCTACATTAAAAGAATTAGCTGCTAGAACAATTAAACTTCATCGAGTACCCTATCATGATGGAACACTACCCAGAAGTCTTGTTGGATATTTAAACGCAGCTAAATCGTGTCTAAATCCCAAATGCAAAGGTTAGATAAGAAACAATTAAATTTGGTTTTCTGTTTAAGTATCTTTTTTCTTTTGATTGCTTAGGTGTTTACTTCGAAAGTTATCATAAAAATATCAAATTTGTAGATTTTTGCGGTAAATTTTATTTACCATTACTTCAATTTTTATGCTCGCCGGCATGTACATCAACGCCAACATTTGAAATGACATCATCTGATTCTGATGATACAGAAGATATACCAACCAAAGACATGACTAATAAATTTAAAAAAGTTCTACTCGGCTAAAATGTTTGTTTTGCTGCCTTCTTTTCTATCTTTCTGTTGGCAACACCTTTTTTTGCAATGAAAGCTCATTATATTTATATATTTATGTATTGGAATAAAAACAAATTTTATCCACCATGTAATGTAGAAACAAACAAAATATTATCGTTTGCTTTCAATTGATAATTAAGACCATCGAACAATTCCCAGTCAGTATCGTTTATGAGAACTAAAATGCCAGGCCGTACAGAATCACCTTGAATGAATAATTCTGGCCGTTCACGAAGAAGATTTTCACGTATCCATACAAGTAATGTTCGAATAGTCCATGGTGAGTTATTATCTGGTAAATCGATTGAATGATTTTTTTGTTTTCCAAATAATAATTCAGCACCACCAGCGAATTCAAGAGTCAAATGCATAGTAAATCCTGAAAAAATCGAACTTGTTTTTTTTCGGTTTTTCTTTCATCATGTACTTCGATTTTTCTTAAATTTATATAATAGAACTCTCTTGCAAAAAGAAAACAAGCCAACAACAAAGCATGACGACACGCATACAAGAGTAGAAAAAAGAACTATGTGCGCAACCGAATGACGACGTTGAATAAAAAAAACGAAAAAGAAAACAAAGATAATCATCATGCACGCGGATAAAGGATATATAAGTGAAATGTTATAGGGACAACAGCGGAAAAAAACAAGAAAACAAGAAACTGTTAAGCAAGATGAATTATAATGTGAAATAGCTTAGACAATAACAATCAGGAAAATGAAAACATATAAATGAGAATGAATAAGCTTGTTTCGGCATTGAGAAAAACAAACAACAACAAAAACAAAAGAATATCATGAAACAAGAACAACAACAATAGATTGTTGTTGCAGTGTGGTGTTAGCACAATGTGTTAGAATGAAACAAAACAAAAAACAAATAACCTCGTACCCAAATATACACACGCAGAAACAGAGAGTGATGAATGATGCCTACTAAAAACTTCACACACACACACACACACACACACACACACACAAAGAAAAAGAAGAGTTTCCCCGTATAGAAAGCGAGAGAATATAAATTAGTAGTCTAAAAAAAAAGAACAAGAAAATCGCGTGCATATTGATATTTGTTTTATTGTATGTCTTCATCATTTATATTTTCAGTTTGATGCTGTTGCTGCTGATCGGCTGGTGTTTTATTGGCTGAATATTGTCGCTTATTGTTATTATTTCCTCGTGGGTTCGTATTAATAAAGTCATTAGTTGTAGGTTTTTTAACTACCTCTTCTGCTTGTTTTGATTCATAATATTGAAAATCATCAAATATTGACGTTTTATCACGATACAGATGCATAGTTTTTAACATTAATTTTCCTTTTTCATATGGGATTTCTTGTGTATCACGTGAATTTGTTACTGGTTTATTGTCATTATTTTCCAAACGTATATTACGAAATTGTTGGTTTGGTACATCTTTAACGTAAATCCATTTAACTTCAAATTTACCTTGCCATTTATTTGACATTTGCCAAACATCGGTTTGATGTTCATAATCAAGAGGAGACATCATTTCAGCCATGCCACAAAAATGTCCCGACGCATTAACAGAATAAAATAAATATATTGGTCCTTTTCCTTCACGTTCACGAAAGGCAGCGTCTAAACGTTTATTTCCATGTTCAGTTGAACACCAAATATTATATTTTATTGATCGATGTACATCATCTTCGGAATACTAAACATAAATATTAATTTTGTTGATTTATTCTATTGAGCAAAATAAAAGTTTTCTAAATTCATCTTAGGATAATATACTTTAGAAAATAGAAATATATCATGTAGATGGAATCTTCAGAGAATTTGTTTTATTTTAGAGATTTTCGCAAGTTTTGAAACGAACTCAGAAGCGTTATCGTTGAATTTTTCATCAAACGAAAAAGATTTTAGAGCGCATAGAATACTGATTCAATGTTTAGTCGTATACACTGGTTGATTAGTATAGTACTACATGTAGATAAATACTAGTGAAATATTTATAATGCAATACAAATATCAAGTTCAAAGTCGGTTTTCCCTTCATTATATTCAACTCATTGAATAAACTATAGATCTAAACATGATATTTATCTATGTCGATTTTGGAAACACTCTTTCATATGACACACACCTGGTGGCATATTTTAATTGCATTTTAATATTTAAATATATATTTACTAATTAATTATGTATTAGTGTTATAACGCACTTTTTCCGATCAACTCTATTATTGATGTTTACTTACTGATTTAATAACGAAAAATCTTGCTCCTTTAGGATTTAAATTAAAATCTTTTGGATTGTATTGATGATTTCGTTTAAGATTGTCAAGAAACTCTTGATTAGCAGCAGACAATGGTTGTTGTTGCCCAACAGCTGATGATGGACCACTACCATTACTCATATTACTTGCTGTTCGAGATGATGAATAATTTTGTTGATAATTAAAATTTGATCGTTTATTAGTATTATTATTTGATGATGTTGCTGTTTGTTGTTGCTGCGAATACGATGAACGTTCATAATAATTCGGCGAACCACTATTATAATAGTTTGATGGGGTATTACTATTATTATTATTATTATTACCACGAGAATTCGATGATGAACTACTATTCGCCCAATTTAGAAAGCCTCCACTACCGGATGATTGTTGCTGCTGTTGTTGTTGTTGATTACGAGAATTATATCCACCTGAGCCGTTACGTGTTTGTTGGGAATAATTATTCATATTATTATTATTATTATTATTATTATTTCCTCGCATATTCGTATTCGAACGTGAATTATTAGAGTCATTAGAAAAATTTGACGTCGTATTATTAAGTTCGTTTGTCGACGATTGTACTGTTGAACGAACAGGTATATTATGAATAGGTTGAGTCAATTTATTGTTATTTATGTTTATAGTGTCGGATGAAACAACGGATGCATATGATTTTGGACCGCTTGATGCAGAAGATGAGGGTACTTGAGACGGACGTGATGATAATGAAAGATTGCTACTATTCGATTGATAATGTTGTTGCTGTTCTTTAGATGATAGTGTATTCACATGTAGGGTATTATCATTTGCTCCATTGTCATAATTATGTGTGTCATCGTTATTTGCACTATTTCCTAAATCAACTGCATTCATATGTTGAGCGAGCATATCACCAACACCACCAGCTGGATATTCGTCATAAACTGATATTTTCTTATTTGACGCTGGTCCAGCACCAATTGGTGTCATTTGTTGCTGAGCTGCAACTTGCATTTGTTGCATTGACAGACTATGTGGATTCCATGACATATCAAAGGTTGATGTACCTGTGGAAGGTGGTCCAGGAAATGTTGAAGGTGTAAAACCTGGATGATAATGGGGATAGGCATGATGTGGTGCAGGATATTCAAATGGACTTCTAGACATATCAATAGGTGACGGTGTATACATTTGAGGATGAAATTGCATCGGCCCAGGTGGATGCTGCGGAACATTTCCTGATGTATCAGCGGTTCCCCATTGACTATGATCATCAAATCCACCAAATGGTTGATAAAGACTTGGGGGATAATAAGAATACAGATCAGTTGGATTTTGCATTGGTGCCATACTCATCATATCATAATGATCTTAAATACATATGTTATGAATCGTTAATATTCAATTATGTTCTTACTAGTTGGATAACCGTACTGCATATTAGCAGATGTTGGTGTGTTGGCTTGTGCAGAACTACGTTCGTTGATCATTTTCTAGTTATTACTTGTTTAGCACAATGAAGAAAGCATGACTAAAAGAAATGTGTAGAATGAGAAATAATCTTTGCAGCAAATTCATTCAAACAAAAAAAATAAAGGGAAGAAATAAAAACACGTGATGTTTCAGTTGTCTTCTACAAAGGAAGCGGGTCGATTTGTTATGTAACTGAAACTAGGTGCTTCATTTCAATCTATAGAACAATAAAAATGTCGTTGAATATGATTTCAACAAAATAATTTCCTTGAAAGATTTCTCTGAAATGAAAACTCAGAAGATTGAACTTTTGTTTTTGCAAGCGTTGATGACTATTGAGTAACTAAATAAGAAATTCTAGTAAACACACAAACAAACAAAACGACGACGCGCAACACGAATGAACCAATAAGAAATTATTTAATTTTTCCACTCCGTAGAGATTTTGAAAAATACTGTTTCAAGTCAATGACTTTCGATTTTTATAATCAATTAATAAAAGCTTATTCAATTCTGAGCTTCATGTTTCCAATAAAATAAAGATAATAGACGAATAGATGGCGTTACTTTTTAACCAATAAGAAAAATCTACCTTCGATCACTATATTATTTTGTTCTGTTTTGTTCGTTTTATTTGATCGAGTTTGTCTTGATTTGGTCATATGGAGTACCTCGAAAAATTAAAAGTTTATGGTGATCAAGTAAAAAATGTTGTTGTTAAATCTATGGTTGATACAGCTCATGGTGGACAGAAAATTCTTAAAGATGTGCTACCAGGCAATTTAGTTACTCGAGAATTCGAAGTAGAATATTTTCAGTATTTAAATAAAAAATTGATTGTTTCATTTTTTGAAGCTCGTTCAACCACTCGGATCTGCTGGTCCAGGACTTATGTGGAGGATTTATGGAGCAATTAAACGTTCGACCAAACAAGTGTGTTGAGTTTCATATAGACTATAATAAATTTATCAATGTTGACTATTTAGGAGGCAGCTGTATTTGTCTTTGAAAAACGTTTATTGGATAAATATGCAAAAAAAGATCGTGAATTAATTCTTGAAGCAATGAGAAAAGGTTTTTAGATCTTTTCGAAAGTTTTCTTTCTTTTTGTTGGAATCAATACAAATGATATATTTTCTAGGTGTACATCAATTAGCAAAGATAAGACATCCTCGCATATTAAGTCTTCAGCATCCACTAGAGGAATCACGGTTTACTTTCATCATAATTTTTCTATATATATAAATGAATATTTCGTTGATTATATAGAGATAGTTTAGCATTTGCAACTGAATCTTGCTTTGCTAGTGTTGCTAATTGTCTCGGCTGTTATGATAATATGACTCAACCAATACCAAAAGAATTTGAAGATTATAAACTTCATGATATTGAAATTCGCTACGGTATTGTTCAGGTATATCTATATTTATTTTTGAAGATACAAAATTTTAATCATTATGAGATTCTTCACGAAAATAGCTTTGTGAAGGATTATTGTTTTTACACAATGAAGTTAAACTGCTTCATCGAAACATATCACCTGAATCAATTATTATCAATTCAAATGGTTCATGGAAGCTAATTGGTTTTGAATTATCTGTTCAAGGTTCAGCTGATGGAGTAAAAAAATTCTAATATTTCATATTGTTTGTACGAGCTAATAAATATTTTTAATTATATTTCTTAGGCACTCTATCCATTTCGAGATTATGATGGAAATATTTCTCCTATACTCAATCCAAGACTTGATTATATGGCACCTGAATATTTTACAACCAAAAGTTGTGATAGCCAATCGGATATGTTTTCAGTTGGTATGCTAATGTATGCATTGTATAATCATGGTCGAACATTATATGAATGTCATGATAACTATTCTGCATTTATAAAAATGTCTGATGAACTTAAAATGCTTAATACAACAAAGTTATCTGTTTTACCAAGAGAAGCGTGTGATCATGTAAAGATGTTACTCAGTACAAAACCTGAATTACGACCAGATGCTGAACAATTTTCAAAAGTAGATAACTCAAAGAAAGAAGAAATATCAATGAAAATTTTCTTTTACTTTTAGGTACCCTTTTTTCAAGATGTTGCAGTAAAAACATTGGAGTATCTTGATTCATTATTTCAAGTTGATCATATTCAAAGATCAATGTTTTACAAAAGTCTGCCGCAAGTGATCGATAAATTACCAATGGTAACTAATTCTTTAATCTATAATTTCGCTATTGTTATTTTTAAAAAATTTTCAAGCGTGTTAATCTACAACGTATTACTTCAGCGTTGGAACTTGAATTTATTAATCCTGAAATGGTTCCGTTTGCTCTACCGAACATGTTTCTTATTGCAGTAGGTTGACAATTTCTCTTTTTTTTAAGGTGTTCATTCTATATATTGACATGATTTTTATCGTGTATTTTATTTTAAAAAATTGATTTTCAGACACAGTTCAAGGTGTTTGATAAGCTTCTCACTAAATTATTATCTCTGATAGATGAACAAGTATTTCCGAAAGAAAACAGAGAAAAAAACTATAAAAATTAAGCTGTTTGAACATTGACATCGATGAAAAATAGCTCGTAAATTCAGTTTTAAGAATATTCGAACTAAATTTTACCGGGATACAACATTTTTCATATAGAGGTGATTATCCATAGATAATATTCAGAATATGTATATTTTGAAAGTTCTATTCATCGAAGAAATTCAGTCAAAACATTCGGAGACAGCCCTTTTCTGCTTCTTTCGTTGCATAACTAAGATTGTCCTGGGTGAAAATGTAAGAATTTTCAGTTGTAATTCACTAAGCACTCTAGATTTATAAATTGATTATTAGTGTTATTTTTTTTTGTTAGGAAAAAGCTAGCAGTGATGAATATCGAAAATACATATTTCCTAAACTCAAACAAGTTTTCAAAATACAAAAACCTGCTCAGGTAAGCAACAGACCATTGAAGAACGTTCAATTATCTTCGTGTTCTATCTAGGGAAGTGGAGCGTCGGGTTGTTTTATGCAGGTAAAACAATTCATATGTTTAGTTTCTTTTCTCAATTATAACCTTCATTTCTAGACATTACTAATTTTAATGCGTAATATGAAATTAATGTTAACAAAAACTCCAGCAGAAGATATTAAACAACACATTTTACCTGTTGTCTATAATGCATTAGATGCTGAATCATCACAAGTTCAAGTATACAGGAAATATAAATGAGAATTTCTTGTTTGATTTTTATGACTTTGTTCTAGGAACTTTGCCTAGCAATCATTCCATCATTTGCACATCTGATTGATTTACAAGCGATGAAATATGCTATATTACCGCGTATAAAAAAAATCTGCTTTGAAACAATAACATTAAGTGTAAGTAAGTAATAATATTGAATATATTTATGTGTTGTTTTTCTCCTTATTTTTATTTAACTATTTAAGGTTCGTGTTAATTGTTTAATATGTCTCGGAAAATTAGTTGAATCATTAGATAAATGGATTATTATCGATGAGGTTTTACCACTTCTTCAATCAATACCATCACGTGAGCCAACTGTACTTATGGCAATATTAGGTATTATCAAAGTTGCAATGTCATCATCAAAGGCTGGTGGTTTACCACGTGAAATACTTGCAACAAAAATTATACCTTTCCTAATACCGATCTCAATTGAAACAAGTCTTAATCTTAATCAGGTAGGTTCAATTAATTTTTTCTGCATCAAATTAAACTGTTTATTGTTTATAGTTCAACGCGTATATGTCAACAATAAAAGATATGCTGGAAACAGTAGAAATAGAACAACGCAAAAAACTCGAACAACTCTCCCAACAAGCACCGAAGTAAACAGAGAATATGTTCTATTGAATTGTTGCATAATTATATTACTTGCATTGTTTTTTTGTAGTGCACCTATTATCCCAATAGATTTATCAAAAACGGATTTTCATGTTGATCAACGCTCATGCTCAATGGTAAAATATCAAAATATCTCTTGAAAAATATTTCTATAGATGTTGTCCTGTATAGATAGATCAATTTATGATCGGTCATGGATTTAATTCTGAAGTGGCACAAAATAAAAGTCTGTCAACTGTTTTTGATGAAAATGCATCTAATGGAAGTCCAAAATTACATCAAAAATCAGTTTCATTATCAAATCAGCCGAATCCATCAGAAAGTTCATTAGCGAAAAAAGTAAAAATTTTCATCATCCATTTGATACCTTTTTTTTTATTCAAAATAACTATACATTAGACATTAACATTAGAAGACAAAGAACGCATCATGCGTCAAAGTGAGCAAACACAACGTATGTCAACTCAAGGTGAAATTTTACCTGAACGTAAAATGCCTGTGTCATCATCGGCTAATACAAATTCAAATATTCCATTAATGGCTATGACACCTACAGTATCATCGCCAACATCATCTAATTCATCTTCAGCAATTTATAAAGATTTAACAAGTACTTTATTTGATCCACATGCACCATCACAATCATATTCTGGTATGTCTACTTCTCACACGATGCCATCTTTCATACGGCCAACTATGGCAACAGCATCACCACCACTACTAACGCCATCATCATCATCATCATCATCATCATGCCAACAACCACAGATGCGGCCAACATTGAATTTTTCTTCATCGTCTAACTCTACTGATCTAACATCCAGTCTCTTCAATAATATCAATTCACTTGCTTCACGATCACAAACAACTTCAACAAGCATTCCAATGAATTCAATGGCTACAAAACCGTCAATGCCGTCGCCTTATTTTAACTCAGGAACAACAAGTAATGCAGCATTGTTTCAACCACCGCCTCCAGCAGGCTCAACTGTAATCAGAGGTTCTATGACACCATCACACACGACACCCGCGAAAAGTGCATCTTCAGAGCTTGATGATCTTTTTAATTGATATTGTTGAACAGTGATCAATGTATATATATCGAATAAACACAGCCAATATTTCTTTCTTTTCTTTTCTCTTCATTGATAACTAATTTAAATTCCGTGTTTCGTTTTTATTTACGTAATTTATTTTTGTGTCCTTTTTATTCTTGTTTCGATAATAAGCGAAAGAACAAGGTTCGTTGACTTTTTCGATTTTTGTCTCTTTTTTGCAAATATTTATTCGAGTGGAACGGATTAAAAACGATGAACCCTATTGATTGGTCATGTCTTTTTTGTGTACTTGATAATAAAGTAATCATCAACTGAAAAAGACCATCATTCGTTTGTCGAACATATCGTTTTCATTATTGCCCACTCTATCAATTAAATGAAGACTAGTCTCTTTGATATTATCGAATTGAAACCTTGTCGATAGAGAGTAAGTTGGCCACGCGTATCAAAATTCATGGTCATATTGAGGCAGACGTGAATACAAGGCTAGTGTGCACATTCGTATTCAATATATTATTCGTTCGTTTTTTTAGTACGAATAGGTGAAGTATATTTAACATTAACATGGACTATCTGAGATCAATGGCAAGTAGTCCAGTTTATGAATTTCCATACACTGGCAATCAGCTACAATCAGTACCACTTTTTAATAATGATATAAGTGCACTATTATCGGTATGTACAATTTTGCCTAGTAACTATATACGAATAAATTAGTATTCAAAAGAATATTACACCAACATTAGGTAATCAATCTACCTTTCAACCTGGATCAATCACACTAAATTGCGTTCCACAAATAAATGCAACTGTCGTTGACCGCAATCCGGTTGTGTATGAAGTACCAGGTTTGTTTCTTTTTCTTTTTAATAAGTATAACAGTTGCCAACAAATCTAACAATATTTCTGATAGAAAATGTTCCGATGGAAACAATTTTAAACCATTTTGGTGTTGATGTGTATTCATTAAAACGAACTGACTCTATCAGTAATTATTATCGATGTAAGTCTTATCCTTCTAATAGTAAAATATTGACGCAAAATATATGATTTATTAAAAAAAAGGTCAATCTAATCCAATGGAAATTACGATTACTTCTCCTTCATGTCGTCGTCGTCGTCTTGTTTGTCGCGAAGTTACAGATTCAGAAGATGATAACTATGATAGACGTCCATTACCTCATCCACGAAATTATCCTAAACTTGATTTAAATCGTCCGAAAGAGCCTCCAGTTGCTCTTCATGACTTATTAAGTAATGTATGGAGTAAAGCAAAACGAGGATCGGAATCTTTGCCGCGATCTGCTTCAGATCCTAATATTAGCCAGCAATGGGAAGCCATGAAGAATAGTAGTCTTCCACCAAGCAATCCCAATTTAAATAATGTCTGGCAAGCCATGAGAAATAGTCCACCGCCACCTCTACCGAACAATCCTAGTTTGAATAATGCCTGGCAAACCATGAGAAATAGTCCACCGCCACCAAGCAATCCTAATATAAATAATGCCTGGCAAGCCATGAGAAATGCAACTCCACCAATGACACAACAAGAACGAAATGCAGTTAATAATGTTTGGCAAAGTGCAAATTTTGAGAGTACCCAGAAATCTAATCGTCTTGCAAATATCTTCCGTAAAATGCAAGTAACACCTGGCACTGTTATTCAACCATCGCCGTGGATACCACCAAATAATCCAGCTATACGAAATGTTTGGAATCAAGCGAATCTAGCATCAGCATCAATGCCTAACAATCCTTGGAATCCAATGCCATCACAGCGACCAATATCACCGCCACCGCCACCACCACCATTTTATCCATCACAACCAGCTGCTAATCTTGCATGGAATCGCATGCTACAAGGCGCAAATTCATCACCCAGTTCTCCTTTACCGTATCCATCAATGGGTGCACTACAGCATAGTCCAAATAGAGCACCTGCTCCATCATCGTTTGCCTCAGTACTCTCTCAAGCACAAAGACAACATTCACCTTACGTTGGGACCTGATGATTATTCACTGATTGACTATGAAAACAAAATCAGACTTCATATAGTCTTCTTTTGAATCTATTTTAGACAGAAAATGTAATTTACATGAGTATTTTTCTGAAAGAATTCGGAGCATATAGAAAAAATATTATTTTATTGATTTTCTATAATTGCTCAGAATTTACAAATTTATCTTATCTTTCAGTAGTCCTTTTCTGGACATTTTCCTTTGATCTTTTCGAGTGTTTAGAAAAGTTCTATTTTGTTCATAGATGTTACGTTAACTATTATGATTTTTAAATCTACTACAAAACTCAGAAAAAATAAATGCTTTAGTGAAAAGTACAGTAGAGACTTCGCATTTTTAATAATATTAGCGTATTGTTGAAAAATCTGAAATTTAAGACAAGCAAGTATTCTGATATTGAAATGCCTAAATTTTCATAAAACATGCATAGTACTCCTCAAAATGATACGCATGAGTAGGTTTACTAGAGTATGGATGATAAAACTTCAGACAAAAAAGTATAATGAAACATATTAGTATATTGATGTATTCAGTATCTTCATGTTTTCATTTTAAATCGAACGAGATAAAAAGTAACAACAGAAAAATTAAGCTTATCAATCGTTGTCTAATATTTCGAAAAAAAAATCGAGTACATCACGTATACTGTATCTGAGAAAGTAAAGAAATTTACTGTCGTTCGATCTATTGCAATACTCGATTGTTTCGATCGAATCATCATCATGATGCTATCCGTTTATATAAATTAATAAAAAAAAAGGACTGGATATACAAAAACAAAATTTAGATACTACTAAGAATCATTTACAAAGACATTTAAAGATGAACTCAGACATACATCTTTTAATATCGTATAGAAACGATACGAAAATTTGTTTTTACATAACTTTCGTAAAAGTCCTTGTTAGACAGAGCCATCTATTATCGATGTTATTTTTAATATTAACTAATCAGCTATAAGAAATAAATGAATGAAGAAGAATAATGTATAAAGTAATGTGGAAATGTAGAATCGACGATTCAATTGAATCTTCGTTTACTTTCGAATTCTTTCGTTATTCTCGTATACTTTTAGATCGATCATAATGGTACAAACTCGTCGTCGTAAACGTGGTAAAGTCTATTTACATGATGTCAATCGTAAACGACTGTGGGTAAAAGAAAAACGTAAACGTGAAGTTCGTGTACGTCATTGTCCATTGATACGTTCAAACTGGGAAGCTAAACTTTCGGTACCAACAAATTATCGTGAATTTGCACTTGTTCATGATATAAAAAAATCGTTTCCTATACCAAAAACAAAAGATTTAGTTAATCCAAAAAATCTTGAAAAATTTATAAAACAACAACAAGAAATTTCTGATAATGATGATGATAATAATGATTATTCATCTGTACCAATGATCGATACAACAGAGAAAAAAAAGAAGCAACGTAAACCAACAAAAGTTCACATTCGAGATGAAATTGAAAAAGATGCTAATACAGAACGTGTTAAATCATTGAGAATGTCCGATCCAGATCGATTGTATGTTTCACTGAATATTGATTCATTGTCTCTATTTCTTATCCATCTAGATTTTGTATTTATATGATTGAAAAACATGGTACAAATTACGATGCTATGGCTCGTGATCATCATAATGATTATCAATTGACAGCTCGACAACTGGAAAGAAAAATGGAAAAATTTAAAAAGATTCCAAAAATTTACGAACGTTATTTAGCTGAAAAATCAGAAGGAAAAAATTTTCTAGTTGATTTTCAAATGGATGATTAAAATAAAAGAAAATAATAAAAAAAGAAAATAAAACATTTTCTTTTTCGTTCTTGTTATTTGTTTCAGATGTCATGTATTGTTCTTCAGCTTGGTCAATGTGGAAACCAAGTTGGTCAACGAGTATTCGATACATTAATTGAAGATAATCTTACACATTTAAATCCATCAAAATTATCAATAGAAAATCGTTCATCTATTAATGATTATGTTCGTCATTCCCTTGATCGATTTTTTATTCAACATGAAAATAAGCTTACTGCGCGAGCACTTGCTATTGATACTGAACTTAAAGTTATTGATCAATTAATGAATGAAAAATCTCAATCAAAACGTCATTGGTCTTATGAAAAAAAATGTGTTATTGAAGGTAGCATTTTAAGAGAGATTTTAGGTTTAAGAAACAGAAAAGCTTCTATTTCATACAGAACTGCTAACTTAAAAAATCTGTTTGTTTTTATTTCGAAATCAGAAAATAAAACCTTAAAAAGACCTAGTGCCTTCGATGTTAGAGTATAGATATTAAATATTTCACTGGAAAAAAATTTTTCATACGACAACAAACTACATACACACTATTCAGTTAAAAATATACAATAAACAAGATAAATCGAGATTATTCAGTATCCATTCGACCGTACCATTCATACTGCCTCTGTTATCATCGTAGTCATGATGAAATGAAATCTAAGCTAAACAAACGAACATAAGAGAAGAAATTATTTAGATTGATCAGCAACAGCGAAGAACTTTTCAATTTTGACTCCTAAAAAAACTGATAAATGAGCTGCAAATTATTTTAGTGATTAGTTGATCATCGACTATCTTCCTTATCAATTCGAATAATAATAGAGAGAGAGAAATGTTTTCGTAAGAATAACTCAAATTCATATCTTATAGTATATCGATAATTTGAAAAAAAGGTCGTCTCGGATCCGGTAATAATTGGGCATGTGGTTATCGAAATGGCTCATTAGCTGAAGAAAATATTCTGAATAGTTTTCGATGGCAGTTAGAGAATTCTGATCGGGTTGATGCAATTTTACCGATACTTTCTCTAGCTGGTGGCACAGGTAAACAAGAACAGTTGATTTTTCTCTTCAATCAATCGTTCATATAGGCTCTGGTCTTGGTGCTTATGTTGTTGAATGTATTCGTGATGAATTACCACGTTCATTTCTTTTAACAACAATTGTTGTTCCATATACAAGTGGTGAAGTTGTAGTACAAAATTATAATTCACTATTAACACTATCACATCTTTATCATTCTGCCGATGCATTACTTGTTTTTGAAAATGATATTCTTCAACAATATGCAAAAAAACTTGTTTCCTGTTCTGGTCTTGATCGTCCAACAAATATTCACGATATGAATAATATCTTAACTCGACATCTATGCAGTTTTCTTCAGCCGATTTCGAATAAAAATGCTTCTGTATGCGAAATAAATTATTTATTAGAATCACTTTTACCACATTCATTTTATAAATTATTAACACTGCGTTGTGTACCACAATTAAGCGATCAAGCATTAGATTTTAGTACATATAAATGGTCATCGTTGATTAAAAATCTATCACAAATGTATATTAATAATTCTTATTTAGATGAAGGACTTAATTGGTCATTAAAACCTCATCAAACACGAACGAAGTCTGTAGCAAATTTATTTTTGGCACGTTCCTATGATAAAGAAGATATTGATCAAGATTTAAAACAATATTTTAATCATTCAACGCTTTATTCATCATACACTCCATCGTCGGATTATTATTCTGTATTTAATTATCGTGATAAATCTTATCTAAATTATGAAAAATATGTATCATTGATTAGCAATTGTCAAACACCAGTATCTGCACTCGATAGAATAGTAAGCAAATCATGGCAGTTATTCGGTCAAAAAGCATATCTTCATCATTATTTAAAATATGATGTTGATGAACAAGCATTTCTGAACAGTTTTGTACAAATTGAACAAGTTATTAAGTCTTATAAAGAATTGTAAAAAGAAAAGATGAGAATTTAATCAGATAGGTAAATTTTTTTGACTATTTCAATGTGTTCGTTTTATAACGTTTTTTTTGTTATATAAAATAAATCTATAAAAAATTATTAAATCTTTTGATACATTATATCTACAATTTTTAGTGAAGTTATTATTTGCATAAAAAATTCATTTTCAATATTATATCCAATTTTCTATTAGAATATAAATTCAGTAGAAAGTTTTTCGATGTTACTTAAATACAAAGTCAAGCTCATTTCATTTAGTTTTTCTAAAGCTTGTTATCATTTTATTCTAATATATTTCCACATAAAGGATGTTTCGTAGAATAGAATCATGCTAAATAATTGATCAAGGAATGATCTCTACCTTTTCTTCTTCTAAGAAGAGCACAATTTAAACTTGTGAAAAGTGTATGCATAAAAAAGAAGAAGACACTCAAAAAATGGTCACAAAATTGACCCAAATGTTTATGAAAAATAATATCGACGAGGTAATGCTTTGTAAACACGATTCATTTTCACCAATGTGGCCATATATAATCAAGGAATTTAACTGTTAATTCGTAACCAAGAAAACATGCAGCATTAGCTGGAAAAGCTCGTAACATAACAGGTACAATGCCTTTATAGAGCGATCCGATTCCTTCAGTACGTATAAGTTCACGTAAAACATCAGCTATACCAGAATATTTTCCTGAGGGAGCTAATCATTAAAACGAGAGAAAAAAAACAAAGTAAAAAACAAGCAAAACATAAAAAATAATTCTAGTAAACCTGTTTGAAATCTTGATTTAAGTACATCGGGAGGAATAGCTACAACCCAATTAGCAATACCAGCCATGCCACCAGCAAATAATGTTTTCCATGCACTCAAGTCACTAGGACTAGAAAAGCAAACACAAAAATGATCTATATAGATTTATATGATTTTTGTACGCACGATTTTCCTTCAGGTGTCAACACTCTTTTTAAATATTCGTATGATGCAAAATAAACACCAGATGCAGGCACATCTAAATATCATATCCGTGTTATTGAAGTCATGGATTATACTAAAAAAGATCTAATTTTTACCTCGCATGAGTGTTAAAGCTGTTCCTCGATAGATACTTCGAATACCACCTTCTCTATATAATTGTTTAGCACAATCTACTGGTCCACTATATTTATGTTCATTAGCCGCATGTTGAATCTTTTTAATTGCTGAAAATTCTTTATCAAATCTGAATAAACTCATTTTCCTACTTGTAATAAACATTTAATTCTTTCACCTGGCGCCATTATCACAGTTGTAAAAACTCCAGATAACATACCAGCAACAAATATTTGCGGTAAACTAATGATGAATATCATTATTATTGTTATATACTGTAAACAGAAAATAACTGAATAAAACTACTTACGTATAATTATCATTTTCACCAGCTGGTGTTTGTAATCGTTTACCAACACCATATCCAAAAAAGCATACAGCAAACATTGGTGTCACACCTTGAATGTCAAAAAAAAATAAAATCTAGTTCTGTCAACAGTAACGTTCTACAAGATGAGAGTAATATGTTGAAGTATATCTTTCTTATAGAAAACATGGTCAATATAGAACATATTTTGTTGCCGATATTGAATACTCACTATGGTAATCTTAGTTCACAAGAAACAAGTATCACAATTGATTTTTTTTCGTCAATATTTAATATACTCAAAATGAATTATCCATTAATGATGTAACTTCAAAAAAGAAAATTCTAGTAGTCGTGTAGTATATTTCGTACGATGAATCTTAAGTTTAAGTCTAGTGATTTATTCTTTTTATCAACAGTTTGGGAAAGCACGATATTTCATCAAGAATATCGCCACTTCTGGAATAAAGATCATTTCTAATCTTAAAGACTTAAAGAAATTGTACGACTGCGAACGGAGAATTTAAATTCATAATGATTCGCCATGATAACATACATACCAATTAGTGGTGCACCCATCCCTTTATATAAACCGGCAAAACCCTATAGAAATTGAAATCCAGGTTCGTTATCTCAATTTTATTTTTCTTTGAATAATATGTTTACTTCTTTTGCAACAGTCTTTGTCGCGCAATCCCATGTTCCTGTAAACAATGGTACTTGTCCAGGTTGTGGCTTTGGTTGTGTTTGTAATCGAACCTTTTGGTTTCAATCAAATATTGAGTATTTGAAATGTCATTTTGCTTAAACATACTTTAATTGTATCTAATGGGTGACCTGTAATAACAAGACAAGCGCCGCCAACACCACCAGCCAAAAAATCTTTGATTGGATTCACTTTTCTGACTGCGATTTTTGCTGTTGTTATCTCATTTGTGGTTTGCGACATGGTTAGTTTTTCTTGTGTGAATAAATACTCCTTCTAGAAGATTTTTTCAATAAAAATAAGAAAGAATAATTAATATATTTCTCTTGGATAATTTATTTCGCTTATTCAGATATGTATGACAAAGAGTGTAGATTGAATAAATCAAAGAAAAAAAGACTGATAAATAACAGGAAAAAATAAGCACATGTGAAAGTGATATGCTAACAAATGCTAGGATTTTTAGTCATGAAATTTGTGCATAACCAAAGCAGGATGCAAAAAAAACTAAATAGCCGATTGCTCATAGGTCAACGAATATATTTGTTTATTTATCTTTTGCTGATTCATTTTTTGCTAAAACATCCAATTTATTCTAAAAGAAATTCAAAAAGAATATTTCAATTCATAAAAATTAACTTCATCTAATTTACTTGTAATTTTTGATGTTCATTACAAAGTTTATCATATTCTTGTACTGAAGTGTCATATTTTTCACGCAATGCTTCTATATCTTCACGCGCTTGAATGGCTTCTGAATAAAGAGAAAAAAACAAATCAAAAGTTTAGAATATGTGTAGTTATTTTATATCTATATTTCATAAACCTTTCTTATATCTTTCAATTTCAGCATCATATTCTTTTGGATCAATAAAATTTGATCCTTGACCTGATGAAGTTGATTTTTCTTGTTGGCTAAGCTTCTTTCAAAAGAAAAATTAAATTTTTTTAATTAAACAAACTATTTTCTTACATCTGAATCATTATTCTGCATGGCTTCTTGTAAATGACGATGAGCACCTTCAGCTTGCTTACGTGCTGCAGTTGACTCAGCCATTTTACGTGCAACAGCCGATAGAAGACTAATTAAACGTTTAATTACACTAGAATTATTTATCAATTATTTAATCGAAAATTAATGATTAATATGTTTTTCTACGTACAACCAAAGAAAAAGAGCGAAGCCAGCAATGTAGAAATTTCTTTGTGAACGAAACTCTTTCATATGTGCATGTGCTTCACTATGTGGCGTTGTTAGTTCTTTTGCATCAATATTAGAATATTTTCTTAATTCACGAATTGAATCTAAATGAATCAGAAATATAAAGATAAAATCTATGCCAGAGACGTCATTTTTTACCGATAAATAATAAGCCGAATATAAATATTATAAAATTAAAATAATACTTTGATCCAGCTGAGAATGCTGCTACAAGTCTTGACTTGAAAAGTGTTCGCCAACTAGAAATCGATGAAATAAAGTTGTTTGTTTTTATTAAATATCTTTCAGAACAAGTATGAATACTTACATCGTGGGTGAAATGAATGGCAAAAGAAGAGTAATAACAACAACTATTTCACAATAGAGAAATGTCGCCAGAAATGTCCATTGAAAACTCATTGTCTGTTTTTTCGTGGAATATCTAAAAATAAGCGATTGAGCTTTGGAACGTGAAAAGTGAGAATAAATTCTAGTTTTAACGAATCAAATAAATCAACAAAATAAAACTAAAATAGATGTTTGTTGTAGTGGTGACAAATAAACCAGTGAAAGTAACTAATGAAATGATTTAGTTATGAAATTGCTGAAGATGCGAGCAATCCAGTAAACATGAATCAAATTGATATCATGATGACTCAATATTGTGGTGTATAGACCTGATTGAATGTGTCAAATAGAGAAAAAATTTATTTTAAAATCACATTCAAAAAAACATTTATTTTTCATACAGAGATATTTGAAATGATTCTGTTTATTTCTATCAATAGAAAATTATCTGAAACTTCTGATTGGTCGAAATTTAGCTAATAGAATTAAAATACAAAACTAGATGGTATCCGAATTGCACTCGTATAAGAAATGCGATGCAAAGCTCGAATCGGATCTTCACGAAAAATCTACAATTCAGAGAAATCTTGAATACTTTTTGTGTCAACATGATGAAATTCATCCCTGAGAAAACTCCATTCTTACATAGCGATATATTCTTAAAGATCGATTTCGATTGATCGATTAATTATGTCCATGATTCATTATCTTACGTAAGAGAATTTGGGCTCATGTAATTTTCTTCGAAGGTTGTGACCATTTTACTAATTTTTCATGCAAGGACAAGGTATTTACAGAAAAAAATGAACAGCAGAATCTCAATCTGAAATTTCGTTCATATATAGATCTCATGATTACTAAAACATTCTAAAAGTTTCAGCGAAAAAAGAAGTTCTCTTCTCGAGATACTGATTTTCAAAAAAGTTGTCTGATACTCTCTACAGTAGGAAAACATTGAATTCCATAACTATTCAATATCTTGAGAAGAGAGCATTATTTCCGTTGAACCGTTTATAATGCTTTAGTAACCACGAGACATATGTGAGCAAAATTTCAGATTAAAATTCTGTTGTTCAATTTTTCTGTAAATACCTTGTCATTGCATGAAAATTAGTAAAATGGTTACAATCTTCTAAGGAAGTTCCGTCGGCCCAAATCCTCTTAGATTTTTTTCTATAACAGTATCTCCAACACGGACAAAATATTGAAAATGACATGGATTCCACTTGTTAGAAAAAAATACAAGTTATATAGAGTAAAAAAAAGTAGCCGCGCATAAAAATATGAAACACAAAAGAAAAAATATAAAGAGTCAAAACTTACATAGAATGAAACAAAGAATATAGAATATTAACTAAGAAAAAACTATATTAACTAAACACTTGAACAATATAATTTTTATACTGTCTAAAAAATAGTATTTTCAAGACAAACAAGAATTTTCTCCAATTTTATTTTTCCTGATGTATTACATTCTTCACCTCTAATTTAACTATTACGTTTAGAATATTTTATATTTATGTGAGAAAAACATAACTGCCTAAAACCAAAATGAGAGTAAACATCTCCTCTTTAACATTTGACACAATCTATATGTTCAAGTATACCATCAAAACAAGGATTATTAACAAGTCCAAGTTGTGTATTAGTAATAATATAAATCTGTGTTCAATCATTAAGCCTGTATTGAATGTATGCAATATCTGATGTTGTTCAATCACTTTATATTTATACTATATAATTATAATTCAATCAATCATAAAATCATTGGGTGTAAAATCGAAATGTTAGATGACTATATATTCTTGTTGATCTCCTAAAAATTGAGTAGCATCTTTCATATTTTCAATAGTTTCATTAAAAATTGTACCATCGCTATCAATGTGATTATGTAACTGAATAAAGTTAGAATTAACTTTTAAAAAAAAAGCTGCTTTAATCATATAAATATAACAGTTTTGATAGACACGGTTGAAATATAAATCATAGCCATGTTTACGCTCTCAAAAACAAATACTACTTACGCCGTAAATTGCTTTCCAAGACAATTCAAAATATCATTCTCAATCAAACCTATAACTTAGATCTCCAATACTTGATGATCATGAATCATAGGATATTGATTCTCTGATCGAATAGTGTTTTCATAATTTTGATTTAGATTGTATTTGTTTATTCTTCTTAAATCAATGCTTTTTTGTACTTTTATTTACATCTCAAATGTTCTTTCATTCTTTAACTTCATCTCCATTTTCACTATCAATACTATTTTCGACAGAGAGATAATAATATTTTAGTTATGTATATTTTGTTACAATTTTTGTAGCTTATTTATACGACACCAATCAGTTTATACATTTTCATAACAATTTCTACTTTCAATTGAGACACTTTGATCTTTCTATTTGTTTTCCCTCATAACAGTTATTGCATCGGGATTTACATGTAACTCTTTCAATGCATTATAAATCTGAACAATTAATTTACTGTTTGATTTGTTTGCGATTCTATTACTTGTATGTTTTTTACTACAATAATGAAATTCTAATTTTTTTTTATGTTTATTTTTATTTTTTCTTTCACTTTTAGATCAAACTTTAATGTTCTAAGTTTGGCGTATAAAGATTACCATCAGATCTAGAAGAGAAAAATTAATTAAAATGCCCCTATTTTCGAATAAAGGGATTATATTTACTTTTTTTCTTTTGTTTCTTCCAAAACATCAACCTTTAATTCATATTGACATGTTAACATTTGTTCTTGTGTACTATTTCAATCATAAATTGTTGATGTTGACGTTGGTACATCTGTAAACCCTGCACATGTTGTTAATGGCGTTGCACACGCGTGGCCTGGACTGGACGATATGTTGATGACGCACGTGCAGAATCTGGATCTGCTATTGTTGAATGTGAACGTGAACTAACATAACCAGAACGATGTTGTAAAATGTTTGAGACACTTTTAGATATCCTTTTCATCAACTGATTATTATCAACATCAAGTTTTCTAAAAAAAAAGATTTTGATATATATATATGCATATATCAATATAAAATGTTTGTAAACTTGCCCTTCATTATTAAAGTAGTTTCCAAGATCAATCGCTGTTGTTTGTAGTTTATTTGAATACTACAATACAAAGATATGAAAAATTAAAATGTTAAAGTACTTAAACGACTTACACTGTACTGAATCTTATATTTATTGCTACCCAGGTTGATCAAAACGGACTCGTTTACGGTCTGTTTGTCGACAGTAAACGATGTCAAAACGGTATCTTTACGGCAGTAAATAGGCCATATTTGCCCGTAATACCTGGCGCAGTAGTACAGCACCGTAAGCGGGACTGAATTTTCATGGTTTACGGCTGTTTGTGCTCCGTACTCTCATGATAATACGGTCTGTATTACTGCACCAGATATTACGGCAAAATTTCGCCCCTAAAATAGTCGTAAAGTAACCGTCAATGGCCGTATACGGACCGTACTGTTCGACCTGGGTACGAACAGATTGAATAGTTTCTACTAATTTATCTTCTTTTTTATATTCAATATGAATTTGTCCTTGAGTATCACGAGAAATAAATAATCGATTTGCAGTCTAAAACAGTAAAACCAATATTATTTTAAAAAAAACAAGTATCCTACTTCATTTTCATTTCTTTTTATTAAAAATCCTCGAGTAAGAAAACAATAATGGGTAATGATTATGACTTGATCATTACCTAAAAGTTCAAGTTCATATTGTTTACGCAAGTTTCGCAGAGAAATTTAAGTTGTCATTTATCTGAAACTAGATATAACTTTACAAATTAATTTATAAAGATTATTAGTTTAGAGGATCAAACAAATGAAATAAATGAGAACGTAAATCTAACTTGAAGTTGAGCTTTTTTCTATCAATTTCATATAAAGTTAATGAAAGAGAAATAATTGAACCAAAAGATTATGGAACATGATAATGAAATGATTGACGACGAAGAAATTGTATAACAGATTATCGAAATTTTTCATCAAAGTCATTTATTTCGAATAATAAATCATTTTTTATATTGTTTTTTTCAGCCTAATTAAATAAAAAATAATTCGATATGTAGTAGATGAAATACGCTACTTGTTTAAGTTCAAAAACTAACGTTGGTTCAAATTGAATTCGTTATGTGCATTTAAGCATATTTGTTTGATCAAATTTTTCCAAATAAAAGAAATGTTTACTATAAGAAAAAGTAAACAAACAAAGGAATAAAATAAAATTTAGAAAATTGGAGAAAGAAATAAAACAAATATCATTCAAATTAATTTCATGTTAATGGTAATCGACCTGTTAAATAATGACCATTTTCTATGTACAAAAGTACGTATCATTTTTTTCTTTTGAAAGATCTCAACAAAAAAATGAAAAGATACTTTTCTGATAAAAATTGACATAAAGTATATATATATATATGAATTTTTCTGTTTGTAGTACAACAAGAATAGCGGATAATGATAAATCATCAATTGAATATTTTTATTATTATTATTAACTGTAATTGAATGATGTAGTGATACAGCCATAAGACTAGATTTGAATTTGTTCACTATAATCCGTTATTACATCAACATTATACTAGATTAGAACTTGACTTTGAAGATATTTTGATGTTGATGTTAATTGAACTGATCTTTTTTCAAAACGCATTCATGATGTACGTGCACGTCGAATCTAACTTGGAATTAATTCTTTATCATTTATTATTTATTTTGTATAGTTTAAAATTGAATTTGAATCCTAAGTATAAAATATTAATTTAAAATATCAAAAGATTTTCTAATTTACGATTATGTCTTATGAATTGGCATCTTTTCGGCTTGTGTCTTCCTATAATAGCAAATAAAGTATTTAAAACATAAAAAGTGAAGAGATATACATTATCCAACGTGTTGATGCTGGTTTGAAAATATATATGGACACGTCAACATGAGCATATTCACCCTAAAATAAATGATCGGACGTCTCAGATTATGAATGTAATTCAACATTTTTTCTTCTGAAAGGATCATCACGAAGAAAAAAAGTCATTTTCAATTTTTGGTCTCTGTTTATTATTTCTTTTCTTGCTCTAATCTCTGCATTGGTTTATAAAAAAATCAAAATCGTAATCAGGGTAAAATCTTCAGAAATCATCTCATCTATTCTTTTTTGAGATTTACCCAACACATTAGCATTAAAATTCTGTTGTAATCTATAGATTTGCAAATTTTACACAGATCAAAAAGGAAAATCCGCTGAAATCTTGATGAAACATTTTCATGCATTTTCTCCATTATCCCGAATAGGATCCTGAACATCGAATTCTCGATAGTTCCTAAAGATAAACCTGCAAAGATCTTAACAAAATTCTCGTATTTCCTATCAAGACCCAAATCACGGTTGATATTATCTTGTTAGGATCTGAAAACACTTGCTCCTGGAAAATTCCTATCAGAATCCTGATTGAAACTTGTCAGGATTTATTCATTTAGGAATATGACTGACTAATCTTGTGTTATTCTTCTCAAGATCCTTCTGTGATTTAGCTATAAATCTTGATAGGAATCTCATATTAGAACTTCATTACACCCAGATCGAAGAATCTGACACAAGATCTTGGAATATGTGCGAAGTCTTACAAGAATCTGACAAAAAATCGTACTCTCTGAGATCTTACGTTAGATCAAGTCTCACAATCAGATTCTTGAAAAATCGTACACATTGATAAGATCTTTCAAGAATCTGATTCTGCGACTAGATCTAAGATCTCAGAGACTACGATTTTTTGTCGGATCTTACACGATCATATAAGATCAGATGCAGAATCTTATCAGATCTTAACATCTGATTGTTTGCCCTGGGCAGAGCTCGTCTAAAACTTGAGAAAATCTTGACTGAATCCATTCTATTATTCTTGTCAGAATCCCAAGTAGGATCGACAGTGTGCATGGTTTTCGTTTGGTTTTGCTTAGCGTGGAAAGATTCGAAGGAGAAAGTCTCGTAAAACTAGAGAGAAACAGTTTTGCATTGTTTTTCTTACAGGAAAAAAAATATTATCAGCTAGAATTTGTGAGTTTTTCTGATTCAATCAAGGCAATATTTTTGTGCTGCTTTATCTCTTAGCGTGTAAATGCAATATAATTCAAAGTATGTAGGAATTCTTTTTCCTTCGGACTTGAACGTTTTATTTTTTAGGCTTATTAGTGATGTCTTAGCATCCTCTGATTTGGCTGATCCAAAAATGAAAATAGATCAATGTAAAAAAAATGGTTTCCACCTCAAGAGACAATAGATCCATATAAAAGAGAAAATAAATTAATTTAAAGAGAAAACAGTTTGCACCTAGCGAGAAAATAAATCAATATAGAAGAGAAAATAGATGATTGTCTTTGGCATGTTGTATTCAGCCCACAAATAAATTAAAATCGTCTACGAATTTGCAAAGAAAATTGAGAGGGAGAATTTCGCCGCTCATCGTAAAAAATGACAGTGTGATTCCATGTAGGATCCTGGATCCTCGATTCAAGAAAGAATATGTACAGAAAATTGAAAAAGTCTGAAAATGATCCTGAATCAAAACTGGCGGGATTCTTTGGATTATCATTCCTAAAGTTCCTTGGAAGCTCTCTTAAGAAAAGCACATGATTGAGCAGAGTAAACAGTAATCTACGAAGATTCTAACTGAATCCTTATATTTTCTTATCAAAATCTTGATAAGGATTCCCATCGTGTTGCAAGGTTTGGAATCGCGCATTCTTGGAAAGTTTTGAACAAGATCCTAAACAAAGTTTGGTAGGATAGTTCGTTTAGGATTCTGAATAATCTTGTTATTTTCTTGCTTAGATACTCGTTTGACATAGCTATTAATCCTTTCAGAATCCTAATAGGAGGTTTAGTTCAGGCATTGACAAGAACTTCATAATATCTTGGCAAAATTCTGTTTCTCATTCCTATTAAGATCCTGAGTGGGATCAAGAGTGAATCTTGGCAGCATCTTGCATTCTCAATATAGAAAAATAGCTCAGCAGAAACTTGAACAAATCATAAAAAGGATCGTGTTTTGAATCTTGAAAAATCCTGGGAGCACTAATTACTAAGATTTGAGACAGAATCCTGAATATAACTTCGCTAAATCCTTGAGATTCACGATTGTGAAAGATCCTTCCAAGCTTTCGCTGGAAACGATCAAGAGTAGTAAATGTCAAAAGGAAGTCTGGAACAATCCATATAAATTCTGCAGAATAGTTTCTACAAATTATTTTTTATTACACAACAATAATCTTGTGAAAACCTATTCTAAGTCACATCATACAGTCAGAAATTGATTTTAGATTAAAAAATCAACTTACAGCTATTGTAGAACAAGTAAATTGATGTGTTTCACTTGAATTTCATGCTATTGCATAAATAACATCTTTTAATGAATAGCTTCAAATAAAACATTTTTAAATGAAATTAATCAAGAACGAAATCTTTTTTCTTGCTTCATACGAATATCAAAAGCAAGAAGACTAACGATGAATGATTGAGCATTTACATAAGCCACAATAGATAATGTTTGACATGATGAATAACCGACTGGATGAATCAGCTGAAAAAAGTAAATATTATTATAAAATATCGATAAGAAAAAGTAGCAAACTTCATCAATTGAATCATTTTCATAGTTTCGTTTTTGCTCATTTATCACTTCCATAAAATTGAATCGTATTCTTTACTAGAATAGCGAATATCTATAAATATTCAGAATTGAATCTTCATTTAAATAAGATAAAATGAAGTTTACATGATCATTTTTCTTCCAATCGATCTTCATTAATAACGATGCCGTTCGAAATCAATTTAATTAGAGAAGAAAAATACTTGTCTAACAATCTACTCAGCATCATATGATTTATTGATAAGTTTCAATTATTTTACTAATCTTTATTTATCCATATTAAACATTCGAATACAATCATCACAAAATGATGTCGCCTTAACAAAATTCATTTCCTATAAAATAAAAAAAAACCTTTCTTACGAGATATCGTTTTTCTTCATAAGTATTTGATGCCAGTATTGGTGCTTGATGCTCATCAAAATACTTCATTTTATTTGAATCATCATTATAATTAATTATCAAGTCTTAAAAATCTCTAAAAAGGAAAAGGAATACAATGAAATAAAAATAAATAAAGTCATTAAATGCTAATAGAGATATCTGCTTTGTTGGCAAGAAAACAAAGAATCTTTTGTCCTCGATTATTCGTGTGTTCATCTGACGTCATTTTTCTTTTTCTCTTATATCGATTGTCTGCTTAAGCGGACTACTAATTCGTTTCGTTCTTCTTTTCTTTGAATGTTTTGTCTGATAGATATATTTAGTAATAAAATAGATACATATTATTTATTTTAAAACACATTTGACGAAAATATCGACGTCAAATGAGAGTTTTTAGTAAAACGCCGAAAGTCGTTCGTTGAATAGTAATTAGTTTCAAATAAGTTGGAATCAAACATTTTAAAGTAGAACTAGATGGTATTCGATTTTCACTCGTATACGAAATGCGATGCGAAGCAAGAATCTGGATTTCCAACGAAAAATCATGAATTCGAAGAAATCTTGAATACTTTTTATGTAGCCATAATGGTATTCATCACTGAGAAAACTATTCCTACTTATCGATACATTCTCAAAGATCGATTATTCGACAGGAGAAATCAGACAAAATTTGTATGATATAGAGATTTTAATGTTACTAATACTGTATTTGGATGCGTACGCGACGGACTACAGAAATGCTTCTGCTTCGCATCGCATTAAAAAAAGGGGTCCTTCAAGTTTCATCTTGCTGCGATTATAAAGTGCTTTTTCGCATGATACTACATTTGGTATGTAGAGTGTAAACACTCGCATACCAGAAAATAATCACTAAAGTGCTTTTCACAATCAGCATGATTACGATGTTCAGTAGATAGACTTCATCAATAAAATTGATCCATGTTGATAGACAGCAGTTAAATTTGAGAATGTTTTGTTTTTCATGCATGTAATATGTAAACTCTATCGAATATTGCACATGTACAAACTCAGTAAAAGAATTTGCTCAAGTCTGCAATGGCTCGAAAGAAATGATGTTGATATTTTCTTTTTGTTAGAAGCAATATTAATTGGCGAATGTTGTAACGATTAGTGAACAGACTTGTTTAAATGATTACAATTTTGTTTAATTTTTTGAAACTATAAGTTTTATAAAAGGAGAAAAGTTTGCTATTAATATTCACAAAGTAGTTTTATGCGATAATAGTATATTCATGAATTTTACAAATGCGAATCAAACAGAATGTGCAAAACTTTCGTACGATTCAAAATATTTACCGTAATTTATTTAAGTTTCATTCAATGATAAATGAAAATTTCATTCGACATAATGTCATCAACAATATCTCTTTAAAATAATTGATTTCATTCAAAAGATCTCTATATCATTGTTTCGAAATGTTTGAAAAAGGTTACATTGAAAACTTATGAAAATCTTGTTTCATGGACTCTAATATGATTTGAGTTGCAGTTTCTGTTTTACAATTATAGAAAACAAAATGCTAGACAATGCGAGGATGAATTATACCACAAGAAATACTATTGTATTCATGAAATTGGTATAACCAAAGTGAAATAAAGTGATACTAGCAATGATCACAAAAAAGTGACAATGACAAATTATGGAAAAAAATATTATGAAATCTAAAGCAGTTATAGATTGTGGTTGATATTTTAAACCGCATCCACCGAGCGGTCGCAATGATTTTTAATTCGAACAAGTAAAACACACAATATTGATAATATAATCTATGAAATTCGATCAACAATAGTCGAATTTTTGATTGCTTTACTTACTACGAAATCGTTCTCACGTATGTTTTCTTTTCTACGTCGTTAATATTCATTTTATTGAAAGATAAAAATCGAACTCAGAAATTTCCATCGATTCATACACAAACATAAAATACAAAAAAAACACTGTTAATAATAATAACTTAGGTTATACTTAATAATGTGAGAATATAGGGAGGAAAAGTTGTATCGAAATTTGCATCTATCTATAAAATAATGATATGAACACAAGAGTATTTGCCTCCTACAAAAATATTTCTTTTCATATAGACGCTTTGCATCGAAAAACCAAATTTGTTTCGTTTTAGCTAAATTGAATAATAGAGATTAGTAGAAGGTGCGTGTATATTGTTCTTTACATTTGCTTCGTTCTTGTAAAGTAAATATGTGTATACTTGTTTGATCTAATAGTTCCATTGATTTTTGGCCTCGATGACTACAACTTCAGTTTTTTTCTATAGATAATATATCATATTTCATAGAATATTCTCTCTCTCTCTCTCTATAAATATATATACAAGAGGAATCATAACCATGTTTACACATTGTGAGAAATTTGTATAGAATGTTGGAAACACAACCTGATACTGACCATAATGGTACGTAAAAACAATCAAAAACCTATCCACGTATAAATAATCTATTTACCTGTTTATTTAACTAGTTAACTGGCCTGTAAAAACATCAAGTTTTTTTTTCTTTCTGTCAAGCATCCGAATATACACCCCCTTTTCTACTTATATAATTCCTTTTTTTTGCATTTCATTTTCATATAATATATTCGAATAGCAACGTAAATTTTATTAAACAAAGAAATCTTTTTCACAAAAATGACTATGAATGAAAATAGTGGGAAAAGTAGAATTAATTTTAAACGTAATCGAGTAAAATTTTATTTATTTCGTAGGCCGCATGACAATGCTTGATGAACGATATTTATCTATTGCTGATTTACAAGAACGTCAACAAAAATTAGACCATGAAATAAAGAACCTTGAGTGAGTCTAGTTTATTTCCATTTGAAATAAATTGTTCTTACTATTAATCTATAATATAGTTTGGGAGCATTGGAAATCACTGAAGATGATTTATATGACGAATGGTGTGATCCGAAAACACCTCGTATACTCCGTTTCGAAGAAATAGCTGCTGCAGCCTATCGAATTAAATTTGGTGTTGAAAGAACACCATGTACAGTGCGTATTTATTCTGATATTTAAAATTCGATAGATTTTCTTTTGTCTGTAGAGCTCACATCTGTCTAAAGTCACTGGGATGGATTTGTATTTGAAAAAAGAATTCTTATTACATACAGGTAGTTTTAAAGAGCGTGGTGCAAGAAATACTCTAATGACTTTGCCACCGGTTTGTTGTTCGTTTTGATGTTATGAATTAAGAACCGATCTTTTTTGTGTTAATAATTAGGAAGAAAAAGGTCGAGGAGTCATTGCAGCCAGTGCAGGTAATCATGCTTTAGCTATCTGTTATCATGGCCAACAATTGGGTATACCAGTTGTGGTTGTTATGCCAAGGCATGCACCAATTATGAAAGTAAACAATTGCAAATCATTTGGAGCTGTTGTTATTGTTAGAGGAATGGATTTATCTGAAGTAAATAATTCGATAGATAAACAAACAAACAAACAAACAAAATTACTCTATTTTTCTAATTCTAGTCAAAACGAGTAGCATTAAAATTGTCTAAAATGTTACAATTACGATATGTTAATGGGTAAATAGAACTAATATTTGAAAGTGTTCATCTTTTTCTTGATTTTAGTTTTGATCATCCAAATATTCTAGCTGGCCAAGGAAGTCTAGGTCTTGAAGTTCTTGATCAAGTTCCAGATGTTGATGCAATCATTGTACCAACGGGTATTTCAATTTTAACGGATCAATAGTATTTTCTTTATACTTTTCTTTCTTTATTTATTTTAGGTGGTGGGGGTCTTTTAGCTGGCATTGGTAAATTAGTTATAAATTTCTATGAATTTTTTCATCCATTAATAATTGAATATTATTTTTTTCTTCTAGCGGTTGCGATTAAATCAGTTAATCCTCGTGTACAAGTTATCGCCGTTGAATCTGAACGTGCACCAGGATTTTGTACATCATGGAAAGGTAATCCGAAAAATGAGTTTCCGTTTTTGATTTGTAACTATCTGAATATTTATTTTAGCTGGTCGACCTGTTTTTACGGAATGTCTTTCGACATTAGCCGATGGTCTTGCTGTTTCTTTGGTTGGTGCAAATGCTTTTGCAACAGCTGCACCGTTAGTTGATAAAGTTGTTTCTGTAAGGTTAGTATCGATGAAATTAAACAGAAAATAATACTAGTTAAAATTTAGTGAAGAATATATTGCTATTGCTATACTACGTTTGGTTGAAATGGAAAAAGCTGTGGTTGAAGGTAAAAAATTTTGATTTTCATCTATTGAATCAAATTTTAAACTAACTATTCTATTGTGTTTAGGAGCTGGTGCTACAGGTTTAGCAGCTATTTTACAAGGTTTACTACCTGAATTACAAGGAAAAAAGTAAGATAAGACGACATGAAAGAAACAAAAATTAGACGACTGCTTATTTTTAGAGTAGTAATACCATTATGTGGTGGTAATATTGATACAACTGTACTCGGGCGTGTACTTGAACGTGGTCTTGTTGCTGATAAACGTCTAGTAAAAGTTTGGTTAACAGTCAGGTAACAAGATTTTTATTCCATGGAAATCTTTATGAATCTGTTTTTATCTAATTCATTAGTGATCGTCCGGGATCGTTAGCACACATGTGCAAATTATTTAGTACAGCTGGTGCTAGTGTTAAAGATATTTATCATGAACGAGCTTGGCTTAAATCTGATATGTTTTCAGTTCAAGTAATCGAATTTTTAATTTATTAGCTAGTTCAATTATTTATTTTCTCGTATTGATAGATACAAGTTGTATTGGAAGTACGCGATAGCGAACATGCTGATGAAGTAACGAAGATAATATCTGAAAATTATGAAGATGTTAAATTCTATCAAGGGCAAATATAGCAAAACATGTATTACTCAACTTTGAACAATAAATCAATAGTTAGCAAAACAATAGAAAGAAGTTATTGCATTAAATATAACACAAAAAAATGTTTTTCAGACTCTTCAATAGTTAGATTCTTTTGATTCATTTTCACAAACTTATGTCGATAAATATTAGAAATAAAATATTTATATCAAAATATCATTTTTATTGAAAAAAAGAGGAATATTGAAATTTTGATTTTGCACTCTCTGTAGATGACAATCTTACTGTGTTAAGAGCGGCTATACAATGAATCGAAATTTCGTCTGTATGTCTTGTATTTCAATAAAGGACGAGTATTAGATATAAGTGTACAATAACTAAAATAGATTTTAGATTGACTTTAGTATGGATAAATGCTGGTTTAATAGTAAAATAATTGGTATTTTAAATTTTGATATGAAATCATAATTAACTGTGAAAATAAATCACAGTCTTGATCTATTCCAGTGTATAATTCAATTTTGTGTTCCATAAAATAAATGAGAGTCAACACGAAACCAGATTAAGTTTAACATAATAATTTGTATCGAAACTCTGCTGTCTATTGTACATTTAATGAGAGACTATTATCGATATTATCAATTTCATGTAAATGAACTTTACACATTTATTGAAACTTGAAATTTCGAGCTATTGTAACTGTTCTATTTGGCCTTTATCCGCTGATATGCTTTATGCAGTAAATACTATTTGTCGATTTAAAACAATGCCAGAAGTTTGTTGTTTTATTTAAATTAAAATAAATAGTATTTAGAATAAAAATGATCAATAAAGAATATTATTTTTAGTTTTCTGCACATATTAAATGACATCATCAACATGAATGCAATTGATATTTGATATAATTCAAGAAAATAATTTTCAATAGTGATTGATAAGTTTGATACGCTATTGTTTTATATGCAGTCTAAACTTGAATAAATTGAAATATATATATATATTTCTTTCAAAGAAATAAAACACTGACTGGTCTATGTTTCCTTTTGATGAGAAAAGAATGAAGCTGTCATCTCTTTTTTAACCAACCAGTGTACGTCCCGATGGTTCTCTCTGTTATATGTCGTCATTTTCAAAATGGTCAACAACTGGCAAAGTCACAATACGCTCATTTTGTATATGAAGCAACTATTTAGCCGTTAAAACGTCATCTAATGTTCAGATGAGGCTCATTGAACGGAAGCTTTTCTTCTCTTTTCATTTGTTGCTGCTTGATCTTCTCTCTCTCTCATATACAGCAAACGACGCGCTCGATTGACATATCCCGAGAGAACGAATCATGTGTCACACCTCACATACATTTGTCGAATTATTTAGCCTTTTGGCCCTGTATTCACGTATATATACAGTGAGTTCACCTTGTTTTATGGCCTTCACACACACACACACATATATACATACATAGACTAAGGGTAATTAGAAACCATCACGAAAAAAAAAAACTTCGTGAATAACATCATTTAGACAGGTAAACTCTATAAAATATAAAACAACATAAAAGTTGAGTTATCACTAGCGCGCAAAGAACATTTTATGAGAAGAAGAAGGAAAAAAAGGTAGCTTTATTACTATCTCTCCTTCAAGCTATGTTATAATTGTCAATGTCGTTTCATAACAATCCTTCATAACTTGAGAAGAAAACAATTGGTTTTTATCTTTCACACGTAGTGCATTCCGATAGAAAGGGAGAAAATCAGATAACTTTGATTTGTTGATCGTTTAATCACAAATGTATACACTGCTCATATGCGCACAATCAGAAGAACATATTGCCAATAATAATGGATACGTAGTTCCCTGTGGAGAGACGAACAGAAAAAGAAAGTATACTAGTAGCATCTGATTGATCAAACGGATATGAGTGGAAAAGTTTAATAGGGCCATTGAACGGCAACAGCAGTTGAAAAGTATCGAATCGTCTGCATTTGACCGATAACGGGTGCATGTCATAGAGACCAATCGGTTGTGCATATGTGTGAGAAAAACGATTTAAAAAATAACACAAAGAGAACAAACAACAGCGGGTGGTGACCATTTCAAGCCAAAGAAATAAAAAAACACTTGTTTAGAAAAACCTTTTAACATTAGAAATCTCAATATGTTTTTGTTGTTCTTGTCCTCTGTCATTCTTCGTCGTTCTTTTCTCTTGACAAACAGAAATTACTTATAAAATGACAATAAATAAGGGCGAATCCATTAGTGAGGCTTTAATGCGATACTGATATTGCTCAATAATATGATATATTTATTTTTATGGAGACCATTTCTCTCCCTCTACTTTCTCTCGCTTTTTTATGTATACATGCGTATATATATATATATATATACAATGTACCTTGTGCAAGTATAGTCGATCAACATGTATTATTGTCGTCGATAATAACCAAATATTCCAATATGATATCCTTCGATCAAAAATCAGGTAGTAGCTATCATTACAGAAGGTTTCAAGTGAATCAGAATAGCAAATCACGACAGATATTTCTATATGAATTATTTTATGCATAAGAGATATGATGTAAACAATAGTCACACAACGAAAAGTTACAGATTTCAAATGACGTAAGAAACACACCTCATTAAGTTTTGTTTGTACTATTCGTCGGGATGTTGCAGTTGACAAATAGCAATAAAAAAGAATTATGTCAAGCGAGACATGTATATATGCGTATATCTCTTTATTCAAATTTCTTTTAAGTGAAGAATAAAGCATGAAAAATCTGCGTACGATTGTTTTCGTTTTCAATTTGAAGAGTTTTTCAATTTTACTCATAGAATATTTCTATGTACAATTTAATGATAACAACAAATATATACGTATTCATTATAAAAAAAAGAACGTTCATTTTAAACATATTCTCCTTGAAACTACATCAAACTCTAATTGAGAAAGAATAGCTTAAAAACTTGTCCAAGAAGTCAATCTAACCGAATACTATACCCCCAGAAAAAGAAAGAATGGAAACATATGCTATACAACAACAACAACTAAACAGATGATACTGATAATAGAAATACTATTCTTGAGTTGACAGATATATTTTTCTCCATTCCTATAACTTCTTCTCCGTAGCTATAAATTGATTGGCTATCATTAAACAATATGTTTCTAAAATAGTATATCGACAGTGACAAATTCTCTCGCTCTCACTCTTCATTAACTAACTAGTTTCATCTATAACACCACTAACACTTGATTGATCAAAACAAGCGTAATGAATAGTATAGGTAGAAACAAAACGATGACAACATGATCAAAAACAAAATGCCGAGTGTCGGTTCCACCGACATTGTCATCGACGTCATCAAATTCCCATTAGAAAGAACACGTTGCTAACGATCAAGAGATGTCTTTTTAGTATATATGGTTCAATTGAATCAATCTTAAGGATAAATTCAAGTGTTAAAATGTTTAAAAGAACGGATATATAACAACTTGATAGTCTACTTTCTTAATTTGTTTTGTGTAATGCTTGAAATTCCTCGGTATGGCATTCTTTTGTATCTCAATATGCATACAAATGCTTGTCACGTCACAATTCTCGTATAAAACACGACTGATATAAAGTCTGATTTTCACATATCTATGCGAGAGAAAAGGTCGATCTTCTTCATTGTAAAACAGATCGAAAGGCCAAGTGGCCGACGATTTGAATCGCTAAGTTCTTATCGTCTTCATTTGATGCAAAAAAAACAGGGAACCACTTCGACTCTGTGATTATTCGTTTATGACTATTTTATAATATGACACATTTTATATGACAACATCCAACTTGAAAAACATCAGAAATGAATAATTTAGACAAACATGGATTGAATTTATAGTTTTCGATCTTTGTTTTTTAAAAAGATCGAACAAAACAAAACGTATTTACTATTATGTTTACTTCAACGAATTCAATTCAATGGATAATGTATTAATTATTATTCAAAATTCGTTTTCAATACACAACAGTTGAAATAAGGTCAATCGATTCGACACAGTCATCGTTTTCCATTGATTGAAACTCTAATCAATAAGACATTATTTTTGACTTTTGTTTTCTCTTTCTAGTCATGATGACTATTTTTTTTTCTCAACAAGAATAACAATACAGTCGGTATTTGTTCAAAAGAACCATTTTAACTCGAATATGCATATATATATATCAAGACGTAGACTAAGTAAGAATGATCATTAAAGTAAAAAGGAGAAAAATAAGCAAACGATAAATTGACAGTGATTGTAATCTAAATATGTAGGAAGAACGAAGAGTAAAAGAAAAATTTTTTCAATCACACCTTTTCTTTTTTAAGGTTTATAGTCTATCTATATGCATCCATCTTTTTTCTCTTCGTCATCATATCAATATATATGCATGCATACACATACATCTATTTGATCTATGTGAAATATGTTTTGCATGGTTTCTTTTTGCTTTTTTTTCTTCTTCTTCTTCTCCTATGATAGTACGAGAGGGACACAAAATGAGTCGCACATAGATACTTTCTATCTGTAGTTTAGTGCACCTCCGCAGGGTGATGACAAAATGAGCAATCGTTCTTCGGGGACCCCATATGCATATATTGATGATCAATGCGATACGATGGCAAGAGCGAGCGCAACCGAGAAAAGAGAAGAAAAATATATAGAGAGCAAGTGTATACGAGAAAGAGAGAGAAATTGCGAGAGAACAGAAGCATATGTCTATTCGAACCTATCAAACGAAAGAACTGTATTGATTGGTTGAACTTAAAAAAGTGCACAAAAAGAGAGAAAAAGTCCCGTTAAATTTCTCCTAATGTCCTTTTTCTTTTCTCTTCATCGTACGTGCGTTCCGAATGGCTCGAAAATATCATCATCTCATCTAACGATAATGCTAGTGGAGCAAAAACAATAACACGACTATTGAGAGAAAAAAATAGAGAGATATCATTCTCTTCTTTCTCTCCTTTTTTATGCACTCTCTTTTTGCAACCAACGATAGAAAGAAGTTATTTCCTCCTAACAAATCATTGTAAAGTGCTGTCGATCATTGCCTCCATATTCATTTCAATTGTCGTTTAAACACGTTCTTTTTTTCTTCTTTTTTTGCTTTATTATTATGGCCGGGTATTAGTGGCTGTTTTGAGTTTTTTTATTTCTTAACATTAACTACTATCATCCATCTTTTGACCTGAATGTGTGTGAACTTTTTTATGGGCAATATTATTGTTTGACCTCATCAGCGACTATACAACAACAACAACAAAAAATAAAATAAAATAAAATATTCTCTTTCTCCATATATATAAAAGTAACGATAATTACACAAGACAATGAATAATTATTTCAGTCTATCATCAACATCAGCAAACGATCTTTTTTCAAGCAATGCAACAACGAACACTACCAATGCTGGATCATCGACAACTGATGACCAACAAACAACAAATAACGATGTTAACAATTCAACATCATTCCTTTATGACAATGATTATAATCGAGGTGGATTTTCATCACCATTCGATCGAATAACATTTCCTAATCCAACAGCACATAAAGATCAACTAATGAATTCATATTCAAATTTTACTATGATGCAAGCAGCAGCTGCATCTATTTCGAGTTCAGCATCTCACCATCATCATTTACAACAGCAGCAACAACAACAGCAACAACAAATTCATCTTCAACAACATCAATCAACAAATGATTATCTTTTACCACCGCCAAATGGTACTACGTCATGGAAACAATCGGAACCAATATCATCATCATCGATAACTGCTACACCAGGCAATGATATGATGCCACCAACAGCAATACCAACATCTCATCCTCATCATCATCAATTATCAAATTTTCCTATGGCAGTTACAAATCCAATGCTTTATTATGCACATCCATGGATGAGACCAGGTATAGAAAAAAAAAAAAAGAATAAATCATGAAAGTTAATCAATAGGACAAAGTAGAAGAAGAAGAAGAAGAAGAAAAAAAAATGATTTATAGACAACGTATGCAGGAAACATAAAAACTTGACATAAATGTAATCCATTGTATTGATTAACTTCCTTAGCATCTTGTTTGTCTATTAAATGTAATGAATGGTTAGTAAGAATAATTCTTTTTTTTTTCTTGTTTCAATAGAATTCAATTTTGAGCATAAACGTACACGTCAAACATACACACGTCATCAAACACTTGAGTTAGAAAAAGAATTTCATTACACAAAGTAAGTTTCACAAACAGAAAGAATCGTTCGTTTATTTTTATGCTTATTTCAATTTTTAAAAAGGTATTTATCACGTCGACGACGCATTGAAATTGCTGGTGGTCTTGGATTAACCGAACGACAAATCAAAGTAAAGAAATTTTGTTTTTTTAATTTTTTCTATTTCCTTTTGTTTTTCAGATTTGGTTTCAAAATCGGTAAGAATAAATAAAGTTCTAATTTTCTTTTTCAAACAAAAACAAGTCCTCTTATTTGTCTATTTCAGTCGTATGAAATGGAAAAAAGAAAATAATTTTGCATCACTCAATGATCCTAAGGTTAAACTAGAAGCAAATGCAACAAGTCATGCTAGTATTGGACAGAATCATCATCCACATGCGATGTCAACAACTGATGCATCATCATCATCATGGGTATCGGGTACAAACGTTAAAAAAGAAAACAATCCTCATCTTTCTCATCAACATCCTCATCAATACGGTAGCAATGGAAATAATAAATAGAAAACCACATATACAATTATCTGTATATATAGAGAGAGAGGGAGAGAGGGAGAGAGTGAGAGACATTTGACTTCTAGTCGATTGGAATATGAGCACGCGTTCTTTTTCTTTGTTTTGTTCATATAATTGTTCTTTTTTTTTTCTTGAATTTGTTTGCAAAAAAAATAATATTCGATTATCAAAGATATGCATATGAAGGATTATTGACCAATGAAATGATTTTCAATATGATTAATTGCATCAATCAAAATTCATACTTGAAATACTTAAAATATTGATGATTCATGTTATCGATAACGAGAAGCAGACTCTTTTTCAATCTATCAATATTAATATTATGTAAATGAAAAGTATCGATAAGAGAAATTTGTGTTCTGTACAATTAATGGATAAATATAATTGTGAATATCAATTCAACTTTGAGAATAACTAAAAAACACTAAAATTTCAGATGTAAAAGAATCCATTTTTCAATCCTGTATTTATTTCGTTTTGTTATTTTTGAAGATACTTCTTTATAGAAGCTTGCAGGCACAATTTACTTGATTTCCGCTCTCTTAAGGCTTTCAAAAATCTTATTAAGATTACATTTCTATTCTTTTTCTTGAGAAAAAAATTATAAATAATAGTACAGCACAAACGCTTGTAGTATCACGTTTGATATAATGCAACATTTTGTAAACTCTAACACTATTTAACGATATAGGGCTCATTTGGCCTATCCGCCAAGACTAATGTTGACTGATAAAAAAATGTCGAAAAACGTTTTCTTTATTCGCATATCGTGTAGCCGATAAAATTTCTGAATGTCTTTCATGAATACAATAACATTGACATTAGCAAAAATTGAAATTGTTGTAAACAGGTAAAATAAATCAATTTGTAATTACTTATATGTAAAAATTGAAGAACAGGTTAAAGAGAGCAATATCTACCATTAGTGAAACACAACCATACAAAAATAGGGATAATTCGACAACACCAAGGGCAAAGTCAAATCATTCGGGTGGAGGCCATCATCATATGACTATCTCATAAACTAATCTTGTTAATAGCACTTTATATGGAAAAGAAAATAATGACTGTAATAATTTAATATTAATTTAATGAAAAACGATATGAATTTGTACAATTTTAATGAATCGATTTTTATCATTTTAGCGTCTATTTTAATACATCTAATAGCTGATAGGGTAGAGCTATTTTTTTAAGCAACCATTTTTTGTATCTTTCTGATGCTCGAGATCTTCACACGATCTTTTCGTTTTCTACTTGCATGATAAATAGAAGAGTATAAAACTGTTCCGACAAGACCTGTTTTCTTAGTAATTCATTAAGTCGTTGAGATATTTTGGAAGTCATGCAATGAAGATATAATATTAGAATCCTACCAGTATACATGGGTCCATCATAAAGAGGATTCTACATAGTTCATATGCATTCCAAATATATTGTCAGAAAAAATTCAACAGTATAGTATTTTAATTGTATGGTATTGTGATTTTGACATCTGCTTCAAAATAAAGAAATTTAAATCTCTACTTCAAAGAAATATTTTACAAGATTGCTTTTCATACTTCAATACTTATAAATCGAAAGCTAGTAGATCGTTTTAGGTAGATGACGTGGTTTTCAATAAGACAAAACTCATTCGTATATAGTATTGCGAAAAAATACGCTTTGACATTGTTTTCTTTCGATAACTAAAAACTGCAAACCACCAGATGTTGTCGTTATTGAGTTAGAGAATTCTGGACAGTCAAATAACTACGGTTATGCTAAATAAATATTATTTTCATCATAGAAAATTGATCATCATGAAGTCGTGAATATTAAAATCATGATTTCCTAGATGAAACATTATGAATACACAATATAAAGGAGTTATTGTTGATTGTCATGCATGTGACTGTAGATTGATGCATAGATAACATCAGATATGCATGATTTCCTTTTTTGTATGTTCACAGGTTGGTTTCTTTAGTTTCAGTAAAATCATTCATACATAGACTATTAACAGATCAAAATCTCGAGTCGCATATTTGAATAAAGATAGACACAGCATACTGTGTTTATGACGTATATCATGCCCAAGGAAAAATTTCTCACTCTAATCTCGTATTCTCCTATGAAATTTACTTGTTGCTCTATACTAAATGTATTGTAAATACAATTTTTTTGTTATTCTAGAAATTTCTTATTAATAGAAGATAATTAATTACTTCAGATAGGTTAGCTACTCTGCAAGGGTAATTCTTCGAATCATATAAAGTCCTTTTTTTCCTCATATTGTAATATAAATTATTAACTATCAATTGTAATTTAGTTTTTACTGTACATAGCGATTCATTTCCTGCTCAATTTTCTTCACCAGTTTCGGGTTGACCTCTCTATCAAATAATATTCTTTTATCTATTGGGTGAAAACTTCAGAGTGTGCTTTGGTATTTCTGATGTTTTCTCAATATTTTGGTTTTGTTTCTTGTGTATCCCATCTTATTCTTCAGGGCTGTTTAGAGTAAGATCATTATACAATATCTCTATCTTTAATATCGTATAAAAATATGACCATGAAAAAGTCATCATTTTATGCAATTGACAGATTGAGAACTGATAAAAAAGAAAAAGTGATACTCTTTATTGTATTTTAGTCTTTATAAATATGCTTGTATTTGATTAAATGTCACACAATGACGACGAAGGTAATCATTTGAGACGTAAATTCTATTTTCATACAAAATGAATTTAATCTAGAAATTATTTCAAACAAAAAAAAATCTAAGTCAACCAAAGTAAAGCCAATTCCTATATAATTGCAAAAATTGATATTTCTTTCAAGATATAGTATTCTATTAATTGTTCTATTAAAATCTTGAAAGCAAATGTACGTGCAAGAATAAGTATATTCTTATAGTGATTAATTCATTTTTTCTAGCTATTCTCCTATAAACTTATTGCTGATGGTATTTACAGAAAAAAGCAGCAGTGTCCAAGGACTGAGAAATAGGAATTCCTAATGTGCCGAGGAATTGTCAGTGCCGCTGTGATAATTCCTAGAGGAGATGGGAATCAACTATAGGTTCCCTCACAGTTCCACCATTTACGAAACTTGCGATAGTGCTATTTTAAAAATAATTTTTGCATGAAATCATTGATTCTCACAATTTTTCAAGTGAAAATGAGTGTAAGAACAAAAATTATTGTGAATATTCCATATTTTTACCTTTAATATGCAAGGAACTGTACGGGAACTGATGAGGAATTCCTAATCCTCAGTCCTTGGACACAAAAAGGTTCCTCATGAAGAATTTTCAATTAAGAGATTTTTTCAATTAGTTTACGTTATACAACGTCACGTTTTCCACTTCAACTCTTACTTGAATATACAATGTGTCATGTTACCATTTCTTTTTTTAATCAGCCGATGGCATCATATTTACTATGTGAAAATTACGTTGATACTGAGCATGGGCTTACAAATACTCGTTTTTGTTGTTGCTATCCTACGCCTAATGGGATTATGTTAAACCATCAGAAAGTATCATCGATAATACCCATACTACATTATTAGAAAAGTAATTATATAAGTATGAAACCTATTTTGCTCAGGATGCTATATGATATAGATATATATATATATCTTTATAAGTTACAGATTTTTTCAAATCCCTTTTCATTTCGATTCGGTTGTCAACAACATAGATACAAAGAAATAATGCAGGTAAAGATTTTTTTGAATGATTTAAAAAACGAGTTTCTGTAAAAATTTGTACCACTAGAATTTGATTGTATTTATCATTGTTGTCATTTTGACTATACATGTACAATTCTTAATTGGTTTACCGTTGATCAATGATGATGAAACTTATAGTGATCAAAAATCAAAACGTTCTGATGAACCTTTACTTCCGAATGGAAATTTTTCTTTAGTTACAAACGAAAAACTACTTAAACTACAAGAACTTGCTGATGCTGTACATGATCCAAAATTACATGATTTATATCGTGCAGTAAATCATTATGTACAGATGGCTAAAAAGAATAATGAATATGTACTTTGGAAATATGATGCTAATCAAGAAGGTCTTGTTCTTGTACTTAAACAAAATCTAAATGGCATTCTTTACTATGGTTAAAATAATAAACTGTAGAATAAGAACATAACTATCCCAAGTCGTTTTCTGCTTTTGCTTCGAACCTTCAATGTACTTCTATATAATGAAAAAGAAGAATAAAACTAATATTTCAAAGCGGTTTAACATTAATATCCTATGAAAATATGTGACTTTCTTTTCTTCAATTTCTCGAAACAAAAATAATAATATGATATAATAGAGCAACATCAATATATTCCTGTATATATGAAAAAAAAGAACAGAATGTAATAAACTAAAATTTGAGAAAAAAAATGCCAAAGGAGCAAGTTCATTTTATTTTAATTAGAGAAATATCTAACCGATGACAACTGTTGAATCATCTTTGAAAACATATTGAGGAACTTCAAGATTAAGTGGTGCTGGACCTTTTCGTATACGTCCAGAAGCATCGTAATGTGAACCATGACAAGGACAATAATAACCACCAAATTCACCGGCATTTGCTATTGGAATACAACCTTAATATGAGCAAAACACAGATAGATAATAATTGCTATTATTTTTGAATGAATTCTTACCAAGATGAGTACATATACCAATAACAATTAACCATTCTGATTTTTGTACACGATCAGCATCATTTTGCGGGTCACGCAATTGAGCAACATTGACACCTTGTTCTCGTGCTATTTCTTGTGCTGTACGATGGCGAACAAAAATTGGTTTATTACGCCATTCGAATACAGCATTCTTTCCTACGGGAACAGCATCGAGTTTGATTTCGACTTTAGCAAGCGACATAACATCTTTAGCTGGACCAACATAAGCAGCTATATCTCGAACTATATATTTTGCCATATAAGCTGATGTTATAGCCAGACCTTTACAAAACAAAAAGTTTCATTCATAAAAATTAAGAAGATTCATATTTTTGGTTTTGTTTGGAATATTTTGCAATATCTAGATTTTTTATTTGAAAAATAGTTTTGATATATAATTGGAAAAATTATGTGAATGCATTTTGTATTAATCATCATAACTAAGATAGGAATTCGTTTTACTAGATATTTGATATAATCTTGTTTTAAGATTAACATATCAGATTAACAAGGTCTTCACATTGATAATATCTTTATGGAATATTCTATTTGACGAATGACGAACTGACTATGAATATATATACGCATATATTTAAATCAATATAGGACTAGTATTTTATATCTTATAAGCTAAACATTCTTCAGTATAAATATTAATTGGAATAAACATTTTGTTTCTCATATTTTTTCTATTATTCTGTAATTACAAAAATTAAGATATATTTTACATATTTAGATTTAAAAGAAAATAAATTTTCTACGTTATAGTGATGATTCGAACTGATTATCTTTATTTTTGATGATTATACTACTCTATCAGAAATAGTTATCTACAGTAGATTTCATTGATGAGTATGAAAATCTTTCGTACTCAAAGGACATATTTTTTTCAACTCTCTTATAATTGATTCTATCTTTTTATTTGATAATAAAATGTATGCTTACCAACAGGAGCTAAATAAGAATAAGGTGAAGTATTATCGTCAGCATCTCGATACGATTTTGACGAATCAAGACGTGCTTTTCGACGATAGAAATCGAAATTTGGTACTTGTATATCAGTATGCGCATGACGAACGCTAATAGTAGCTAAATAAGTTGAAGTTTTATTGTGAACAATTTCAAAAATTAATAATATCATTATGATAACATACAGTTAAGTCCAGTTGTAATAGACGCATTACCATGTAATAATGTTTTACTCATGGAAACTAATGTATTTGGTAGAGGTATATGTGTATATTCAACTTCACTATGATCATCTTCAATTTTCATTCGCACAGGTCTAGCGAGTTGTCGAACAAGATTCGTTGCCACCTGAGTAGCACGTTTGTTGCACATTTGCATGGCCATATCTGAAATTAAATTAAAAAAAAAAATATCAGGCCAATTGATCTATTAAATTGTTTCTAGTAATTTTGATTATCCATGAAAACTATTTTTATCTAGAAATAAACAAATCTATTAATTCAAAAATGTTATAACAAATATTTGAACTTTTGTGAGTTTTTTTTTCTACCAATGAGTAAAAATAGCCTCATCTTTATTTTCTATAGTCTGAATTTCCATTTTAACAGGCGTTTTTAACAAAGCGGAAAGAATTTCTTCAGTATAACCTATAAGAAAATACATTCGACGTGGATGTATTGTTCGTGTTACAAGTCCACTTAAAATAATCATATTGTGACGTCGTTTTATAATGAGTTCAGTGGCAAATAATGAATGCCATGTACCGTAGATGAATTGTCGAAGGAATAGGTCATCACTTACGATTTCCGCTTTGCGTTTACCATCACGTAAATTTGACGTATTAAATGTATTCCAAGTTTTTGTATGTCCAATAAATTTTGGAAATTGTCTTTGTTCATCTGTTTTTTAAAAGAATAATTAGAGAACAAAAAATATCAAAGCAAGAATATATCATACAAGTTAATGGATAATTTCGTTTTCGTGTATGTTTTGGTATTGCTGCTTCAGTATTAACTTGTGTAACATTCGTTAATTTAACAAACCAGCTGTGAAGAATTGGACTTGTTGATAGATAGCAACGTTGTTGAGAAAGATTTCCGAGAATGTTTAATTTTAAAAGCGTAGTCATCGTGCAAATGAAAGAAAAATACTTCCAAAAGTTATTTTTTGGGCAATACAACTCTTCTTCTTTGACGATTGGATCGAATAACCATAGGTATAGAAAAAGAGACTTTAGAGATATCTATCCGATATGGAAAGTAGTGCCATCTAACGTTGACCACACAAAATGTGAGTTTTTTAATTTTCGTATTTTACTTTTTTCATTATTTAGTTGAGAAGAAGAATGTTTCTTTTTTATTTGTAAGAATTCGAATAACACATAAAGACATTTCTATGAAATCACTTATTTTGTATAGAAAGTTAAGTATTATTTAATAAAATATGAAATCAACAGCAAACAACAGTTCAACTATTTCTCACTTTTCATAGGTAGTAGTGTAGTCAATACAGAGTAAAATCCATTGACATAGATACTTATATACAATAGAAACAATTCATTTATCATTATGAATAATTTATTAAAATTAATAAATCGAAACAGCTATTCAAAAGTACGAATACGAATAAGTAAACATGATTTATTGATTCATAGTTTTATTACTCATAGATTAATTTTATATATAAATTTAAAAGATAAGAATATGAAGTTAAAAGGATAGTAAATAATCTTCTTTTGCATAGTTTATTTAGTGAGTGAGGGGAACGAGAAGGATGAGCGATCGAATTATAAGTGACATATATTTTCACTTGTTGATATCATATCGTTGTCACTAGAAGAACTAACACGATGTGCGTTCTTTTGATATATCTATCATTCGTCACTTAATTTAAAAAATACGGAAGAAGTCGTACAAACCAAATATCTTTTACTTTTTAAAAATGAATATACAACTTGGTTATGTTTTTCATCAAACGATAACAGCAACATCTGATACAAACATTAGTTCTAATGATGGCACACAGTGTAAAAATAATAGTACTAAAAAAACGTATAATAGTCATGTTCGACGAGAAAAAAAGCCACATATTATTATTGATATGGTTACACCAAAACTTTCTCAATCATCCAGTACACAACACGAACGTACTATACTTGTTGAAGCAAGTTCAGCAAACTTTGGAAATGAATGTCTTCGATTGGTTAATATTGTTTTTCAAACAAATCGAAAATTTCCATCAATAATGGGCACACGCAACAGTATATGTCAATATTTAAGAAAAGAACTTTTCAAAAAAATGTCCCAGTGAATATTTCCATATAATTATTGGTCAAAATAATGCTGTCGGTTTCGCTATTGATGATGACGAATATTTTGCAGAAATGAAACAAGAAGAATATCGTGTAATAGTCTTCACAACACGACTAACGCACGATGTGAAATTAGAAACACATGATACTAATAGTCAGATGATGCTTCAATGGAAAACATTAGTAGTCAAACAATCGAAAAAATAAAAACATTTCTTCTCCTATATACGAATAATACTAACATATCATTAGACAGTTATTTTCTGTTGTTTAATTTTATACACAGTATAAAAAGTTAACATTGTTATTTAAAGAAACCTATAATTCAAAGAAAATAATATTTTACAAGCGATGAACAATTTCTAAACGATTTATGATTGACCATATTTACTTTCAGGAGTGCTGATGCAGTTTCGATAAGAAGTATATTGATGAAAATGCACGCTTGGTCTCAACTCTAACACTAACATAAATGAAGTGATTCAAATTATAAATATCATTGGGAACAGACATGAGTTGAAAACACCCATAACAAAATATGTATGTTCAATTAAATTTCATATATTCGTATTCGCTTAGTAAAAATCGTCAAATTTTCTGTTCTTTTGATAGTCGATGAAGTTCTTTAAAAATAAATCGTGTTAATAGCTAATTACAATCCAATTGAATGTGAATTTGAATCTAGTTGATTTAACCAATTGTTTGTTCTACAAAACAGTTGAACATGTCAGTTGTCTTCGAGCAGAATTTATTGGTTTAAGATGTTCTCAAGAATAAACTATCAGTTTATTTTCGAAAATCTTTCTGATAATTTATTTCAAAAAAACAAACATGATTATTTAACACTTCATTTCGTCTATGCATCTTGTATAACTATAATTCAAGTTTTCATCTCTTTGACAATAAGATAACAATCAATATTTGAGATATCCGTATACCGGAAAAAAATGTATTTTTGCCCGTCATAATAGGCATCTTATGTAAAAAGATAATTACTTTGAAATTTTTCAATTTTAAAATCGCTCAACGACGAGATATATTGAACAGTCTAGTTTTTCTCTCAACAAGAATGAACACAGATGTAAACATTAGTGTTCAAATATTTGTGAGCGTCGTCACTTATTCGTTCTACATTCCAATTCGGTTTATCATCATTTCAGTATGTCACATCTATGAAACTGATAGTCTATTCACAGTTTTTCATAATAGGCATTCTTTGATAAATACATAAAAGCTTTCTCACTCACCAACCGCAGTGTTGTAGTCACAATAAAAAGTGACAAGCGTAGACAAAAACGTATTCTATTCTACTTCTTCATCAAACAATAGTATGATAAAATAATATCACGGCCGCTTTGAAATATTTCTTTTCTATTGGCAGATGAATGTGCTTCTTTCAAATATCATGACTATCATCAAGTGTCGTCTGCATATTTTTGCGATAACAAATGTAAATCTTAAATAAAAAGCATCAGAAAACTATTGAAAAAAGTCAGCCTTGTCAATTTATGCTTCTCTACTTCCGATAGTTACACATAAAGAAACCAATGGATGGCATATTTCGACGAATATTAACAGCTATAATGCATGCTAATTGTAGCTGTATCAATAGACGTCGACGAAGTACCCGTACTACAGATCAACCAACAACTAATCTTTTCGATCAAACACAAAAAGAATGTGAGATAAAAGATGTAGCCATACCAGAACTCTCTCGATCTGTCACAATATTACATAAACGGGCTAGAATTTCTGAATCAAGCTCAATTCTCTTTGGTAATACTTGTTTGCGTTTAGTAAATATCGCATTTCATACTAGTCAAACATTTCCTGCCATGATGAATACGTGTGCTACTATTAGTCAATATTTAGAACAAGAATTGACAACTCAATGGCCTGATCTACATTATCATATAGTTATTGCAGAAAACAGTGCTTTCGGTTTTTGTATTAACAATGGTGATCATTTCGCAGAAATCAAACAAGAACAATATTGCGTTTTGATTTTCACAACTAGTAGCAGCACTGAAATTAAATATAGTAAAAATGATGCTAATGCCAATATGGAACTTAAATGGAACGTGTAGCATTAATTAAATACTCGAGAAATAAAGTTTTTTACGTACAAAAACCACAATGTGATATACTTATTTAAGTAACTATTACGAAATAATTTACATTTCAGTTTATATTGTAGTTTTAAATTTAAATAGAAAACAGCTTTAAAAATAAACCTATTTTCATCCTTCGTTTTGACATAAAGTAAAGGGCGGGTTATTGCGATTCGTTTTTTCTTTGTTTGAATTTATTTAGATTTGTTGATGTTGATGATATCTCTCAAAAATCTATAGGTGCCCCTTCCGATCTCGTTCAAAAGACATTTGAATTCTTTTATGTCTTATATCATTTTTGTAAATTGTGGTAAAGAGTTGGCTGTTTTTTTTCATAAGTATACGTATTTAATTAAACACGAAAGTTTTAATTTCTAAGTTAAAGTGGGCTTCAGAATTTGAACCGTAAGTAAAATTTCTGATTTAATCACCTAAGGAAACAAGAGAATAAAAATCTGAAAGCATTGTTAAATATTAGTTCTTATTTTGCTATTTCGTCATTGAGATCAACGCATCATCACTATCGAAATCTTATGATGTGATAAACGTGTAGCTATCATGGTACCTATAGAATGAGTATGTATGCACATCTTGTCATTGAAAGTATTCTAAATAGACTTTACTCATTTGTTATAATATGAATCATGAATTTATTCGTATCCATCAATGTTATTGCACCATAACAGTAACAATACCTTTAGAGATAAAATGACGCATTTAAGTAAACAATATCGTTTATTTGTATCTTTTATAAATACAAATTAAAAAAGAACATAACTTATGGATATGATAGTAACAGTTTATCCAAATCAAATTTTTACTTGTTGTGTATTAGTGTAAAATTACTCATGGGTAATGTATTACAGCAACTGTTGTGCTCTGGTAGTGCTAACTATATGGATGATGAGATCGAATATGAACGAAAACAACTCAATTCAAGTGGAACAGAGCGCAAATGTAGTTCACGAACGATAATTTATGAAGATATAATGCAAGTAGCATTACCAGAACTTTCTCAATTGTATATTCTCCAAGATGAAAGTGCCACATTGATCAATTCAAGTACACGCGCCTTCGGTCAAGAATGTATTCGATTTGTCAATATTGCGTTCCATGCAAGTCAAATGTTTCCTTCAATGATGGGCACATTCGACGCTATTAGTCAGTACATACGACAAGAACTTATCCGACGACATCCTAGAAAATATTTTCATATAATTATCGGTGAAAACCAAGGATTTGATTTTGCGATTAGTGATTTCGAATATTTCGTTGACATTAACTACGAACATTATCGTGTATTGATCTTCTCAACAAGTTTAAATGAAAAAGTTAAATTCAATACACATGATGCTAATACTCAAATGAAATTGCATTGGAAATCAGTTTTAATTAAATAATTAGATGATTAATAATTTTTTTATAATAATCTCATCGGAAATAAATTTTAAAATACTTGTCATGGAAAAAAGATCAATTGTACAATCTCATAGCTCTATTCTATCGTATTTTGTTTTTGATCAAGCCTATCTTTATATTCTATTGCTACTTATCTTGTTGCAAGTAGTAAGACGAGACTGTTGCTACACAGTAATTTTGAAAGTAGAAAATAACTTTATCTTCATGTAATGTCACTCTTAATGAAATTCTATAGAAAATCAGAAGGAAGTGATTGCAATTGATTATCAATGAATTGATGGAAATATTCAAAGAAATGTTCCGATACGTAAGAGTATAAGAAATCAGATCAATAATATAATGTACTGTATTGAAAATCATTATGATTACTACAGTAAGTATTTTTCTTTAAGAGCTGTTCAAAACTTAATTGTTATGAATGACTTGTCAGTAGTGCTCTTGATAAGTGAATGTCGATGCCGCGAACACGTTAAATGGTATTGTCATAAATAAAAAGCATTAAAATATTAGCTAAAAAAACATTATATTTATCTTTAAATGAGATTACTCGCATGATTTTTTGAAATTGATTAAAGGCAAGGGCATCTCGGAATACGCTGTCGAACACTTTCACTCAGATATTATTTCAGTAAACGTCAATTTGAAGAATTGAGAGGTCATTCAAATCGATTTTCCAAACATTCTATTTGCTAGTCTTAATCCAATGTGGCGGATTAACTACTATTTACATTTTGTTTTATGATTGTTTTATACACATAGCTGCTAATTATGTAAATTTTTATCTTTTTATAATTTCTCGTCTTCCTCTTGTTATCAATGTTTATATTTCAATATTTGCATCTATGTTTACTTTCTCATTTGTAACTTTTACTAACGTAAGACTTCTACTCTTACGACAATCCATGAATTAAACTTTATCTCTTTACTACTTGCATCATTTCTTTTTCTTCTTCTCACTGTAATTTTCAAGTTCTGTTCATATCTGTCGATTACTAGCTATAAGTAATCGAATCATCATTCGTATTTAATTCTTATTTTCATTGCTCTTGTCATTTGTTATCATTATTTTGTTAGCACCTGGAAAAACAGTTTTTCATTTGTTACACGGTACATTCTTCAGTTTCACAATCCATATAATAACAGAGTACGATTCTCACAAGAGTAAACATCAGAACGCACTCTCTCTCTCTCTCGTCGACCTGCTTATTGTTTTTATATGCATTGCATACACTATAGTTTAGCTTGTCATCTATACTCTCACGAACGCGATTATTTTCGTCATAGCCAATTTTTAACTTAAATTCACTTCTAAGACAATTTATTATTAAATCACCATTTTCCACCTTATTATAGTACCTAAAAATCATTTCTGGTTGTGTGTCACTCCATCTTTTGTTATATGACGCAGTATTATCTTTTATTCATCAGTCACTTAATGATTCTGTCATTTGAAAAAAAAACTAGATAAGAACGACAATTTGATGTGTCATTAAAATAGAAAAAAAAAGATAACAAACAAGTAAAACTATGTATATAACTAAGTAGTAGTTAATGTTACCTTTAACAAATATCTTTTTGTGATAATTTTTTTCTATCGACATACATATACATGGCTGCAATTGTTGCTGAAATTTTTGGTCGAGTCTTCATTGAACTGGTAGGTGCAGTTATTTCAAGTGCAATACAATCAAGTGTACGACAACGTGGTTCAAATCATTCCACTTCATCTTCTCAAAAACAAGATCGATCATTACCTCAGTTATCATCATCATCAAATCAGAATGGTCGTGCAGTACTTACTGCATCGTGCAACATTATCTTTGGCAATGACTGCGAACGTCTTGTTAATATTGCTTTTGAAACGAGTCAAACTTTCCCTACATTGATGGGTACATATGCTGATGTTATTCAATATCTACGTAAGGAACTAGCAAAACAACATCCTGATCAACAATTTCATATAATTATTGGTCAAAATGAGAAATTTGGTTTTTCAGTTGAAGAAGATGAATATTATGCCGAAATTGAACAAGATCGATATCGTGTTTTGATTTTCACAACAAAACAAAATCCTCAGATAAAATCAGACATTCACGATGCTAATAGTAAAATGCAATTTGTATGGAATTAAGACTATATAGTTTTTCTGTAAAAAAATACGAAATCAAAGTAGTTGTGTACAAAATAAAGAATTATTTGAGTAAATAATATTCGGATTTGTTTGTCTACAAGCATTATCAAGAACATCTGCAGTTACAATGCCTTGTTCTGCCTGTAAATTTGGATCTTTTGTAAGTGCTTATTCGATAAAGAATTTCTCACTTTTCTGACACATGATAAATATTCTTTATTTGCTTATAACATGCAGAACTACACAATAAACTGTTTCACTCAAAGTTTATTTTTAATTCTTCAAGAAATATGAGACACTAATTAATACTAAGAACACATCCGTCTATCGTTGTCTATTCTTACTTATTTCAAAGTAGAAAAAAAATCGCGCGTTGAAATTTAAGAACAACTCACTGGAACGTAGACACAATATCAGTGCATGACTATTGTAAATTCTGGCATTTTTGTTATTAACTCAATAACCTGAAGATCAACCAATTTGCATTGTATGCCAATCAATGAAGTACCTTTTTGAAATCTTTTCGAACGAATTCAATTACTTTTAAAATGATATCTGACAAAATATAGGGAGGCGTAGAAAGAAGAAAAAAAAATAGGAATTGAAAAATTAACAATCGTTTTATCCATTGGTCATTATGTATCTCATTAATCAATCGTCGTTGTTAATGATGAGTCAAACTCGTGTATAGTTGATTGAGCTGTGGGGACAGGTGCCGATGTTTGTTGTTGTGAAAATTCTTTATCTTTGAGTTGTTGTTGGCCTTCACGTAATCCAGTTATTTTATTTAAAATATCTTTAGCTGCATTTTTCACTTCTGGAAATTCTAGACATTTTCTAGCATACGAACAGGCTTGATCATATTGACGTTTTTTTACATGATAGTTAGCCAAAAATTCAGCAGCATGAGAAAATTCCGTAAAATTTTTTACCTAAAATAAAAATCAAGTCAACACTTGAATAATAGCATTTCTTTTCTTATACTTGTCGTAATTCTTGTGTACGAATAAATTCCATGTAGGCGCGAGCTGCTGTTTCTTCATCTTTTAAATGATCACAAACGCTAAAACAGGATAATAATAAAAATACAAAAATAAAAATAAACCAGGAAATATTTACTGTGCATATTTTGCAAGTGCATTTCCTTCAATATCACCAACACAATACGAACGCCAATAACATTTTTTTGCTTCATGTAATTTTTGTGTTCGTTCATAGACTTCACCAAGTGCATTTGAATAACGTGAATCATTTGGTCTATATGCAGAAAAATAAAATATAATTTGATTGTTTTTTTTAAACAATCGGTTTCAATTTACTTAAGAGCAAAAGCTTCCTTAAAATAATACAAAGCATAATTGTACATTTTTATTATTTCGTAGGTTTCACCAAGACCATACCAAGCACGATGATCTCTACGATTAAGATCTAAATAGAGAAGAAAAATATAAAAGTTTCTACTCCATTTTTATTGTGAAATTGAAGCTATATTACAATTGATAGAAAGTTCAATAGCAAATTGAGCAAACGAGAAACTTATGAAGACATCTGCCAAATGAAAGCATGATCTTTTTTAACGAATCTGTCTGCGTTTGATAAACTCTATGAAAATTACAGAAATTCTAGAAGTATTTATATGCATCTGTTTTACTTTCATTAATTATAGGATTTTCAAGAGTTTTTCTTATAGATTATCATGCGTCTCTTGAGATCACTTTCAGAAGGATACACTTCAATCACTCTAGTAGATAGTGAAAACATATGATTTACTGAAGGGTCGAATTTTATGATATTATTCTTCAAAATCAAATTTACAGCTTTTCTATCGAGTTTTGTTTTCTGATAATGGCAAAGCAAGACTTTTGTTACAAAAAGACTTGCTAAAATTATCATAAATTAAGTAGAAAGATTTTAATACGGCTAATGTAATAACACACGAGTAGTCATTCTAAAAATGAAGTATTACTAAGTGAGATTTCCTGTTTGGTTCCATCAAAAATATAATTTAATCTAAATTGAAGTATGTATTTTTGTTCTTCGACTGTTCAACACACCTAATGCTTCTCGATAAGCATTAATAGCAGCTGCATGATTTTTTCCTTCGACAAATTCATGTCCTAATAATATCCATGCAGCTGGATAATCAGGATTCATACGTAATGCACGAGTAAAATATTGTATTGCACGAGCATGATCATTGCGTATACTATAAAAATTTCCTATAAATATGTATGAAATAGAGAAAATAAACAACAATCGGTAATTTTCAATATAATAGAAACAAACAACTTACCAACAACAATACATGTTTCAAAACGATATTTTTCAATTTCAATACATTTTTGTGCTAAACCGGCTAAGGCATGATAATCTTCCTAAGAACATAAAAATCTAATATTTCTAACGGAATCTATATCGGCCGAAGTTGAGCTTACAAGAACAAAAAGAATATTTGAAAATATATCCATTGAATCAAGATTATATGGATCAATAGTTCGTGCATCTTCACAACAAGTTCGTGCTAATTGTAATTCTAAACAAAAAAAAGACATGCATTCAGAATGAAATGAGAAATTTGATTATAGTTCGCGAACCAGCTCCTGTTTCATAAGCTTTAGCTTGTAATAAAAGTATATATGTTGAATTATGAAAACCGATTTGTGTCAATTCTTTACAAATATATACACATAATTCAGGTTTATGCAATTCAACGTAACATCGAGCATAAAATACATTTCGTATCCAATGTTTAGGTAAATCAAGACTATGAAGCTAAAATATGAGAATAAGAAATTCAGAAAGAAAAAAATTACAATTATTCGTATTAAACCTTTTGTTCACTATCAATAAGCGTAACAAGATCTTCCCATGCTGACCAAAGATGAGGTACTGCTTTAACTGTCCGTACGAAATAGGGTAATGCTTCATTAAGTAAACCTAGTCGTTTGAGTACAAGAGCATAACTAAATAAGAATAAACGTGAAATAATTTTACAAAAACTGATAATACAAAAATAAACTTACACATAACAACTATAGCCATTTAATGGTTGAGTTTTTTCATTCGTTGTCAATTCTGTGCGCAGACGTATAAGCCATGTATTATCAAGCGAGGCTTTCGCTATTCAAAAACATAGAAAAATAGAATATCAATCTAGCTGTAAAACAGAACAAGAGACTTACTCGTAGCTTGTCTTTGATTACTAGCTGTATCAGCTAGAAGTAAAAGCGTCATTTAAAAATATATCGAACGAGAATTCGAACTTACGAAATACATCAACAAAATCATCACAACGATGTTTAAGACCATCCTAACGAGACAAAAAAAGTCATTCTTATAATAATGCAAATAGAAATATTATTGTTTCTATACTAGATATAATGCATAAAGTCGAAGAAAAAAACCATATCCACTCGTACAATTTCTTAAATGATTAGCACACCGGGTATATTCGCGAAGATCGAAATAGCTTTTAGCCATTAAATACAAACTCGATGATGTACCTAATTCCTAAAAAGAACAAAACAAAAAATATGTTATCTTTATAGAAATACACTAGACTAAAAAATCTAAAGATTATCTTAAGAAAAAAAATCACATTTCTATTATATGATTAAAGTCAAACTTACTCTAGCTGTTATATTCAAATTAATTCCATCATCTAATTCATCACCGCCACCACCTTCCGTCGATGCTGTTCCTATAGTAATACATTGAAGCATTTCACAACACCTAGCAAATGGAAAAAAATCCTTCATAAGAATTGATTCACGCGACAGGCTTGTGTTAACATTTACCATTTTCTGCTATGTACAAGCCCAACAAGATCCAATGCAGGTATTGCCTTTTGTAAATCAGTTAGCACGGTTTTTGGATCAAATTGAAGATAATTAACATCACGTTGTTCATCAAATGACATAGATAATGGATTCATTCTTGAATAATTTTCTTTTTATCTCAAAAAAAAAATCTTTTAATAATAACAAGAAAAGAACGAATAATCATATTAGGGGTTTCGTTGTTCTCCGTTCTTGTTTATTGGAAATCGAAAAACTAATTACAAAACAAACAACATATATATATCTCTCTCTCCTCCGTTGAGAAGACAACATATATATTTATACATCTATATAGTATATAACGATAGATGTGGTGGGTGACTAGATAAAAGAAAAGAAATGACATAATAATATGTGAGGGTAAGCCCGTAACAGTCGACCCCCCCCCNGTTTTGTCAATGTTGTTTTTTATTTGCTCGTTTTTTACACCCAAGAATAACGTGCTTCCGATGGCATTGATGTTCACGTAAGGAATATCCATAAATATTAAGATTTTTTTAATATCTGTAATGGTAAATTTATGATAAATTTTCCGAATTATTTCATATCGATATCTTTTAGCTCGATGTTCGCGATTTTGTCGTTGATTTCTTGCTAATGGTTTATGGTTTATGATTTATATATTGTTGATTTTGATCGTTCATTGTATCTTGTTGAATGCCATCATCAGACATATTTTCAATTTCATTTGAAGGTTCATCTCGTGCATGACCCCCTTCTCTATCATTGTAATTCAATGTTTCTTTATCTAAAATATTTATAGTATCTTTTTCTAATGATGCTGCTGATGGATAACATTTCTGAAGCAAATGCTGTTGTAAAGTATTGCGTGATAAAAATTGCTCTTGGCAAACATGACATTGATGTTGCTATTCTTCGTGATGTTCTTTTCCACAGGTAAAGTCCGTAAATCGGACCTTCCTCTTTTCACGAAGTGATGAATCACAGAAACCACTCTTCTGAGTGTTGTTCCTCTTATAATTAAATGATTTAAAATGTGTTGGTTGATAATTTGCATCTTCTGATAACACCGGTAAAATAATATGATTATTTAATTCAGCCTGATATGACATACGCCCCAGCTGAGTATTGTTTGATAGTGTTCGTTGACGATTAGTTGCGCTAAATTGAAGATTTTAAGGTTGAACAAATGAAGCTGTTGCTAATTCGCGACGGTTCTTATCAATGAGAGTAAGATACCGTTGTAATGAACCAATAATAACATTGTTTTGTATAATCCAGTCGTTTCCAAGTAATAGATCAGTAATAAGATTCGTTGCAACATCCGCTATAATTAAAGTTTGATGTCCTTGTATTTTAACTTCAAGTTGAATTTCACTAATAATATTAATAGATGTACAGTTAGCTGATTTGTGTAATTTCTTCTTGTAAACGAAGTCCGTGTGATAAATCTTTTTTAAGAATTGTTGATTAATAATGGTGACTGCAGATCCAGTATCGACAATGGCTTGATGTTGGTTATTATTTACTTAAACATTTATATAAATAGAAGTCCGTAACGTTGATGATGCATAAATAGTTGTTGATGCTGTATTTGCAAAATATGGCACATACGGTGCTGTTGCTTGAGGTTCTGGAATATTTTCATCTTTCGCAATTTTTAAAAACGCTTGTGTTGTTCTAGCTGATTCAGATAATGACTTCATTTGCCGTTTAATTTGAATTCTTAATGAATTTTTAACGCCATTTTCTAACCATGATATCATCATTCTTTGTGACATAGATGTATCATATTTATGACAAAGTTTAATAATAGCATCATAATAAGATGTAACTGTTTCATCTGGTTTCTGTTTACGTTCTTTTAATTGTTCGAATATTTGCGATGATGAATCAGACGTTGTAAATCTTTCTAATAATGCCGATTTTAATTGTTTCCATTGAATTAATGATAAGTTATCCTCGTACCAACGTTTGCTTCACCATCTAATTTTGCCATACACATACAATATAAAATATCATCATTTGCATCGATCATTTTCCCAATTTTTTCGATACTGTTGATAAACTGTAAAATTTTATATTCTTCGCCACCATTGAATTTCTTTAGATTTAATAAACATTCACGATAACATATCATTATTGCTGAATCTTGCATGTTGTTGATAATTTAATAATTTATCTTCTTTTTTTCTGTGGCAGGTAATTTAAATTGAATTTCCTTTAATTAATTTCCAAATTTTTATTTTTTCAGGTCACTTCGAATTAGGAATGTCCTCTGGTAATATTTTTATTATTGATAATAATAAAAATAATCGGTCACGGCACCAAATATTAGGGGTTTCGTTGTTGTCCGTTCTTGTTTATTGGAAATCGAAAAACTAACTACAAAACAAACAATATATATATATATATCTCCTCCGTTGAGAAGACAACATATATATATTTATACATTTATATAGTATATGACGATAGATGTGGTGGGTGACTAGATAGATAGAAGAAGAAAAGAAATGACATAATAATATGTGAGGGTAACCCCGTAACAAATCATACTTTTGTTTTTCGTTGAAAAGTTTTATTCAAAGTATAAAATATCACACGAACAAAAAGATAACTATGAAGTTTATGGAATCTGGTATACATGAAATCATAACTACTGTTGCCTTATTTGACTAGCGAAAGCTTAAGCAAATAGAACTGTTACATATTAAATGGATTTGTTGAATTCAATCCTTCTTTTGTTTTACTTGATATTGGTGACAATAGGATTGGATTTAATAAATTTTTAAATGTATCTCGCCGTTCACGTTCGGTGATTTGTTGTTGCTGTTTTTTACTATTATTATCATTAATGGTTGCTAATCGTGTTTTATATGTATTTAATAATTCAATATTAATTTGTGGAACTGTTTGATGTAAAATCAAGTCAATTTGCTGGCCATATCGATTATACCATAATTCATATATATGACCAATTAATGATATAAGATTTGTATTGACACCTTCATTTTCATTATGTTTTTCAAGTGCTTTTAGTAAACATTGAAATAATAATTTTATATCAATCAATGAAGATGTATCCATATTTTTATCAATAATATCTGTATAGAGTTTTGCAATTGGAAGAATAATCGGTAAAAAGCGATTAATACAATAGGCATCAGGAAAAGTTAAACATTCAAATAGAATTCGGATGAGATTGCTGAAAAGATGTAAAGCCAATGTAGAATCTAAATAAAATATAGATACCATATGGAAAAAGAATTTCATGTACAATGGTTCATAAGAACCGTATTTTAAAAATTTAAATTCAATTTAAAAATCATAGAACACTCATCGTATAATATATTCAATTTTCAAGAAAAATAATATCTTTGGGATGATTTGGTTTCGTTGACTTCTCAAAGGCATAGTATTCAGAAAAAAATTCGTAGTGGTATACTATCAGAATTGAATGGAAGTTTTTATTTAGATCTGCTGCACAAGAAGAACCAAAGATTAAGAAATGGCAATTAATTTTACCTTAGTTATTGAGAATATAGCTAGAAGAACGTTTATGCTGGCACACTCTTTCATTTAGTAAAAAGTCACCTTTTCTCTTATCATTATCATCTGCTCACTGATAAGCGCTGTCACTTGTTGATATTCATGTAAAAGAATCAATGTGTCGAAGTTCATATAGTTTAAAAAGAGAGAAAGTATTGGAAATTTTTCAGAAAATAGAATGTTTCTATTGTTTCTTCAAATTTTTTCAGCGAATGTAATTATGACAGCCGATAGTTTGGAAATTTAATAATAGAAATATTTCACCTGATATTTCTTTAAAAATCAAATTAGAATTAGGGTATTCAGTACTATTAGTTTTACTTAGTTGATAAGATATTAGTAAATAAATTTTGATAGTTTACTAACTTACTTTGTCGAGACATTTTAATCATATTCATAAACAGATCACTATAGTCAGCTTTTTCATTTGAACTATTCAATAATTTATTGCTAATACTATTATTTGTATTTTGTTCATCCCATTCATCAATTTGATCTAAATCAGTATTTATTTCTTCACACATACTTTCACTATTATTACGTCCGCTATTAGTTTTATTCTTTTTTTTATTAGAAGAATTCGAATTTATTTGTCCCGGTATTGTTTTAAATATGAAATATCTTATGATATCAATAAAATCACGTGTAATTAAAACACAAACACATTCTTCAATAACTTCATCTGAACATTGGCCTTGTTGATAATTAATGGCTGTTGTTGATAAATTACTCCACATTGTTGTTAAACGTTGTTGAATATAAGGTAAAAATGCATTAAGAAATTTCAAAAACAATTCATCAATTGTTTCTTTATCAGTAGTTGATGGTGATATATAATTTTCAACAAATAAACGACAGAAATGTCTTAAAACAATACGAAGACGAAATGATGGAAGAGTATTGAAATTTTCAAAAAGAGTTTTTTGTAAATATGTTGTTAATAAATAATTATCATCGTTTAACTTTAAATAATATAAATCGGTATCATAAGCAAAATAAATTCCATTTATTTGATAACATATATCGAATAGACGATGAAGATAATCGCGAAGATGTTCATCGTCAATAGTAACATTGGATGTCGCTTGAGAGCGAACATAACACGCTGGAGTACTTGAAGGTGCAACACTAAGCAAAATCGAATAGTTTTATTCTTAATTTCGAATTATATATATGTCAAACTGAATTCAAACAAAAAAAGATTTGGTAATATTAGTTTTTTTGTCTGTCATATTCAATAATGATGAATAAACGAAGGCACATGTAGTATTGACGAATGCCAAAAGCAACTGTTCTTATTTTGTTTATGAGAATAGGATCGAACATACATATTTCTTGAATATGACATGCGAGTAACAGATGTAGATGATAGTTTTTATCGAAGAATAATGAGATTTTTACATTCTTTTATTGGTAAGGATATAAAATTGTTTTATCATGTGATTAGTCATGCTTTTCGAACCTGATGTTCATGTTCTGTAAGAAGGAATTTTTATTTTACAGAGATATTAATCATTTCAGGAATGAGTACAAAATATTGTACTATACTATTGAATCTCCTATTGTTTTAAATTTCAAAATCAGTATTTAAGTAAACTTTTTATCATTTCGTTCCTCTTCTATTGTAGATTAGAAAATAAAGAGGTGCAATAAATTCGGATATATATATATATATATATATATATATCAATCCTCTATGCAAAACTTCTCACTTGCTATAACTAGTCATCGTGTGGACGAAGAAAATCTCTGATTTCGAATTTTAACCAATAGTATCTGCTTCCTAGATTTCTTAAAATATCTCTTATAGCTATAGAAGATATCTAGTTTTCATATCATTTTTAAAGAGTATCAATAGTTCAATAGAGAATATAAGAAATTTTTCTTACGTCGATGTAATTGTTGCTTTTGCCATATTATTACTTTCATATGTACCCAAATATAATTGTCTTTCTGTGTCACTATATGTTAAATTTGCTTTTAATATATCATACGATGGATTTATTTGTCTATCATATAATTGATTACAAAATTGTGTTACTTTTAATATATAATCAAATAAAATTGGACGAAGGCATATCGAAAGTTTGGAACGAATATTGAAATCTAATTGTTGTTGTTTAAACAAACGTAATATTAAACATAAACAGTGTAAAGCAAGCATTAAACTTCTTCGTCGATAACGTATTATATTTGTAGATTCAAGCTGATTCGAACATAAATCAAGATATTCAATAAATAATGTTAATGTATCAGTTTTTAATGAAATATTTAATATTTCAAAAATAGGTTTAATAAATCCATAAAATTCTTCTAATTGATTATTATCGAATATTGTTGCATGAGTTAATTTATGGTAAAATAATATCTGTGCTGCATCAAGCAATTTTAACGTTGGACATGACAACTCATCGACTGTTATGGATAGAAATGTTTTTGTTAATTGAAATTCTTTTTTATATAGTTGACAAAGAAATGGAAACAGTTCAGAATAATACTCGATCATTTTAGCAGTAAAATTTTTACATAGATAAAGAAATGCATTTGATGATTGTGTTTGCATTGTTTCACATTGATTTTTATCACCGCCAGCTATTAAGAATAAAATTCATTTATTTAAATGAAAACTATGAAAGCGTTTTGTACAATTCGCACGAGATTAAATTATTGGAGGATTTTTGTATTCTAGTTATTTTAAGGAAAATATTATTTTGTGATCACGTTCATAAATTATCAAGGAATACGGTAAGAAGATAGTTTATCTAATAGAACGACATAAATATGACGTCTATGTACGAGAGCAAGTCAATGGATCATTTAGTGTATTAAGACATTATTAAGACCTGTAAAATACTTCAAAGTTAGACTCATCGGGTCTGAGATTTTCGATCAACTTTATTTCAATTCTTTCCTAACTAGGACTGCGACAGCTCCAGCTCACGAACCCGGTTCAAACAGTTCAGCTCAGTTCGAGAGAACTGTTTGAACAGTTCACCAGTTCGGAACTGTTTCCGAACTGTTATAGTCCTATTCCTGACGAAAAAATCTTATGGCACATGGCTCAATATGTACAAAGACATTTTTATTCACTTAGACAAAAACTACTCACACGGTTTAAGTGTAAACCTAGTCTTCTCTTCACTCATACTTAAATCCTTAACGTTACCCAATTCTGCGTGCTTACTACTCAGTGATCTATAGTCGTATGATAAATTCATCTGTGACTTTGGACTGTCAAATCCATATATTTCGCTGGTCTGTTTTAGCATTTCTTTTAAATCATACTACACAAAAAGAACATAGCTCCATACCAATCGCTTGTTCTTGATATGTTTGAAATGTTGTCAAAAGACGCTGAATGATTTGTATTGCTAATGCTTGATCATGTTCTGTTATAAAAAACATACATGAAAGTAAATTTAAAACATGTCCATGAATGTGTTCGCTTAAATTGGGTGTGAATTGTAATAAAAATTTTAATGTACGTAAAAATTGTTCTTTTATTGCTGGTGTTATCAATAATAATTGAAATTTTTCTTGAAATTTTATTGCTGATGCTGATGAAGAAAATAATTCTTTACGAACAATAAATAAAACATGATCAATTAATAGATAACATGCTTCCCATTCGATGATCAGGTATTTTGAAGACAATGATGTTGATAATGAATCTGACGTTTTATTTGGTGTACGTTGAACAAGAGATTCGAGATAGATGAAAAGATTTTCAAGAATTAATTTTAAACATAACATATTCATTTCAATATCTATCAAACAGCCAAAATAAGAAACCATCAGTTAATATATTGATAAAATAGGTCGATGAGAATATCGAAATTAGAAGTATAGTGATGTACTTTCAATCTTACGTGAGAATTTGCAATTTAAATAGAATTATAAAATTCTTTTTTTCATCTTCCTAATCAATAGAATGTACGAAAATATGTTCTTGAAAACTGGAGGTTTTATTATTTCATGTTCTGATAACTAGCATTTAGAATCAAAGAAAGCAATTCGTCAAATAGGTAAGAACTTCTCCTCAATTAAGATAGAGTCAAAATTTCTTCGAAATATAATACCAAAAATCACATGTGTAAAAATTGTTTTTTTGCGTACTGATACGGTGAAAACTCTTTGAACAGTGATTCAAATTTAACTTAGTTAGGATCAAACGAAAGTTTGTTCCTTTTTTCATCAAAACTGTCAAGTCGAGACTAAATTCCTCTAACCCTCTTTTGTAAGTGTCATTTTGTGAAAAACTTATCTATCGATGTCATGTTCTCAAGTGAAAATCGATTTCAAACTTAAATTCTTCTTCTATATATAGATATTCGGTAAATAAGTTTTGATAATGGGATAAAGATTAAATTATATTTTATGTTGCTTTCAACTAATCGTCATTCTCAGTTCTAATCAAAACTGTTTTAGACTGAAATTCCGTACATGAATAAAAAAAAGTTAAATGAATTCGTTTTATCTATATAACTGACCTGTAACATTTTCAGTAAAAAATAGACCAATAAATGATTTGATTAATTTCTGTAATTCACTTCTATATTGAGAAAAAAACTTCCAAAAGAATTGCTCTTCACTATCATATTCAAATAATGCATAGATGAAACGTTGCTGATTGTGCATGTCTTGTGTTTTTAATAATTGATTTTCATTATCTGTCAATAATAATGTCACTGATGACGATGGAAAATGAATACGATGTAACGATTGTTTTAAATTAAAAATTAACTTTAAACAAAATTGTTCATTTGACAGTAATGTTGTTTGTCGAATGATAAATAAATTTAATGCTTGATAAGAATTCAATGATAATAAATGGAATGGATGTTGATTCAGTAAGAGGAGAAATTGCAAAAATGAAAGCGTACGTTCATTAGCAAACGTTAAAAATTCATTATCATCAATAGATTTGGTTGCTAATTGTTGAAACAATTGTAACAGATAATTTGATAATTTAACTAGGAATTGACCAAACATTTTTAAACAATTCATATGATCATTTGTTACTATCGAACGCAATTGTTCAAGTGAATCCTGCAAGATATACACAAGAAATAGCCTTGATGTTTCAAAACTCAAACGATATTGTCGGATCCGTAAAGAAAATGTAATCAGTGTCTAAATCTCGAGATTCAAATTAGTAATTCTTATAATACTTATTTTATAATCAGTCAACCAATGTCTATTATATTGATGATTTTGAGAAAATAGTACACCAGAAAGACGATTGACTACGAAGCATATCACTATTTTTCTCTCTATAAAATTCAAAATCTACTCTGTTCATTCGATAGTTGATTGAATTTTCTTGTTTGCAACTAAAGCCCAGTAATTCTTCATTTGCTAACCGTTCAACCATGAATTAGTAATTTCCCTCAATCTAGACGGAGGTTACTTTTGGAAATACAATTTTGACTCTATCATTTTTATATTTAGACAACAGGCTGTAGAACTGCTATTGAAAATTATAAAAATATCAGATGATATCTTTTTTCAATGATCCCAAAAACATTCGAGGATAAACATATAACGTTTCTCAAAAACTATGAGAAATGCGTCCTTAAATAAAATCAAAGCACTTACTGTTGGACTAATTAGAAGTCGATAGAACATTTCCAATGTATTATCTCCAAGAAAATAATTGAGAAAAAGTTTTTCTTGATGACAATTTAATGCAGCTGCAGGTAACGAAGCAATCCGTTTATTTCTTTGTTGTTGTTGCTGCTGTAATTGTCGTCGTGCTAAACGTTTATTAACGAGACTTAGTAAACATTCAAATGATGCATGACGTAATTTAACAGAATTCAATTGAAAGAACTTTAGAAATAATTCACAAAGAAATAATTCATATTGTTCAAAATGATTATATTCAACCCATGTAAGAAAACTATTTACGCATAGTAAACATGTTTGTGTTAAACGTTCATGTTGTTCTGGAGCAGTCAGTAAATCATTTGATATACGAATTAAACATAGTAAAATATCATTTACACGTTTTTGTATTTGATTTAGAATTTGTCGACGACGTTGTGCTTGAATCGATTGGCCATAGATTGTGAGTTCTTCGTTAAGAAAGCGATAAACAAGTAAAATAAGTTCAAGTTGAGTTGAATTATACTCTATAATAAAGAAAAGATTAACTTGCTATATAGTTGTGTCCGAGACGAGAAGATCAATCATTATGATGCCTACTACAAAAGAAAATTTTCAATCTATTTTATTATTCTCAAAGAATTCATCTAGTATAGATTATGCTCAAGAAAATTGAATTTATATTAAATATTTTACTGTAAATCTCAATGTTTATACTAAAAATGTGTAGAGTGAATACTAGTGAAAATTCAAGGTTTGAAAAGATAAACTCAACGTATATGACCACTAATAGACTAGTGGATAAGAACCTAGATGACATATAAGGTATGATGGGAAAAGGCTGATAGGAAAAATATCGAAAACAAAATTAATACACATGCAGATGGATAGAAATACTGAAAACGAGAGTATATTGAAGTACAAGTCTCCCTCATCCTCAATTCAATCTTACATGCTCATGTTCATCTCATATTCTTGTTTTCGACATTTTTCCTTTCTTCCCTTTTCCATCCATTCTTATTAGTCGCTGGATGTTGTCATAAAAACAATCTTGTAGAAAAAAAGCAAGAGAAGTGTGTCAGTGATCATCGTGTTAATACCAAGAGCTCAAAGGCATACCTAGAAATCTGCTTTTTAGCAAAGAATATAATTTCTTGAAAAAGAAAAGGACATAGATTGTACTTCTGTTCAATAGTAATAAATCATTAATGAGTCATGGAGTCGAATAAATATTTCGAAAGCAAAATTTATGAGATTAAAAAATTTGAAGCAAAAATGAATGTCATTCAACATATTTTCTGTTACATTAAAGCAATTGAAACGAAGCCGTATTTCTGAAATATATAATATCGAATACTTTCAATATACGAAGTGTCTGAAGTTTCGCGAAATATAGACTATGGTCCACGATTTTACAATTATAAAATTAATATTAATCAATTATTTTTCAGATATTACAGAAACTTTTGTCTTTAGGACTTAAACAATGATTTCACTTCTATATTATTCACACACAAAAGAATAAACGGCAAAAAAATCAATCTAATTATTTTGCTTTACTACAGGCATCTATTCAGATCTAAAAATTCATTGCTGCTATTGTTATTTCAAAATAGATCAACAAACCTTGCATTTGAGTAATTCCTTGTAACATATTAACCAATTCATCTAGTGTAGTATCAAGTTTTTCAAAACAATCTCGTTTAATCAATTCAACTAAACATTTTGCTAAAGAATTTCTTATATGTATGGGATCCATAAATATTTGATTTAAATAAGTACTATTAATAATCACAAATAGTTGCTTTTTGATTAAATGTCTATCATCAAGTTTTAATATATTCCATTTATGTTTTATAATTGATTCAAGAAGATTTAAACTATAGTGATGAAGTATTGGTTGACTATTTGTTTGTTTTATTAATTCAAATGATATTGTTGAGCAAAGTATTGGTTGATTTTCTTTTAAATCATCAAGAAATTTTAATGCATTTTGTTTTTCATTATTTGTTGTTTTTGGATTAAATGAACAAAGAACAGCAGTTATAACTTCATCAAATAATTCTGATGTAAAGATCATTATTTTTTGTTCAATTATTTTCTTAGTCTTAAAAATAATTAAAGTTCATTATTATAAATTTAGAATTGTCTATCAGGAAAACTATCATTTAACACTTGCTCTTCAAATAATTCATTTGTTTTCAATGGTTTTGTGTCAAAACAATAATCTCACTGTAAAAAATCAAGACACATGAAGTGTATAAATAAGACGATTCGTTCGTCTAAACAAGACACCTCACGTGTCTGCGGATAACCGATTTGGGACACGGACACGTACGGGTCAAGATAAGCTACATACAATTTCTATATACACTGGTAGCAGTGTCAACGTAATTCATGTTTTTATATGAACATTAGATATTAGAAAAAATATTTTCAATGAATTAATTTTTTTACACTTTACTTGAGTTAAAATTGTATTTAAAAACTACAGAAATTATTTTAAAATTTATATATATATATATATATATATATATTTTGATGTTTAATGAAATTCCTCGAAGGTGATATTCTTGTGGAATAGAATATTATCTTCGAAAATATTTTATTTGAGTGAATCTGATTTTTGAGGAATTTCATTAAACATCAAAAAATATATATAAAAAAAATTTTAAATAATTTCTGTAGTTTTTAAATATAATTTTAACTCAAGTAAAATGTACAAAAATTATTTCATCAAGAATATTTATTCTAATATCTAATGTTGGTATAAAAACATGAATTCTTGAATTAGTGAACCATAGATTGATAGAAGCGTCTGGGAAAACTCATGTAACACAAGTCTAAAACGAAAAATAAAGACTGAAGTGTTTTTTTAAATATACAATATTAAAATATAATTGTAATCAGTTATTTTTGATCATTTTTCTATCATCTAGAAAGCAAATAAAAACCTTGAAAATATATTAGAAATTAAAAAAAAAGATATTTCGATAAAATGGTTTCCATATTCTTAAAGCCCCTTCACTTCAGATATCGAATCAAGATATATGGATCTCTTCAAAACCACGAATGTCCTCAACTCGAGTTAAAATGTGAAGCAGTTCACGGCAGAGAAGTCATCGGAAAAACTAGTTCTGGAAAGAGTGAAATCCTAAATATTTTCAAGACATCAAATAAGACTCTTTGTTTCACATCCGAAAGTAAATTCTCATAGCTACGAAAGAAAGTAAAAATACTGATCTATTGGTCAATAGCTATAACAATGTTTTACGAGAAAGATGAACGTAAGATGCTTTCCTGTCTGTAGTCACTACATGCCTAAAAACAAGACGTATTTCGCGTCTGAATAAGATTTAAGACGAATAATATGTCTCGTTAGACACATGGCATTTTTTACAGTGTGTACTCATTCAAAAGAAAGCATCGCTGACAAAAAGAAATGAACCAATGAATATTTGAAAACATATGATTAACAGAAAGTGACATCTGTTCCATTTATTTAGAATGGTAAATCAAAATTTTCAAATTCATCTTTATTACGAATAGATAATTATCATTTTTTTTCTCTCACTAATATTATTATATTGAACGAAATTAATTAGTAAATAAATAAACAAAATCATTTGTTCTAATATCGGAATGAATCAAACATGTTTGTCAATATATCAATATTATGGAAGATAGAAAAATTTATATGCACTTGAAATAATCTCAGATTAATGATAATATTCAATTGGCCGATAGAAAACATCTTTGATTAAAACTCTTATGAAATATGTCAGATAAGAAATAAAATATGAATAATTACTCTTCACATCATGATGAGAATATTAATGAAGACTCATTTCATAATGATTCTGTTAATAGGAATCATCATATATACGATTCATTAGCATCTGCTCAACTTCAACAAACAAGTAAGCAGTTTGAAAGGTCATAATCGATAGTTTTTATACTATTCACTTTAGATGTTGATACTTCAAATTATTCAATATTACATCAAGCTTCGTCAAATATATCAGAAAATCAAACTTTTGAGCAATATCAACCAGATACTCCATCAAAAAGTTATCGTCAAAAATTAATTAAGGATGATATTATTGCAATTGATCACAATGATACTGATGCTTCATTTATATTACCAAATTTATATGAGTTACCAGAAGATATTCGTATTCGTGTTATGGATAATATTGTTGATATACCAACAATGGTATCATTGGAAGAAACAAGTATAACATTAAGAATATTTAATTAAGAAACTTAAATAGTTTAATTATATAATTCTGTTTTCAGAACGTCTCAATTGGTGGGTTAATAAAAAATTACCATGTGCAAAACTATATCCTTTAGTAACAAGTGGAGATGGAAATTGCTTATTACATGCAACATCACTTGGTAAAAAATTTTGTTCAAAGAGTTTATTTTAGCTTAAAAAAATAGTTATATATATATTTATGTCAAAGTAATGTCGAATGAGTTACTGTATGAAAATGAATGTTAATACTTGAATTTAGTTAACTCGATTTCTGACGCAAATAGAAATCAAAAGCGGTTTTAGAAATCCTTCTGGAAAACGATGAGAATGACAGTTTTTGCATGGACAAATTCGATTAGTTTTAGTTGATACAAATGATTGACAATTCGTAATCTATTGTTTAGCAATGTGGGGTTGTCATGATCATTCATTGTCAATGCGTAAAGCATTAAATGAAACATTGATCACATCTAAACCAAATAATTCACTTTATCGACGTTGGCGTTGGGCTCAATCCGTACAAAATAAAAAAGTAATCAGAAAAGTTAATCTTTCATTAAAAAAAGATATTACATCTTATTGTCTGCTAGTATGACCTGGTTTTTTCTGAAGAAGAATGGAATGAAGAATGGAAAAGTTTATTAAGATTATCATCAGCTGAGCCACGTGTTTCACAAACAAAATCATTCGATTCATACTGTTCGGCTGATGAGTATGTTGAATAACTCTAAAAAATTGATTTCTAATATATTTATTCGTCTAGAATCAACAACGGTTCAAAATCTTCTCAAACAAATACAGATCTTTCAACAAAATCATCATCACAATCAACTCGACAATATTATGAGAGTTTAGAAGAATTTCATGTTTATGTTCTTGCAAATAATATTCGTCGACCGATTGTTATCTATTCAGATACATTATTACGAACGAATGATGGTGAAGCTATTTCACCTATTGAATTCGGTGGAATCTATTTACCGTTAGGTAAAATAAATATAAAAATTTTCATAAAAAAATAAAAAGAACAAACTTTCTTTTCTTTAATAGAAATTCCACCGGAAAAATGCCATAAGCAACCAGTAAGTTAATTGAGTTCTGTCTACGATCTATTTTTTTAAAATTAAATTAAGATACTTTTGGCATATGATGCTGCACATTTTTCAGCTCTACTACCCATGGAACAAATTAATAGTAAACCATCATCAAAATGTAAATTTTTATTTGCATATAAATATCTAATGAATACGTGTTTTTTTCAGCTACTTATCGAATACCTTTAATCGATGTAGATACATTGGATATTCTACCTATTCATTTTTTTATTGATCCTGGTTTAAATTTTCAATGGCCAATAGATGAAGAATTATCTAATGATAAAATTCATTTCTATACAACCTATGGAGATAATCGAATGGATATCCTTGAAAAATATTTAAATTTATCAAAAGAATATCTTCCATTGAATAATTTAATTCCACAATCAACAAAAACAAAACAGGAGAATAGAATATCGACAACAACAAATACTAATCCATCAAATGAACTGAATTCACCTGTAACACATAAAAAAGTTTCTCGTTCATCGTTAAATTCATTTTCAAAAATGTTTCGTCGAACATTTATCGAACCATTTTCATCTACTAAACGTGCCTCTCTTAAACATGCACATTCTCATTCAACACATCGAAAGTCTGATCGATCCGTTATGAATGAAAATACATATGAACACCGACGATCACTAACATTACTTGATCATCATACAAATATTTTAACTATCATTTTAGCTAATTTTCAACCAAAACGACCACAAATATCTGATAATATGATAAAAAACTATATTGATACATGTATGAATGATTACTATTTTGAGAAAAATCAAAAACAAATTCAACACGAAAATGATAACGTGCAAAACCTTGAACCATCAACAGATTTAAATGAAACTAATGTTTCATTATCAACAATGAATACCTATGACGAAGAAATTATCTCGACGAATAGATCTAATGATACTAGTAAACAAATAAATGATAAACGAACACGCCGTAAATTACTTCAAATCCCATTAAATTCTTTAAATAAAACAATTCCATCAACTCAACATATAGAAAAAGATTCTAGCATCGGCACTTCGTTATCGGGGGTGAATGGTCACTATTTAGGAAATGTTGACCATGTACAACAAACACAACAAAAATTAAATCAATTGATACAAGTAATCAATATCTTTCTTCGAGTCGAATAAATCAACCATCAGTTTCATTTTATTTATTTAGGGAAGTGATCTTGAAATGACGAACGATCAATATTTGAATGTTGAATTAGATATTAATAGCACTTCAAATAAATTGTTTCCAAGTCAAAAACTAATCTCATCATCTTTAAAACGCCAGCAATCATTAAATTCTGATAAAAGTTCAAATAATCTATCAGAAAACAATCAAAATTTAAATCACTCAAAATCAACGAATACAAATATTAATAAACGTGCACAAATATTAAATCCAATATCAAATATTACGCAACAAAAGCGTCTTTAAAATATTCACTGGTTATTTTACCGGTGATATCTTATTCCAAAGCAATTTATTATTTAATAGAGATATTCAAAATAATATAATGAAGATTTTCAAAATACAGTGTGCTCCTTTTTTGTTATTTTTCTTTTTTTTTATTTCTTCTTTCGCTTCTTTCTTCGTTTTTGTTTTAGTCGTAAAACTTTCGTTTTCAGTATATTTTATTTTTCAATCATATTTATTTTATTTTCAACAAATGAGATGGGGTGCTACCAAAATCAAAACCATTATTAACAAATTTTATATCTATATCATCGGAATGATATACGTTCAATGAAATATCGATTTATCATTCTATTTTTCTATGAAATGTACATAATTTATTCTGTAGTAATATTAATTTTAAAGGTTCGCCCATAGTTTTAGCTTTTTGATTTTGTTCAACGTGAAATGTTGTTTTTTTCTCTCTTTGATTAACAAATAATAATATTTCAAATAAAACATAACTTGAGAAAATTTCAATGATAGAATCGCAATATATTTTATTTATTCAATATTCTCGAATATGTTAAAATTCTGATTATTGATTTTTATGAATAATCGCTCATCTAATTAGCTAATAATTTAATCAATATAGAAAAGAAAAAGATACTCTAATATCGATCTTGTGTCAATATGACATTTCATATATTTGATCGTGAGTTAAATAGTAGTGTTCAAGAACTGAGAAATAGGAATTCCTAACTTTCCGAGGAATTATCAGTGCCGCTGTGATAATTCCTAGAGGAAATGGGAATCAACTATTGGTTCCCTCACAGATCCACTATTCACGAAAGTCGCTTTATTGTTTTTGTTTCAAATAATTTGTGCGCGAAACTATTGATTCTCACAATTTTGCAAGTGAAAATGAGTGTAAGAACAAAAGTTATCGTGAATATTCCATATGTTTACCTTTAGTATGCAAGGAACTGTAGGGGAACTGAGAAGAAATTTCTAATTCTCAGTTCATGGACACCTTCCCGTCAGCATGATAAAAACCTATCTAAAGGCTTCAATTAAGTATTTTTTTACTTGAAATTCTTTATTTAAATTTAAATTTTTTTTGTACATTTAAAGCAATGGATAATTCATAAGAATATCTTTGAAAACAACTATTTCGTAATCAAATTCAACATTGAACAATTGACTCAACTGATAAATATTTTATTTTTAACAACAAGATCTATAAGAATCATTAATGAAAGATTTAATAAATAAATGGTGAGAACAAAAACGACTTGCATCATATATATTGAAAATTCATCAATATCAACTTATTTCTTCCTAGTGCAACGGATATTGCTAGACGATCGATCGTTTAATTGTCTATTTACACCCGTTCTATCCTCTCGATCACTTTCATTCTTTGTTATAGGATAAGTCGAAATAGATATGACAATGATATCTTTCCTCTATGCGTGCATTTCGTAAAGAAAAGATTAACAAAGGAAAAAGTGAAAATAAATATACTGTCTGAAATATCGTTAGGCTATTTAGTTTTTCTTCCTTTGCCTGTGTATTGTATGAATACCAGTGGTCCCAGGTCAATGATTCCGCGGGAACGGATGCTGCGGGAGCCGGCAGGAAAATACGAGAACTGCCATCGTATCCTGCAGGGAAATACTGGAAATCGGAAGCAGTATTCCGGACGAAAATTTTCGGCTGTTTTCCGGTGATTTTCCGATCGGTGAAAGCACAGAAATTCATAAAAAAAATTCCGAAATTTTCCGACCGGAATACTGCTCCCACGTTCCAGTGATTTCCGGTGTTTTGATGCCGTTTCCCGTCGTACGAGTTCGACCTGGGGTTTAATCGTATATTCTTTTCAGATAAGTGAAATATCACCAGTCGAACACACACCATCATACTAAAATACAATTACACTGAGAATTATTTCTTTGTTAATTCACATGGCGGTAAGAATTTTCCGATATGTCTATCCTGGCCATTAATCAAAGTCCTGTTTATAATGCGATTAATCACGTAAAGACCGAGGCATTAATCGATGGCACGATGAGCTTGCATCTCGAAAATAAACCAATACCAAGCTGTAAAATCATTCATATTATTGATGCTACCCAGGTGAATGAATCCGACCGGATCTTATAAAATCCGATGCGCCGACAAAGTCCTATGGGATTCTGAGTTGAGGAACTACTAACGGATCCATAGTGTTGGAATCCGGTGAACATCCGACCAAATCCAACAACCTAATTCGATAGGAATTTCAGGAGTTGGATTCCAACGAGGTTCCTAAAGAAACCGATCGGGTTTTGACTGGTTCCTGCAAGAATCGATCGGATCCCAACACTAGGGATCTGTGAGGGGTCTGCAACCCGGATTTACTTAGAATCCTGCAGGAACCGATCGAAATCCGGTTGGATCCAGTTATCGGATTGAGCACGAAATGTTGCAACAGCATGTGAAACAATACAAAATATCAGGTGCAACATCCGATTTTATAGGTGTTACGAAGTATCTTCAATTGGGTGACTTACTAAAACATAAAGAAGCAGAAATGAAAGTTTTAGAGAAGATATTTCATTTTTATTTAAAAGAAGATGAATATCGTTAAAAGTATTATTTTTATTAGTGGCGTAGCCAGTATTCTTGCTTATTATGTATCGCAGCTTCAGAGCATAGGTCTCACATGAAACTAGTAGAAAGTTTTACAAGTTTCATCTGGGGCTCGTGTCCTGAAGTTAAAATACAGCATATCCAAGATTCCTGGTTTCTCACTAATTTTTATTTATTTTTCACATGTTATATCTTGTTGTTTTTTGTTTAAAGTAGCTAGTACTAGAAAATCAATACAATGGAAGTACTAGGATGTATGAGGGAATTACAAGGGGATTAAAGCGTGATATAGATGAAGTATCTGGGAGTGCAAATGAAATATGTAAAGTACGGAAGTCGTGCTTTCTCCTCTTTGAGTTCACATTTATCCAAGTTTTTCCAAATTTTTTTATGTGTCTCTCCGAGAGAACCTTAAAGACCACTCCCATATGTTTCATTACGATGAAACTGCAGCGTAGTTACGACATAACTGCAATCGCACTGTGGCCCGTAATTGCGGAAAATTACAACATAGTTACGCGTAACTACGATGAAAAAATCGCAGTTACGCGTAGTTATGGTGAAAAAATCATAGTTACGCGTAACTAATTCGCATTTTTTTGCAATTACGGGCCAGAGCAGGGTTGCCACCTCTTTCGCTTTTTGCGGAAAGTTTCCGCTGTTCCGCTTTTTTGTATAAAACGTGTTGCATATCAAACACACGTACAGAATAATATTTGATATTATTGAATCAATTCTTATTGTTTACAAATGCCGTCAGTCATCATTTTTTTAGGTTTGAAACTTGGATGAGATAAAAAAGAAATCCAATAAATATGAAAAAATGCCTAATATTCTCAGACGTATTACAAATCTGCAACAATATAAGCTTCCGCTTTTTTTCCGCTTTTTCTGTTTTTGTTTCCGCTATTTTCCGCTTTTTAGACTTCATCAGATGGCAACCCTGGGGTTCACCCACACCATCAAGCTTTTCATTTGATGTTGTTTGATCGAAAACATATTTTTCCATTTTCTTTATTTTTATAATGGAAAGAAATAGAATCGAATAAATCCTATCTCACTCGATATTAGAAAAACAAAACACTGCGAACTATAAAAATGAACAAAACAAACATAATGTTATTAGGCTTGTTAGAAATTTTTCAAAGTAGTCGAACATAAATCGAGCTGGTTTTTATTTTTGAAATGCTCAAGATATTCATAAAAGAAAATAAAGAAAAGGCTTTGTCTTTCGGAATAATGAAATTTGTTGAAAAATTTCTTTTTATTATTCTAATTTTATAAGAGTTTCATTCTGGCAGTTTAAATCTGAATCATTCAGATGAATGTATGTGATGATAAACTGATGTAATGATTAAAATAGAAGAAAATTTTCCATCTGTGATTATTCACAAGAAAGAATTCAAATTATCGTTTTTAATTTCTATCTTTGTCTCAAAATTTTTATGTATTGTTAATTATTTCAATTTAAAAATTGTTCATATCTAGCCTGTTTAAATCCGATTGTCAAGAGACAATGCATAGCTGCTGAATATTTCTGAAATGTTTCTTGAATATAATTTGCAGACAATGTATGATTTCAAGAATTATTTCGATCATTAAGTAGATTTGAAATAATATCAATCAGAAGTGTTATTGTAACAAATCGATCATCTTCATCAACTATTTTCGTAAATTATCTGTAAAAGATAAATCCATTTTATCTGGAATACAAAATTTAACTTTTTATGATTAACAATAAAAATGTATATATTTATAAAAGAAAAAGAAAAGAAAATAGGGATGCAACAATGCCAATACACTATTGGGATATTGGTATTGTTACATCCCTATACATCTTCAATCACATTCAAAACACTGTTTTCGATTATTTATTTCTTTTCACCAAAAAATAATATAAATGTTTCTAGAGTAGCTATTTGCATTAAAATTCAATTCTATCTGATCAGCTTCAAGCACAAAGAAGAAAACTAAAATTACAAAGAAAAAGGAGTTGATACATAAAGCAATAAATGATGCATGACACGCATATATTGTTGATAAATATAAAATTATGCGAATGTATCAGTTATACAAATACGAATGGGTGTTGTGCAATTATTTTCTTGTGTTGATTTCATTTTGGATATGATCACCTGAAAGAAAATATATTTTTTGTTGAAAAAATAATGATACTAATGTTTTTCTTATCTATTTTTCTATCTATAACAGTTGAAATAGCGTTGATGTCTAAAAATGAAATATTTATGATTTTATGGCAAAACGAATTGAGATGATTTTCCATCATGATAAAAAACATTTCAATGAGGAGTTATCAATAGAAAAGTACAATATATCTTTCGTAGATAGTAAATTTAAGACTCAACTAAATGTCAAAATGAAGTGAACTGATAAACTTTAATAGATCGGTTTGTTCTAAAAAGACAATCAATTAGTAGAGTATTTTATTTATTTAATGAATATTAGTTTTGCTTTGTATTTACATTTAAAAGTTTAAAATAAAATTTAGAATCAATATTATCATGAAGAATAAACAAAAACAATCGCTGATTATTAGTTATATGACAAGAGAAAAAAAGTCTCATGTTACAATTGTTTTTCATTAAAAACATCCATCTCTGCTACATATTCGTTTTTTGTTGATTCTTCACCTAATTCTGTACCAAGATTATCGAAACCCGTAACCGGTTCGAGTTGTTGTGAATTTCGTAATTTTGAATGCCAAAAACCATATGCAAAATAGATAACTTGACCGATACCCATCCAAACACCAAGTCGAATACCGGTTTCTTTAGAAGAAGTTACCATGAGTACAAGACATAACAACGCTCCAATAGAAGGAAAAACCCAAGGCCCCAAAGGAACCCGAAAACCACGTGGTACATCTTTGTGTGTAAAACGCATCTAAATCTTATTATTAAGGAAAAGAAACAAAATCCCTTGCTACGATACACTTACAATAATGACAGAAATATGTACAAGAAAAAAGGCCACTAAAGTTCCGATTGATGTCATTTCACCAAGTATACCTAAAGGAAGGACAGCAGCAAATGCTGCACAAAATGCACCTAAAAATTAATAATATGGTCAAAATTTCTATCGATAGAAAATAAAAACAAGAATATCTATCATCTACCAATGATAATTGTAGATACCCAAGGAGTTTTAGTGCGAGGATGAACTTTAGCAAATATCGCTGGTAATAGACCATCATATGCCATAGAATAAAATATACGTGATTGCCCTAGAAGACTAACAAGAGATACACTCGTTAGACCCGCAATAGCTCCTAAATCTATAATAATGGGTAGCCATATTCCATGCGGAGTACCTTTACTAGAATATAGTTATTTTCATGCATACTTATCAGTTACATAGTTATAAGAAACTAATCTTATAGTTACATTGCTTCTGAGATTGGATTTGGTGAATCAAGTGTTTTATATGGTGCAATACCAACCATGACAGCACATACAGATACATAGAGCACTGTTGAAATCGTTAACGAACCAATAATTCCAATAGGTAACGAACGCTTTGGATTTTTCGTTTCTTGTGCTGTAGTAGTAACTGAATCAAAACCGATATAGGCAAAAAATACAACAGTTGCACCATGCAAAACGCCAGTTATTCCATATTTATTAAAACTACCTTCATTGGGTGGGATGAAAGGTGAATAATTACTAGGATGTGTATAGCCACAACAGGCAAAAATAAATAACAAAACAACAAGAATCTTAATTATAACAATTACAAGGTTAATTTTCGCTGATTCACCAATACCAATTATTAGTAGTATTGTCAGTGCAACAATAATTATTACTGCTGGTAAATTAATTACTTTTCCTGTCACATAAAATGTGTTTGATTCTTCACTCCAAGCAACTGGTGCTTCTACAATCAATCTTGTTGCATTATGTTTAGATACAGTTTCAACAAAATGAACAACATAACCACTCCAACCTACAGCTACCGTAGCAGCTGCTAATAAATATTCAAGAACCAAATCCCATCCAATAATCCATGCTAGATATTCTGTAAATGACAACAGCAACAAAAGCATGACTTGATCTATTATATTTCTAAGTTATCAAAAGCTAAAAACAACTTACCACCCATAGCTAAGTTTTTAAAAATGAATGAAAAAAATTAATTATTAAAATAAGTAACCAATAAATTTATTTTCTAACATACTAGCATATGTATAAGAATAAGCTGAACCAGATATTGGTACCATTGAGGCCATTTCAGAATATGAAAAAGCAGCAAGTCCAGCAACAATGGCAGCAATAATAAACGAAAGAATAACAGCAGGACCAGCATATTTAGCAGCTGCTTCACCACTCAATACAAATATACCAGTGCCTATTCAAGTAATTGCGTGTAAAAACAAATATTTATGCATATCAATACATTTCACTTACCAATAATACTACCGATACCTAATGCCAATAACTGAAATGTACTTAGTGTGCGTTTGAATTCATTAGTTTGATCAGCTTCATCTTGTAGTTGTGTAATAGTTTTTCGTGTACCAAGCCGTATTGCAAACCTTTTCAAATAATAAATTGCTTTATTATCATCTTGACTATTTCGTAATCTTGCTGATAAATTTGCAAAAACATTTGTTCGAACCATTTCAACTATGTCAAGATCCAAACGTACGCACGTCTATTCGATCTGTCAATTTTCTAATGTATATATATATATATACAGGTTTGTTTTGAAACGAATATCTATCTATCGCTACCCTCTGTTACATTGAATAGAGGAAAAAGAGAACGCGTTTCACATCATTATTCATTCTATGACAACATAAACAGAAGAAAGAGAAATATATATAGACCACCCATCATGTAGTTAGATGTTATGTTTCGTTCGATATTTATTTTTATACCAAACAGGCAGTGTGCAGACCTATATTTCGCATTACTAATTCTGAATGATTATTCTTTTGTCATGAATTCTGTTTTTCTTATATACTAATTCATTTTTCATAGTACTGGGTATTGTGCCCTAACTGAATAACAAAAGTCATGGAATATAAAAGTAAATATTCATAATATCACAGCTGTTGATGATAACATCTTTCTTCATTATGAAAAAAACATTCAAAAAACAAAAAAGGTGTAAAAAAATTCTCAAAACCGTATCAATAATAACGGACATTTTAGATATGTCAATAAAATCAACTGTCCGTAAATTACCAACGCTTTCATCAGTGCACATGCCAATATCTTATCGACGATATCAAAATCGTGCTGCAGCTGTTTATGATATGAGTATTAATTGTCATGATATTGATACAGTATGTCACATACATCGTTTATCTGAAACTATTATTTTACAAGATTGGAAAGGAAATATTGATTATTTAAAAATTAAATTAAATTTAAATAATCGAAATGATATTAAAAATAGATTTTTAAAAACTATGAAAGATATTGAAGAAAATAATATTCAACCAACACTTGGTAAAATATAGATAGCTTTATGTAATAGTTAATTTCTTAGAACTAATGTTTTTGTTTGTCTACTAGCTGCAATTGTTCATTATATACCGTTTATTTACATTGAACAAGCCATAGCAGAGCAAGATATTAAAAATGCATTGAAACGTTTTCTTCGTGAATTTAATTCAAAAAGAAAGCCAGAAAAAGTTTCTAAAACCGATAATATTATTCAACAACAATTAAATGATGGTCAACCTATTCTAACGTCATTTGAACAATATTTACTCGTTGAACATTTTATTAAATCAGTATCAATAAGAAAATTTCGAAGACTAATTGATATTGAAAAATGTCTGCTTGAATTTATTCAACTAATTATCAAGACAAATTATTCGTCATTAAATAATATTTCTTATTTAAATAAAGCATGGTTGAAAATATTTCTTCAATCGGCATATCCTCGATTACAGTCAGATGCTCTATCTTGGCTAAACATAAATCAATTATAAATTGTTTGTATATCTATCTGGTCATGCTGTTATTCTATTAATCAATAATCAAAAAGACAAAAACCGTTCATAAATAAGTATTTTGTTATGTTTTTTTTTGCTATAATAAAAGAGAATGATTGACCAAATTCATCAACATTAGATTTATTTATTCATAATATATATATATATATATATATAAAGAGAGAGAGAGAGATAGAGATACAAAGAAATAGAGAGCAAGAAACCCTTTAGTGTTATTTTCTCAGAACAAATGTCTAGACAATATTGAATGTAATCTGATATCTTCGAATATTAAAACAGATTTTTTACAATGGAACTATTGAGATGATCAATGAAAGTTGTTTGTGATTATATTAAAGCAAAACAAAAATAACTATACTATATTATATTGTTACAATATACGTATAGATACATAAACAAAAGGATAGAAATATATTCGCAAGAATGACCTTAATCGATTATCAATATAATCATCTTATTTTACATAACTGATATTTATATAATCAACTATGTTCCAGTTAAATGAACCAACTAAACAGATGTATTGTATTAGCGATATCAAACAAAACAATCAAGTGCTAGATACAATCGATGATATATCAACGATATTCTGTAGAAAGAAAAATATCACTATATATCTTTAGGAAATATCATTGATTTCTTCAAGCGATAATAGTTAATAATACTTTGAAAATTTTCTATCAGATACGCGTGTATGTTTTTTTTTCTTCATAATTAATCAAATTTTAAAGAAACGATAAGTGTTCAACAAAAATGTGTCATTAAGAGAAATTCACAAGAGTTTGACAATACAGCATTTACAAAAAAAGAAGAAGAAGAAGAAGAAGAAGGAGAAGAAGAAGAAGAAATTCTAAATCAAGTTGTTGTTTCTTACTTAAGAAATTCTATTATGCTTGCTTCGTATTTGCATATATACTTGTGAAAAGAAAAGAAAACGTTGGTATACAAACGAAACGTTACATTGCTTTTTTTTTGTACGATGCCAATAGAACAAACTGGACTTATTCGTATTAAATAAGAATACTATCAAATTCAGTTTTTTTTTAATATCGATCTTGATAAATTCTCTAGTTTTTTTTAATGTACTCTTCACTTAAAATTGTGTAACGAAAAGATGATGATGTAATTCAATATTTATGAAAACTTAAAAAAAAACGAATGAATTATCTTTGTTCTTTGAATTTTCAACATGTTACAGACATAGTCATTAAAAAATTTTCTAATCTTTAAACAAAACTATCAATTTATCTACATATCAGCTTGTTATACTAATGATGTTGATGTACACAATGATCATCACTATCGAATGATCTAGTGTGTAAATATTAATTTACAAAGACGAACGTGACTAACTTAGACAAACGAATCGACAAAGAAAAAAAAACTCAAAACAGATTGTTTTGTTTTTTGGCACGCGAAATTCGATCTTGTTGTTGAAATTGTTACTCATAAATTATAAATGCCAATGATTAATATTGATATTAATCAATAATATTTTTTTCGTTCGAATACATTTCCTATAGAAAATTTATGTCAATGAAAATTTTAATCGAAATGAAAAAAAGAAAAAGAAAAGCTTATGTCATAACGACATTTACTGTTTATAGTGTATTACGAAACCTTTCAAGTGAACTTTATAGACAATTTAGAAAAAATTGATGTTTTAAACTTTTAAATAATAATAAAAAAAATCTTTCAACCCCAATAAATCATTTGCATTAATGAAATAATCAACCTTTTGCTTTTTTCGTTGGTTGCTATAGTTCGCTGAAAGATTATTCGTTGATAAAAGAAACAAAATATTTCACTCAGCCTCGATAAATATTCCTTATCATATTAAATAAAACAACAGGTGTACGTTTTTTTTTCTTCAGTCAATCAATCTTAATAATGCAAATGTTCTTTAGTACTTATATTCAAATTACTTATCGATACCCTTCCCACTATTAAAAACTAATTTAAAAAAAGTTAATGTAGACTAAAAGAAAGCGAGACATCCTTGATACGAATTTCGTATTGCTGAATAGTGTTCATTTTTATTTGTAATATTTGACTAAGTAATAGACGATAAAAGTCTGCCTTTTTTCTCTTCCTTATACTTTCTCAACTACTCGACTTTTTCTTTTTCTCTTTTTCAGTCAGTTCTTTTTTTTTGGGAGGCTATGAATCAGCAATTCTGCTGCTCGATTTGTAATCGCTATATTACACCTCAAGCACGTTTTCTCTTTTGTTCTCCTTTTCTTCTTTCACTCGCTTATCTTTGCAATATTTTTCTTCTCTTTTACATCGACTCGACGTTATTATTTAAAATACGCACATTCACGTCTATGTGACAAAAGCACACCTATCTCTGAAATAGAGGGAGAGAGAGACAGAACGAGAAATGTAGATGAAGAAAGTAGCTTCTGTAGGTGAGTAAGATATACATAAAGCTTATTTCTTATGCGTGCATTCACTTCTTAAAGACGAAAACCATACATCAAACACTAATGAAACTGATAGTTATGGCATATACAAGATGAGTAAAACTCAATATATACATATTTTGATTGATTCTTTATATATATACTTAGTATAATACTATGCATATTAGTCGAATAGTGGTGATTACACAACAATTGACCGCCGATCCGCTCAAAATGTTCCCCTTTTCTATATATACGCATAGTCATATATTTATATACATTATATATATATATATATACATGAGTTTGTGTTTTTTATATAATCCTTCCTCGTAGCTACATAGTTGTTGTCATCATCATCATCCTCGTCGTCATCGTCATCGTCGATGAACTGATTTTTTGAGTATATGTGTATCGATAAATGATAATTGTATATTACGCCACACATGTGTTCATGCGTTAATCTGTCGTTTTTTCTCTTTGTGATCATCGATTCTCATGCGATTTCTCTAAATACACATTCTCTTTCTATTCTTTTTCTTTTGGTCTCGTCTTCTACTAGACAGACAGGCCCAAAATCATAAAAGAAATCATATATTGAAGAAATAGAGGTGAGTGTTCTCTTGTTCGGACAGTTGAGACATAGTGACTAGTGTCAGTTAAACAACTAACGCAGACGCTGACTTAAGTGGTCACTTCATTATTTCTTTTTTCGTTGTGTACCATTAGCCAGTTATATCGTTATTTTCACCAATTCTATCTCGATCTATATATATATATATATATAAATCGACGGAAGACCGACATGTTCACTACTACTAAATGATTTATCGATTTTTCAATGCCGCTTCCAGTTTGGCTGTTGTAGTATTAGTACGGAGTACTAATAATAAGTACTATCTTTCTCATTTTTTCTTCTGCTTCTGCTTACGATCATCATCATCATCTTGTTCTTTACAAGAATAAAGTACGGCATACAAATAAGAAATACCACCCACGCATCTCGTCTCATCCAACGTTCGATTTAGGATTAAGAGTACTACTAGTTGTTTTCATCTTATTGCTTAAAAAAAAACAGAAGAAACCAACAAAGAAAAACGAGCCGACTGAGATGAGCTTTGATGCGTATAGTGGCGAAGAGACGTGCGTGAGCTGTCCTTGATCGCATGTGTCTTATTCATTGCCATCATTCTTGATAATATATAAGATCTAGTGAACATACAAGGGAAAACTAGAAAGAAGAGAATTCGTATAAGATGTTCGCAGCTTCGATCCATAAACAATCAAACGTCATCCTTTCTCATCATTGTTACCATTGTCATATGCGATTCCGCACAATGCTGTAGTGGTGACCTCGTTTTAGTGTGCGGGCGTATGTGTATGTGCGTATGAATGTGTGCATACATACACACACAAGCGCAAAACCAAATGGGTGAAGAAAAAAAAAATGCTCGACGCGTGCTTGCACACAGTAGCATATACTCAGTACAAGAGGGAAGGAGCAGAAGGAGAAGAAGGAGAAGGAGAAGGAGAAGAAGGAGAAGGAGAAGGAGAAGGAGAAGGAGAAGGAGAAGAAGAAGATTGTTGAACTAATTTTGCGTCGTCGACCACTATAGAAAACTACTAGTTTGTATGTATTTTATTGTGAACGAGTCATAAAAAGAATGTAAAGCGGAAAAAAATAACAAGAAATCGGCTTATTAGAGATAATTCTTCTCCTTTTCTTTTTAATTTTAGATGACCACTTTAAATGAAGATGTGATGGAATTGAAAACCAACGAGCCTATTTCATCATCATCATCATCATCACTATTAAAACCTCATCATCATCATTATCATGAATCATCAGGATATTCGTCTAAAGAAGTTGAATGCAGTAGTCCAGAAAATAAGACTTATAGTCAACATCGACAACATGATACTAAATTGAGAATTACTGCAAACAATAATAATAATAACAACAACAACAACTATAATAATAATAATAATAATAATAATAATAACAATAGTAATAGAACAGGTGATATTCATCGTCAACGCCATAGATTACCTACGACGTCAACAACAATATCAAATAGCGGTTCATTATTTGTTGAAGAATCTTCATCAGAACCGAACGATACTGAAGCAACAGTAAGAACTCTATTTAAATAATTTGCTTATATCAACTTTTAACTCAAATCTAAACCAAAAAGCTAATAGAATGTGAAATAAAGGTTTCTTTTTTTCTTCTTGAATTTATTAAATATTTGTTCGATAAGAATATTTCTCTTTCTTTTCGTAACTTGAAAAAAATGCTAATTCATAAATAATCTACTTATCTATTTTAAAGGTCATGACTCTCGATAAATCGATTCATCGTCTATCACCGATCTGTGATGAACAACTACTACCAACAACGAATACATTATCAAATAATCAACATTTTCCTGTAATTATTCAGCCCGATGATAATCATATTTGTCCATCTCCGTCATCACCACTATCATCAACAGCATATTCTAGGCATTCAGCTAAATCACATTCACATCAAGCAACGCTATTAGCTCGTCGTCATTTTCATGTTTATGATTGGACTCGTCTTTCATTTTATGATAATGTACCACCACCCCTCGGTTATCAAAGTGAACCATCATTTATCGATAATCATTCTCCCACAACAACATCAACATCATCTGCAGATGAAAATAATACAAAACATTCATCATTAAAACATTTACGTTCATCAACGGACAGAAAAGATTCAGGCCTTGATACAAGTAGCGTAGAAAAGCAAATTGATTCTATTGCATTAACAACTGATACTGATCCATTACATCGTTCAACAACTTCTCTATCATCATCTCTATCATCTGAAAGTGATACAACAAATACTATCCCATCACCATCAACGCCATCACGTTTACCAACTAGTCGTAAAATTCGTGTTAAATGGCATTCATTTACAAAATCTCATCGTCCAAGTTTTAATTCATCAAAATATCATCTAGGACAAATGTCTGTTGGACAATTATTTGCTTTACGTCGTGCAGCATCAATACGTATACAAGAATTACTTGATACAACAAGAATTTTATCCTCAAATACAGACGATCAAATACCAGCACTCATTCATACAACAGTGGCAACATCACAAAGTTTACTTGTAACTGCATTTAGTGCCGTGCCAAAATTAATCATTCGACGACATCAACAAAGAAAAGTTCGTTTCTAATTTTATTTAGACAACCAAAAAGCAAAATCCGAATTTTCTTTCTATAATTACTATTATTTCATTTCTAGGAGGGTCATCGTGAAGTAAAAGATATTAAAAAATCTGTATTTGGTGTATCACTTCTTTCGATGACTCAACGTACTGGACATCCAGTACCGATAACAATAATATCAGCAATGAAATATTTAAGACGAACATCAATTGATAGTGTTGGAATATTTCGTAAACCGTAAGTTAATGAAAATAAAAAAAGCAGAAGATACGATGAGTTATTTAATCTTCGCATCCTTATATATTAACCTTGAGTACATCGAGAATGTTGGGAATGAAAGAGAATCGAATATCGGAAAGATGATACAATTTTTTTTTGTAATCTGAAGGTTGTTAATCACATATCGTTATAATATTGAATAAATGACAGTTCTTTTCTTTTGATTTAATTGATAAAAAAAAGAAATTCTTTTTTTTTAACTGTTTATTTAACCCATGAAAACCTTGCATTATCAACATCACGATTGGATATTTTCTACTATATTAAAAGAAAACGAATTCATTTTCAATGAAATATCAAGTCGATGTTAAAATTTTATTTCTACATTATTTAATTTATAGTTGAATAAACTCTTGAACACTCATACGTAGAAATATGTTTGAACGTTTTATTATCAACGTCTGATGATTTCTAACAATTCGCAGGTACTAAGTAAATCGATATGGTACCTATAGACAGACTGATTTGTATACAAATCTTGAAAAATCTCTTGTGTTTATATAAGCCAATAGCAAAAAAAGTCTCTGTATTGACCTTACAACGTCAACAAAGTTTGCCTTAGGATCTGATTTTTAATTTTTCTATTTTAAGTCGTCTTAGTGAATTCAATCGAGGACTACTCAGAGAGTGCAATAAGTTATACGACGTTGAAAGAAATAAACTCGTTAAGACACGATTTAATTAAAGTCTTATTTCATTGATTGTTCTATTTAGTAACAATTACTTTTCGTCAAAACTTTCCTCAATAAATTAATATACTCAGTTAGATACAATATAAATATTTTGATTTATGTGCTGTTCAATTAGATTTTGTTTCACTGGATCATGTTACTTTACTTGAGATCAAACCTGCCAATTTTCTTGCGTCAATTTAGAGGAAATTGAAACTAGTCTATTTTGTTACTAATTTTCACTGTCTTTCAGAAATTCAAAATCAATCGTCAGGTGACTAATAGAAAGAAAAAGCTAGTTAATCATTAGAAATAAAATTACCTCTTGAGTATAGACTTTTCACTTGGAAATGTATTTCAACTCATGTTGTTCATTAGAAAGAAGAAAAAAAGAAATTCCTTTTGTACTAGAAAAGTTATTTGAACCAGTATTACTATTCTATTGATAGAAATTATCTATTAGAAATTGAGAAATTTCCTCCATTGTACTCACTAATGATTTCAAGCAAGAAAACATAAAATTTATCAATTATCATAAAGAAACCATATTTTTATAGAAGGAAGTCAAATAAAAGAAAATATATTTATATATAGTATATGTTATTGGTTAATAGATCAAAAGATTTCTTCTTTTCTTCTTTATACTATATAATTTGCAATGCAACAGACTATAGCAAAGATTATTATTACCTACAACGTAAGAGATTTATGAATATGGAATTGACTTTCACCTTAGCGTTGTAATAATAAAAGCGAGGGATTAAATGAACCAGTTGAATTTAATAATTTAAATGTCAAATCTGACCTGATTGAAAAAAAATTCGAATTCTTTTACGCTTAGTTTTCATTCTGCGCTATTTTTCATAAAAAAAATGTAAAAAAATGTTAATGTTAGATAAAAGATTAATATCTTATTCTAATTTCATTTAATGACTGAACAGAAGATTCTCTATCTCGAAAATTCAGCGACATAAATCATATTTTTTAAAGCGAATATACTTAGTCAACATGTCAAAAAGTGTATATATATATATATATATACAATAGGCATTGATTTTTCAAAGCGAACCCGAAAAATCGCGTCTAGTTTGCTTATGATAAAATCTTTGCTCGCTGCTTATCATTTTACGACATCATCCGTCATATTCCGTCAAGTATCAAGCGATGTGTTAAGTATTCATTGAGTGGTCATTTTTTGTTAACCTCCGATACTCAAAACCGAATCATTCACTAATGTTAGTAATCATATCAGTATTGATTTCCATTTTTGTCAAGCTTGGGCCGATGAGAATTATTAATAAAGTATTAAGTTTCATCGTTATTTTCATATGACGTCTTCGCTTTATACTCAATAAAACATATATAGTCGAGCACAACAATTTCCTTTATAGGTCCGAAGAAAAACAAAATCGTTCATAGTAAATATTTGAATTTTTATATAATAATGTCAATCTAATAATAATCATAGAATATAGATAAATATCTACGATGTATAGTTTTCGAAAAGGCTTTGTTTACTATTTTCTTCTTCTACTACTACTACTACTACTGTTACTAAGAATCTCGATGCTCTTATTATACCCAAAGGATTAAAAATAATTAACAAAAAAAAAGAAAAAAAGAAAAACAACGAAACGGTTGACGTTATTCTTAATAATTATGAATTTAATTTTAGTGGTGTGTCGCATCGTATAAAACGTCTACATGATTTAATTGAATCTGATCTTGAATTTCATCAATTCGATGATTTCAGTCCATACGATGTATCTGATGTATTAAAACAGTATTTTCGTGCATTACCTGAATGTTTATTTACAATAAAATTATCTCCACTATTTCTAAATATAAGTGAACATTTCTCTGTCATTTCATCTTCAACACCAATGGATTCAACATTAATTAAATTAAACAATGAACGTCGTCTACTTTCCTTACAATACGCTGTGCTTCTATTACCAGATGAAAATCGTCTTGTTTTACATTTACTTTTATCATTTTTAAATGATGTTTCTAAACATTCAAAAACCAATCAAATGAGTTCAATTAATCTGGCAACGTGTTTTGCACCGACTCTATTTTCATTTTATAATTACAATAATACTCATAATCATAGTATAGATCTAACTGATTCAGCATCAGCATCAATGCGTAAACATTCACAATCAATGGCTGCCTCTAATATAGTGGGTATGCCTGATTGGAGAGAAATTCAAGAACAACGTAAAGCTATGGAAATTCTTGCATTTTTAATTGATAACGTCCGTTTATTATTTCTTGTACCCGATGAACTTCATCAAGCATGCCATTTTTCTTATATCGAAATTGGTGAACCATGCACACTTGATGAATTAGCTCGTCGTGTATCAGAAGCAACAACATCGATAACAAGTACAACAACACCAGCTATAAACAAATATCGTCGATGTTCATCCAGTCATCTTGTTGGTAAGCGTACAGCACAGCAACGTGCCACGGAAATCGGTACAATATCAGCATCAGACTCTATTGGTTCATTATCGTCATCTCCATCAGTATCATCCTCGTGTGAAAATATGTTATTAAATGATAGTTTAAATGGAAATCAGTGTCAAACATCACCATCATCATCATCAACAACAACAAAATCATTTTCATCATCACATTTATTAATGAATGACACAAATAATTCTCTAACTTCTTTATCGTCAGCAATAAATTCAAAAAATTCTTCCTATCAAGGATTTATCGATCGCTGTATTGTTGAAGTTATGCGTGAATCATGTTCTAATAAATTAAAAGGATGGACATCATTTGGAAAAAACAATGAATTAGAATTAGCATTTAAAAAATTAGATGATGGCCATCCACTTGGATTATGGAAATGTTCAGTGGAAATTGAAGCACCACCTATTGAAATATTGAATCGACTTTTAAATGAACAACATTCATGGGATGATGGTTCGTATTAAAATTGTTTACTTTTAGAAATACTATCTTGAATAATTGTTCAATTTTATAGTCAAGAAAAATCAGATTTATAATCATCCTTTTTAAAGTTCCTCTAGCTAGAATAGTTGAAATTAAAGACTAGTATTTTTCTGTCTCTTTAATATTACTGCGAGTTTGTTATAGCTTTCATTTTCTGATCATTATCATAAATATTTATTTACGATATGTTTGTAAATGAAAGAGTTGAGATCAGTTCGACTATAAAAAAAAACACCGTGTGAATTGTGTTGATTGAGGAATGGTATTCTAATTTATTTATTATGTTATTATAAATTTTCATCTGGTTCAGTTTGAGAAGAGAAAAATAAGTATATTGATTCTCATTTTTGATAGATAATAAATTTTGAAACATACTTCTAGGAGACGTTGAATTTCATAATTAAAATCTGTTAAGATTTTCTATTATCTATGATTGTTATTTTTAGATTTTCAATCCGGTACAATAATAGAACAGTTAAATCAAAATACACATGTTTATCAATATACACTAAATTCAATGGTAAAAAGATTTGAATTTTATTGTAAAAAAAATCGACTATATATATATATATTTATTTATTTATTCCCCCATTCATCAGGCCCCTCTAGCATCACGATATTTTTGTGAAGTACGTAGTTGGAGAACGAATATTCAAATAAATATAAATGGAAATTATCAAAATTCAATCTCAACAAATGATACTAATGTAATGACAGCTCCTGCTGGTTCATCATCATTGGCATCATCAAGTGCAATAGCATCGTTCATTACAACCCAAAATCCGAATAATCAAAAACGAGATGCTTGTGTACTTGTTTGTACATCAATTGAACATCCAAAAGCACATTGTCCACCAACGCTTGGTATACTTTTCTTTGTTATAGAAGACAGAAGAAAAAAACATTAAACATTTTTATGTTTCGTTTTATTTAGTTCGTGCTGTTACACTAGCTTCTCGGTATTTAATACAATCTGTTGGTAAGAACTTGACTTTTATTTCTTTCAAGAAAAACAAACAGAAACAAATCATTTTTTTTCTAATTAATTTAGGTTGTGGAAAATCAAAAGTAACACATTTAAGTCGTGTCGATTTAATGGGACGTTCTCATGAATGGTATACGAAAGCATATGGTTCAATATTAACACGATCAATGATCAAACTCAGAGATTCATTTATCCATTTAAATACGGGACCCGAAACAAAAGTCTGATCTTATGTGATCTTATGTTATTGTACATAATATCAGTGTCTGTTATAAAAATCTACTAATTTCTTTTGTTTTTATAAGATAAACAAAAGAACGTTTATTATTGTTTAATCAAAACGAATCACGATTAATTCTTTTTTGTTTTCTCTTTTTCAGGCAGATGTGAATTTTTTGCTTCTGCTAAGTTTTGTTTTGTTTTTTGTTTTCTGTATTTGTATATTATTTTTTTTATGTGATCGACTGATACATTGAATGAAATTGAAAGAAAATACAGAATAAGAAGAAAGAACTGAATCTTCTCTGAATCTTTGACAATTGAATTTCATTGTCAAAACGATCAAAGAACTAATCTTCTATTTCAATCAAATGAATTTAATCGATATTGTCGATACTAGGTTGTATACTATCGGAAAAAGTAATTATCAAAACACAGAGCTTAGTAACTATGAACGCAAGTTCACACCAGAGAAAATTTTGACGCCGTACTAAAATATTCAAATCCTAATGGAATAGAGTAATCTCTAAATTAAATTGAACTAAATTATTCAAAAGTGTTTCTATCATTGACTGCATTGAGAAAGTCATAATGAATAATAAGTGATGCATACAAAACTAATTGGAAGAGATACATATTGAATATGAAAAACGAAGAATTCGTAGCATCGAGTACATAACTACACATAACAATGAACTTTTAAGTAATTATCAAAATTAAACAAAATAACTTAATGCAGCACAGCTTAAAAGATAGATTTATGTCTTGAATTGTATACAATGCATTTTTTCCGTTGTAAATGTGAACAATTTTTATTCTTGATGATGTACGATATCTGCTCCAATATAAATAATAATTAGAATTCTATTGTAATCGATAGTATTTTCGAATTGAATTGAGAAAAAATCGAATGGTACGGTTGATGATCTCACAAAAATAATTACGAAAACAATGATACCTCTCTGGAATGGTGTATGTATATGAAAGTTTTACTAGTCGAAATTTTTGTTTCAAACGAGCAAAATCAATTATAAAAAAAAGAATTCAAAATTTCGTATAATCAATTTGAAAATAAGACACTAGATTTATTCAATGTTGATGTACATATTTTTGTTCTTTATTAAAATTCTATCTGCTCTTGAAGATAGTTATTTTATTCAATAAAATAAATTGGAAACTTTTTTGTTTTGTTCAATAAATAAGTTTTTGCTACCTTTTCATATAATCTATATGGTGAACTAATCAATAAGGTAAGGAGATATTGTAGTCTAATAGTTTTCTTTCAATTGAACAGAAAGAACTAACTATATTCTATTCTATAACGTATAGCTAAGTCTGTTGTTATACTATGGGTTATGTATGTATGTCGTTTATTTCGATTCGTTATTTCACTCCTATAACCACATGTTTGTTTCCATTCGTTGTCTTTTTTCTTTCTAAATCTATTCATTATATAATCAATTCTATTGTATTGATATTTGTGTTTGATAAAATTTTCTTCGTCGAAATTTGATTTTATATTTTGCAGACGTGTGCTGATCTATTTTGACATAAGCCGAAATCAAACAAAAATAAACAATGGGAATTGAAGGTCTTCATCCATTACTTAAATCAGCTATACATCGTGTGAGCATAAAAAATGCTGAATTTCAAGGAACAACATGTGCCGTCGATACAAGTTTTTTACTTCATCGAGGTGCTTATGCATGTGCTGGAAAATTAGTGCAAAACGAACCAACTGATAGGTAATTTCGTCTATATATATATATATATATTTAAATAGAGCATGTTATAAAGCAATATTTTCCTGTTTTGTTTAGATATGTTCAGTATGTCGTACGATTCGTTGAAAGATTACTTGAATGGAATATAAAGCCTATCATGGTTTTTGATGGTTCACCATTACCAGCAAAACGAATAACTAATATTAATCGTAGCGAGTATGGTTAGAAGATACTAATTTTTAGATTTTAATTAAATGATTTCTATTTGAAGTGAACGGGAAAGAAATCGATTACGTGGACAAAAAGCTCTTGCTAGTGGTAAAACTCGTGAAGCTGAACAATTTTTTCAAAAAGCTATTGAAATTACACCTGACATGGTTTTAAATGTTATTCGAGTATGTGTTTTTATTTTTGAACTTGTCATTAACATTATGTCTTCTTTTTTTTAGACTCTTCGAACTATGGGAATCGATGTGATTGTTGCACCTTATGAAGCTGATGCTCAATTAGCATATTTAAATAGAGCAAAAATAGCCGATTATGTTATAACAGAAGATTCCGATCTTGTTCTTTTTGGTTGTCATCATGTTAGTAATGAAGAGAAAAACAGCAGAGAACAACTTCAGTTTTTCAATCATTAATGATTTTAGATTTTATTTAAACTTGATGATCAAGGAAATGGTGAATTATTTGAACGAGAAAAATTAGATTTAAAAAAAGAATTTGGACTTGATAGTTTCGAACGATTCCGTTGGATGTGTATCTTATCTGGATGTGATTATCTTGAGAATATAACTGGAATCGGTTTAGTTAAAGCAAAAAAAGTTATGAGTAGAACTCAAATATCAAATATTGATATAGTAATTTTGTCAGGATGCCTTTTCTCAAATAGTATTCTTTTTTTTTGTTAAATAGATTCTTAAACAATTACCACAAAATCTTGGTAAATTAAATTTGCGTGTGACCGATGATTATATTACAGGCTTTAAACGAGCACATTTGGCATTTCTTCATCAAATTGTCTATGACCCTATACAAAGAATACAGATGCCACTTAATCCACTCTCAGATGATGTTGATCGTGAACACTTGAAATATGCTGGACAGTATGTTATAGTAAGATGCTGGCATCTCGAAATTTAAGAAGAATTCATTCGAAACAGTTTTCATGGTTGACTAGAGTTTGTCGATATATTTTAGAAAGTCTTTTTGTAATGAAACCAATGAAAATTAAGTTCACAGAAATTGGAAAAGTCTATAAAAATTGAAACACAAAAAAAACAGCAAGTTTCCATATTCATTCGATTCTTTCTCAATAATTTTGATGTATTTCGTTGACTAGAGGATTTTTGCTAGTTCTCTTAAATTTACTTTGCTTGGTTTCAAAATGAAACAAAATTTTGAAAGGCGAATTAGAAAGCGTTAAACCCATGAAAAATTGCAGTACCAAAAGATTTTATTAAAATTTTGTAATAGCCAGCATTTAAAACTCAACTAACAATCACATTTTTAAAATATCTTCATCTCTTTTAGACTTGATGAGACACCACTTGCTTTTCAACATGCAATTGGGAACTTGAATGTAAAAACAAAATGTATTGTTGACAAATTTAATCCAAGTCAATGGAAGGTAAGCAATCGTTTGATTATTTCTCTACGACACTTTATCGTTCAATTAGTATCGTTCACCCGTATCATCATCATCATCATCGTCATCAGTGATTCCAGGACATCTTAAATCAATTTGGAGTAAAGAATATACTGCACGTTCTGAACCATTTTTATTAACATCAACACCAATGAGTCGAAAGAAAATTTCAACGCCATCACCTCCAAGAAAAGTTCGATCACAAAAAGATTCAAAGCCGACTGCAACTTCCGATGCATCAACATCTGCAGCTATTCTTAATATGTATTTATCAACATCGAATGAAAAGAAAATTGATATTACAACAAAAAATTCTACATCTGTCGAATATCATACATCTATGATTCAAAGTATTGATATAGTCAAACGACCACTTCTATTCAATCAACATGATAATGATACGTGTAGTCGATTTTTCTCATCATCTGTAACCACAAAAACTAGTGTTTTTGATGCAATTGATGAAAATGAAAAACCTACACCGAACCAAGAAAATATTTCACCGATCAATATCAATAAAAGATTCAAAGGTTCGAATACGAATAATTATGAAAGTTCTTCATCGCAATTGTTACAGTGATGTCGAACATCGGCATAATTATTATTATTATTATTATATGTTACTCTCTATCTTCTTTAATCTTTCTTGATATTCTCTCCTTTTGCTCTTGTTATATATATATATATTTACTAGACATGTTGTTGTTATTTCATTCATTTCTATAAAATAAAGATCGTGTATACACGTACATCTATATTCATAGAGAGAAGAGTTTAATGAACTGTGACGCAAGCCTTTTTAAAAAATATTTCCCATCTTCTCAGGAGATGGGATTTTTTTTCTCAGAGTACTATCGTCAAAAAACATATTTTTCTAGATTTTTGTCGCATTCATAAGTCAACAAAGAAGTATTAGTAGTACTTGAAATTTTCACTGTGAATACGCATCAAGTGGATATAGTTATCATCCAAAACACGAACTGCAATGTGTGAACCACTCAGAAGTTGGTAGTAGTACAACGCATGTGATAAATGATCATCTTTTGTGTTTTGTAATACCATTCGTGGACTAAACCATGACCGGTCCAAGCAAAGTTTTACACAACTAGATAGTTCTCAGTCTTCACTTAGATTTTATACTAGTTCGGTTTCTATTGACCGCATTTCTTGAGGGTGTAGATGTGGAGTGTGAGTGCTTGAGAAGTGCTATTCAGATCAGCAGCTCACGAACAACACGTGGTCACAGAAAAAGGCATGAAGTCATTTTGAAATAGAGATAGAACCTTAATTTCATCGTCATTAAATTAGTCACATTTTCAAGTCACTCAATTCTTGTTGTTCTTCTACCAAAACCAAAATCACATTCGAAACCAGCATAAAAATATTCGTTAACTGTCATGTACTTCATTGAAAATTATTTGTCATCAAAATTCAGCTATGGAGAACCACGGACGAAACTCCCCAGGACAATCATTAGGACTGTCTGAGCGAGCATCTTTGACGGCCTGAAACGGCTATAAAACAGTATAATAAGGCATTATTTTCCCCTTATTTCGACGTAATCCGTCAGCTCGTTTGACGGACCTTTTCCCAGCTCGAACATTCCGGCCACCGGATCCCGTAGGATACTCCAGGGAATATGCGGAAAAGTCACCATATCCTACGGGAAATCGCTAGAGCATGGGAGCAGTATTCCAGTCAAAAATACGGCCGGATTTTTCCAGCGAATTCCTGCCAAGTTCCGGTGCTTTCCGGCAGGAATTGATCGGAAATCACCGGAAAAATTTCCAACCAGAATACTGCTCCCACAAAATCACCGGAACTGACCGTTTTCAGACCGGACTGTTCGATCTGGATTTTTTTGCTAGGAAACGGTTATCGTTTTGAACGCTGTATTCTTCGTTTTCTGACCTGGCGGAAAGCGGCGCCGTTTTTCAACGTTTTATACCACTTTTACGCCGGTTACGGCATTTTACTCACCGTTTTCTTGGACATGGGTCATACAGAATACGCCTGACGGACACCTGGGCTAAACTTTTGATGGCAAATTATTTTCAATGAAGTACATGTCAGTTAACGAATATTTTTATGCTGGTTTTGAATATGATATTGGTTTTGGTAGAAGAACAGCAAGGATTGAGTGAATTGAAGATGCGACTAATTTAATGACGATGAAATTAAGGTTCTATCTCTATTTTAAAATGACTTAATGCCTTTTTCTGTGACCACGTGCTGTTCGTGAGCTGCTGATTTAAATGGCACTTCTCAAACACACACACACACACACACACACACACACATATATATATACACAACAAGAACTGGATGATCAGCAGCTTCATTTGAGAATCAGTTTATCATGTAGATTAAGAAAAGCAACCTTTTGAAAACTGTACCACTTTTTTCAAAGCAGCTACAGATATTGTTTCTTTTTTTTATTTACTTTATACATTTGGATTCAGCGCGTCGTGTTGCTTCTAAAGATATGTCAAAATCAATAAAACGAAGACTACTTCACTTTTGCATTGCAGTCACCTTATATGTACCGACAGAATGAGAGAAGAGAAATTAATTTTAACAACAATCGACTATTCAAAGTTCTATACATGAATTTAGTACAACAACAGATCAAAACCAATTTGTATTCAAAAAAAAAAATGATGCAATATTGATAGAGTATCATCGTCAATAGAGAAATCAGATATTAAAACATTTTAACAAGAAACCGATTCGACGGGAGTATAACTGATTTACTGCTATTTTAATTTAATTTTGCTAGTAGTTCTTTTTAAAGAATGGTCTAGGTCAAAGAAGCTTGGTCGTTTCAGTTATTTTTTGCTATTTGACTTGCGCCGTATCACGGCCGTAGTACGATGCATATGAAAGTGTCAACTCACGGCTACTGAAGGTTATAAACACAATGAAACGATAGTATACGTTAGCGTTTTCGACTGTGTACTACTGTTTCTGGTAGTCACAATGCTCGACATGGGGTTCCAATACAGCAGCATCTATTACGAAATTTTATGCTGACAATAGAAATTTCCTATGGTTTATTTAGAATCTTCATCAACATCAGCATTCAAACTAGATTATTTGTCCTTCAATTAAAACAAAATCTTCGAAATTACTGTGCGAAACAAGAGTCAGTTGTATTTCAGGTTTTATTTCTTCTTGTTGGCTAGAATATTTTTTTTCTTATCCTGGTCGTATAAACACGATCTTTCGTGAATACGGATATGAACTCAGTAAGCCTCGATCTAAGTAGTTCACCTCGAGGGGTTCGACTCACTTGAAAAAAAAAGAAACAATTGATTTTTTGCTTAATTTTTGTTGGATCCTGTAAGTACTAGTGTCTCTCAAATATTTCTGCATGTACGTATGTTTGACTTCTCAATAAATGTGTTATCATATTGTTATGTCTTGAATTATTTTCTATTTTTATTGTTGTTGTATGCTCTTTTCTTTTTAATTTCTCGGTAGATTGAAATAAAACTTGCGTGTATGTGTGTGTACAAACAGATATTTTTTTGCTATGATTCTTATATTATCATTTTTTGTGTGTGTCTAGAACCAATCCTATATACTTCTGAAAATGCATAGAGCTGCATCTATGAAATATTAGTTCTCGTCTGAATCGTCAGGTGATTGTTCACATACACTCCAACCCGACATTCGTCGTTCAGTATTCGGTAAAGCTGTTGCTCCTAATGTTGATTCTAGAATACGTCGTAAAGGTGACGGTGGTGTCATAGTCTTGAGTGATTGATTACTAGTAGCATCTGGACTATTAGTTTGGCGCTTTTTTGTCACTGGTGATGATATACTTCGTGGTGATGGTGAGTAACGATCATTTGATTCAGATGTTCTGCCAAAAATGTCAGATTCGGACATTCGCGATGTTTTCGTTTGTTTAGCCGTTGTTTTATCATCCGTAGTAATAATTTGTGGACGATGCCGTACCGTGTTTGCATCATTATCATTGATAGGCTGAAATAGATTTCGTTGTAATAGATTTGAATTAATTAATTGTGGTGCTAAGTCATCCAGTGACGATGATGATGCATGTTGTTGAATGCGTGGATTTGGTTCTGATTCAAACCAATCATCAACAATAGCAACACTTGATGCAGCCGATCCTGATGTTGGTTTACCTGAAATAAGAGAATAATAGTGAAATTTTTTATCATGCAGATTTTGTTGAAATTCAAAACAAAAAATAATCTTACCAAAAACTTGTTGAGTATTAAGTTTAAATAGATTTTCATCATTATTAATTATGCTTCCGCATACTTTGCATACACCAGGCAGCGTCATTGACATTGAAGTTGTATCTCCTCTTCTCATTGTTGAACTAAGATCTCCCATATATTGTGTTTGTTTATAAGGTGTATTCGAACGGGATCTTGATACTCGATTTCGATTTTTTTCTCGATTTCTTTCTCTTCTCGGTTGAAACAAAAGTTCATCATTCAATATGTCTTCTTCATGTTTCGATTTAGCTATTGTCTTATGCATTAATTGAACATTCTTTTTTTCTGATTCCAGTTGTGATAAATTTGATTTTTGTTGTTGTTGAACTTGATCTGATTTTATAGAGGTATCTGCGTGTAAGATTAGTTCTTTTTCACGTGCTTGTTTAGCTAATGCAGCAAGTTCTTCTCGATGTTTACGGCGATCATTTTCATCACGAATTGTTTGTTTATATTTTATTAATTGTAGCCTAGAAGGTTGGTCAGGTGTTTCTCCATTTTTAACGTCGCCAGAAACTGAAGAAGTCGATTCGTTTACTGTTGATAAAGTATTTGATTTTGCTTTTGATAATTTAACGAGTTCTTCGTCAATTATATCACGATTCGATTGAATATTTTTTCCTAATTTAACAGCTTGTTGACTTGCACGATTAGCAAAGACAGGATATCTCATATTTATTTCCGGTTGCGTTTTCGATTCACTTGCCTAAACAATATGTATGAAATCTATAGTTTTCTTTCATTTAATCAAAACAAAAAGATTAGTTACATCTTGTTTCAATAAATCACGAAAAGCTGATCCCATTGTTGGTATAGTAATAGCACCACTAGTTTGACTCTGATTTGAAGCACGGCGTTCTCCTATATCTGCCTGACTTGTATTTACTATATTGATAGGAGAACGCGCTGAAATAAATGATTGTGATAGTGAAGGATTTGCCGCAGCTTTCGAAAGTATATTATCATTATCATTGGCTGTTGATGTTTTGAATGATTTTGGAAATTTTTTTTGAAGATATTGAACGATAGCAACAGCTGGATCAGATGGCATTCGTTGTACAAGATTATGTGTCAACTCTTTGAATAGACTTTCAATATTGTTTTGTCTCCAATAATCTTCTAATTTAGATGATTTCGCCATACTTATGCTATTGTAATGCTTTTGAGCGTTTTATTTCGATAATATAATGATGCATGGAAGACATTATTCTTGTCCTGTCATTGATGTTGTCCATGACAAACCATCGAACGAAATCAAAGCATACGCATACAACAAAGTCATCTGTTTGATCTGGCGACATCATCCGAAAGAAATGATCAAAAATTTCTTCAAAAATAGTAAGCCTGTATCGTAGTTTCTCAAAAGAGATACTTTTTAATTAAATATATAGCTATTTTAAAATTAAAAAAAAATATGTCACAGCTATTCAATCAATATTGATGTACACTTTAGTTGATCTAACAATTTTAAGTCAAATACTTTGAGGGCGGATCAAAACTTGGATCATTAAAATTTTTAATCTAGTTACAAACCTCTTTAAAATTACCAGTCATTGATGAAATTGCTTCGTGGGCCGTTTTCATTCCTTTTTTAAGTGCTAGTTTCTCTAAATAGTTACAAATTATTAGTACTGAGCATTACAAAATTGTCACATAAAAGTCAAGAAATCTTAATAATATTTCGAGATTGACGAAGAAACATCGATAAAACTGCAAGATCAGAGAAACAGCATAGATTGATAAATTTATTAACAGTGCGAAGTTTTAGATCGAAAATGACTGCATCAGATCGAGAAGTACGGACCGATTTCCGATGGAAAACACTGGAACATGGGAGCAATATTCCGGCTGGATAATGCTTCTACGTTTGTTCAGTAGATTCTAGCCAATTCCTGTTCTTTTCGGCAGGATACGGTGATTTTCCAGCTTCTTTTCAGTCGGTTCCTGCAATATCCAGTGGTCCGAATGATCGACTTGGTTCGTCGGAATAAGATATCACACCAAAAAAAATGTGCTCCACTAGTTCATCTATTGCCCGCTTGGCTTTTGTATATTATTTATGGGCACTTTGACATTATTTGTGCAAAAATTTTCTGTGTTGAGTCGATTTCTCCTTTTTTGAATTTTTCAAACTCTTGTAGTTATGTCTCTTTGGTTCGCCTAACCGTTGTTTCAGGTAACATCAAACCTTGTACTAAGCGTATTTAACACCATGTCTCTCAGTTTAGTTTTAATCAAACGTTTGTAGTTCGTGTGAGCTACTGCATTAAAAGCATCAATCTTGTCTTGGATAAGCTGAGCTTGTTTTTGACAAGCCTTCAAATGAGACTCCACTTTTGGCATTGCTGCTTGGCGTCATTTCGTATCAGATCAATGGTCTAATAAAGGTTGAAATTGTTTGCTTTCCTTTTTTTCTATATATTTAATACTGCACACCAACGTTGTCCTAAAATTAGAAAAAGAACCCTGAAGAAACCAGGAGAATGATTCCGATAGTAGGATCCTATCGGGATCCGAGTTTGGGACCTACAATCGGAATCCTAGTGTTGGAACCCGATAGGTTTCGGTGTCGGAATTTAACGGAATCCAACATAAGCATTCGATACCTGTGCTCTCTTGGCACGCCCCAGGTCAAAAAATCTGACACAAGATCTTATGAAATACAGACAAGATCTTGTCAGATCTTACAATATGAATGCTTGTCCTGGGACCATATACTTATTCATTGGTGATGAAGAAAATATTTTTTCCGTCGGATCCGTTAGTAGATTCGTGACCAGGAATCAGATCGAATTTTGTCGATTTGTCGGATTCATTCATCTGGGAATATGTATTGTTATAATAAATATATATTAATAAACTTCCTATAATTTGATAAGTATATTATATATTGAAGACTTTATTTAATCTTTTAATATTCATTCTTTTTTGCTCTTTCCGAAAATCTTATTATTTGAATAAATATTTCAACAAGATTATCTGTTCGATTGTTCTCTATTACTAAAAGGTCTATTTTCCTGAGATGATGCTAATAATTGCAAGAGGTCTATTACTTTTAGTCGAAATAACACCAAAACAATAATTCTTAAATAGATTATGTTGTTCTACGATCATTTCTTTTCTTGCTCTCTCTCTCTCTCTGTAGTTTATATGATTGAAAAAGAGTGACTATCTTTATAACGTGAATTGTTTGTTAAAATGCATGAACAAGGAAATTCTTGATGAAAAGAATGTGGAGGACACAAAACAATGATGAGTAAGGTGTTGTATGTTTACTTGCACAATTGCCATTTTCTATTGCTTATTTTTAAGTTTTACCTTTCTCTGTTTTGTTCAATTATAATGTGTAAACATCAATTGAAAAAAAAGAATCACCGGAGAAGGAAATTTTTTTTCTTTCATAGGAAATCTCCCACACTTGTTTTTGTCTGATACGAGTATATTGATTAATCTGCAAGTAACTCTGTTTTAAAACTCTGTTTTTTTAATCTCTTCAAGTACAGAAAAAAAATAAACTATTAGCTGTACGATCAATTTGTATCGAAAAATTCTTTTCCTGATATCAACCCCATTCAGTGTGAATTATGTGGAAATTTTCGAATTCCTTATCCTTTATTACTAGTAAAAATAGTATGGATTACAGAAGCGCTGTTTTACTTAATCCTATAATGAATATATTGAAACATGCAAGTGCAAGAATCTAAAATTAGTAAATAATCATTTCGAAAAACTAAAGAACGTACAACTTCCTACCGTCATTCATTACGATACGAAACTAAAGTTTTGTAAAGTAATTGTCAACAGTGAGATGAGTTTCGTTAAGATAAAATAATAAATGCAAGGAATAGAATTCGTGAAAATAGCATTTGTTATATATCATTCTAAGAAAAACAAATTCAATCCATTCGTTATTAACAGGAACTAAAGCCTTAAAAATTCTAACTTGAATATCAAATTTAGAGAGAAATTCTAAACTAATTTAGTTAGCCGTCCGTATGTTATCGACTTGATCATATTACTTAAAATAAAAAATTAATTAATTCATGTAATTCATAAATTTATTTTAGAAACAGTAAATTATTATATTTTATGAAGAAATGTGTATCGGTACAAGAGTGAAAAATGAATTTCTATTGTGATCAAGCTAACTTGTAATATTGAAGAAAGTCGATATTATTAAGAAAAATTTCAAATGCAAACCAACTGAAATTGAAATTTAGTTAAAACAAAGAAACAAAGTGAGTTTTTATTTAGTGACTTGTATCAAACAGTCGTTTGGGGATGTAAAAAAACAAGTGTCTACCAAATGATCTATATTTTTTCATTTGAGCTTGACATGTAAAAGTTGTTTTCTTTTTCGGCATATCTTACACTTCTCTAAAACATAATTTCGATTTTTACAGATCCGGTATGTTTTTGTTTTACCTATAAACAGATTCCAAGGTAGTAAAGATTATTTCGAGTAAATATTCAATCAATTCAATATTTGATGGTATGTGTGAGAAATTTTTATACGAATTCCATTGCGATAATGCCTTCATTCAATTATTAGTGAGTTATCATTATCAATTTGCAATTATGTGTTTTGACATCATTCATAAAAGGATATTTTTCGAATTTTTCGATGCAATCAGATATCATGAGAATTCAGCAGACCACCAGTGATCAACATCTATTGAGCTAAGAGAATTTTATTTTCAATTTATTATTATGTTGAATTAGAAAACAGTCATTACTGAGGAATAAGAAGAATTTAGGTTTGAAAATGGAGAAGTTGATACCTTAAGTAAATAGTTCTAATTGTCAATATTAAGTATTGCTTTGTAGATAATCTATTCTTTTTTGATATTTTCAACAGGATATTTATTCTGTCGTTTAGCATGTTTCTTTTATTGTCACATTATTTATTATGATTGAGACGTAAATGTCATGGTTATTTTCTGTTCGTTATCAAAAATGGTTTTGTCTTCTATTTAAAAGACATTTGCTAGAATTGAATATGTAGTAAAGCAGAACATTATATAATTTGGCAGAATCATCTGAAAACATCAAATAGCTAGGACACAGTTCACTGTGTGTATTTTAGTAAAATAAAATAAGAAAACATACATAAAAAAATTTGTGAATATAAGTGAAATGAAGTCAATTTTATGTTGAGAGATTCTGCTATAAACAGTACTATTTACATTGCAAGAATTAAGATATTATGTAATATCTCGTTTTCAAAAAAAAAATGAAATTTCTAATGAAGTTGTTTTAGTAGCGAGTATCCTACGTTTCTTATTAGACACAGTGCTGTATTTCGATTTATCACGTTCATGTCTAATTGAAGGTCAAATGGAATTTCATAGGTACACATGAAGCTTTAGTCTCATGTTTATTCAGACAAGCATCAAACATTAAACGGAAAATTGTTTACCAGATTTTTAAATCTCTGATAAACTCAATACGTGATTTTTTTTCTTATGATAGATACACTCATACGGAAAAATTAAGCTAGTCTATAAGATAAATAAAATGATGCCATTGTGTTAATCTTTTGCCCAAATAGAATAAATTCTAATCCTCAATAAATGGTTTGAATACAAAATAATCATTTACGTTTTGTTTTTAAACTTCTAAAATAATTTTAATATCGATATTACTATTCGAATATATTTATGCATTGTTTTTTGATATTATTGAATATTTTTTTTTCGATAAGAACATCAATTAGACTAGTTTTCAACTATAAGAAGTAAATCGACATATTTCATGAATCGATTGAAGGCTTTATAAAAGAAATTTAATTATTATTTTTATTTTCACAGAGTTAGACTCAATAAAAAGTGGACTATATCTTGAAACAAACACATCAAATGACGTTAATGTATCACATTAGGCATGTCACATAACATCAAACAACTGGCATCGATGTTTTCTAGCTAGACCAAATGATATCATAATAATGATACTTTCCCTTTCAATATTTATCTGATGTAGTGTTGGTAGAATAAATAATACAAGAAAAACTCATTCATACGATGTTCAGTAGTTTATTACAGAAAAAAAAATTAAAATAATCACGAGGGGTTTCGGGAACAAAAAAGAATCGTGTTTCAAAACACTTATTGTACAACATTATTTTACTATAAATTACTGTCATATCATTTACAATGAAAAAAAAAACGAGTTGGTGAATGTGCTAAATATGTAATACTATGTGCTGACGTGACATTATTCAAAAGAAAAGTAAAAAATAGAATGTTTGCATACGGACGTAAGAACTTTTGTTGAAATCTCATATTATGCGGATAAATATGAGACATTATTCATGCTAAGTCAGTGTATCAAACCATGATGTCTTTGTATATATTAATTTCTTTTTTTTTATTGATTATTTATTAATGGAATCTAAATTCAAACAAATATTTCATAAAATTTAGACAGTAATAAAATCGATGACTCGATTATAAGCTGAATAGAACAAACGAATAAAAGATATATTTTATTTTACAGACAAAATCATTAAGAGAAAATTAGTTCAGCAGCTATTTCTAATTATTTTTGATAAACAAACTCTTGTAAAGAATATCTAAGAAAGAAATGTTTTTTTCTCGTTGGAGAAAATTGATTTACCAGTATGTTGTCATGGTGATAATATTTTCAGGCGCCATATATAAATGACATTATGAAAGAAATGTTACTTATATATAGTATTATTTTGTGCCGTTACTTTTATCATCAAGATAGCCTTTTGATTGTGACATTCTGGATGACAGTAGAGATTATTCTGATAGCAAGAAAGAATTTACTATTGAAATCAATCATTTTATGAAGGCATTTCTATCATATAAAAAAAAACGGAATTCTGATTGCATGCATTACGAACGACAATTTTTATTAATAAAAAAAAAGAATCCATATTTTACTATTGGTAAGTGATTAATTGGAAGGTAATTATTATTGTCATCAAAAGGAAGAATATCTTTCTAATAGCAATTAGGTTTCTCTTTTTTGTCGTACTTAAATTTTATCATAAAAATCAAAATTGATGAAAGATTAGTATGCTACATATATACACACGCATATATATATATATACGAATCAAGTCGATAGACATTATTTATTTGATAAGAATAGTTCTACGACTGTTGACATTGTTTTCTTAGCTTACATAGGGATCAATCGTTCGTTGTTCACTAATGAACAAATCCAGGACTATATACTTTTGCCTTGTAGATGACTTTTTTCATTGTTCAAATTTATCTTTTACTGATATATATATATATATATATATATATATGTATGTTTATATGTATGCATGTATATATACTGTCTAAGGGATAAAGTTAGTGATCACATCGAATAAATAACAAGAAAACGAATGATTGAAATAATGTACAAATTAAAAGAAAATTTGATGATAAATAAGTTGCATGATTATTGACTTCAATATGTTCTGTTTTAAGATGTTTGATTTCATTAAATTGTGTTGTTATTTCATTTGTGAGTGCCAATTCAATTATAGTCGAATTTTCAATTGAATCTTCTACTTCAGTTTCGCTTACAATTGATAACGTAAATGTCGTTGCTGTTGTAGTAACAAGCGGCGATGTTGTAATTGTAGTTGTTGTGATTATATTAGTGCTCGGAGTTGAATTTTGCGTCGAGCTTGCGGTAATAGTAGAGGTAGAAATAGTACTACTACTACTACTAGTAGTAGTAGTAGTAGTAGTAGTAGTAGAAGTAGAAGTTATAGTACTAGTGCTGCTACTAATGGTAGTAAAAGTGGGTGGTATTCCTGATGTTTTGGTAGTTGTTGTAGTTGTTTTTATTGTTGTTGTTGTTGTTGTTGTTGTTGTTGCTGTTGTTGCTGTTGTTGCTGTTGTTGTAGTTGTTGTTGCTGCTGCTGTTGCTGTTGCTGTTNGTTGTTGTTGTTGTTGTTGCTGTTGCTGTTGTTGTTGTTGTTGTTGTTGTTGTTGCTGTTGCTGTTGTTGTTACTGCTGCTACTGTCGTCGTCGTCGTCGTTGTTGTTGCCAATGCTATCGTTGTTGTTATCATGTCTGTTGTTGCTACTTCGGTTGTTGTTAATATGGCTATTTCTATAGTAGAGGTAGTAGTGGGGATGGTTGTTGTTGTGGTTGTGGTTAATATGGTTGAATTCAACACAGTACCAAGAACCAAATGTGTTCGTGGTCGAGATAGTGTTGGTTGAAATCGTTGGCATGTTGATGCATCTCGATTACACATCGGTCGCTGGCATGTACAATGAGTTCGATTCTTTTGTTCACGTTCACCAAATGTTAAACATTCATAGTGATAAATAGAATTTAATTCAGTACGTATACGACAACTGCGACATTTATGACGAATTTCAAGTGAATGTAAACTGGAATTCGTCCCATGATAGCATGCAAAATGACGTTTTGCTGTTACTTCATAAATACATCGTTGAATATTGGAATTACATTGATTAGAATTGCAATAACAATGTGTTTGATCATAACCATATAATGGACCGTCTAATTCTCGAGCACATTGTTGATGAATTACTGTATCCACATTAAGTTGACGACGACGACGACGACGACGACGATCTTGTGATTCATCAAAGAAAACCAATTCTCCTGATGATGGCTCGGCATGTGATTCAAGCATATTTTTTGATAAAATTGTCGCCTTTTTTGTTGTTGTAATTATTGTCATTGTAGTTGTAGATAAGACTACTGGAGCAATAAAAATGACACATGCCCGACAATTTTCAATCAATTGAAAAGATCCATTGATATCTTCATTACAACGTAAATTTGTTGCAATAATGATATTGATTGATAGAACAACTATCAGCAATGATAACCAAATTGAAAACATGTATATCATAGAATAAATTCTTTTTTTTATTCGATATTAATGAGTAGAATAGTAAAGAAGATTGTATGGATAAGATGAATTATTTTTGTGAGGTACAGAAGAAAAAGCTTTTCATTTTATATCATATTTAGATAAAGAATGAATAAACTTTATTGCATATGCACTTTTGAAGAAAAAATATAAAGATGAATCTGTACAAGGAGGTGATGATGATCGTGAACTTCTCAACGTAAGCTTAACGCAAAGTGAGCAACTGTACGTGTGCACATCCTATATATCTCTCTTCTTTCTTTTGGTTTTCTCTTTTCGTTTTGTTTGTTCAAAGATTGTTCTTCCCGTCATTTGTGTGTGCCGTGTCTTGTACATTGTCGCACACATACATCCACCATGAACTATCTACCCAATTGTCTCGTTGTAGTGCATATTGATATATATATATATATATAAGAACAAGTCATTTGACATACATATTTATATGTATATATAGATATATACTTATGAAAATGAACATTCCATACATGTTCAAGGATATTGTTATCAAGATAATTACAGAAAAAAAAGTTATAATTGATCTAACAAATCTATACATATTTCTTATTTGTGATATTTAAGAATATGAAATGTTCGACTTTGATGTTATATAGAACACGATTGTGTGGAGAGACAACATACATCATTGGACTAACTGCTAATGGTGTTTGCCCATCGTGCATTTATCAATGATCCGTGAGATGTCCTTGCTCAAATTATCATGCCCGGTCTTTTTCTTTTCTTTTTTCTATTCTAATGCTACAAATGTCCAACCTTGACTTATGATAGGAAGGAGACGAGAAAAAATTCCTGATACCATTACTATGTTCTTGCCCATATCAAAGACGGAGAAAGGCAGATATTGTCTTTCTGTCCATCAGTATGCTTCTTTTTTTCTTCTTCTTTTGTATACCGATATGACAATGAGATAGACGGTTCGAACAGGTAACTTAGAAGAGAGAAAGAGCAAGAGACAGAGAGACGAAGAGAGCGTGCCTGATAGGAAAAAATGCTAGATGGGTTTTCTTTCCTTGCATGTTCGTCAAACTCGCGCTAACAGTATGATTAAAGAAGGAACAAACGAGTGCGCGATCGATTTATAAGCCTTGTCTAGATGGTATTGATGAGTATGAGAGTAGCACATCGAATAAGTATGACATGCTTTTCTCATGTGTAGCAGCCACATAAATGCAGAGAAACACACGAAGAAATGCGGTATGTGTCTGTGCACACTTGAAACGAGAAGAGCGTCAAAGAAGATGTGTTGAAGAGAGGGAAAAGAAGAAAAATGGGTTGAAAGGAAACACTAGTACTTCTTCTGCTTAGTGAATAGCAAGTTATCTATTTTGTCATCCAGTTACATATTATTTTGTTAAAGAAGAGCGAGGAGATTGAGATAGAGAGATGGAGAGAGAAGAGTCCATCTTCCTTTAGAAAACTCGTCGCCGCTATATTTCTATCACCGTGCTATATCAACAGCAGCAGCGTCATCGTCGTCTGTTGTTGTTATTATTATTATTATTATTGTTGTTGTTGTTGTTGTTGTTCTGCTCTCTACTCTTGCTACCATTGCTGTATATTTATGTGCATTCCAGAGATCGTCATTCGTTGTCGGTCTCGTCGTATATGTGGCGTATTTATTAGTATTTTTAATATTTCTCTATTTTTTGCTCTTTTTTTCTCTTCTTTCACACACTCGCACTGTGTCCCCCGTTATTGTGCCACACGCTTGCGTTGCAATCAGTCGAGGACGACGACCGACGACAATTCCTTCCGTATTACTCTTCCTGCGTCCCTCTTTTCTGCTTGTTCTTCCTCTTCTTCTATTTCTTTTACTTCATCAGCATCTTTAGCTTATTTCTCTATGCCTGCTGCTGCCTGTGAAAAAGAAAAAACAGAGAGAGAATCCAACGTGTGTTACGCGCTCACAACCCAAAAGCAAAAATAAATAAACAGGCGCGTGCGACACAAAGCTTGGAGACCACCAAGTCTCTTCTTCTTCCTCTTCGTTTTCTCGTTTTCTTTCTTTCCCTGATCGTCCTCCGTCGTTGTCTCGAGTAAGCTTTCCCTATGCACGCGGGTTTGTATTGTGATGCAATTTCAAGTATAGATAGTTTCTTTTCAATAGACAAAAAGAGAAGCGCTGAAACTGAGACAGCAGTAGCATTATTATATGACAATATGCAAAAAAATACTGTTTTGACAGTTGATGAGTAATGACGTGTGTGATCAGAAAATCTGTGAAGTTCATTGTTTTTTCTCTTTTACTATGCGCCTACTAGAAAATTCCTATCGTTCTGATTGAGTATGTGAAACTCATGTCATGTTTTTCTTTTGTCTACATTTATGTTTGTAGACGAGAGTATAAAAAAGGAAAACAATATGTGTGACACGACTACAGAATATCGCTAACAAGCAGTAGGATAGGGGTTGATGTTTGATCGAAGCTTTTTTTGTCTGTCAGCCCATACTGCCTGTGTAGTTCCTTTTTTTTGTGTGCAATTTCAGTTTTTGTTCTTTGACTTACTTATATTCATTATTTGTAGCCCAATATTATATGGCAGCATCATTGTGCATCACCGTGTTTTACTGAAAATCGATTGAATTGTGAAGGCAACATATTCAAATTTACTGCTACTCTTCACAGTATTATAGTTGCACCATCGTCCTTCGCATTTATTTTCTCCTCCTTCTTATTCTACTACTATTTCTACTACTACTATTACTACTACAACAATTTTGTGTGACCCCTACCACTTCTTCTTTTTCAATATTCTTCTTTTACTATCATCGACATCGTCGTCTTTTTCGTCGTTGTCGATGCTGCTGCTATTGCCGCCACTGTTGATCATCATTGAACTGACGCCCGAATGAACGTCGGAGTGAATGGAGGTCGCTTCGATTTTGATGACGGCGGTACCTATTGTGGAGGATGGAATGATGGTAAAGCACATGGACACGGTGTATGTACAGGTCCCAAAGGTCAAGGTGAATTTTCGGGTGCATGGCAGTATGGTTATGAATTTTCGGGCATCTACTTATGGGTAATTATAATTATTTAATTTTTTTAAAATAATTCATTGATATTTCTATACATAAAAACATACATATACGTATATTATTACTATCATTATTATTATTATTATTATTATTATTATTATTATTATAGCCGGCAGGAAACTCATATGAAGGACAATGGATGAGTGGAAAACGCCATGGATTGGGTGTTGAGAGAAAAGGAAGATGGATTTATAAAGGCGAATGGACACAAGGTTTTAAAGGACGATATGGTATACGTGTGTCGGATATTTCAGGCGCTAGATATGAAGGTACATGGGCAAATGGACTGCAAGATGGATATGGAGTTGAAATCTATGCAGATGGCGGTATTTATCATGGTCAGATACAGCAAGGACTACGCCATGGTTTTGGCATTCGACGCAGTGTACCATATGGTGTTGCATCACGATATCGATCAAAAGATGTTCGTGATTCTTTAACATCACTTCGTTCAGAAGAAGATGATGAACGAACACAACGTAAGTAACGAAATAATATGTTTGCTTGTTTTTATTATTTTTTTCTGAGTGTTTCTTATTCATATTGAGACTCATTAGGATAAAAAATAAAATCTTATTCTTAATTTACATCGTTCTATTTAGGCGAACGAGACAAGCGTATGGATGAAAATCGTGGTGGATTTGTATTACGTTCAAGGTCAGAACCACATGATTCAGTTTCTCGTAGTGCTAGTCAAGGACCACGTCGTGGTTCATTATCAAATAGTGCTGATCGTCGTATATCATTGCGTAAAACTCTGCTATCAAAATTACGTAAACAAAAATCGACTAGTGATATTGAAGATCTATCTATAACAAAAAAGACTAGTTCATTTCGCTCAACAGCTAGTACAGTTAGTGGTGATTCAAAACATTCAGTGAAAACAGCGACAATGATATCATCACATCCGAATACACCCAATTCATTTGGCACATTAGATGATGGTGATCATTCATTTATATCTCAAGATGATATACTTGATAATAATGTTGTTGAAACATATATGGGTGAATGGAAAGCAGATAAACGTACTGGATTTGGCATAGCTGAACGTTCAGATGGTTTAAAATACGAAGGCGAATGGTTTAATAATAAGAAGAATGGTTATGGGGTTACAACATTTCGAGATGGTAGTAAGGAGGAGGGAAAATATAAGAATAATGTTTTGGTGACCGATAAACGTAAGCCAAGCAAATTATTTTTACTTCGTGCATCAAAATTTCGTGATAAAATTGATGTTGCTCTCAATAATGCAATGAAATCTGCAACAACAGCACAACAAAAAGCTGAAATAGCTATGGCTAGGTAAAATTTAACAAAAATATTGATATTATTAAATATTAAAAATAATATTATTTTAGAGCAAATAATGCTCGTGGTAAAGCTCATTCAGCTGAAATCTATGCAAAACAATCTCGCAACGATAGCGTTGAAGCTCGAACTAGTGCTAAAGCAGCTGCACCTGATTTTCGTCAACCAGGTTAGAGAAATAGGAAAATTATTAATGACAAAACAAATATTTAATCTTGTTGATTTATTTATTTTTATTTTTATCAGGTGAAGAAAAGCCACAACCATACATCCCATTAGATATCGACCGACAAATTGATGGAAAATTACTTCCAAACAATCATATCAATGTTAGTCCGCCAAATGGTCGTTTGCCCATGTCATCAAATTATCTTCCTAATAGTTCAACACCATTACCATCGCATATATCTCAATCTCATCAAAATACATCAACAGCAACTTCACCATTTGCACTCGATGGTGGAGTTTATCAAGGTCAATCACAAAATCAATCCAATAATTGGAATACAAATCCAAAGGTAAACTTATTTACATTAAAAGATAAGTTTTTTAAATAAAACAAATGAAATTTAGACTGTTGGATCACCATCAACAACAACTTCTATGCATCAACAACATCAAGATTACTATCGAGATGTTAATCAAATTCATCCACAATCATCTTTGCCAACAACAGCTTACAATGAAACACCCGATCCACGTAAAGGTTTGAATTCATATGCATTATGCATAGAGAACAAAAAATAAAAATATTTGTTGTTGACAAAATAAGTTTCTTTCATGCTTGTAAATAGTCGAAAGTTACAGCATATAAAGTAGTATTTTAATTAATATGATCCTCTTTCTCTTGCGATATTTTTACAATCGCTTTAAAATTTTCATTAACATAGATTAAGTTTGTGAAATAAAGCAAATCTTATCGAATAAGCTTAGTATTTGAGGAAAGCAGAAAAAAGCAATGCAATAGAAACAGATTTGCCTCATCTATTTCCCCTAGATAATTCTACGAATAATTATCGTTCTTGTATGGTTATTGCCAATAGCACAAATATAAAGATCAAACATTAATCATTTTCTATTAGATAGCTAAAAAGAAAAGAAAAAAGAAAAAGAAAAAAGAAAGTACTCGTCATAATGAAAAGGGCAAATGATAAAAATTAGTCTCTTTTTCTTCTCTACTGAAATCTGTTAGAACAATTAAAGACTATTGAAAATATAATCAGTAGAACAAAAGTTTTCAAGAATATTTCATTCCGGAACATTACTTTCGGAAATGTGAATATTTCCTGACTCTTTTTTTTTCGAGTTCTATTCTCGATCTAATATACGACTTTTAAAAGTTTCTAACACAAATAGATATTCTATCATGTAATAATATCTAAAAATAAAATGTTACTCTTTTATTATTCATATTTTTCAAATTTATCGTCTAGGTACAGCCGTGTCTAAACATCATTCTAATTTATCTCAACCCTTATCTAATAATGTTTCAATAGCAAATAATTCAAATTATGATTATGATCGTACTGCAACAATGCAAACGAATACTAATTCTATGTCTCTACCACAATCATCTTCATCACATTTTGTACAGAATACCATCGGTGTAGGTGAACGCTCAACAACTAAACGAAATACATTTAAAAGGACTCCACGTGTCGTCGATGGATCAAACGATGACTTTGTTGATGATCCACAACAATTTACCGAATACCATCATCAATCACAACAACATGAATATAATCAACCGTCGTCATCAAATCTTCATGCTCCACAGCATATACGTCACACATCTGGTCTTCGACCCAATGTCCCATCGCATATGTCTGCAACTAATACTGTTAATACTAGTGTTCGACATAATCATATTCACGGTGCTCATGATTCTCACAATTTAAGTGGTCACGATTCAGGTTTAAGTTCATTCAGTAACCACTTTCACCTTGAACAACATCATGTGCATAATTTAGGTAACCAATATCAACCGTCAATATCGCCAACATCAAGATCACCAATGGTAGATCCATATGATGTTCCACAACCAATTCCTATTCCAAGACGAAAATCTTTACCGAGTATTATCAAAACTAAACCTAGTGATTACAGAATTGATGAAACCGCTCGATCAAGTGATAATCTACAAGAGAAAGAGACATTTATTATTGAAAATGGTATACGTAAGCGTGTCACTGAATTAGCACCCACTTATACGGAAAGTGGTACACCAATACCACAAGCAACTGTGATGACGAGCAGTAGTGGTTCACCTACTCTTGCTCGTCGTATTATTCTAGAGAGTGTTACGCGAGTTGATGTACCAACATCAACTACGAGTGGTACCGGTGGAAATAAACGAGGCAGTATGCCAACGCTCGTTAATGTTGCTAGAAAACGTCAAGCAGCTCCTAGTAAGTTTTTTCAATCATATAGTTGTGTTGGTTTCTTTGAAATTCAAATCACTGATGTTTCTTTTTCTTTCTTTTTTTAAATCATTTATAGGTATATCACGAGAAGAAGCAACGATACTCGGTTCTCAACGACGAGAAGAATTACGACGTCAACGCGATCGTGATTCAACTACTTATGGTCGTCTTAAAAATTTGTTACAGGTAAGAAAGAATATATTTTGCACACCGCATGATTTCGCCTGTTTTAATAATTGCTTGAACACTATTGTACCATGATAAATAAATAAATAAATAAATAGATAGATAGATAGATTGATAGAAATAGACAAAGCATGTTTATTCTATTTTCAAGCAAATAGACAGCAGACTGCTACCTCATCCATCATTGCAATCCAGTCATTAGGTTTCCGTCTACTAGAGCTGTCGCCCATTTGCTATTGATCTTTTCTTATTTCCTGGTTTTTCTTTTGCTATCTTCCATTAAAGACCAACATCCGTCTCATTGGACCCTAGTGTTGTCAACTGCTGTTGACGATTAACATCGATCACATCCATATTAGCGTGTACTAGAGACGAAAATTATCAAAGTAATAATAAAGGGAAAAGAAAAAAAAAAGAAAAAAGAGAGTTGCTTGACTTTTATCGATAATAAAAATGTATCATGGGAATATTTGAGCAGTAGTATTATCTCGTGTAATTAAGATTAGATTTGCATGTGCATGTTTTCAGTCTAATACTTCTACTACTGGCACAACTATCACCACAAGTATGCATGTAGCTACTCAAGAGATATCAGTACAAACCGACGATCGTGGTGGTGGCATTCAGGTACATATATATGTGTAAAGATAATGTTTTTTAGCTTGTTTGTTCGTTTGTTTGTTTGTTTGTTTATTTGTTTGTTTGTTTGTTTGTTTGTTTGTTCGTTTGTCTTAATCGTAGTAATAGTATAAAATTGATTAAAATTTTATTTTATTTCATTTTTTATTGTTGTTTAGAATGTCATCTATCGAAATCGAGTGTTCATTGCCATTTTCTTTCTTAATTTATCCCTTGCTCTTTGGTTCATTCAATTGTTGAGATGATATGATGATGCTTGTTACCCACAATCGTTCGTTTTTTATTTTTTTTCTTTCGGGTTTTTTTTCTTCTCTTTGTGCGTATATATATGTATGTATGCATACAGCTCAAGGTTTCTATTGCCTATTGCTGGTACTGCTGCTCGAAATACGATAACAACAATAATAACAGCAAGAAAGTAAACAACAACAACAACAACAACTAATACTCTACTATCACTACTATTACGTCACTGCGGGTAAACAACGAACAACGAAGGTCTTCTCTTTTTCATAAGTTTTCTCTTCTATTTTATTCTTTTATTGTGCGTGTGTGTATAGAAAACTAAATACATTGTTGTTTTGTTATTAGACATGACAATAAGATGATGATACTCGCGACTTTCGGATTGTTGTTTTGCTACAACCGCACGATCTATTCTTTCTTTTTTCTTTTCTTTTTTTATTCTTATCGATGCTCTTCCGTGTGTATGTATGTCTGTGGGTGTATTATGCACTTCTTTTTCCTCTATTTTATGCTCTCTATTTTTCTTCGTCCTGTATGATAGACACAGACACAACACAAAAAGAGAAAAAATATGGATTTTTTTTTCTTTTTTGCATTTGTATTTTTTGTTCTCTTTGTATACAACAAACGCACATAAATACGCACAAATGGAAAATAATTCCTTTCTGACTATTTTTTATGGAAGAAAAAAAAGCAGAATATTTGAATTCACATAGGAGAAAGCTTATTTACTTGATGAACAATTCGAGGAGAAGATAATTTATGGAAGCATGGTTCAAAGATTCAAGAAAGATCAAATTTATAATTGACGAACTAAACCAGATGGATAATTTTGGAATTAGAATATATAGAAAGGCTATTGATAGTACTCTTAAAAAATATAAAAACTACTTTTTTTTATAATATATATTATTTTTGATTGATGCACTCGAAATTGAACCTTCAAAAAGCATTAAACGGATTTTCCTCAGAAAGAAATCATTGAAATCTAAATTCAATTCAACGGGATCTTATTCGATAATATAATGCTCTTATTCGAAGGTTCTATATATATATATATATTTGAATATACATCAATGTGTTGTTATCTTTTTAGACACTCCTCGATGTCAAATTAGTAACAGTCTATAATAAAAAATGACAGTCAGAACCGGACGGAATTCTTTGAGAAAAGAAAAAAATGATAAGTTCCGGCTTCATTTCCATTTTCAAATAGACTTACTCTTCCCCGGAGTCTAATGCCTATGTTAAATATATATTTGATGTAATCATTTTTGAAAGACTAAGAATATGATCATTGTAGAATGTGTCAAGAAAATATTAAATTGTTTTTCAAAGAAAAATCATGAAATAGTCAAGCACTATATTAACGCATGTAAAATAAGGGATATTTCAATATCTTGATTTTTAATTGATTTTAACAATATTATTGAAGTGTCGAACAGCTGCACAGAAAAAGAAGAAATGAGTCGTATTGACATTAAAGCTATGAATCGTTTAAATACTTATGATAGTTTTCAAAAAATAATTACAACATTAGTCGCGCTAATAAAATAATAAACATCATAGTTCGATTTTTTAAATATTTGTAAAACAATAGGTAAGATTAAGTGATAAGAAATTCGGAGATTGTACATCTTGAATATAAGTGTATATATTAAAGTAACTCATCTGGAACAGTGTACTTGTTTGATTTAAAAACTATAGACGGTTAGCATAAATGAATATAGTAGTATTGACGAATTGTTCTATTATGCTCAACAAATTATGTATATGATTGATGAATGAAAACAAAAAGAAACATCTTGAGTTATGAATATGATTTTAGTATTTAAAACAAAAAAAAACAACATATGTCGGATTGTTTAACAAATAAAATAGAAAATATTCAAAATTAATTCACTTGTTAACTATGATAAAACGATAAAAAAAAATGCAAATGTCATTCTCAATCAGATATTCTAGTTGACGTGTAGGAATATGAAATGCCCAATAAGAATGACTTATTTCATTATAATTAAGGATTGTCGTAAATCTGAGAAGAAAATCCGCACCCAAGTGATTAATTTATTAGAAATCCATATAATGAAAATTCCGCAGTCAGTACAGCAATTTGACAATTAGGACAAAAAATTATTTTGTATTCATATTTCCTTTTGTGATTTTCAGCCATATAAAAACGAAATGTTTGCTCAACAGTTTTTCAGCACAATTAGTATTTTAATATGATATTGCATTATTATTTTTTTGTCGAATCAAGTGTTTTTAATGACGATAAAAGAATTACGAAAAGCTGATTTATCAATATCAATTGTGTTTTGATTAAATGTAATAGTTAAACAAGAAATGTATTACAATTAAATTTCAGTTTACCGGAAAACTTTAGTTTATATTTTATTAACATTCATTCAAGTTCATTTATGATATTAAATTTGCTTTAATTTTATCAGTGTTATAATGATTAAACAAAAAGAGTCAATTGATCAGAAAGTAACATAGTTCACCAGTACAAAAGGATGCTTTGAAAAAATATCGAAGTAATTTTTCACAATTAACATTAAACTACTAGGTTATTCTGCGGAAATTGTTATTAAAACTTCAGAGAGTTCGATAATTTTGTTCTATTGCAGTTTTTCTTGAACAACGAATAGAAAATTTTTTGACGTTAGTATTATTAGTAAGAAATGGTATACAGATGAAGACAGATTTTCTTTTCTTTTCATCCTATTTTAGTGCTCATTATTAGCTGATTACGATCGAAAATCATTTTGTTCTCAGGAGACTGTATATTTGACATGAAAGAAAAAGATGAGAAAATTATGATGATGTCTTGAATAACAGACTATACATTTTCAACCAAATGGTACATCATTTTTGTAGCTGGATTGTTTTTGTTTCCTTAACTACATAGTAGATATTAAAATTATCGAACGCATGAAAAACTTTTCCAGAAAGATATATATATATATATAAATATATTATCGACGCTTTTCTCTTCCCTTTGTGCATGTTTAATCACTTGTAATATTCTAGGACATCGAATAAAAAATAGTAAGTAAGATGTAATAATAGTGTTGAATGACGAATGAAAAATCTATTGAAATATAGCATATTAAAGCAAACGATTATTCGAAGTTCTGAGTATTTTTATATGCACGAGACATTAGTAATTTCTATCAGGTTATGAATGATGCTCAGATTCAGAAACGGATTTCTTTTCTTTTTACCATGCTACTATAAACAAATAGTAACTATCATGATTGACTGATTAGTTGATCCATGGAAGAAATCTTAAAGGCAGGAAAATAAATTACAAAAATAGCAGAGAAAAAAATGTCGGTAACAACTATGCTTATGAGATCAGTGTTTAAAAATTCAAGTATATGTTGATCGGTAACCGTTAATAACATTGCATCCGGCCGCTAAATTCAATAAATTGCCTGACTACACGATAAGATTTTTTCATTTATTTTTTTAAAGTGTGCATAAAAAGGGGAAAATCAGCGAAAATAGATTTATTTTCTGGTAATAGATAAGCAGAAACTTCGAAGCAACAAATCCAGTAGAGTTAGCATTAGTTTGTATCTTGGATTCGTCCATATTATAATGAAATTATACAAAACTCTTCTGCGTCTTTCTCGCCTACGTATTCATCATATAAACATCTTGCACACAATAGAAATAATTCTCGTATGTTGCTTTACGCTTTTTCTCAGGCTGCACAATTATTTTTGCGCATAAAAGGCTGGAAATGATGTGGAATAAGACGATAGCAGAGAGAGAGAGAGAGAGAGAGAGAGGGGAAAAAGTAGATGACGTACGTGTTTGTAGTTTTATTCATCTACAGTCATTTTCATTCATAGTTTTTGTTAACGAGCACCGTATCAGGGGAATTTGTCATCTCAGTAGATTTGTTAAATAAGAAGGATTGACATCGTTCACTGTTAAGTCCTCAAGGCGATCTGTCACGCTATATTCTAATCAATTTTTTTTCCGAACTTAAGCGTATACAAAACAACACAATGAATTTCATTTTGTGCCGATATTGTTTATTATAGATGTTGGTACTTGAACGCGTTCGTACTATTGCTATTTTATGTTTAACCGTATTTGGATGTACAGGAAATATTTTAATATTAATTGTTGTTTATCAAGGTTATTTTCGAAAAACCGCTTCAACTGTATTAATATCTGCCTTATCGATTTCGGATTGTATTGTATTATGTTTACAAAGTTTACAAATCGTTACCAAACTTCAACCACAAGTAACATCCTATGATTGTGTCTTACTCTTTTTTATGGATGCCTTTCGTCTTTTATCTGTTTGGCTGGTTTGTATTATTAATATTGAACGTTGCTCATTAGTATTTAATCCATGCTATATGCCACGTTTAACTTGTCGAAGAAAATCACATATATTTGTGATAATATTATGTATTATTTCATTACTTGTATTCAGTCACTATGCTAAGCATATGCATATCGAATATGTTTATAACTCAAATACAACAATTCCAATACGTTCATTTTGTGTATTCAAACCGAATTTTCATCGTTTAGTATGGGAATGTATAAGATCTGGTTTAACATATTGGTTTACCGTACCGGTATGCACTGTTTGCAATCTTATTATAATTCACCAACTTCGTCAAGCATCAAGTATTGAACGTGCATTAAATAATATGAATCCAGGAACTGATCAACTAATGAATACAAACAAATTCGATCTATCAACTAAACAACGACAACTAACAGCGATGCTTCTTTCATCATCAATTTGTTTTGTATTAACATCAACACCATCAACAATACATACAACATATATATTAATAACTGGTAAAGTGGATAATGTTCAATACGCAATACATATATTAACAAATATTCTACTTCATTTTCATCATGCATCAAATTTCTTAGTCTTTGTTTTTTCTTCTGCTCGTTTTCGTATTGAATTAATGCATTTATTGCGTCGATATATTGTTTGTCAGATTTGTATGCCTTGGTATAAACGTTCAATACCTAAAACTGACCAGATTCTCATTATTTCAACCAAACAACATAAAACACCGAATAAGTTATTAACAAAAACAAAAGAATCGAAACGAAAAATGAAAGTTCAATATCATGGTGAAGTCATTGAACTCAAAATGAATGAGCGTGAACAGCCTTAAAGACAAAGTGCATCCTCAGTTTAATAATAAAAAAAGAAACCTTTACATTTCTTTGAAGAACGTTTTTTATTTAATTTGAAAAATAAAATACAACAACGACGAAATTGTATACTTTAGATTCAAGATAAATATTTTGCTAGGAACAACATTTGTACTCTTTTATCTCTGCAAAGCAGAAATCTGAACTTTTGCTCTCAACGTACAGATTTAACAAGCCATTTCTATGTGCAGTATTAATTATCTTATTGTATTCATCCAACTATGACTTCAGGATATTTTATCAATAAAAAGAGGTTCGTATTCATTCATGTCTATAGAAAAACAAAAAAATCTCACTATATTGATAGCAAATGCTTGCGTCAAAACTGCAAACGTCATATTGTATGCTCGTAAAACTAATACAATATCTGCAAAAGCATATTCTATTGATTCATAAACATGTCGTCCATAAGTGCAAAATAAGAATCACATGGCCATGTTTATAAATATCATAATATATTTTTTTTCTATGACATAGAATGTATTCATTGTAGAATATCATTAGTTTTCTATCTTGCTTGACTAATGGAATTTCACAATGAATATGATTAACATACAACTTTTATAAGCAGAGATCACTCACTGGATCTTGGAAAATTTGCGTTTTTTAATACTTATTTCGATTTGCCATTTTCTACAAAAATGATTCGATCTTCCATCTCTTTGGATTCAACCAATTTTACCCAAAATTTTCTTATTAATCTCAAAAATGATAAAGCTAACTTTTCCAATTTTTGATAATCTCTGTGCACTGGTTTTACATGGTATCAAATGAGAAAGATTAACCCCGATGTAAACGTTCCTTATTTTTAATATAGCTATTTATGATAAGTACTTTTTCAAACCAAGTCATTTAGTATCGATAAATGATTGAAAATAATTATTAAAAACTACGAATTTCTTTTTTCTTGTTCTACAACAAACTTTTATGCAACAGTAATAAAACAAGAAAGAAGACTTTTGTTAAGCATTCGACACGAGTCAAGAAATTTTATTCCTATTCATTTTGTTCAAAACTTGTTTACATTTAGATTCTATTTTCTTCTATGATGATGACTTTTATCCTTATTTTATTAGCTAACGGTAATGTATTTCGTTGTCTAGATTTCGAATTAAAACAAATCGAGGTCTATGTACACATGTGCAGCATCTTTTTTCTTTACAATTTACGCCGTATCAATTCTCGATGATGGACGACCTGCTCGATAGATAATAGTGAAGAGAAAATAGTTTTCTTCTCTGACTAGAAATAAAATCTAACTAAAGAAAATTTCTTCTATCGATTCATTTCATCCTGTTCAACCCCACATTGCACACACACACACACTCACACATACACATTAGAAACTATTGTGTTCATTTCTAACCAATTATGGCGCCTACCAAAAACGTATCGAGCAGATCGAAATCATCGAGTCAATCACCGAAAAAACCGAAAATAGGATCACCGATGAAGAAGAAATTATCACATAATAATGCTTCACCAAAAAAATCGACTACAAAAGCTTCTGATGTACGAAATGTTACAACGGCACGCCATCCAAATTATCAACAAATGGTTACCGAAGCAATTAAAGCAGTAAGTCATTATAATAGTTTACGTGAATTCAATTTAAAAACCAAATTCTGTTCGTTTTAGCTTGACTCACGTACAGGCTCAAGTCGATCAAAAATTTTGAATCATATCAAAGTCACCTATGGAATCGAAGGTGGTAAAAGTTCTAATGTAAGGGTTATTTGACAAAGCAAAAAGGTTCATTTATTCATCAGTAGACATAATTTCTTATTTTAGAATCATCTTCGTGCAGCTCTCGAAGCACTTCTTGAAGAGAGTGTTATTTCACTCGCTAAAGGTAAATATCCTATTTTAATTTTTCATCTATTCACACATTTTATAAATAGGTACGGGATATATTAATGGTTATTACAGAATTACATCAAAAGGAAAAAAACAAAATAATAAAAAATCATCATCTCAAAGTACAACTGATGTTCATGATAAAAAGTCTAGTGATAAACCTCGTTCGCCATCAAAATCTGGAAAACAAAGTAAAACTGGTGGTCAACGTCGTAGTCGTTCCAGTTCAAAAATTCAAGGAAAATCTACCAATAAAAATGGATCTTCTGGCCGTAAATCAAACCAGTCAACAGTAAGTCGATCACGATCATCAATTAAAAAAAGTAATCAAGCACGTCAAAGTCGATCCCGTTCACTAACTAAATCGAGAAATTCCATGACAAAACAACCAACAGAAAAACTAAAATCACCACAACGTGGACGATCCAAAGTCGGCCAAAAACGACAAGCATTAAAAGAAGTTAATAATAACCAAAAATCAGCAAATAAAAGTAAACAAACACGGTCCAGATCTTCAAAACGAAAATCAACAGGAAACAGTAAGAAAAGTTTTCATTAGGAAATCATGATTTTGATTTTGATTTTTTCAGATAATGTTACTTCATCACCAACAAAACGAGCTCGAACTTCTACTGGTGGTCGTAGTAAAAAGGGAGGAAAATAATCGGAAGGAAAATCTTTTTCAAGATTCTCTATTTGTTTGTAAATACGTATCCGATAATAAAGTGTCGAACTATTTCTTTGCTGCGTACTTTATTGTCTTTTTCTGCGAAATATTATCTATTTTCTTTTTTGTATTGTATGTAAATTGAACCTATCGATTTTTGGAACTCTATATAGAGATTTTTTTTGTTCTTCACTTATATGAATTAATCTTGATGAGCAGTGTGCCTCTATTTTTTCGATATACTGTTGAACTTTTTTTTTGTGTGTGCTACTCGATTTTAATGATGGGAGTAAGAAAAAGATTAAAAGAATAATAAACAAGATTGATGAAAACAGCAAAGAAAGCCTGCTTTTGTTTTGTTATTTATGAAAGGTTTCGCTAAACATTAAAGTTTATAAACGTCTTGAACTATGATTGCAATTGAGCAAGCTGTAGAATTCTTTGTATTAGAAAAAAAATAGTATTCCGTATAGTTATATTTACTTCATAGTCTTGTTTTGCACGAAAAAGATAGCTATGCTAAAATGCGGTAGAAGAGAGATAAGCAACTATGTTTTGACAGACTTGGTGTCTTTCACTTATTAACAACGAAAAATCATGTCACTATAGGTTGGATTTGAAAAGATATAATATCAGGAGCGTTAACTCTTCACATTTCGTTCGATTCGGTTTGATCTAGGTGATTCCAAGTAACTAATCTTAGAAATATTTCTTGTGGTGAATTGAACACTACTTTAACGGTTATTGCTTTAGGAGAATATTGATCAAAATATGATTTTTGTAAAATTTATTCACTTCTTTCAATATCATGTAATGCTGTTTTCCCAATTAAACCCGATTACTTCACATCGTTGAAAGTTATCATATATTTATATGATGAATTTCGCTGAGATAAATCCTATCTTTATCATAGGCCACAGCAGGACCAAAAGTCAAGTATATACGAAAAACCGAAACTAGAGTGCTATAGAAATTGAAGGATATTAATAGATTGCCGTCGCTAGCTCTTGGTAGATTACAAGAATGTTGACATATTTATTGCAAAATTTGAACATAGGGGTGTAGAGATATGTTCTACTTTCTGATCATATACTTCAATATGGACACATTTTTATAATCAAATATTATTTAAATATATTTATAATTATCTTATCAAAATATAATCGATGCACTTGCCAGAATCAGCTACGAAGAGAATATCAACAATAGACAATTTTTATACATTCGGTAATGATCTGTTTTACTGATAAACCGAGATTCCTTTCTATCAAATAACATTAACTGAATGGTTAAAATGATTGAACATGGATATTCTTAATAATTACAAGTAAATCAATAAGAATTCTTTTGAACATAGAAGAAAAACTACAAATATGACAGATTTTACTTATTTTGAATGCAACAACTTAGAAAAATTAAACATAACTCGTATCTAATTATTCTTACTCGTCAAAAGTTCATTTCTCTTCGTGCTTATTTGTTATTCGAATCAATAAAAATAAATAGCAAGCCTCTCTCATGAAATATCTGTTATTATTATTAAATAGCAATAATAAGTAAATATTTTTCTATTCTATTTATGAATATCAATGCTGTAAAAATTATGACGAATAAAAATGAAGAAATATGATTATTTCTTCCTACACGTCCATACCCTGACATTATGTGTCATGGTTCGTTGCTTTTCCATTTTCATTTTCGTTTATATATATATATATATTTTTTTTTTCTTCGGCGGTATGATATTACAAAGTTAAATCGAAAACAATAATGAAATCCAAGCGACCCGGTCAAGATTCTTTTCTTTCCTATTTATTTGATTTTCAATCTAATAAGAATGCAAAAAAAAAAGATTCCATATCGCGTACAAGTTCAACTTTACATCGAACATTTGATTCACGTGATGCGTCATCAAATTTAGATACATTTTTAAATTATCGAAGTGCAATCGATAAACAAACAAAAACTTCTATTGTGAATATTAAACATTCACATAATAATAATGATTTAATCATTAATGGTTTTCTATTTGATCGACAATTGTTTCAACCAATGCGTTCGTCGTATATAAGTGATTATGAAAATACACCAGAAGATCTCAAACTCAACGTTGAAGGTCATAGTAAAATATCAACATGTTCATCATTAGATGCTCATCTATTTAAATCAGCATTTATTATGACATTATCGGATGGATATGTTGATAAAGAACTTCTACTTGAATATTGCCCCCGTGAAGATATGAATGTAAATATTCTTGAAGAACTTTCACATTATAAACGATTTTGTTTTCCTGAATTAAATTCTACACCAAAAAATAGTGATGAACTCTTAAATGACCAATCAACATATATTTTTACACGAACGCATTCAAATGGACAAATTGAATATGGTTACTGTCGACGATTGATCAAGACTCATAATCATATAACAAGTTTTCCACTTGTATTTTGTATTGGTAAGATCGAAGATATTTTTTCTTTATTCAATAAAATAATATTCATCTTTTATTTAATTATAGTTTCAATTTATCCATATTTTCAATTGTACGATGCTATTCTAGCAGAATTAACTACAGGTAAATATAATTATTGAAAGAACAGAAAACTGATGCTATTATTCGTATAATATTTCAATCGATTATCTTCTATTTAGTTAAATTTTCTTGCATTTCTTATCGGGAACATTATATTTGATCAGTGAAATAAATAAAATGATCAGTAAAAGAGAATATGAATGATCAGTACTAAAATGATCAGTAAAAGAGAATATGAATGATCAGTACTAAAATGATCAGTAATTAATCTTAAAGTGATCAGTTTATTATATATAATTACCAGTAAAAAGGATAAAATTGATCAGTCAAACATAGAAATTTGGGCGTGGGTGTGATTCTTCTGTTCATCTACACTACCCTCGCATCCTTGTTGGAATTCTTTGATTTCCATTTATTCCTTCCAGAACCTCTTTGTCTGATATATCACTTTCATATTGAACAACTTGCACGACTTCCATCTTTTTTACTCGTTGGTGCTAAGCTGAATGTGAAAGAAGGGAGCTAAGAGTACATTTATATATATTGTACTTATCAGCTGTACGATATCTAGACCAAAAGAACAAACATGAAAAATAAGTAAATCATCTTTATAGCAATTTTTATGTTGGTCCTTTAATCTAATTTACTGATTTTTAAATATATCAGTAAATCGAAGTATACTAATAACTGACCACACAAATAATGTACTGATCATTTTACTTATTCTACTGACCGCTTAAATGATAACCTTTCTTATCTGTTTAGCATCATCTTTTGATCTCCTGTTATATTGGGGGAAAATTCTTTCAAATCATTTCTTTTCATAGTATGAATTTTGACATTAATTTGACTTTCTTCAAAAGTTTATCTGTTATCAACTATCTACTATAATCGATCAAATTTATGCAACGTTTCAGCTAGGAAATACCGAATATAATAGAAAAACATAGAATAGTGTGTTCATTCTGTTTAGTATTACGTCAAACCCCCCTACAGAATGGAAGCCCATGGGTGTTGTCTCTGTCCTGCAAGCGATAATTTTGTAACAAAGCATGCCCTGATGCTATTTTTTGCGTTATTTGATAGAGAAATGTTCATCCTTTCATTTTTCATCGGTTTTAGTTCATTTTTCATGAAGTAAACCTTGATTTTCAACGGAGAACTTTAACCCAGGGGGCGAGCTTCTATTCTGTGTAGGTGTTTATTAAAAATCGCTATATTTAAGTGTATGTAAATACAGAAAAAAGCAGAGAGAAGTTATAAGCGCTTGCTTGTTTAGCTGATTTTCATTAAAAATCTGAAAGGAAATTTATTCTAATACCGAAGAATATTTTAATCTCGCTGTTAACAAATGAATAAGTAACTAATAGAAATTATCTTTCGTTTCTTGAAATCTGCTTTTATTGAATTATTCCTCGGAAAAAATATAGTAAAACATAATGAAGCTATTATAAAACTTGCTCGTTGTTTTACGTTCAATAACATCGTGTTTCTAAAATAGCTTCTATTCTTTTAAATTATAATAGCTAAAATATTCTGACGAATCGATAATCTATTGTTATTGAGACTTATAATTATTGATAAAAAACTTAACTTTCTTTAGTCTATACATTCAATGAAACTCAATGTAGTATTTTAATGCAATCATTCTATTCGAAACCATTACCTGTTCCTACGCAAAATTCATCGGGTATAACATGTGTACTCAATGATTATCGCATATTTTTTTATCAATGCCCACGTGATGATCGTCTAAATCATGATTATTTTTCTACATTACTTTCATCGTTATCACCCAAGCATATTGTTCATTTATTTGAATCTATGCTATGTTCAAAAAGTATCTTAGTTTTTTCACGTTGTCCATCAAAATTATCAAAATGTTGTCTTGCAATTTCATTTCTAATCTATCCATTTATATGGCCTTATCCTTTAGTTTCCTTAATGCCATCATCATGGCTATGTGATTTAGTTGATTCTCCATGTCCATTCATATATGGCTGTTTACATGAAACGGTACGTGACACACAATTAACATTCGATCATGATACAATACAAGTTGATCTAGACTTGAATAAAATCAAAGCTTCAACAGAAACTAGCTATTTATTACCAGTTGATCTTCGACAGACGTTCGAATCCTCACTCGAGTACATAAGCAAATACCGTGTAATGAAATTAAATGCAAATTTAATTAATATAGCTGTTAGTGAAGCATGTTTACATGTGTTCATAGAATTACTTTACCGTTTACCAGATTTTGGTAAACATGAGAAAGCTCCAGCAAAAAACAACGATGATAGATTTTCAATATGTTTGAATTATTTTGAACATCATGATAGTGGAATAGATCTTCAATCGTTTGAAAATGTTGATTCACAATCAATAACATCAAATCATGAAGATAAACGAAACGAAAATCGATTTGATTATAATTTTAATTTTGATGAATTTCTTAGTGCACAACCAGAATCTTATGTTTCATTTCTTAAAAAATTTATTCATGGTATGATTAATTTCTTGATAAGAACCAAAGAAACAATAATAAATTTCTGTTCTTTCATAGGAATGATATTTTTAAAATTTCTTGATGATTATCAACGAAATGATAATAGTAATAAACAAGCATTTTCACTTTTTTCTCAACGTTTAATCGAACGACGTCGAATGATATTCGATGTTTCATCAATGAGTTCAGTAAATAGATTTCGACAAACATTTGATTTATTAGCAAAACAAATTAAACAAGTGTCCAAACAAACGAATCCAGCTTTTTCGAAATATCTTAAAAATATTTTGGAATAGAAATTTTAAAAAAAGTTGTACCTAACATAAAAGGAAAAAGATGGTTTGTAGTTCTTTCTTTTTTTTCTTCTAATTGTAGCAATAATAATAATAATAATAATAATTCATTTGCATAAAAATTCGTTTTATGACTAAAAACGTTCTAATATCAATAATTAAAATACATCATTAATAATTATTAAATTGTGCTTTTACTTAATATGAACGTGTGAATATAATTGTTCAATGTGTGAACGGAATGAGAGAAAGATGTAGTTGAATATAAGTCGATACCTATAGAGAAAGAATATTACAACATAAGACAGGCTCAAGTAATCGGGTAAGTCTTTCGTCGTGGATTTAAAATAGAAGTCAGTCGAAAATTCACAAAGAATTTTTTTCTATAATTTTGTTTTAACGTCAGTGACAGCTTGTATGCAATACAAATACAATGTGTCGATTGAAAAAGAACTGGTTATTAGCAATCCTATACTTGACACAAGCTCCTGTATTTTATAAATTTGACTCTTTTTCGCTTCCACTTGGTTTTTCTGTTCTCTCAACAGCATCAAAACTTTACTAAACGAAGAACAACATAGTCACTCTGATTAGAAAATTGATTGAACGTTTTCTAGAAGTTGTTTTCTTTATCTATAGTATGTTTCATATATATATATTCTGAGTTCTATGAACCTATTAGAAACACTAAACAATGAATAATAGAGTATTTTACTCGTTTGTTCACTCGATTGATTATCCATTATGAAAACTTTGTCTTCAATCAACTAATACGTTCAATCATAAATAATTTTCAATTGACCGTAATTCGACATCCGAATAACCTTCTTTTCTCGTGCTCTTTCTCTTTTACCTTCTAACTTAGCACAGTCTACACTCTAATGCCAAATATACAGACTATACGAGGCAAAGTAATAATGATAACACAATGCCAGTCCGAGATGACATAGAGAGCGAGAACGAGAATGAGAAAAAGAGAAAGAGAAAGAGAAAGAAGAGTTGAAAGTCGATTAAAAGGGAAGTCTCTACAGGAAAACTGCACACACACACACACACATATATTTATATAAGTTAGATTGAGTAACTAATTGTCTATTCATTTTCAATCAAAACTATTACTTTAATGCATGTAAGTAATAAGGTAGACAGTACAATGAAAACCAATATAGAAATGATTATAATTCTTATCAAAATAGACTGAGATTCAATTGAGAATATATTATTAACACCAGTGATAATTAACAGTTAAAATAAGACTGTTCTACTAATAGCTTTCAATTCAAAACATTACAAATGAAGGAAAAACTACTATATTTGAGATTTTTTTCATTTTATCTAATGAGCTGCAAATGACAATGGCTAATCAATATTAAAGTAAATCAGTAGATAGTCATTTATCTTGCATCTTTGGCTATTAAAGTTAAACCATTAAATAGAGTTAGCCTTTCGTAAAATTAAATTTTAACGATAAATTTGACATTTAGAAAAATTAAGTTGAACATAAGAAAAAAAGTGTTATTCTTCATCCGTTAGTATAGTGTGCAATATTCGAAAGGTATAATATCCTTGTCTAATGCGCCAACGCCTTAAGGTGTGCGTGCACATACGCCATTATTTTATTTCTTTTTCAATTTTCTCTCTTTTATTAAGCTATTTTTTCTTCTTCTTCTTCTTTACCAATCTACCTATCTATAAATATATATATATATATAATTGTTGTAGGCTATTGACTCTCATCTTGTATCTCTATAGATTCTTGCAAATTCGTTTATTGTCTTGAATTATTCATATAAATTTATTTATTGGAAAATAAACAATTCGTTACATAAAATCATGCAGTATCAATCAATTATCACATACATATTTATTGCAATTTTTGGTTTGACAATCGTGATGGCTCAAGCCAATAATGAACGTGAACGATTTGCAGCGCTATTGCAAAAACGAAAACATCTCAATGGCTACTGGGTAGGCAAACGACATGCTAGCGCGTCTGATGAAAATTTATATAATAGTGGTATAATGAGAGAAACAAAAGAATCACTTTATTTTCGTTCTTTTATTATTTGTAGATGAAGATCACTCGTTGGAAGAAAGAGCATCTTATTTAGTTGGCAAACGTGGTACATATTTGGTTGGTAAACGTGCCTCTTATCTTGTTGGACGTAAACGGCGTGATTTGATGGCCACTAATTCTCTTCGACAATAGACATTTTTCCAACAAGCGGAAACGATAAAATCAATTCATAAAAGTTTTCTTTTTGTGGTGCCTGTCGCTCAGCATCATTAGAAATGCATGAAAATAAAATCTCTGCTTGATTAATAAATGAAATGATAAATACTATCCCCGATTAAATGTAGATAAATGGTTTATTTTTCAAACTGCTAAGTACTTTTTGTTTTCATAGATCTTTTGAGATCTCTATTAAAAATATTGAATTTTTTGTTCTCAAATGAGGGCATCATTATTTAATATGTTTAGATTACGGAAGCTTGGCATTCGATAAAAACATACATGAAATTAGCTATGATTGTTCAATCAAAAATTTTATATATATATCGCATTGCAAATATTATTTTAAATATTCTTGAAAAGTAAATATTTTAAATATTGATGAAAATCAATCGATAAATTGATGTGAAAAAAAGCACAAAATTTTTGTTTTCAGTTTGTTGTTAAATGTTTTTATTTATTCATTTCTATGGTAGTAGTAATATTATTTAGGCAATATGATAAAATACAAATTTTTTAATCTTCAGGATAAGAATAAACTAGGTTTTGTCTTTAAATCCATCTTATTTCAAGAAGAAGCACTTAAATTATAATTTTCAATTATAACTATTAACGTTCTTCATGAGTGTTTGTTGAAGCCATGCATTTCTATTGAGTACTATTCAATATGAAATTACCTAATTGCTTTTTATTACACTTGTATAGTGACATATTATTAACATTTCGTTCAATGTAATTATCAAACACGGTGCATAATGGCGTTAAATTATTTAGCTATATAGAGAAACTAAAATATATATTTTTAAAAGATTGGCAACTAGAGAGTTTATTTTTGCCATTAGCAAAATGGATGATGTTTCATTTTCTATAAAAATCTCTTCTTAAATTCTCATAGATAGGTTCAAGGCTTAAAGTCATAAGAATGATATTGCATCAAGAATTCTATTGACAAATGTGAGAATCTTTTTCGATTAGAAATAGAGAAAAAGTGTTAACATACCACTTTTATTACGAAAACCGTAACATGTGCAGTAGAGCATTCGATATTTTTCGGAAATGTTTTATTAAAATACGTGAATATTCTTTATTAATTCTGTTAAGACGCTAAGAACATAACCTATTTTCGGCACACGTTGCTACGTCCATCTGTACCGTTCCTACTAACCATAGAATTCAAGTCCATCTGGTTTATGATATATGAAGGTTTTTTTTATTGCTGATAGTACCGTAAGAATATTTATTATTATGAATTACTCTGAGATTGCTTTAATCTTGATTAATTTGAATTGTCTGTAATAAGATATTTGAACTAGGTGATAAATCAATTGTTGCACTTATTGTTACCTAGAACTAAACTGCTCAAATTCTAATGCAGTATACCCTCGTTGCTTGAAGTAAATTTATGGCGTAGAATATTTGAAACCATCTCAAACTAGGATTATGCAAGTTCAAAATTCAATTTAATTCACACTTCTTTTTCTTTCTATTAAGACAACAGAAAAAAATCATTAATCCGCTCTCCCCCGACGACTCCCCGGGAGTCCCTGCAAAATAACAAAATTCCTAGGGACTCCCTGGAGATTCTTCTAGGGAGAGTTGACTAGGAATCAGTATAAAGAATGTTCTTAAAAGGTTGCAGTCTTAGGAACTTTTTATTTTCATCATCCACTAGGCTTGATTTAAGTCGTTTCTCATCGAAAGATTTCCTTTTTGATGTTTTGTTTGACAGGGTATTTTATTTTTAATAAAAAGATCATGTTTGTTAATGTTTTTGTGAAACACGATCTGAAAGGAGTGTTGAAGTATATAGGATAGGGTAAAAATTTGGACCCATCCCCTGCTCCGCCCCCACAGACCGTTACAGAGAAATTAATCTATCGGTTAATTAATTAATTAGTAATCAGTAAATTAATTTCTCTGTTAAGGTCTCTGATGACCCCCAGCGACTTCATGCATCATGATACAAACCATGACAGTAACACTCCACAGATCACCACAGACCATGGCCGACAGGCTTCACATATAATCACAGAGAAATTAATTAATTAATTAGTAATTAGTAAATTAATTTCTCTGTTAAGGTCTGCGATGGCCCCCAGCGACTCAATGCATCATGATACAAACCATGACAGAAACACTCTACAGATCACCACAGACCATGGCCGACAGACTTCACAAATAATCACAGACAGTGGCAAAAAAGCTGCAAAGACTCACAGAATGTGGTAGGCGGATTTCAACAAAGAAGTTTCATCGTGCTTCGCATTTTAATCCCACACAGATTGCGCCAACAGCTTTTTCATTTATATTCATCCAATTGTAATGTTACTGGAAAATATGATTGCCATTTTTTGAATACTTTTCATGTTCCTGTTCTTTTCTCTTGTTCTAATGAAACTTCTAAAGACATGACTTCAATTAACTCGTCGAATTTCTATTGTTTATTTCACTCGAATGAACTCTAATAAGAGAGCCCATAAGTTCAAGGAACTTCCGAATCGATTCATCGATGTGAATAAATTCTAATAATAACAGCAAAGATTCAGTCGATGACGACCTGTTTTTAATTTTAGAACAGATTAATTCTTTATCGTTGTATTGTAACATATATTAGAAAAATTAAAATAACAAAATAATTCTCATATTGTCAAAGTTTTTCTTTCGAATGCAAAAGTAATTATATTACTTTTGATATCAATATTTTAGAAACATAATTGAACTATATAGAAAAATGGAGAAATATAGCATTTCTAATGTAACTCTGTTGTATAAAACTTTGACATTTTTTTCGGTGTCGATATTCTTCATTACTCATTTTCGTCAATTTTTTAAATAGTAAGTTGACATATCATTATTTTTGTGAGTAAGCAATGAATTTACTTCTTGTATCTCCTGAAATCAGATGTTATTGTTGATATCAATGTTTAAATAATAATTCTTTAAATCGAAGTGTAAATTTAATAATATATATATATATGAATACGGAAAGAGTTTATTGTATTTTCATCATTAATTACAGTAGCCACGAGATCGTAAATTTTGATTTTAAATTAATAATGACTAATTCTAGTAAAGTTTAAATATTTAATAAAATCTGAAAATAGTCATGAAACCATCAAAACACATTCAAGAAAAAGTATAGTGTTGTCAATGAAATTAAAATCTTTTCTCTTTTCAACCTTGAATTATTATCATGGAAATTTTTCAAATGGGATCATATTGGTGTTCGTTAACTGATAACTCTTGATCTACATCGTAACTTTGCTCTCGACATCTCGTCTTGATTTTTCTCTAAAAAAATGGCTGTGAAATAGACTGCATGCATACAATTGGATGAGAGGAAAGTAGAAACGCACATCTTCAAAACTCCAATCCAAACCACATTTTATATTAGTTTATATTTAATGGTGTTGTGCAGTTATTTTTTCCATTTAATACCTATATTGTCGTATTCGATTCAGTAAGTGTTCTGTCTAACCATAATAAATTTACGAAAAAAATACTTTAGAAATTATAAATCGTCAGCAAATTGAATTTTCTTCTAATATTTTACATTTCTACGATGTCATTTTCTCGATATGATCTTCAGTCTTTCTGGAATGTGTGCAACGATAGATCTGTATAAACTTGTGTATAACTTTGCCTCATATTTCAATGACGTAAGTGTATAAAAGTCATCATCACCATCCAAGATTCTGTTCTGACGTCACAATATCTCTTGCGGTCAAACAGAGTGACTAAGTAAAAGAACACTTGTAAATGGTCTATGCCATTGTTAAAATATTCATGTCTACTCGCACACACACAAACATACTGATCCACTGTACGCTCGATTGCTAAAAATACAGTATACGTTCATATTCATATTCACATGTGTATATTAGATTGACTGACTGGATGTTTGTTTTATGCAATGCATGCACACATTACCTGTAGGGTGCACATTGCATCGTTAAATACATTGAACACGTATATATATATATATGTGTTGTGTGTGTGTACATATACACGTATCTGTATGCAGTTTACTTGATCATTATCATCGAAGTGCACAGAAGATAGACAGAGGAGAGAGAAAAAAGGAGCAAACGTTCATTGATACAACTCATTCAACCATTTTACAACGAAACGTTTATATACGTACGCAAATCATTTTTCTTCTTCTTCTTCTTCTTGTGTTGTATCCAACATGTACCTGTCTTATACGAATCGAAAGACAATTTTTTGTCTTTTGATTTTATTCTGTTTTAATTATCAGAGTGAAACTATTGATGAATCGAATTTTTTTATTTATAATGATGGCATTGAATTACCCAGAGAAGATGATACACATTCAGAACAAATTATTCTTTCACCTGAAATACCATTTATTACAACAATATATGAAAGCGTTTATGTAACTAGAATTTTATTTAAAAAGAAATTGAACACGAGAAAAACGCGAATCTTTCTTTAGATTAATACAAATGGCTTTTTATCATTTTTATTACCGATTGCATATTTTTTTCCTCAAATAACATTGACAAGTTATACTGGCTATGCAATTATTGCACCATTTTGGGCTGATATTGATGCATCAATTAAAGGTGGTTCTATTACGTACAAGTAAAATTTCATGATTGATTTATTCTTTGTTTATATTGTATATATATATATATATATATATGAATTTATTCTGTATAGATATTCAAAAGAAGAAGACTTACTTAGAAAAGCAAAAGATTTAATTCAACAAGGCTTTTCACAATCACAAACATTTCAACCTAAATCAGTTTTGATATGTACTTGGCAAAATGTTCATCCGCTTTTAGATAAAGAAAACAAGGTTTTAATCATATTGAATAAGAAAATATTTTAATTTGATATTTTTTTCTTTTTGAAAATCAAATAGAAAAATACATTTCAAGTAGCTATCGTTAGTGATGGTGTACAAACATTTTCTATATTTATGTATGCAAAAATAGAGTTTATCTCAGCCTATAGTCCCACAAAATTAGGTCGAGAAGATCGATATGCTGAAGCAGGTTTTACTGACGGTACACCTCAACAAACGATAGTTTTACCTGGATCAGGTGGAGAAACCATGGTTAATTTAGTTAAGTATGTAAATAAGAAATTCCCGACAATGTACATGTATCAATATATGTTGTAGGGAATCCAATATTGGTAAACCAGGTGTTTGGGTTTATTTAATCGGAGATCGACGTCAATATGGTAGATTTCGTGTCACACCAGCCGGTAGTGATGATAATTATGAACAAGCTTTTGCACCAGTACAACGTAAGTGTAATTTCTTTTGTTTTCTATAACAATTTGTATGCTTGTCATATATTAATGGGTATGCTATGATGTTAAAATTGATTTTGGTTTCTTTCTCTTATAGCAGCATATTCATCGAATATGTTTCCACAAGAACGCCATAATTTCTATTATGAACAATTAACATCTCCATTGGCATCGACAATTCCACCAGGTATTATTATTGACTAAATCAGTTTTACTGAACATTTTAATGGTAAATTTTAGATGCAATCGAATGTCAAACATGTGCTCGTAATTCTCAATGCGAAAATCAAGGCAACGGATATTGTTGTCGTTGTATTTTTCCTTATTTGGGTTCAGGACTTCGATGTGAACGAGCTGGTAAATCTTTTTTTCTACAGTTATTTTTCTATTTTAGTATTTGTACATTAATTTTAATAGAAAACTATCCAGTTGTGGGTAAAATCAATGGTGAAATCAATGGTCATAAATTAGATTCCGAATTACAAGGTTACATTTATATTGAAGATGGTCGAATACATAATTCACTTTATAATATGCCTTTAATTCATTCCCATCTACAGCAATTAATTCCTTTATTTAACACAATCAATTGGTTGTTTGGTGCCATTCATCGATTTTCAGATCCTATCGAAAATGGTTTTGCTCTTACAGGTTAAACAAAGGACTAGACCTTTTCGTATTATTTATTGACAATTAATACATTATTTTTATATATTATTAAATAGGTGGCATAGTCAATCGTTCATCTTTAATACGCTTTTTTGAAGTTGACAATACGACTGAACAATCGATTTTAAATATTGAACAACACTTTCGTGGCATTGAATCAGGTGTTCTTTATGTTGATACATATATCAATGGTAGTCTTCCACACCCAGAAGGAAATCTATCGGTTTCAATCGGAAATAATAATATTAAATATATTAAACGATCATTAGGTTTGGATTAGAATTTATTTAGCTTATTTATGTATAACATAAATAACATTTGTTCAGGTCATTATGATGCAAAATCATTGGCAACCTATACATTAATATCAAAGGTTGATAATAATTCAAGTGTTGTTTATAATATGAGTTATGAAGTTGAAGATACTTTAACATTCTATGAATGTCTACATAATCCTCATCGAGCAGGAAAAGAAATGGTTGTATCCATTCAAGACAATCATATCTATCATTCAATTGAAGATACAACTATTCGATTTTTTACTATAAGTAAAGTTGGTACTCAAGGTATGCAAAAGTCAAATGTAACTTAGGGTCAATAAAATATTTTTCATCTAGCTCCAAAATTTGATCCATGCGATTCATCACCTTGCCATGGTTATGCTCAATGTATACCAAATTTTGAACAACATTCTTACGAATGTAAATGTAATTCAGGTTTCATTGGTGATGGTATACGTCGATGTGATGGTAAACGATGATATTTTACAAGACTCTTTTATTCGAAAATTTTGCTATTCTTTCAAAGATATTAACGAATGTACTCAATCACCATGCCATCCAAACGCAATCTGTACAAATACATATGGCAATTTCACATGTGAATGTAAACAAAATTATATTGGAAATGGATTCTTTTGTAAACCTATCAATGACGAAAGTGAGTTATTAACAAATTCGTTTTCCTAGAATAGAAGAATCGTGAACAAGAAATTTATAAATTTAGTCGAAACATGTACAACAAAAATTTGTCCACAATTTTCAACATGTATACAAGATCCACACACGAGACAAGCACGTTGTCTATGTAAAGACGGTTGGCAAATGGTTGACGACTCTGAAAATCATGCTCCTGGAAGTTCTAAATCTGTTTGTAAACCAAAACAATGCAATGAATATTATAATTGTGATACATACGCTAATTGCCTTATTAATGAAAATACACAAAAGTATGAATGCATATGCAAACCAGGTTTGTAATAATTAATTAATTTGATATTAATATATACATATATAAATTTAAATTACGATTGTATTATATTTCTTTAACAGGTTTTTATGGAGACGGATATTCATGCACAGCACATTTTTGTTCATCAGATGGTGATTGTGGTTATAATGCACATTGTTTACCTGATGAACAACGACCAGGTTTTAGTAAATGTGTTTGTGATCCGGGATTTCTTAATGATGGTACAACATTTTCAACTTGTGTTAAAGATGGTAACTAAATAAATACGACACTATTTGTCAATATACATATATATATATATTAAAACTTTTTGGTATCTTTTCTTAGTAATTTCATGTAATATTGAAAATAAATGTCATACCAATGCTCAATGTGTATATAATGAACGTATCGATAGACATGTATGTTTATGTCGAACTGGTTATAAAGGTGATGGAATAACATGCCGACATGAACGTAAGACATTTAGTCGTTTGCAAAAAATATAAAAATCTCCATAATGCTCAATACTAGATTCATGCCTGGAAAATGCTACAATATGTTCAACTTCAGCTGCTTGTGTTTATGATCCTATTCTACAAGATAATGTTTGTTCGTGTCGAGATGGATTTGTTGGTGATGGAATGCAGTAGGTTTTATATTTTTCCTATTGAAAATAAGCTATTGAGAAAACGATAAATATTTCGATATATAGTTGTGCTGAAATACTGGGTGGACCTAAAGAACAATTTTTAATTGTTAATCAAGGACAAACAATTTTAAAGGTACCATTAACAGCATCGGGTTTAACAAATGGTAATGAAAATCGTATTCTTTATGTACCACGTAAGTACAATAGATGAAATCGGTTTTTTCCTCTTACATATATGATTTATTTTTATGTATTAATACAGGAATGCGTGCTGTCGGTATTTCAATTGATTGTCGTCAACAATTTGTTTATTTTACTGATACATCAGGAAAGACAATACAACGAATGAAATATGATGGTAGTGAACAAAAAATAATTCTTAGCGGTAATCATTGAAAAAAATGAGTAAAAGTTCAAACATCAGAATTTTGAATTAAATTTAGGACTTGGAAGTCCTGAAGGCATTGCTGTTGATTGGGTGTCACGTTTAATATTTTGGACAGATTCATTATTAAAGCGTATAGAAGTTGCTAAAGTTGATGGTAGTCTACGTAAAGTTCTGCTTGATAAAAATATTCAAAATCCACGTGCCATTGCTGTTAATCCAGAACTTGGGTTTGTCGAAAAAGAATTTTGAATAAAACATGAAACTCAGTATGATCTTTAATTGTTTAATTTTTTTTACAGATATGTCTTTTGGACAGATTGGAATCGACAAAATCCTCGTATTGAACGTGCTAATATGGATGGTAGTGAACGTAAAATTCTTGTTTCCGATAAACTTGGTTTACCTAATGGTCTTTACTATGATCATCATCGTCGAGAATTGTGTTGGGGCGATGCAAAAATGAAAACAATCGAATGCGTCAGAGATGATGGATCAAATCGACGTATTGTTCTAGCTGATCAAACAACAATGATATTTGGTCTTAGTGATGGGCTTCAATATGCCTATTGGACAGATTGGTCAACGTAAAACATAATTTAAATAAGAAGATTCATTGAAAATTTTTACTTCTTAAATATTTAGAAATAAAATTGGTCGCATTGATAAAACACCAAGCCATTCACCGGATAGTGTTCTTTTACCATCAGGAGGAAACGGAAAATTATATGGATTAGTTGCTGTGAAAAATTCGTGTCCACATGATAGTATAAACAACGATTGAAGCGTTTGCATTATATCTATGGATGTCTTTTTTTCTATTATTTTAGTTAATAATGTTTGTAACGAAAATAATGATTGTACAACGGGTCAATTATGTTTACCAAATTTAAGTCTTCGCTCTAAACGTGTTTGCCAATGTGCTGATAATGCTGGTTTACAATGTCTTCTTCGTGAACGACCACCACCACCACTGCCACCTCAATTTGGCTAGACTTTTTCTTACTTTCTATTGTCATTCATTCTTTCATTAGAATAATCATTTGTCTTTTACAATTATGTAATATTTTCTCATTGATTTTTCTTTTTTCTTTTGGTTCTTATATTTCCTAAATGTTGAAATTTGATAGATATCGCTAGTGATCTATTCAGGTTTGAAAAAAGTTTATTATTTGTTTTAATTGATTGACGAATGATAGAAAAAACGAACGAACGACGACGACGATAATAATATATGCATGTGAAGTGAATCATAAACTTTTAAACAAAAAGAAAACGTAAAATAGTGGGAAAAAAAAGAAAATACAATCATATTTAATTATTATGTTGGGATTTACACAAAAAAGAAAAGTTTATTTTATTTTCTGAATTAGATTCAAATATATTAGCAGATACATTTATTTTGGAAAAATTCAATTTCTTATTGAGACATTTTCTTTCTTACACAATGTTGTATATTTTCAATCGAAATGAAAATTTTTAGATGAAAATATGAGTCAGTTATCTTCAAAACCTGATCGAAGCAATTCAGATGATGATGCTGACAGTACTGAGTCAGATCAATTATCACCACCTACAAAACGACGTTGTCAATCATCTAATTTACAATTATGTCTTCCGAATCAATCATCATCTGTTCTAGTTCATTTATTACCTGATGATGTTAAAGAAAATAAAGAAGAATGCAGATCATGTGGAAAGCAAGAAATATTATTAAGAGCATTCAATTGTCCATCATTACATTATTTTTGTTTAAATTGTATTTTTAATTGGACCAAAAAACATATTCAGGTAAGAAGAAAACTATAGGAAGTTGAATAAATAATACGTATATAAATATGTCTTTTAGACAAAAACACCACCGGCATGTTTAGTAGTTGATTGTGGTTATTTATTAAAGCATGAAGATCTTGATGATTTACCAATAACTATAAAAGATCATCAAATACTTCTTCAATTAATTCAAATTAATATAGATAAAAATGAGGCAATAAATAATTTTCGCATAAAATGCGATAAATGTTGTTTATATATTGATCAACATGATTTTTTTATACATTATAATCAATGTTTGGGAAGTTCTGTTACAATTCCATGTGAAATATGTTTTTGTCCTATTTTAATGGATGATTATGAACAACATATGTTACTATGTACTAATGATGATAATACAACATTAGCTCAATTTTTATGTAAACATTTACAAAATCCAAATATTGATGTAAAACATATTAAATTATTTATTTCCTCATGGCAACGAAAACATCGACGAGCTATTGATGTTTATGAAATGATAGAAACATTAAATCAAACAAATGGTATGTTCTTATCGTAGTTTTACATATTAATTTTCATTGATATTTCTCTCGTAAAATAGGATTTTCAAAAGAAACTTGTGATGTATGTAGAAATTCAATGCAATCAGATGCATTTTATTTTTTAAATTGTTATGAAAATCATTCATTATGTCTATTATGTTATAAACAACGTTTACAAAATCAAGTAAGTTTATTTACAAATAAATTATAGTCAAGAGAAAGATTAATAGATTGAATCTGTAAGAATATTACCTTTTGTCTCTGTGTTGCGTTTTGAATAATTCTTTCTTTTAATTATTGGCCAATCCGATTTAGAAATTTTTGTATCTTAAAATTGTTGTTTAAGAGAACAATGAAAAATATAAGGCTTTTATTGTATACTATAATCAATATTGGATCCTATTTTATTCTTGTAGAGATAAGACTTAAAATTGTGAAAGAACGAACACTAATTTTCTGCAAGTGCATAATCATAGAAAGTAGTGCAAGAAAACTAAAACAATCTTTGAATGGATGCTCTTGCATTGTTTCACAGTCTTGATAGTATCTTGATTAAAGATTGAACTTTATTGTAGTTTACTTTGAAAGATTGCCTAACTTCCTTATGAATAATGATCGATAGTTTAGAAATAATGTAAACTTTCTTATATAATACAAGAAAAGGATTTAAATTCTATTCATGTCGTAAGATAAATCATATTCATAGATAGATAATACTATTTTCTTTTCTCACAGATGAACAACAATGTAGTATTAACATGTCATCAATGTACTTATCATTTACAAGATAAAGATTTATCCGAAACACGTATATTTACTAATGAAGAAATTGTTTCATTTCAAAATTATCAGAGTAAAAAAGTCTTCGAATTGTATAGTAATCTCTATGGTGCAGAAGATGTACCCGATGTAAATGTTACTGCTCAACCCCAACAACAACAGCAACAACAAAACGAACTAACAGTAATGAATGATGATAATACACCTCGTCGTAAATGTGAATTATGTTCAAAACTACATTCCTATGGAAATATATTTGTATTGAATTGCAATTGTAAAATATGTTATAATTGTTTTGCTAATGAAGTTAATCGCCAAAGAACAATAACAAATGAATTACTCAGTTAGTTTTAATTTAACCATGTTGATATAGAAAAAGCAAAATGTTTATTTTATTTTTTATTAGTTTGTTCACTTTGTCGTAGTCCAATAAAATATAATGATCTTTCAAATTTACGTTTACCACCTGATGAAATTCAAGCTATACAATCATATCAACAAGGAAAATTATTTGAAGCTGAACATGCAGTACATTTTAGTCGACAAAAAAGTAGTCAGGTAAATCTTGAAGAGAAAAATTGATTTATTATTTAATGATAATTTAAATAGATCACAAATAATGATTATAATCATGACGGTGATGATGATGATGATGTTGATGTATTACTTTTAAATCAACAGCAATATTTACCTAAATATTGGACATTACCAATGTTAACTAATTTTTCTCGTCATACACTCGATCTACAATCAACAGAATACACCTTTGTAGCCGATCGATTTCATCACAGTTGGGCAAACTTGAAAAATCACCTTTCTGCTCCTGTTCCATCGTTAAGAACAGTGCGACGTCCAAGACTACCCCAATCAGCAGTGGCACCGACACCGATAGGACCATCACCGATACTGATAGGGCCACCACCGTTACCACAATCATCGGTTTTTGTTCCATCAATAAATAATCATGCAGCAACACAGTTACAAGCAGTATTATTGCAACGAATTCGTTCAATACAAGTTCCCAATACTAATAGTAATAATGGATCTGCAATAAATCAACAACAGCAACAACAACAACAACAACAGCAATATCATGGTTTCGGAAACTTGCCATATAATCTATCTCTTGGAACAAATCCAATGGCTCCACAGCCATCAGGATCATTACCTATGCATCCTTCGATGCCTTTTCTCTCACAATCAATGTATGGGCCAAATATGCTTAACACAGCTCCTAGAGGTCCACCTCCTATGCCTCCAGGAAGCACACAACCAGTAGCACGTCTACCTGCACAACCTCGACCTGCTGCACCAACTACACCTAAGCCAGAAATAATTCAAATAGAACGCATTCAAAATCAGCGTTGGTTTAAACAATATTCAGCACATAAATGTGAATTTCGACAAAAAATAGGCAAACACACTGAACAATGGCTTTTTCATGGTAAATAATAATCGTATAGGCTTGTTTGATTGTTTTTGTTTTCGTTATAGGTTGTGATGAACGATCATCGAAAAATATTGAAGTCGAATGGTTTAATCGTTCGTATGCTGGTCAACATGGTGAGCATTAACTATGAAACGAAAAACAAAATACTTTATATAATGATGTATTTTAGCTGTAGCTTTTGGACAAGGTTGTTATTTTGCACGCGATGCTTTGTACAGTCATAATTATGCATTACCCGATCGTAACGGTATTCGACGAATGTTTCTTGGTAAATAATATTTTATTTTCAGAGATAAAATTGACGTCCTTTTTCGTCTCGATACAATCGTTTAGCTCGAGTTCTTATTGGTAATACTACTCAAGGAAATTCAACTATGCGTGTTGCACCACCTGGTTATGACACAACTGGTGATGGCCAAAGTATTTTTGGTATGTTTTTTCTAATTTATTTTATTTTTATATAATTTTCATTGTTTTCTTGTTTGTTCTAGTAACATATCATGATTCTCAAGCTTATGCGGAATATTTGATAAGTTATCGGTGATAATAAGTATTTAAAAAAGCTATGAATGCTGTTCTTTATTATATAGTGCCTGTTGTGAATAATCAATAAAGCAATCGACTAGTTTATGTTTTCTTCTATTTTTCTCTCGATGAATTCTTGTTATTTTGATTGTATGGATTTTTTTCTCTCTATTTGTTTTTTGCAAATGTTTGGTTTACTATTTGATATGAAACAAGAAAATACATTTACGTAAAAAGTGAACGAAGAATTCTTTTAAACAGAAGCAAACTAATTTTACCAAAGTTTTAATTAAAAAAATGTAGCTATAAAGTATTCTTTTTTAGAAGGTTCTTGCTTTCAGTAATGTACTACTTGATCTATTTTATTAGATATTCAAATAAATCATCAATGAATGGCAAACATTTTTCTATTCATACTAGATAGATTGTAAGGCGATTCAATGCTTCTTTTTCAATCACTATCTTTTATTAGAATGTCAAAGTTCAATGATCACATATACAAAAATACATACAAGTGAATAATAGATAAAAAATGCATAGATGATAACTTTTACGATAAAAATATACACTGAAAAAAAAACAATTTATCGGCATTGTTTGATGATTAAATGTATTTTGATTTTCAAATCAATGATTTAGAATCTTATGAAACGCAAATTTTACCAGAAAAAAACTCTTAAAAAAAACATCGTCGAATAGCTATGTACTGAATTTGTTTCGCTCTATTTGTTTTCTATTCAGCCATCGACAATCATCAAGAGAAAGCAGCCGTGCTGGTTTTGTTAATGAAATCGATACTATCGACGAGACGAGATTTTTTATTTGCCCGTCTAACTATGATTATTTAGAAAGCATACAAACCTTTGAACCTACACATGTTCACAGGATGATAAAATTCTTCCCAAAAATGTTAGGTAATTAGTATGAACGACTTGATTTAGTTAATTATATTATTGAGACAAAAACGAAGAGAATATTGAATGGGAAAGAATATGAATAAAGTTCAAATTTTAAATCGAAATTGAAACATAATTTTCTTCTTTTTTTGCAAGCAAAAAAATCATAGGAAGTTAATTGTTTTTGATTTTTGAGAATTCTCACGCGAGCAAGTTTTCAGCTGATCTATTTATCTATCTATCTATCTATCTCGAATGATATAAAGTGAGACTACCCGAAAAAAATCGATAAGTTGAAAAACTCTTTCCTAAGAATGCTGAATACATTGTTAAACTAAAACTAAATGCTACAATTCTTATTTGATTTGCTTTCTTCGGGCTTGATTTTTTACCGTTGATTTTAGAAAGTTTTATGAAGATCAACTGGAATTAATAGCATCCATTGCAGATATTCTTTTATCAAAAAAGTCAATTAAGTGAAAGATTGTGAAGCATCGTATCAAGAAAGACAGAATCAAAATTATTAAATTGTTGAGTACGATTAATTTAATCATCAATATTGTTTGTTCTTTCATGTTTTCTACTGAATGTCTATCTGCTGTTTCTTCAGTTGTCGACAATATTGTTGATATTTTAACTAATTAGTATAATCCTCCATTGAGCAGCTGAGAAAATAAATAAACACGATGGTTATAAATACCCTAGTGCTTTTTTGTATAGTGCATAAATAATTATAAAGCAAGATCTTAAGTTTCTTCATAGTACGAACATGTTGTAAATCTGTGATAATTATGATTCTCTCTCGAATAATGTGTTCAACAAGTGTGCAAGTTATTTTGAAAGTGTCCAGACATATTGGATCAAGGTAATAAATATTTAACATATCAACACAATGATTCTTCAACGAAAACGTTACTGCATATTGACATGAGTATAGTAAGAACTGATAATAGCAATGAGCCCTACTATGAGTATTGTATTCTATCGAATTAAAAACTCAGTCGTAGTTAAGATTTTTATTGAAGACACTCGGAATAATGTAGCATTCGAAATCATAGCACTTGTTTGTGATTTTATCGATATGAGTTTTTCTTCATGTTATTGGTAATTTAGATCAATCAAATAACATTGATTGCATGTTTGCACGAAGTCTATGTTGAAGAAAGAACTATGGAATTATCTTAAAACATACTGATTTCGTTTTGGTTTCATATGATTTATGTGACAAAATCAAGAAAAAAGGCTATCGTATTCGATCCAATCGGTGCTATCCTTATTTCAGTATGCATTATTATCTCTCCAATCTGTCAAGTAAACAATAAACATTATTTATGTTTCTGATGATTGTAACGATTCTATTGAACTGATTCTATGCATAGCTCAGATGTTTAAACTAAGTGTTCATTCTAGGCAAAAATAATTTTGACCTTTTCTTGCTTCATTTAACAAGCGCGTCGTCTAGCAGTTCTTAAAATTGAACCTACTTTTTTGCATCAGTTTGCTCGTACCATTTATAATCAGCATCCTGATTTCGTTGAAGTTGATATTGACCTACCAGGTTCCATGATACCTGCCATCGCTCGTGCCATTGTTTCAGAATTAGAAAACCGATTGGGTTCTGTCTAATGGTACAAAACTTAATGAAATGAATACTCAATTTTGACATATTCTGACTAACACAATAAAATACCTGATAAAATTATTCAATGATGAGCAATTAATTGTACTGGAACGATCATTATTTGTGTTCTAATGAATGAACAATATACTGCATCGTTATCAAATTTTGATATTGTATGATTTCTGATGATTACGATAGTTAAAATATAATATAATTGACAGATAATTGTCAAGAAAAATGACTACATCATTTCGATCGTACGATGACGAAAGTTTTTCTCGAAAAATTCGTTCTATTCATGATTAGCAATGAACAAATATAAAAAAGATTAGTACAACCCCACATGACCTCGATTCATTCTCTCATCTCCTACAATTATTTCGTACATGAGTTTTATTAACATTCCCATTGATTCGATAAGAAATTCATGCTATTCCCTTTCAATAAATATGTCTCGACCGACTTTGCTCTGCAACTATAAATCATGAACTGTGATGATATTTCCATATTTAGTACTCCTTTTTTTTTATCTTTTTGAATAATAAAAACCAACAACAAGAACAACAACAACAAATAAATCAATCCATCACTATACACAGAAATCAAAGTACTCGTTTGCTAAATATTCACTCTGTTTTTTTTTAATGTTGATAGTAAAAGCGAGTTTTTGTCAGTTATTAGATGTTACAGGAAAAAAACAGAAAGATGTGTAACAGAAGAGAAAAAGAAATAGTATCATTCCAAGACGAAAAAAAAAACAAAGAACAAGATTTAGATTCTGTACATACAAAAACGATTTTCTTTCCGTATGTCCAAATAGAGACAGAAGAAGAAGAAGAAGAAGAACGTATAAGAAGGGATATGAAAAAAATAAATAAATTAAATCATGGAATTCGGTCGAGTAGTTACATGTGATGTTTGTTTACAATGGTCCAATGTTTGTCGAGGTAAAACAACAATAGGACTTGATTTATTCGGAGATCGTGTTCGCATAAGAACTATGGGATTTGATGATGACGAACGTTGAACAGGTATATTTGGTGTAATTTTAGTACTCCTAGACGATGAAGTTATTGCGGGTATAGTCACTGTTTTCTTTCCAATCGTTGTTGTTGTTGTTTGACTGTCATTTAATTTGCTTCGAAATGTTTTACTAAAAAGGAAATAAGTTAATGTGAAAAAAAAGAAAGATAACTGGTTTTTTCTTAATTATTTTACTTTGCCGCAAGTATTCCTTCATAAATAAGTAACTGATTTCTAAAGCCACCATTTGGATTAATACATGATCGCCGTGTTTTTACATGTTCCAAAGCATCAGCAAATGAATGATTGTTTTCTTTCATAAGATATGCTAATACCTAGTTTATAAAAAGAAAAGAAGTATCATTAACTTACAGATAATTATGTCCTTTTTTTTAAATAGTTTACCGTCGATGCAGATCGACTAATACCCATCTTACAATGAACTAAACAACATTGATTATTAGCTCTATAAGCAAAGAACAGGAAAAACATTTATTTTATTTTATCACAAGCGTAGAATTATTTTACTTTGCTTCATTAATAAATCGAAATGTTTTTTCCCATTCTTTTAATAAATCGGCATCATCATGATCATGTACTCGAACATTTAAATACTTGAAATGGCCAGGAAAAAAATTGTCTATCTCTCGTGATACATTCAATACATAACCAATATTATTTGCTTTTAATTCTTCAAAATTCGATGCATTCCATTCAGACCCAAGATATAAATGTGGTAATATCATTGTTGGTTTATCCATTTGAGCAAGAATTTGTAACATAACATCATCAATATACTGTTTATAAGGAGAAAGCGACATTTGAAAGGCATTTTCTAATTGTTCACGCAACTTTGAAGGGAACGAAAGAAAAAGATTTATTTCAATTTTTTGTAAAAATTCAACTTACAAATTTCGATGTTACTTCATCAAGATCAACTTGTAACATAATTTCTTTTAATTTAACATGAATTTTAGCATGAAGAGTTTCTTCATCTGACGATAATCTAAATTAAACGAAGGAAAAAAGAATCGATTTTTAGAAAATAAATTGAATTGAATATATACGGTTGATATAAATGAGGTGAATCACTACGGTGTGATAAAATATCATCCATTTGATTCCATTCATTAACATAAGTTTGATTTGAACGTATATCTGGATTACGATAATATTCAATCCAACTATGTGTTACACCATTATTAGCTATATAATTATAAAGACGAGCTTGATTTGATGCTTTGTGCAAACTCTGATATGCAGTCCTATAAATTAAGGGGAAAAGACATGTTCATCGATTATAGAAATAAGAAAATATCAAATAATTACCACAGAGCTTGTACGCTCACCGGCTTGAAAATGTGACATCGATCATATGAAGTTAATTTAAATCCCCTAAATTAAATTGAAAAAAAGAATTAATTATCACATCGAAATTTATCTTGTTTATTATCATATATAGTACTTTTAAGTACAAAGCAAAAAAAGATCTCATTAGATTAATTATATCGCTGCAGGCAAAAAAATGGAATATTTACCAATGTATTTCAAGGTTTAATCTTTCTATCCTTATGGGAATTAAGAATATTTAAAATTTTGTAGTGAAAAAATTAAAAAGCAATTTACCCATCACCGTCGAGTGATATATCCAAATCGGCCCATATTGGTAATGCCATACCGATTGTAATTTCGTTTGTATCAACATCGAAACCAAGAATAGCCGATCTACATATATATATAGAGAGAGAGAGAGAGAATTTTCTACATTAATAAACAAAGTAAAACTTCAATATATTTACTCTTCTGTTTCTTGTCTTCCGACACACGTAACAATGACTAGGTAACGATAACGATTTGGAAAACCACTTTCCAATTGGACCATCTATTAAAAATACAATTACAAAAGACGATCTAAAAAAACTATGAATAGACGAACCAGGGTAAGGCGATCGTCGGGACGCAGCAATTTATACATCGAATCAAGATGCGCACGTAAATTTTCTACGAAAATAAATAAATAAAATTTTCTTAGATTAAGAACAAAATTTAAAAAAAATACAACTATGTCGTACCTGCATTGCCCGCAACGATCCTTGCCAGATGACGGTCAATTGTATTAGTAGCTACGGTGGCAATCTTTGGTAAACTTAAATTTTCATTATCAGAAAATAAAGCAATCTGTTTAGTTGGTGATGAACTAGACATACAAGGAATAAATAATCAATGGTAAAATTATAACTGATTTCAAATAAACGCTAGAATATTATTTCTCCATTCTTTTTTTCTTTTCTTCTCTATACACCATAATTGACGTTTCAAATGGTATTATGTTCATTCAATATGAATTCAAGTGAGAGGAAAAAAATGAAAACGACGGTACTTCTTTTACTGTGCTCATGACATCTCACCTTGTCGCCATTGGAGGTGTATGATTGAAGTGAAAAAAGAATGCTTTACAAGAAAAAAAATTCTTTAATGCGTCATATTCGTGAGTGGTCGTAGATTTGAATCGACGAAAAATAGGTAAATGATGATTATCTCGTTTCTCAACGTTTTTATTTTATGGTAAACAGATAAGAAAGCCTTGAATAAAAATTATAATTCATTAATTACAAGTAACATTAATAATGCATCAAAAAAAAACATGCGTGAAAAGAAGCAAACGACAAATATGATAATAGATAACTATCTATCTATCTGTATTAATATATTTTTAATATATACGTAAAAGATAAACAATTACATACCTTAGTTGAGACTTGGAATGTGTTTCGTTATTAATCAATATTGTCACTTTGAATAAATTTATAAAAAATACATGAAAATAAAAGGCAACAGGGACGGATGGATGGATGGATGGATTAGTAAAATCTAAAATAAATATTTCGAAAAACTTGTTTTTTTTTATATTGACAACTAGTGAACTTGAACTTTTGTTATGTTTATTATATAGATATGTTATCGTCGTGCAGGTCTCCAATCGTGTTGATACTGACAAGATGAGAAGATGAAGAACGAATAAGAGAGTGGACAGATTAATACGATATGCTACCATATAAGGAAGATGAACAGAGAAATAGAAATCAAATGAATCTATGATGTCAGCTGATGCATTGACAGATGTCGTATGATGTTGGGAGTAGTAAAAAGAAAAGAAAAAAAGTTACACCCTCACTCTCACACACACACAGCCTCACTCAGTATGTTTTATGATATAGGATAATTACGACTACGATTGGAGGTAAAAAGAAAACTATTCAGAGTTTTCTTTCAAAAACCTCATTAAATAAATGAACTTTGAGCAATGTTGACAAACAAAAGCGAACTTGAATCAAAGACATGAGAGTTAGAATGACGGAAGTAATTTGCAGGAGAAAATAATACACTTACATAAACATAGAATTTGTTGTGAAAAAAATTCTATCGCTCTTAAATTGGAATAAAAGATAGAGATTTCACCAAGAAAAAAAAATGAACGATTCCGAATTCTATTCTTTTTTCAATAAAAATATTTAAAACAAAAATGAAAACTTCCTAAAAACAGGAAGAATATATCCATTGTTCATTCTCTTATCCTCTTGTTAGTGCAAAATTAAAACATAACGTGATCATCTGTTGCAAATTCAATTTTCGTCGATGTAAGATGATTTAATGATCAAATTTATTTTCTTCAATATTCAAACAACAAAAAAGGTATTAGTTAATTATTTGCTTTCGAATCATGACAATCGAATCGATTGAGTAGAATTGTTTCAGACGTATGTGTTGATATCTTCGTACGTGCTTCACAAGGAGCGCTATATCTATTAAATGCAAGAAAAATATGCTATCATCACATATCCTGTATGTACTATATACTATACATACATAGCACTATCCTCAATTGATTTGAGACGAAGACTTGAAACTATTATTTCTTGTCCTTTCTCACTACCAATTCCCAAAACTAAAATAATCAATCATAAATTCTAAACAGATACAGATTCTAATAAATACATACAAGTTTTTGCTTTATTAAAATGTACAATAGCATAATCGACTTTATCAAAGTTAGTATTGAAACTGAAAACATGATGAAAGACATCACCAGCTTTTATATCAACGTCGGATCTTTATAATCACATAAATGTCAAATTGTATAATGTAATTGTTCATTTAATACTGTTTTGAAAACTTACTTCAAAGTCATACTGGTATTGGTTAACATTTCGAAATTCGAATGAATCGAAACAAGAATTTCACCATGGGCCGTACTCATATCTCGATCGAGACCAAGTTCAATCAAATAATGATGACCTAAGCGTTGAAACCGAAAATAATCGATAGAATAGAATGAACGATGAATTCTGACCACAAAACGGCGACGAACTCTTTGTTGTTAAGTACATATTACCACGGCCAAGTGAATAAATCGAATGAAAACCTTTGAAAACACAATCAAATATTCATTACACTAAAACAAATATTTGTGTTTTGAATACCCATTTGAGCACAACCTGATGTTGAACATTGAACACATTCACCATTGACAAAACTCTCCTATAAGAAAAGTATGAAAAGAACTTTGCAAAATGCAAAGCTTTCTTATAATGCTGTTACATAGTCATGACATGGAAAGGCATTATATGGACATTCAGAACTAGAGTAAAAATAAAAATAAAAATCATTCTAATCTGTCTATAGAATTTATATATATATATATATGTACTTGATTGATTCAGTAAAATATTCATGTGAACGAGCTAATTATAAATACCAATGACTGTGATTTTTAATTTTTTAAAACTTACAATGTGAACATGATGTCTGTTCAAAAGCAACTATAATAAAACCAAAGAATATTTCATTTGATTTTAAACACTTTTCAAACATTATACCTTGACTCTGCCCAACAAATATATCACCGATAAGTGTATTCCTTAAAAAGAAAAAGAAACTATGAAACCTTTGACGAAATAAATATTTACACTGAAGGACAGCCTGGTTGAGATCGTCCACCATTAGCATAGAAGTCTACATGTCCCGATGGTTCACTTGATCCAAGACCAACACCAAGCGCTAATTCTGTATTTGAATGAATAATATCGACGAATTTCGCGTCATTTTTATCAAGACGAAGTACAACATCTTTTCCTTCGAACAGTGGGCCAGCTGGATCAAGGCCCGAAATACGAGCCATTTGATTATTTATTGTGTTTGAGGCTAAACCACATGTATGCGCTCCGAGACTATGTCCTGACATAGAAAATAACAACAACGATTAACAATGAACGTATTTTTTTCTTGTGTAGTACGAACGAACCTATACAGTGAACTTTATCATATGAAAGTCCTTTGATATTATTTAATTTTTGTAAAAGTAAACCGATTTGTTTGCCAACCAGACGTGTATTTGAAGCAGCATGAGGATAGAATGGTAATTTTGCACCATTGCTCCAATCAACAACCAGTACGTCCGAGAATTCTTTCTATTGTATTCCATAGAATAAAAAATGGTTTAAAATAAACGACTAAATTAATATGTTCTTACATCTTTTAATTTGAATAATTCGTCTTGAAGTGGTTTTATCCAAATACTATTTCGATTATTTGCGAAACCATGAACAATAATTCGTAACCATCGAGAAGAATTAATACTTGATTCTTTAATGGATTGATCATTACCATCATAGGATAGAAATTCTGGTGTTGTAGGCGTTTCTTGTGTAAATAGAAGAAAATGTGTATCGATATGTTCAGGTGATTGTGGTATTTCTAGGGCGGCATTATTGTAGGGCTCTTTATTATCGTAGCAACCAACAATTGGATAGCATACTGATTTATGAAAAAGTTTTGGTGATATAGGAACTTGAATAGCCTGATCCATTGTTGGCATGGCCGGAACGATAGGCATATTATTAGTTGATATGATATCGATGGTAAGTGGTTCATTAGCTACATTTTCTAATGGAATAATTCGAGCACTAATTGAAATAGTGAAGAGGCCAAGAAGTAAATAGCGTATACCTTAAAAGAAAAAAATAATACAATAGTCATATTACGTTATATTGAAACAAGGTATATTCGATTTTTAGTTTTATAAATTCTTATAACATGCCATCAGGTTAGAGAAAATAAACTGAATTCTCTGTAGAAGTTTCAATTAAAAGCCGAACTATAGTTAGATTCTATCCGAGAAAATGTGTTTTTTTCCTGAATAATCACATTCAATCGTCAAAGTATGACACTTTTTTCTTATTTTTGTTGAACTCTGTTTTTTTTTCACAGTGTTCATGCCGGATTAAACATTGTTTCTATTTATAAATTTCATTGATAAGCATAAATGGCTCAATTACTATCGATACTTGACAATATATGTTGATATGAAAACAAAGGGAATAAAATTTTCCTAAATTTCATTAGTGAATTGTTAGCAAGATTTATTCATCATTAGATTAAGATCAATGTCAACAATACTGATAGGCGTAATAAAGTTTAAAAAAAAGGATCTAGCTATCGATAATCCTATGAAGTTTTATAGCACTGAGAAGAGCAAATGATGATCACTTTTATAATTATTTCAGACGCTCATTCTATTCATTCTTCGCATTGATATCCAAAAATGTTAACTTGATATTTAAATAGAACTAACATGAAAAATAGGTCACTCTTGCTTCAAATTTCAATTAAATAGAATTAAAACGTATTCTAGCCTTTTCTGCTCGATCCCCTAACATTCATCTAGATCTAATTCATAGATAGAGATTTGACTTGGAGTGATACGTCTGTAATAATTGCGATATACATTCGCCACATACCGAGTTCCGATAACATGACGATGGCGATCGACGATTCAGCTAAAAACTGCTGGAGGTATTATCTATCACTAGGTTTCAATAATTTAAATAGTATACGAAGATATCATCTGGTTTCTTTCTCATACAATGCAGTAAACAATAATCTATAGAACTCGAGCTTATATCTATATTATTATCAAGTGACACGAAAATATTTTACTATGTAACAATGACCTGGTTTTTTTAAAACAAAATTTCCCATGCAGCACTTTTAACCTACGATGTAAATTAATTGAATGTTTGCATTTTGAAGCATCACAACATTTCAGTTATTTATAGGTAGATGAATAAAATCTGCCTATCATTTTCAAGAAAAATGAAGTGTTCTAGGACTAAGAAATTAGAGTTTGCCCTCAGCTCAACTTCCCTGAAGTTTTTTAAATGCTAAAGATAGAAATATACAATATCTAAAATATTGTTTAATGGTATATTTATTTTCATAAAGAAATTCGTTGTAAACATGAATGTGTGAATATTAAAGATATTTCAGAAAAAAAATAATTATATTGGCATCCATGTTTATGTTAAGAACTAATGGTTGATTCATATTTATCCGATAAATTATCATAGTTACGCTGAAATTTCCTCATCAAATTAAGCATGTTCTATTGTTCGGTTTCTCAGTGTTATGAAGAAATGTTTTGCTTTGTAATTTTATGCACAATATTATTTAATTTCGACTGATCAGCAGTGACATCTTTTTCATCGGCCATTCACACATTTTTCACGTCTCCATAATGGTCAAAACTTTTGCATTATAAACTTAAGAAATTTACGTTGCATTACTTTTGTGTTGTTTTTCTTTTTTGGTATTCACTCGTATATTCGATCGTAGAAGACGACTATTCTTTAAAATTTATAATGGCTTACAATAGTGGTAATTCAGGAAGTGAGGACGCTAGTGGAAATATTTGGAGTTCAGGATCACACGGCGGTATGATTTCAGTAGCCTTATAATAAATAAACAAAGAAAATTTTTTTTTAATTTTTTTAGGTGCACGCATGGGTTATTCAAGTTCAAACAATGACGATGATAGTGGTTCAAGAGGAGGGTAAGCTTCGATAATGAAATCAGTATCTTTCTACTCATTCATAATGCAAATAAAATATTTTTCATTTTTCTTTGGAATAATACGTTTTAATATATGAAACAAAAACTAAAGTATTCAACATACTTATATGTATCCTTTTTGGATCAAACAATATAGAATTCTATCTTATTTCAAAGACTATATGTATATACACAAATAATTGAATATGATAAAAAGTAAAGTACGAAAATGATGTAATGGGTAAACGTATATAGATAAAAAAAACACTTAAGGACATTTTTATGTATACATGATGATTGATGTTTTTTATTTTTGATTTATATCTTAATATAGTGGATCATATCGCGGGTCATTTGGAAATAATAATTCAAGTAAGATTTGTATACCCATTGGATCCACTTCATATTGTTATTTTAATAGAAAAAAATATATTATAGTTTTAAAAAAGTTGCATAAAATATTTGATTTCGAAAAATACATACATTCTACTCATAATTAAATAAAAGAAAAAAAAATAAAACTTATTATCCATTGGGATTTAGTGCCTCTGAGTTGTATCCGATAAAAAACATTTTTATCATTGTTTTAGGATCTGGCGGCAGCAGCGGCGGCGGTTATGGGTTCCGACGACAAAATAACGATCGAGGAGATGTTGAAACACTTACTGATGCGATATTTATTCAAAATCTACCGAAAAGTATTACACGCGATCAGATTCTTGACATTTTCTCAACTGTTGGAACAATCAAAGTAAATATAAGTGATGTTTGGTTAGGATAATTTGTAAACATTTTGATGTTGCATTAGACTGATGAACGATCAGGTGGTCCAAAAATCTGGATCTATAAGGATCGTGATACCGGCGAATCAAATGGCCGTGCTACAGTAACATATGAGGATGATGAGACAGCTAATCGTGCTATTTCAAAATATAATGGTAGAATTGACTTCATACAAGGTTATTTTTATTATTTGTCTTTATTCTTTAGATCAAGAGATTGATTCGATCGGTTCAGTTGTACGTGTACAATTAGCACAACGCCGCAATCGTAATAATAATGGCAATGACCGTGGTGGTGGCCGAGGTGGTCAGTATTATTTTCTTATTTCCTCCTATTCAACTAATATTTGTTTTTTTTGTCAAATAAGGTTACCGTGGCGCTCGCAGTAATTGGAGTAGCGATAGTGATTCTCGTCAAAATTACAATTCCAGTAGCAGTAGTCGATGGGGTAGCTCCTCTGGAAAAGGATTTTCTGATGATCGAAGTGGTGGTAGTAGTAGCCGAGGTGGCGGCTTCCGTGGTAAGTGATTGAAAACTATGAACAAGTCACAAGAAATAAAAAAAAAACTTTCTCTTTATCTTAGGAATGGGTGGCGGTAGTAGTTCATTTGAAAATGGAGATGATCGTAGTAAGCTCAGTTGAATAAAAAATAATATCCTTTCTCTATGAATATTTTCTTTCAGGCGGTTCATATCGTGGTAGCCGCAGTGGCCCATATCGTGGCGCCAGCCGTGGCAATGGTGGTTCATCAAACTATGCTCCATATTGATTCAATGCGACATAAAAAAATATTTAAATGAAGACTTGAACATAAAAAATATGACTTCTCATACTGTTTCTATGCTCATTGGCGCATTTTAATGTATTTTTTGCATAGAATCCTATTCATATTTGTTGTTGTTTTTCATTTATTCATAACTATTACAAAGAAAAATAAAAATAACCCTCAGCTTCATAAATAAGAATGTCTTGTGTGTACACAAGTAAAATGTTAGTTTTTCGATTGTGCCAGTCGATAATAATATCCTTTGCGAGCCAACAACTCATCATGTTTACCAGATTCAACAATACGACCACGATGAACAACACAGATACGGTCAGAATTTTGTATCGTTGATAACCGATGAGCGATTACAACGGTTGTTCGACCTTTCGATGCGTGATCAAGTGCTTCTTGGACTATTCGTTCATTTTCTGTATCGAGTGCACTCTGATCAAAATAAAAACCATCGAGTCAACATAAGACTTGTTAAAAAAATTACTTACCGTCGCTTCATCAAGTAGTAAAACTTTTGGATTTCGAATAAGTGCTCGAGCAATAGCTAAATCAGCCAAAAAAAAAGAGATTAATTCTAGTTCTTATGTAGATTCTCGAGTAGTTAGTACTAACCAATGCGTTGTTTTTGACCACCAGATAACTGTGTGCCTCTCGAACCAATATTGGTTTCGTATCTTTCTGGTAGG